CTCGATCTTAATTTTCTAGGGGGTGGCGCGCACCTAGAAGATTCCGGTGGGGGTGCCGTTCTTAACTTCTTTTCTGAGGGCTTTCTTGGAGATCTTGCTGATTTATATTAGCTCGCTCTGGGTTACTTGGGGTTGTACTAACGCCGCTGTAATGCTAAACAGCTACCGCGCCTCGTTCTTTTCTCTAGACCTAAACTTTACTTCTCCGGATTTCTAGTCGATATATAGTTTTCATTTCCGGAGCTAGGGACGTCCCAGGATAATGTTATACCCGGGGGTTTTTATAATGTCTAAGCATATTCTTTCTCGGTGTTTTCCTCTAGCCAGTACGAGTCCTTGGGTTTCTATAAGTATTAACCCTCCTCCATATGTGCTGGGTAAACCATCCACGGTAATGAGTTCGTAAGGGTATTTCTTTTCTCGGAACTTAATGTTGTGTTTTTCCACGAAGCGGGGATTGATGTAATTGCCTCCGTCAGCTAAGTCGATTAGGACGCGGGCTCGGCGTCTATTAGCGAGCATGTTAATAATAAGGTGTTCGGTATACTTCGCTAGGGGTTCGTCGTCGTCCGTGGTGTGTATATAAGAGAGTTTTTCTTTAGTGTTACCGGTCGTTATTGCGGTTACTTAAAGGGGCGCCGGGGGCTACGCCTCTACCCGCCCCTAGGTTGGAGGCTTTTTTAGTTTTTTGCCTCCGGCTAGTATCTATATATTACGCTAGGACTCGGAAAGGGGGGTAAAGCAAGAACGTCGGGGAGGTTCGCAGCGTCAAGGGTTTACTACCGCTATCTAGGTTGTTACTGGACACTGTGTTTAGAGGATAGCAGCCGTAGTCAGGCAGGGAAGGTAACAAGAGGGGTGCAAGGCAATGATTGGAATTGACCACGAAGGTCCTATCTACTGTAAATAAGTGCGCTATATATACAAGGAAACATTTGCCTAATAACCGTAATTTCTGACCGTTGTGTGGAGGTAGGTCATGACGGGCGGTCATATTTATAAGGGTGTAGTCTTGGCGTCATGACCGTCAGTGGTGGTGCTGAGTAATAAGCGTGGTCACCGATCCTCGGCGCGGGGATTCGCTTGGCGCCGTGTTCCCAACTTCTGTCCTTCTGCAGGTATCCCGTAATACTATAGGTCTTCTTTAGTTCACGGTGGCTTTCGCATTCGTCGTTGGTACAATCGGTCTAATGCTGCTTATCGTGGGAGTCCTCTACTTCCGTTACTTGTGTGGCTGAGGTTTAGCGTGTTGTCTTATTGCCGCCCTTGCATTAGCGGGTATAGTGTTCCTTCTTGCCGTAGCGGAGGTATAGGTCTTCCTTACGGCGTCGGTCTTTTTCTTCTTAGGATAGTGGCCCGTTGCGTCTGACGCTATCGAGGTCTATAGGTTCGCCGGGGCTCGTTGTGTTCCTGGGTTGGCTGGAGTTGGCTGCGGGGCGGTTCGACCGGGTCGCTTCCCTACGACGGTCGTATAGCCGAGTGTCGAGTTAGATGGCGATGCGGACCACCTTCTAGTATGAATTAGGTAGCTTAGTTCTGGCGAACTCGTCTTTAATATAGTCCTTTAGTCCCTCGTAATATAATATTTTAAGGACGTTATCGGGCTATTAGAGTCGGGAGGCATAGAGTCGGAACTAGGTGGTGTAGGTTGCGGCGGAGCCGGTTTGTTTGAGGGTCTGGATTCGGTGGGCTGTATCTTAATATTGGTCCTTGTCTTCGAAGGTTTCTTGGAGTGCCTTGGTAAAGTTGTCGAAGTTATAGAACAGCTCTGTAGTTTCCTCGTGCTGGTCTAGTTTACTAAAGTCTTCTTGGTAGGGTTCGAACCAACGGGCAGCATTGCTACGGAGGTATAACCCGGCAAAGAAGATTTTTTAAGATTCATCTTGAAAAGCCGTTCCGAACAGGTGGAAGTAGGTTTATAGTTATCGTAGGAATTCGTCTAACTTCCCCCTGGTTCCGTCAAATGTGTCCGGTTCTTTGACCTTGAACTTTAGGTTCTACACCTATATTGGAGTAGTTAGTATGGGAGTAGCTTCCGCGGCGGGAGGTTGCCCCCGCGATCTTGTGGTGCGATTAACCGAGAAGGCCTATCCTCTAATAAAGTAGTTCAGTAGGACTAAGAAGCAGTCTTCGGAAGCGTCGGGGGGCAGACGGGGCCTGCTGACGTCGCGGGTTAAGAAAGCGATTCCGGCGGCGTAGGCTTCTGATATAAGCATGCGGGTTTCCGTGTCGGGTTCTCTAGGAATTACTAGGTAAATGTTGTGTAGTTACTCTTCCGTGTTGGGGAGCGAGGCGCGGATTTCGGTCTAGGTTGTTATAGTTAGTTCGATGAGTTTTTTACTTACCTTTAGTACCTATAGGGTGGTGGTCAAAGTGTTACGCTGGGACTTCGGAAGGGGTTTTAAGGCAGAAGCGTCGGGAAGGTACGTAGCGTTAAAGGTTCACTACCGCTATCTAGGATGTTACTAAACACTAGGCGTAGAGGATAGCAGCCGTAGTTAGGCAGGAAAGGTAACAAGAGGGGTGTAAGGCAATGATTAGAATTGACCACGAAGGTCCTATCTACTATAAGTAAGTGTGTTCTATATACTATGATTGGCCGCTGGTTGGCCAGACTGTGGTGTTGGTGTGGACAGTAGGGTGGCCAGTGGCCAAGGGAGATCTGCTTCGTAGGGTCAGGCTGTTGGCCACCCAAATGGGTTAGGTGCGTCCGGGGTTTCGGTATGAGATGATCCGGTCCGCCCATAAGTTCTGCTGCGCCGCTTGACCCGCATCCTGATTTCGTAACAATATAAAAAGATAAAGCTAAAGAAGCGCTATTTTTTTATATAAATTTTATTAAAATATATATTATTTATATAGTATAAAATTAGATTTAAAAAAGTTTAACTCTTTTAGTATTTTCTCTACTACTACTCGGCGATTCTTAATTTAAATTATTAGTAGAAATAGATATCGCGAACGGCTTTATTCCGAACGGCTATTTATAAACCGATTTTATAAAGGCCTATACTTTAGAAAACATAGTAGACTTTTATTTATATAAGATATCTACTACTACAAAAGACTAAATCTACGATATAAAGTATTCTTCTATTTTCTACAAGTGGAGTCTCTTTGAAGCTTAGGCTGTTAGTAAACTCGGACCGCGGGGGCTATAAAGCTTGGGCCGTTGAAGGATTCGGGGTATGGGGGCCAATTACAAGTGGGCCTGTTGATCTACGACTGAAAGCCCGAGAACCTTACTGCTAAGCCTCATTTACTCGCTTAGATCTCTACCGTGTAAGTATCTACCCGAACTGCATGTGGAGAAATTCTCCAACGCTGTAGAAGCCCTTGTTGAGTAACTGGATGCTTGTCCAACTCTTTGCACCTGCTCACAGCCTATTAGAACCTCGCTTTGCTTCCTGTGCTCGCCAAGGTCGGCTCACGGATCACACTGTGGACGAAATGACCGCGCTAACACCGAGGTGCCTTAGGGCAACGTTTTTCCCACGCACCAAAACGGGTACCTCCACAATCCGCAATAGGATACCGCCTATCCAGACCCCAAATTACTGCTACGTAGACGGCCATCCCTTTGCTCTGCTTCATGATGAAGAGTTTTTCTAATAATACCGAGGCACTGATCTCCCTATGAATACGCGTTCTGCCGCCCCACCCACCACTGCTTCCTTTAAGACCTTTGCGAGATATTACCGGTTTGCCGTCCGTCAATCATACTTGAAAGCGTAGGTACTTGTGGATCCCCTTTGCTACCTAAGACGGCAGGAATTTCTCCTTCGAATTCCAAGGCACTCGGTAAAGACGCGGTGAGCCGATAGCTCCGAAAATACCGATTCGTTGACGGTAAAGTAAAGCCGCAACAATACGAAAGTATCTATACAGTGAAAATTGCATGCTGTACATGATGTGTAAGCGTTGGGGGTTGGACCTCGGCGACTTGCGTGTGCTACTCATGTCCCCCCCCATTTTCCGATTGTGTGCTACGTTACCGTGTGGTATCAACGATTTGTGCTAGAAAATGCCGAATTGCTTAACCCCTTTCCCCCTCTCTATAAACGGCACTCTTGCAATTCGGGCCGAGTGGTGTTCCTGCCTCACGGCTTGAGCGTATCTTACCCAAAGCCAGCCCAGCACAACAATCCTCCGGCTATACCATCAAACAATCCTATAGACCGTTTAAATCCTTCGAGATCTCAGCGCATGAGAACGACTCGTACAAGAAGCGGATGTCTGACTTTCCGTCGACGCCAAGCCAAAGTAAGCCCCCACGTGCCTTACCGATATCAGCACCTAAAATACATATTTACTATAGTGCGACGAGGGGAAGCCGCACTATAACGCTTACATTAGAATTCACCTGGAATGCGACAGCTACGATAAGCCGTTTATATTCCGCGATTTTACAGCGGTTGTGAGCGAGGAAGTAATCGTAGTCGAGGCGAGGCAATGGGTAGCAGTTCGATCAGACCAAGCGTCTGACGTGAATCAGGGGCAACCATCACGGTCCGCGTCAATTTTGAAACCGGCTTTGAGCCACGCGCCCCACTGCAGCGCAGAGACTGGACCAACTGGGGCCCCTCATTTTCCTCCAACAGTCGGTGATGTTTGAGGCCATTGGTGGGAAACAGCTCTGGCAACTACATAGTACAGGAGAGGATGTTGGTGTATGCGTAAGCGTCCGGATGCACGGATGAAGACTTACCAAAAAGGGATTAGGATTACCTTAAACGGCTGGCGTGGTCGTATGTTCCTTGGTCAATGCTCAATCCTCTCGCAACTTATCGAGGCCCACTTTGGGGGCCACGACCTATGCGACGTAAATTGACTTAATTATTTTCATCAAGTATATATAAAGCCTCGTGCCTTGCAACCACTCATCAACTCACCACTAAACTCCAACAAAAGATTTAAGCACTCAGCTACAGCAACGTGAGCATTCCCACCGCTTTTGCCACGAGCCATTCTCACAACTTCAACTCTAGTTATCCGCAGCCATGCACGCTTCAGCACTCCTCATCCTCGCCATCGGCACCCTTGGCGCCATGGCCGGCCCGATGTCCAGCCCCAACCATCTTGTCCGCCGCGAAAACAAATGCAAGAGCTTGTTAAGCGCCTCGGACATTAAGTGGTCCATCTACCTCGACAACGACTCGTACTACAACAAACAGTGCGGCGGCGGCTGTCTCGACAACATCCGGGGCAGGTGCGGCGTCGTCACCTCGTGGGAGTGCTCTCGCGACGGAAACAACCGAGGCCACATGACCTTCTTTACGTCGATCGGCTGCACCGATTACGACATGACGCAGGCTCTGCACGCGTGCACCAAGGGGGAGCAGACAATTGACTGCAGCGCCTCGTGCATCAATTGCCAAATTGAGGATGGGTTTCCTTAGGTAGTGCTGTTGTTTTTGTTGATAGGAGATGATCAATGTACATACAAAGTTTCTAATCTACCGAGTGTAGAGTATGCTGTTGAGTTGAGTTGAGTTGAGTTGCATTTATTTACCCTGACCCATCGCCCTAAGCGATATGCAGGCTACAGACTATTCAAAGTGAATCTCTAGTAATACATTTGCATGTGTGTCAAAATAGGAGAGAAAGTAGGTAGTTTAGGAGGGCGGGGGGTAGGGATTGTAGGGATGTGGTGGAGTTCTACTCCTTAGGCTCTTCTCTGCTAGTAAACGCTCCGCGCTTAATAACTTCTTTTTCCCGGAATAGAAAGGCAGCAGATATAGATCGGACACGAGACAATAGCATGTCAGAATAAAGGATGGCTGCCACCTGGGCAATCGTGCTGGCCTTCTTGAAAGGTTTCTGTTTATGCGAAGTGTTTCATGCATTATTGGGCTCCTGCAATGCTATGTGTGTCTCGAGCACCTTCCGTCTCTTTGATGGGGCCAGCCTTGCCACGGGTAGCAATATTTTCTTTGCCGAGTTACCCCACAATGTAGCTTCCCGCGGGAGAGCTTGGGTGCGGAAGTGCTCCCGTCTTTCCCGCGGGATGCTACTATGCTGTGGAGACTCGCCAACAAAGAGAAACACTCTGGCGAAGATGGACCCTTGTACATACTATATAATCTGCCAGCTGAATAAATTCGTTCTCAACTTGTAAACATGCTTGCTCAGAATACTATTCTACCGTGGCCGCCACGCAGCGTTATTACTCGTTCTATCCCAATTTTCCTGAAGCGAATCTTATTATCAACAATCCATCAGCGCTCCATGCAAACTTTGGTGCAACGAGGCATGGATATAGCACCCGCGATGATGCACAGAGAGCGAAGGCGTCAGCGGCTTCCGGCCGTTCTGATGAGGGCAGGAACGTCGAAAGGTCTTTTCGTCCGACACGAATATCTACCACCCCGCATGGAAGATTGGACCGTGCCGTTACTTGCGGCAATGGGCTCAGCAGCCGGTGACCCAAGGCAGATCGATGGCATAGGAGGCGCCACGTCCACAACATCGAAGGTGGCTGTGGTTGCAAAATCGACTGTGCCAGGAATCGACGTCGAGTATACTTTTGGACAGGTGGGGGTTGGAAAAACAACTGTCGACTTTAGCGGAAACTGCGGGAACATGGCAGCCGGGGTTGGACCGTTTGCTCTCGACGAGGGTATGGTAAGAGTAGAGCGAGGCAAAAAGAAGGTAAGTGTTTTGAACTTCATTTCATCTAAAGCTTTAACAATATTGATATCTGAGCAGGTCGATATCCGGATTCTCAACACAAATACTTCCCGTATTTTGGTGACCACTGTGGACGTTGACGAACTTGGTCAATACAAAGAGGATGGCGATTTCAAAATGGACGGTGTCAAGGGTACAGGCAGCATGGTGCGTGTCGCCTTTCTGAAGCCCTCTGGAAGCATGACCGGATCTTTCCTCCCCACCGGCAACCCAACCGACGTCATTCACCTTGAAGGTCAAGACCTGTCCGTGATGGCAAGTCTGGTGGACGCCGCCAACCCATTTATTTTCATCGACGCTTCAACACTGCCCCAGAAATTCATGTCACAGGATCCGCATTCTGTGGAATTTCTGCGCGTCATCGAGAACATTCGACGGGTGGGTGCAGTAATGATGGGTCTATCTGCCGACACAAAGGCTGCAGCAGTGACTCAAGGTACACCGAAGGTCGCCATCGTCTCGGCAGTACCATTGTGGAATTCCCGGGATGAGTCCACAACGGCCGACCTACACGTTGCTGCATTCAGCATGGGCAAACTGCACCCAAGTCTCCAACTGACTGGAGCAGTCTGCCTAGGCGCTGCTGCAGTTACCAGCGGGACTGTTCCCAACCGAGTCATGTCTGCCGCCGCACTGCCCACTCCTGAAAGGACACCATCACCCGGCCCTCATATTTCCAATGACATGCCCAAGGTGGAGAAGAAAACCGTTCGGATTGGGCACGCACGTGGTCTCCTCGCCGTCGAAGTTGAACATGTTTCCGGCGCACGAGGCACCGAGATCAAGTCGGCTGTCGTGCTTAGGACGGCACGGAGGCTGTTTGAAGGAAATGTTCTCTTTTATTCGTAGGAGCATCCGTGAAGTCATGCATGTTAAAGGCGTTTCGAGTCTAAGATAGCTAGTAATTTAGGAATTAATTCGTGTTTTTTATTTTTTTTGGGATGCTCTTACATTAGCTGGACTCTATTTAGGTTTACTACTACTGGTGCTTCTGAACAAGTACGCTGAAACTGCAAGAATAAAAGAACCAACAAGCATGACAACTCCTCCAAAGATCTGTGCGTAGAGATAACTGCCATGCCCCATAGCTATTAGACGAGCCGCAATAGGCGGACCAGTCAAGCACGGAATACTAGAGACCGTGAAGATGAGGCCAACCCTGCTTCCCGCTTTACTCAAGTCTTGCAGGGCAAATAATCCAGCAGAAGCTGGAAATTGGCTTTGGACAGCATTTGCAAAGAAACCGTAGAACGCAGCCCAAATTATCAACCCGGCTCGTGAGCTGACGCCGATCCAGCACAGGAGCATGACACCAGAAAGGGCGACAAGAGGTATGAATACAAGCAGAGGGCCGAAGTAGCGATCGGCAAGGATCGCGGGCGCCACACGTCCAATGACCCCAATGCCGTTCATTACAAGTAGTAGAACCAGTGACTCTCGCTGTGTATAGTCGAAGTACTCCCGTGAGTAGGTATTAATCTGTTGCAGTGAATATGGTGGTCATGACGAACGGATGCGGGTGAGACTGACAAAGAAGTAGGCAAAGTATAGGCCCCAGAGCTCGATGAAACAACCAACAGTAAAGAGCGTGAATGGAAGCTCCTTGAAAGCGCGAATCTCAATGAGCGGCCCCAGCTTTCGGGGTGGAATCCTGGTCCGTGTCACTAGCACGATATAGATGCTGTTGATTAGCATGACCAATGCCATGACTCTGACTGTCCACGGGAAGCCTATCGACTGTAAGCATGAATAGGCGATAGCTGGGAAGATCATCCCGCCCGTAGCTGCTCCGCAGGCGGCTAAGGAGACGGCCATCACCCGTCGCCGACTGAAATACGTTGAGAGTAGCGATATGACTGGCGAGAACAGAATTCCGTGGCCTAGCCCGCTACACAGGCCTTGTGCAAGGAATATCTGCCAAAAGTGGGTGGCGAATGAAGTCAACGTGGCTCCGAGGACCTGCAGAGAACACCCTAGAACTAGGATGGCTTTGAAATAGCCGGCATCGAGGGCGCGTCCAGACACGGCTCCGATCAAGAAAACAAGGAACATTTGGAAAGAGCCGATCCAGGAAGTTTGCTCAGAGTGGATTCCGAGCTCGTCAACGTAGTAACGCTGGAAGAAGCCGAACCTGCAAGACCCGGTGGCTTAGTACGTCTTGGCTGTATCACTTCAATTGACACTTGATCTTACGAGGAAATGTAGCCCCAGCAGTTCAGGACGACCAAATGCGCAGCGATCACCTGTGACCATGCCTGCAGTCCGCCATCTGGAACCTGGACGGTATCAGAAGTCTGGGCGGGAACACCTTCTGACGGTAGCCTTCCGGCCGAGGCTTTCTCCGCGTCTGCTTCATGAATGGGGGCCTTTGTTTCCATGTTCAAGAGCACATAAAAGATTTGCGCAAAAGCTGGAATCGACCGGGTCTGCGGTCAACGTGTAAAGACTGGAGGAAAGCAGCTAGACCTGGGTTGATGTGTAGGCATGCGCCGTACTTGTTTCTCGTAAGCGACAACTTATTCAACATCCCTGCAACCACAATACGGGCCATAAATCACACCATCGCCGTCTCAGCATTTCTTGTGGATTTTCTTGTGTAGATTAGCGTACATTTTGTGGCGACCTTCTTAAAATGTCTATTGTTCCCGGTCTCCCGCGAAGATCCCCTGCTATACCGGCGTAACGCATCGGCGAACCGGCTAATATAAGCATTGACATGGTAGGTCGGGAGAGGAAATAGTCGAAGGAACACGTCGTGGCCAACCTTTTAAGTGGGCCATCGGGTTCGGTGGAAGAATGCCGACGAACGCCGTGGAGAAGGGTGTTTTACGCTGCTTTACCGCAGCTGCTCTAGCATATGCGTGGGTTCGCGTTACGGAGCTCTCCGATTACATTCTCGTTTTACTGTCATTGCCACGGGATAACCTTCCATTATGGACGTATCGGGAATTTGAATGAATCGACGATTCGGAGATGTTCTTGGACTGGTTCTTTGCTCGAGCGACCCCGGTGCTTTCTACACTGTGGGCGTGATAAAGATATAAAGAAACACGAATGGAATCAGGAACCAGTCGAAGTTCATACCAACACAATCCCATGGACTTCTCCGGGACTCAAAGAAGCCGATCCGACAGCGGCTATCATCCTTCCCTCTCCGATACCACCCGTCGTGTGCTTGAGGTACTCGAAAGTTATGGAATGCATGAGAAAAGCCATTCGATGCCAGAGCATCACGGTTGGCTGGGGAGAGCGACATTCGGTCCCATCATCGAAACACATGTCTCAGCAGGAAGGATAATTCCGATGGTGCTGCCCTCCTTTCCCTGGAAAAGCATCAACAGAGTGGACAAGGTCCTCGGGACGGAGCCAGATCTTGGGGAAGAGCTGGCTTTGGCAAGAATCAACGACCTCTGTCGAAGTGTACAACAAGTCCATGCTCCTGGAGCATTCATTGTCATCGCCACCGATGGCCTTTGTTACAATGGTATGCATCTGATCCGATCATTCTGGCAGAGCAACACTCAACATTGCAGATATTCTCGGTATACCTGACGAAGATGCCTGGAACTACGGATCCGCAATTCGAGCACTTGCAAGAGAGCGTGGGTATTCATGCATCAAGTTCTCTCGATTGATGAATCTGCTCGGACTCTACACCGAGCCGGAGATATCGAAGGAAAAGTACTTGGAGCTCTGTGAACCCGCTCGAAGACAGCTCGCCTCGACCTACGGCGACCCAAGTTTCGATGCCGACGCGTTTCTGAAGACTGATGAGGATTACATGCGCACCTACCTGGGTTACTCCAAGTTTTTGACCAAAGACTTGGCTTACAGTCCTGTCGTGGCCTCTCTTCCAAGCCGCAAGAAGTTCAAAGCACTCGTAAAGGTCATTGGAAAGGAAATGATTGCCGGGGGTGTTGTGAGTTGAATTGATATTTATTGAAACCAAGGAATCGCTAATTCATATTCAGGCATACGCAAAATTAATTCGTAGAGTTTATCCTGATTACGTCCGCCTCTCGATACACCCTTCTTCTGGCGCAACCAAGCTCTCCGTCCCTTTGATTCCGCAAACGAAGGGGTTTTCAATGTCTCCATGGAACTGTGCGATTGCCATTTCTACGTGTGGTGCATTCAAGACTGCTCACGTGTCGGACTTGCGAGACTCGCATGATTTGGTGTTTAAACACGGACGGCCCTATTGTTTCAGGGAGAGGACGCCACTGTTTGACTGGGATGCGAATGTCGAGATGGACCATCATTATGGTGGGGTCCTCGTAATCCGGAACTCCGATGGTGCGAAAAATGCCAAGTGTGAGCTCGGCGACGAGGACCGGAAACGGCTAGTGGCTCTGACACTGCTGCACAACCGGGTGGAGCTGGAAGGATTTTGATGCAGAGCATGCCGGTAGATATATATAATCGTCAACAGAAATCAATTTGTGAATACGCTGAGATTCCCTCTGCTCCAACTTTCTATCACCACCCACAATGACATTTGAAGAGCCTGCTCGGGACATTGTTCCAGACGTCATTGACATCCTGCGGCGCTTTTCTCACCATGTAACTGATGATCCATCTCGTGAGCCAGCAGTTTTTGGTAGCTCTACACGAGAGAAACTTCGCTCCTTCATTTCCCAGGCAAAGCCAATCATCTTAGTCCTCCCGGCATTTCCCTGGAAGAATAGGAACCTGGACAAGGTCATCGGCCGACACCCAGATCTCGGCGAGGAACTCGGCCTGGCGCGCCTCAACCATGTCTGTGAAGAAATTCGGAAGGTTTACGTACACGGCGCATTACTGCATCTGATTGCGGATGGCCCCGTGTACAATGGTAAGCCTGCACCAAGAGACGCCCTTAAATGTCACTCTCTGCTAAGAAACGTACATTTAAAAGATCTCCTTGGAATTCCGGATGCGGAATACTACGCATATGGGCTGCAACTTCGAGCTCTGGCGGACAAAAAGGGCTTCGGGAGTATCCACTTTCTGCGGTTGCCGGATTTGCTCCAAGATGGAAACAGCGATGAACTCTCCACCGACGACTACCTTTCCTCTGTTCCCTCGTGGCGCGCCCGCTTGGAAGCAGATTTCCTTGATGTTAACTTTGACGTTGACCAGGAAGTATTGAAGAACGAAGACACACGCCTTACGTACCAGGGATATGTCCGGTTGGCAGAGGAAGATCTGAAATGGGGCGTCCAGTTTGGTGGGAAGAATGTGGAGCACACGGACGCATACACTGCGGCTGCTCAAGACGTAGCCAAGGATATGATCCGACGATTAATCGTACGTTGCAAGCCCCTGTTTTCACCGAACGTATACTTAAATTACTTAGGCATATGAAGCCTTGATCAGCAGGAAGTATGAACAGGCAATACGACTGTCTATTCATCCGTCGACAGGGAAGAGTAAGGTGTCTATTCCACTGCTTCCACAGGACGGAAAATCAAGAGGCACTCCATGGCATTCCAGCGTTGCTGTTTTGGCAGATGGAAGAGTTCTCACAGGTTTCTCTAAAGACTTTCGAGAGGTGTACGACTTGGTAGTACAGGACGGGGTGCCGTATTTCTTTCGCGAGAAGAGTGACCTTTTCAAACTTGACGCTGACGTTGATATCGGATATGAGTATGAGGGGCTTGTGCTGGCAGGAAACCCCACAGCCACTCCTCAACTGACCGAGAGTGACAAAGGGAAACTGGCAGAGCTCATTATCCGGTTTCGAAAGGTACGGACATTGGGGTTCAAGTCAGCACAGCATGAGTAATTTATTAATTCTTTCAAGCCTTTGAATGAGCACCTTTTTTTTTAGCTTAATACATTCACATGCGTGCAGCGCTTTAGTCCTAGGCAGCTTTGAGTCTGTGGAATATACTCGGACATTAATTAAACTTCTGAATGAGTATGAGCAGAACGATATACAACTCCACACGCCTTACCGAATACACCACTGTATTCCCTTAATCAAAAAACCAACTGGTATAGGACCACTACTCTGTTCCATGAAGCGAACGAAGTCAAATGTTCCTGCTGCCCTCCTCTCCGACCAGCGTTCATCTACCACTCGTGAGACTCTCCCGAAGTCAACACAGAGCCGCGGCTCGGAAGGAGCGTCGACCGACAAAGTGACAAAAGCAGCGGCCGAGGACATATCAGCACGGTCCTCGACTCCAAGTATCAGAGCATTCCCGCCACTGCGGCGCAGGGAAGGTTGCACAGACTCTAATGCACCCAAACTTCCGACCTCTTTGACAATCAAAAGACCGTTGATGGGCGCAGCCGCTTGCACCAATCGATCTCCAGCGCTCAGCGTTGTTTCATCGGTGAGTACCATCTCTTGCTCGTCAGGGATAATGATGCCGTCCAGCGTCAGCTCTAGTCCAGCGGGTGTCAGCACTCCCTGCGCCATCCGGTGCGTAGAAAAGCAAGACCCCAGGAATGACCGCGGAGCCCATGTGAAGTTAGAAATTGATAGCCGCGGTGTAGGCGAGAATAGAATGTTTGACGGAATCTCGCGCATGCAACGCAGAAGCTGTACCATGCGGGCGTCGGCAAGAGTATCTTCGCTCATCCCGCTGCCGACACCGCCAACCTCAAGCATGGGCCCAGGGTCCAGATCCAGCAAGCTTGCAATGCACAGTGTCTCATCGGATCTGCGGCTTGTTGACCGATGGGCTAGTGCTCCGAAGATTGATTCAAGTTTCATCGTGGCAGTTTCATCCGGCCTCCGCAAGGTTTCCATGAAGTAGCAGGCCTGGTTGCTAACCATGCTTCCTCTCTCGGATACTTGTTTGGCCGCCGTGCATTGAAGAAGACGAAAGACATCGTCCAGATCGAGCATACTCAGATACGATCCATCGCCTCCGAAGATGATGTAAACCCGTTTCGCCAACAGACTTTCTTGTAACGTCCAGAGCCGGCCGCTCCAAGGAGATGATAGTATTTGCGCAAACACCAAAAAGGCACCGGGGTCCATTGGATTGAGGCACACCTCCGCGATAGGAGTTCTCATAAGCGTCGTGTCAATGACCAGGGAAAGCTGTGCGTCCTGGTAGGTTTGACGCATACGCCTGATTGCATGCTTCCGCAGTTCTTTCGCGTCTGGCTGCACAGGCACGCAAAGCGTATCCATCCAAAACCACCGGTTGTCTTGAGAACCTTTTGTAGTTATGGGAGGATTGCTTTCATCCCATGAATCTGTCACAACGTGTTTGCTGGCCATGTTGACGAGTTGTTGGATTCTCTTGAGTTGGCACTCGGGGAGCGTGTTTTCATTAGGATTGCCCAATCCTTGTGACCAAACCTGTATACCCATAAGTAAAAAAACTTAGAAAGCGCAGTATAATTGCGTTTCAGGACATAAACTATAATCAGCACTTACGTGTGAAATTGCAGTATAACGGCGATCAGGTGAGGCCTGTTTGACCTCCAAGTCCCAGGCCTCTAGACCGTGCTCAGCATCTCTCGGAACCAAACGACAAACTGGAATTCTGCCGCTTTGCAATATCAACTCGACGGCTCCAGGCGACGGGTATACATTCGAACAGTAACACTCGCAGTCAAGATGTCGAATTTCATAGCTGTTCTGGTCAACTTGTAACAAGTTGCATACTTTCTCGGTACAGAGAGAGTGGTTGGTGGGCTTTGACGTCATTCCAAAAAGCTGCATGAAGCGTTCAATCCGAGCCTCTCGATCGTCTCTGAGTATGATTTCTCGCCAGTGAGTGTAGACAGCGTAGCGAAGATCGCCGTGGTTGCTCCAAGTCACCATCTTGCTAACAACTGACGGACACCACCCGACTTCAATCATGGATTTGTTGAACTCGTTGTCGATATCGGTCGTATCACAGCGCATGGCTCCAAACTTAGGAGGCTCACGGCCCGGCAGACGTCGGAAGATATCGCGACAGACCGTTAGGAGTGCAGAGAAACAGTGCTCGATAGACAATGTGACCGGAAATGCGACATATCGTATATCGTCGGCAATTTGCGGATCATCTCTAGGTTGACTGTAAAGGTGGTGGCAGTGCAGTGAGAAGCTCTCTGTGACGTGATCAAAGATTGAGGACAGTTGATTCTCGAGGGAGTCTTGCTCCGCAGTAGTGAGCTCATCAACGACTGCGCGCCTGAAACCCTGGAAGTACTTGGGCAGCGCCTTCGTGCACAGTCGGGGATCGTCGGCTGGACGCCCAGTGCGATCTATGAAATCCTCAACCACAAACTCGATCCCAGCGATTTTTAGGACCGTCGTATATAGCCCAACGAAGAGCCACTGTTGTAGGCAACGGGCGAGGGTAACCGGATCGGGTGAGAGAAAGTTATGCCGGCCTGGCAAAATCAGGGTAACTGTCGATCCCGGCTCCATGCGTGGGCTGAAGCGAGAATTCCACCGGTTTGGATATCCGAAAAAATCGCCGCCATCGAAGTCGTCACCTTCAAGGTACTGAACGCCGATTCTGGTGCTGCCCGTGTATGGTATGTGATCCATGGAAGCAGTTCTTGTGATGCAATAGACTGTGCAGCTTGGAAAATAGGGTCGAGTTGCGGACCAAAGGAAATATGTAAACCACGACGAGGTGACTGCTATATAATGCCGGGGGGTAAGCCTGGCATGCGTAATGACGTCGGATAAGCACAACTATTACCTGCTTTTAAGTCGAGCCTATCACGAACGACCACGTGATTAGGTTGGGGGCGAAAACCATAGATAATCCTCTCATCGTAACACATTCAATGCGAAATACAGTCTCCCCTTTCAAATGGAAAATACACGTCCTGAGGTCAGCTCATTTCAATTTTAAGCAATCCTGTCTACCACCGCACCATGAACCCGGCGAAGCCGATCCTGCTGCTTGCAGCCGCAACCAACGTCCTATTCTCAAACAACCAGGCGCGAGGCAAAGGGACCGTGCTACGGTTGTTGGAGCCAATTGCTAGCATGCGCCAGAGAGCGGCAATAGAGTCTTGGTGCACGCTCTATCGAATGAAAGATGCGAGCATCTCGCGCTTCTGGCAGAGCAGTACTGACTGGTGACGGGTAAGCCGTTGCCGGTGCGGGCCATCGTGGTTGACTCAGCTCCAGGGCAGTCACGATTCAAGTACGCGTTCGCGGTGATGAGCATGGCGCTGCCAAAAATACGGCTTCAGCGGCCAACGCTTACCACGATGGATGCAAAAGGCTTTACCGTTCTGATTCAGGAAACTCTTGAAGAGATAAGAGTGCGGTCAATAATTGTTTAATATTCGTCGAATTATTCAGCGCGCAAAAGGATGTATTGACAAGGCTCCTCTGCGCTCTGCTCGAAGCTATTTGTTGGATCGTTGTCACGAGCGCACCTTTCGGCGATCCGTGTCCTTGACTTGGTGTTGCTAAGGGGAGCGGATCCAAACTTTGATTTCCTCTTGCTGGTCAAACCTAGCGTAGTATTCAGGCGCCTCCTCAATAGAGATTTCGGACGTGGTGATAAAGTGAGGGCTCGCCCGGCTGCTGGAGATGAGGTCCACAAGCTGTCTGGCTAATGGCTTCGGATCGACAACACCGGCCCGGAAGCCCAGGTTCTTCATGAAGAAGTCGGAGAGAGGGAGGCTGATGCTATTGTTCATGGGCTGAGCTTCAGTGCCGTTCGTCTCGAACCAGAGCCCGACCTGCCCCATGACACCCTGCGGAGCCGTCACCGCGATCATGTTCCGCACCACAATGTCCTGCTCGATGTTCCCCTGGGCGTTGACCGCCTCGTAGCCCACGCAGTCGACGGATCGAATAACGCCCTGTAGCTCGTATGCGAGAATCTGCTCGACCGGGTCGGCTTCGTAGAAGTTGATCGGGATAGCGCCTATCGAAGTAGCGCGTTCGAGGCGTATAGGTACGCGGTCGACTGAGTACACCTTAGAAGCGCCCCGCAAGATGGCAGAATATGCAGCGAGCAGGCCGACCGGGCCCGCGATTTCTTTCACTCGTTTCGGACGGAATTTGCGAGGGATTAGTCGAGAGACTCTGCCTGGAATCAAGTTAGCATTGGTCGTCACCCAAGACATGTGTCCTATATAACGCAACGCCATCAGTGGTGAATTGAAAGCAAAGCTCTACGTTTTCCACCAGTCAAAATACCTTGGAGGAAACGGCGAACGCTGCTGCATTTACACTGTCTCCTGGACGTGGCACCACGGAGGCATCCAAGGAAAACAAAGATGCTTATCTGTTCGCACGAGGCTGTGGCAGTTTGATCAGCCTCCAAGCTCGTGTGGACGACAGCCACCCAACCAAGCAACGTCTTCGCGCAGCTTCATTGTCACACTGTGAGAGCACATTTCTGTCCGAACTGCGGGGCGACTACACCCCGCTGAAGGTAACGGCTGGGTTGGCAAATAATAGCATTGTTGCAAAGGTCTGTGTCTCTCAGGCTTACGAGTAGCTAGGCTTACGAGTAATGATTGGGCGCTTAATCCTAGGTGTGAGTAAGCCCCTGCGTTGTACCTTTTTGTCAGCATGTGATAGGTGAATGGCTGTAACAGCAGTTAAACACGCTGCTGCAGCTTCAGCCAATACCTCGGTTAGTGCTCCCACCTACACAGCCTCGATCCATCCCGACTGTGTCCTCTTCAGAGCTGCAAGCCCAAAGCATACAATCGAAACACGTGTCAGAGCCAGGGAGCACACTGAAGACTCCACTAACATGGAAAAAGGCAGCATGTGACAATCCTGGGCAACACGATTTCCGGACAGCAGTTTCAGGATGCATTTCAAACTGTATCCAGAGGTTTCAAATTTGCGTAGCGGTAAAGCAATGAGGGACATCGGCTCCACTAGGCGTTCGGCATACAATTAAATATCTCAGGCGGGCGGCCGTGCTGGGGAGAGAAGGTGTCGTCGGCTTAGTGTGTTGAGGAAGAAGCGTGGGAGAGCTGGTGGAGCTGGGGACGTTCGGAGGCAGCGACCCTTGGCGCGTGTTGTGAGGGCAAGGGCCCGCGCTCGCTCTTGCGCTGAAGCTGCTGGCATGAATGCAAACTTACCGGAGGGATTGTTACTCCATCCTCGGGTGAAAATCTCTCCGTGAACTCGTAATTGACTCTGAGTCGTATTTCGCTGCCGTGATTAGTGAGCAAAATCCCTCTTCTCGGCCCACATCAAATCACGTTTCGGTCTATTCGAAGACGCGAACATCGAGGTGATTTGTTATGATTTGACTGTTTTCTTGCATGTGTTTCTGGAAATGAGCCTACAGACTTATCAGTGCTATTCGATTGGTTTCTAAAGATACGACAAAGGACGGTCGCAAATATCTTGTCTTAAGATAACAACTCCTAACCTCCTGAATCACATTATCATTTACAACTTTGCTATCTTTCCGTGATCTGAAATAATGGCCTTTGTAATGTCAATAGAAAATAGTAGTGCCGTATGTCTCTCCATCCATTTGGGGTGGGGTCTGGCGTGATCCAAAATGCCGTCGGCTTCGCTCGAGGCCGAAGGAAACTAGTCCTCGGGTCTACGGTATGATTGCTAGCCGGACTTGCGTCATCGCCTAGTGCAACTCAAATTAGCAACGCGCCATGTTTTTACCGAGGCTAGCGTTGCCTGCGGAGTGTCGCTGGAGCTACTACGACGAAACCCTGAGTGCGTACCTAAGATCCGGGAAGCCTCTTCCACGGGTATATTATTAATTGTAGCCGAGGATGTTTGAATGATCAAATATAATTTCTAATCGGATTATAAAAGATTTCTGGAGAATTCTACTGGTTTTGCTGGCGCGCAGATACATAAGACTCTTATTATTTGGAGAGCCTTTTGCTAATTGTTTAAGCCAAGCCTAGGCCTCTACTCTTACTGATAAAGCATCTTCATATCTGTCGAGTAAGTTCTGTTCTATCGTACTGTTCTAGCACTACTAAGGCTTGTAGTCTCGTCTCGTCTCGTTGAAAATGGCAGAGATCTCAGCCGACTTCCCCTTTACCAAACAACATGTTCCAGTGCTGGATACCACAATGGCCTACGTCGATACGGGCCTACCGACCAATACTGCACCCACCGTCATCTTCCTCCATGGCAACCCCACGTCCTCTTACATCTACCGCAACATCGTCCCACACGTCTCTCCTATAGCCCGCTGCATCGTTCCCGATCTCGTTGGCTTTGGTGATTCGGGGAAGATGCCGTCAAATGCATACTACGTCCGCGATCACATTCGGTATTTCGCCGCTTTCATGGACGCCGTGGTTCCAAAGAAGGAAACCGACAAGCTCTTCTTCGTGCTTCACGACTGGGGGTCCGCAATCGGCCTCGACTGGGGCCGCAAGAATCCCACGCGTGTCGAGGGCGTGGCATTCATGGAATACGTGTACGAAGCGCGACGGGAAGATCTCTTGCCCGAGCTTCGAGAGACCTTCGAGAAGTTCCGCACCGAGGGCGTCGGACGCCAACTGATCATCGAGGAGAACATGTTCATCGAGGGTGTGCTGGGCCAGTTTGGCACCGCGAGGGGATTGACCGAAGCCGAGATGCAGCACTATCGCCGGCCGTTTCTGAAGAAAGAAGATCGCGAGCCGATGTATCGGTTCCCAAACGAGATTCCGGTTGATGGGCAGCCAGAAGATGTGGCTGAGTTAGTAAAGGCGTATTGGGCGTGGTTAAGGGAAAGTGATGTTCCAAAGTTGCTGTTTTGGGGGGAGCCGGGAGCTGGGGTGCCCCTGGAACAGGTCAGAGAGGTTGAAAGGGACTTGGGAAATTTGAGGTCTGTTAACATCGGGCCTGGAACACACTATTTGCAGGAAGATAATCCTCATCTTATTGGAGAGGAGACGAGGAAATTTTTGGAGGAGGTCTTGGAACGGAAATAGCCACGTAACCGGTTAGGGAAGGACGAATGACCGAGGGGTTAATTAGGTAATCCTTAGCATTGTCGAAAGTGTTCAAAGGATCCTTGTGAAGCACTCACGTGTAGCCGGACATAATTGTTAAAAGTAGGGCTAAGTACGGCTCACGGACTACGGCTCACGGTAGTTCTACGTGGAAAATCTCTTCCGCAATAGAAGAGTAAGTTAATGCGTTTAGACTTCTATCTTAGGGCCCTCTCGCTCTGCCTGCTTTTTGTGCTTCAGGAAAACAATTACACCCATGGTACAAAGGGCAAGGCCCGCGACCCTTCCCCTATAGCAATTCCAGCAATAGCGCCACCGCTCAGGGAGGAGGAACCTGGTGTTGGATCCAGGGTAGAGGCTCCAGGTGTCATCTCCGAAGCCGGTGCACCGGATGTGTCCCAAGAGCCACAATACCCGTAGTAAATTGGTATACTTGTGGGCTCTATGCTGTCACAGGAGAACGAAATGTATTCAGAAGTGTCCTCTCCGCAGCGCTACAAAGAATTCATGACAACCCTACTTAGCGCCAATGTTGCTTCCATCCAGCAATACTTGTGAAATTCGCATCAACTACTGATGAAAACGGCGAGCCTAACATTTACTATACGGCCATGTCAGTTGCGGAACAACCCCCCTCGAGAAGCCTTCCGGCATGCCAACTCTTGCAGTTCAAACCTCGAAGCGAAGTATGCACCCGCCACTTTGTCCTTTCCCACAGATTCCTATCTTCAGTTCCCAGAGACGACCGCGAACATCCAGAAGCGCCAGGAATGCATAATCACGTCAGCGCCATCCACTGCTGCATCCGGTTCGGCGACCATAACATCAGCTCCGTCAATTCTAGACAGTAGTGCCGCCAGCGCCAGTGCCTCAGCGTCTGGCGCCTCAGCATCCGCAGCCTCAGCATCCGCCGCTTCAGCATCTGCCGCATCAGCATCTGCCGCATCTGCTTCAGCCGCCTCTGCTTCTGCTGTCTCTGCTTCCGCCGCCTCCGCATCAGCCGCCTCCGCCTCCGCCGCCGCAGCCAGCGCCAGCGCCGCCGCCGCAATCGCAAACAAGGCCAACTGCTACCTATGGGACGACGCCTCACTCGCGTACGCGATCCAAGTGACACCCATCGATGGATGGACGACAGGCAGCAACGGCAAATCACTGAAGAACGAGGAGAAGGGGTGCGGGGCGCTGATGTTCTGGCACTGGGGCACGTGGTCGAAGGGCACGCAGTGGGCGACGTTCGAGCTGCCCACCTGGATCAAGGCCGGGTGCGTGGAGCGCGCGATCGCGAGCGCGGGCGGGCCGAGCGGGCTGAAGTGCCGTGGGATGGGGTGGTTTCATGGGAGGTATCTGCGGGAGGATGGGACGATTAGGGGTGGCGGGACCGGGGGTGAGGATGGTGTGCTGGCGCAAGGTGAGGCGGAGGCGACGGCGTCGCTGTTGCCGCTTGCGGTGCCTGGGGCGCCTTGAGAGTACTGGCACATCTGTGGGGATACATGAGGATAGGGTTTGGATCGACTACATGTCGTAGCTACTGAAGCGAGTATATAAAGAGTATGGCGAGGAAAGAGTACCACTACCCACACGTGTGAGAGGCGAAGCTAACAGGAGAATGAGAAGATGTCGGCGAAGAAGACTAAATTTGAGATGCAGTTTGAGAATAAGAGTGGGAACGAGGCTGAGCACCTAGCTGAAGCAAGCGCTGAGTCGGCTGCGAGACTTGATAAAGCCCCGGGATTGCTTGCAGCCGGGAGTGGCGTTTCGTGTATAGCGTAACATGAGCTTTTTCGTTCCATACAGCTGCCCAAAGCTGAGCCAGTGCGTATAGTCATTGGGATTTGGGCGGAAAGAGTAGTTCGTAGTCCTTCTGTAGTGGTTGAATAACATCGTTGAAGAAACGTTTCCGAAAGCCGTCATTGGAAAGCTCATAGTCGTACGTGTCCGAATTGGGGTGTAGGCATTTAGCAACAGCATTTGCATACCTAGGCGTCTCATTTGTTTGAATCTCTCTGGTCAACCGCTCGGCAATAAGGTATTTCGTCCAGAAATCGCCTTTCTCCACATCCTCTGGAGTCTGTAATGACGAAAGCGTTGCGCTGTACGCAAGTTCTAATAGGGCGATTCCGAGAGCGTATAGAGTTTCATTTTTGACCAGAGGAATATTCTTCACCGCGTAGTCGTCTCGAGTGCGGACTTCAGAGTCAAATACCTCTGTTACGTAGATTGCGGACGTTTCCTCGCTATGAAAGTATATGTCTCCAAGATTCCAATTTCTGCCGAGCCAGGGAGTGTCGTGAAGCTGTAATACCGCCGAGGCAAGCGTCAAGGCAAGTGTATACCTGTATTCTCAATATGTAAGCAACATCCATATGGTGCAATCCGATCAACTCACCTCTCCTTTGTACTCAAGCTGGCTCTGTTCTTTCGGCGGAACACTTCTTGAAGTGGGAGAAGAGTCTTGGCTACGGGGGACTGCGTGTCGTGTATATGATAGCACCAGTCCTGGATTCTGAGGAATCCAAGACACTCTGTTGGCTGGTGCTGAGAGAGGGAGCCACACAAATCGTCAATCTCACGGGTGTGACTGCAGGCGTGGTGCTGCAATTCGCTCTTTTGCGCAACAAGGATATCTGGGGCGGCAAATTGCGGTTTCCTCTTCGCTTTGCCGAGCGGAGGCGATGGTGGAAAGGTATCCATCCTGTGTGTCTTACGATCAGACTAAACACGTAATGCACGGCCTTGGCGAGATGTAGAAAGAGATGTAGCAATTCGGAGTGGACAGATGACAGGTCATGCAAAGGGAAGCGAAAGGGACGCGCTTACGATGGGGGTAGGGCTGGCGCCCAGACAACGGTTACATCTCGCCAGCATAAATCTCTCAAGTTCTGCGATCTGCCATGATCGAGCGAGAAGGAGAGGTTGAGCTTCTGATTGGTATCGGTACTTCCAGGAGTATTCAGCCGGAGTTTGGCACGATGGGTATGTGATGGACAGGGATGATGCCACTGTGTGTGCAAAGTCCGATGGATGCGGTGGGCGTGGCCGCGGGTGGCGCACCACTGAGAGAGCGGGAAACGACCATGTCGGTCGCTCTCCAGGCTGAGGGCGCCGTGTATCAAGTCGTGAAGCTGGCGGACGTCGCTGTAGATTTCGGCGCAATTCCGCTGGTGCTTTGCGGCATTGAATCCACCGGCAATTCGGTAGCGCCAGGACGCGAAGAACTCTTTTCGACGCTCCTCGTCAGCAACATTGTCTTGCATGAATGGTGGCTGTGGATGCGCCCGTCAGCATGCATCCGATACCCACACCGCTCTGCTCACCGTCAGATCATCCTGCAGCCTCAGCTTTCTAGCCATCAGAGCGAGTCTCTTCTGCACACGTTGCAAAGCCTTGTGGAACGTGCCAAAATCCTCGTTCCCAAGGCGCCGACGCAAGGCCTCAGCCAGGTCACTGCTTTCCCAGCCTATGTTGTGTTCGACCAAGTCTCGAAACTGCGCGTCTGGAAGTGCTAGCCCCCTTAGGAGCAGTTCGCACGTCTGCCTGAAAAGTGACATGCTGACCATGAGCTGCACTTGAAGGTCGAGGAACACGTTCTCGTATTTGACCATCGCTTTGATTGTCGACACCTGCAGCCGATGAGGTCAGCCACGGTGGCAGTCAATGAGATCCTGCGTTACTTACGCCGTCAGCATATTGGCCAAGTGCGGCGGTAGCCAAGGGAATGCTCCCCAGGACAACCCCGACAATCTCCAGGCCAGACATTTCAAGTTGTTGTTTGTTGGCACGGCTACCCCGCTTCGATGCCACCTGTCGCCTTGTCTTGGCATTAAGCAGAGTGGGGCCTTAATTACGACAGCCGATATCTCGCGATAAGAGCCTGAACAGCAGAGCAACAACGGAGCCTCAAGCATATTTTCCCCTCTACGGAGAGCCATGTCGCTCGCAGAGCATCACGTAGCTTGCTACGAGGCATTCCAGAGAGCCTGTGCTATCTCAGACGGCGGCGAACCTTCCGAATTGCCAGATCAGTTCGACAGATACAAGCTGTGGGCAGGCAACGTCGGTGCTGCTCATTCTGGCCACACATATACACTATCCTTGGACTACAGACTCAGAGAGGCATCATTCTACAAAGAACAAGTGACCCGGCTTCTCGTCATCCTTTGCCGTCATCTTAACAAAGCAGCTCAACTCCTGAATGGAGAGAGGACTCCTTTCGAGGCATTTCCGTCGGACAGGAGGCTAGACAACGCTGATTTCTCACCTAACGGGGCAATAATTCCCTCCCCCGAAGCGGACGACTCTTCTTGGGAAATCTCGTCTGACTCTGAATCAGACGCATCGTTCCATCCACCTCCTCAGCGGTACCAATCGAGCCAACCGGCTACTAGTGAAGAGGACACAGAGCTACTCGCCGATTCTACATCCAGTGAAGGCTTGCAAGAACTCCCTCAAACTTTGGAATCAATCAAGTTGACGGTTGCGAGTCTCTTCAAATTACCAATCCGCAGGCCAGCTCCGGTGGATAGGCTGAATGACCGAGCCACAGATGAAACATCATGCTTTCAGCCGTTCGACGCCATGTATATCAAAGACAAATTCCAAGGTCTGGAGGAGCAATTAGCGACGCGTCTGGGGAGCATGATCACCCAGCGTCGGCAGCTTCTCCTCTATCGCAAACGGCACTGGCAGCACCTTCGCACAGATTGCACAGAGGGAAGCTCCCCTTTCCATCATCACCATGCAAATGAGGAACATGGCGGCCCCCAACGGGCTATTGGAAATGGGGATGATACTGGCAGCGCCATGCGGTCTTCGACTGGAGAGGAAAGCCGTCATGATAGAAGCCGCATTATGACAACCTCCAAAGCCACGACGCTGAACATCAAAACTGGACCACGGCTACATCTAGATCATCTAGAACATCTTTCCGTAGCACCCATCGGCCAATCAGTGACGGAGACTTCAATTCAAGCAAGCGAACATACACGTCAGCTTCGGCTGAATGTGCCGCCAAGACCAAAGGATCCATTTGGAGCCTCAAAAGAGTGTTTTCAGTGCCCATATTGCCACTTAGTGCAAGTGATCTCGTCAGAGCGTACATGGAGGTGAGCTTAAACTGTGTATACAGTGGAACTGCCCAGTGCAATGTTCTAGAAAGCAGTTGCTAACCTTGTTTTGTAGAAAACACGTTATAGCAGATCTCCAACCATACGTCTGCACCTTCCTGCACTGCAACCTTTCGGACCATTTCTTCGAAAGTCGGGAGGCATGGTATGAACATGAAACCGAGAATCACCGGGTGGAACTCTTCTGCAACACTGCTGGCCACCCCTCATACACACACCAGCCCGATTTTGAAGAGCATATCCGGATGCATCATGGTGCTGACATGGCTGCAAAACTTCCAGCGTCGCTTTTTGGCATGTTTAAGAGGCCTCTGAGAGCTTCCGAAATGACGTGCAACCTGTGTTTCAGAAAGACCAAAAGTCTCAAGAGTCACGTCGCGCGGCATTTGGAACAAATCTCCTTGTTCGCTGTGCCGAGGGCAGATTACTCCAACAGCGATGAAGACCTCAACCAAGGCTCAAATGTGGCTCAAGACAATGCTCAAGAGTCTGACATAGATGATCTGGACGTCGACGATCCGCAAATACGAAGTACTTGGGACACAGACAGCCAAGCATCCCAGTTGGACGAGGCACCTCCACCAGGCAAGGGTACTGAACACGTAATGCCAGGATGGGAGAGCTTGGAGTTGGAGCAGCCTGAAGTCCCTGACACTGAAGGAGTTATTTGGGATACTGTGACAGACAAATTTGCCCAAGCAAGAAGTGGACTTGCGGAGGCCGCACCGCCAGGATTGGTTCCTGCTGGGGCTGATCAGAAGCTTTCGAGCAATCTCAACGGTCAGCCAACTCCCAGGACCAGATTTCAAGAAGCCATAAAAGCAATCATTGCGCTTCATCGTCACCGCAAGATGAAACGTACGAGGGGTGGACTCCAAATGGCCAACATGATTATCATTGACGCAACAGCTGGTCACCCGTCACAAAAGGAATCAGTGGAACGCATGAATGAACTCGCAATAATGTTCGCGCAAAGGTTCGCGGACTACCGGCCAATTTTGAGGGTTGTCGACAAGGATACAGGGATCCTTCGACTTGAAGCAGTCGAGGAAGCCATTCAAGATGTCTTGTCCCATCACGGACCCGAGAGTATGCTAGGGATATTTATCATGGGCCCACCTGAAGCTGCGGTCGAAGTGATGCAAACTTCAAACACACGCAGGTCGCTCGCAGAAATCCTTTTCAAATTCATCTGCAGAGAGGTAGAAGGCAAAGGCGCCAACATAGTTGTTCACTTCGATTCCGGCAACCCCTGGGCCGATCCAACAGCCGCTGCAGAGCCGATATTCAAGATGGAAGCCGATGCAACTAAGGGCTTGGACGAAGCGGAATGGACCTTCCCCGTGCTTGTTGCTTGTAGGCCAGATAGCAGCACTCCCATGTCTCAAGCAGCTCCTTTCACCGCCTCGGCTGTGTCAGCCATTTTCAAATTGATTGAGAAAGGTCGAACCTACATGCTACGAGATTTTCTCGACGCCACGTTTGCCGAGTTGCCTAAAGGCCAGAAGATAATCTGGCTTGGGCCGGACAGAGAGCACTTAGCATACACGGTCCAGTTCACTCCCCGCACGATACGCACCGCCTCCATGAACCTTCCTTCTTCCCGATCCGCCCATATCACAATTCTTCTGGTCAATTTGGCTTGTACGGTATGGCTTCTTGCCTTATACCGACGACGATTATCCAGATACACCCCTCTCTCTCGTCTGATGACAACTGAGCCAATCGGCGAGACCGCCAATGCCTCACCGGCAATACTTGCGTTCCAAAAGTGGAAGCTCATATCACGCATCCGACGCCTTAAAGAGAGGCTGCTTCAGACACGCGTTCTCTTCTTCTGGCGAATGAGCCTGGCAAACGGGTCAGCAAGTGACACCAGAGTGCCAGGTGTAGGAGCGGCCGATGGAAGCTATAGCGGCGAGGGCAAGGCATCTTACTATCCACAGGGTAGAAACAGTACTGCTTCGCGTGCTGATGTTGATTTCACAGTTCCGTTGGCAGAAAAGGCTGTTGCTAGGGTCGTTGAACAGGGTTTCTCAACATCCGAGGCTGAGTTCGCGTTGGTACACACACGCTCCCAAGATGGACAGATTAGCGTTGAGCGCGCTTTGGAATTTCTCAATGGCCTTTCTTAGTAGAGAATAGCCGTCTGGATCCTGGTTCTATGTATTCGGGTCAAGTAAATGTAGTTGTCAGGCACGGGTGATACGTGTTGAATTTTATGTGTTATGCGAGAACCACCCCAACGTAATTAAACTCTACGCTTGGTCATATGAAGTTGGAGATTTCCACAGACAGTTGATTCCTGTCATGGAATTAGCCTGCACGGATTATGCAACATTCGTTCAGGCATTCGACAACTCAGTGTGATTGACGGAGTGAGAATACTCCTCGGCGTTGCTTTCGGACTCGATACTCTTCACAACTGTGGCCTCATCCACGGCGACCTCAACCCCGAGAGCATCCTGCTGATTCCAGACAATGCAGCTCGAGTTCTAATGCTAATGAGTTTCGGGCTATCGATGGACGGAACAGGTGCAGAAATTCATCTTAGGAGCCACGTAGCCCAGAATACTCTCCGTTATCTCCCATTGGAACAGATGTTATGGTAAAGCGGCAGATTAGCGCCGACAGCCTCGACGGAAAATCAGACCGGTTTAATGAATTGCAAGATAAAAACTAGAGGAACGATCAGGAAATCGTAATAGTATTCAAGATACAATATTGTAAGAGCAAAACAAAGATTAGATAAACTCTAAACCGAAATAATAAAGCCGAAGCATCGTGAAAAGAAACACTTCCATAGCAGAGAAAGGAAGTTGTCCGCAGTTCCCTCTTATCAGCGGTATTCTATTGGATAGGCAAGCCGTCAATCCGACCCGTTGCAAGCCGATGATCTGAGGCGGCTCGGCTTAATCGGCTTCATCGGAGGTCTACCTGGCTTCATTCTTTCCCGGATCTCATAGAGAACTCTCAGATGTCCCATGTTCAGATTCTCGCCTTCTGATGCGGCGAGTACCTTCCCTGTCTTCACCATGTTCTTGATCTCACGGCCATTCAGCCTCCATGTTGCCAACTCCGACAACTCGTCGTCACTAACGTCAATCTGCCCTCTGGACATGTCCTTAAGGAATGCTTTCCAAATTGATCGCGCGGAGTGAGCGTCAAGGTCTTTGAAGGGTAGGATGAAGTCGATGCGTGATCGAAAGGCGGGATCGATGTCATCGTATCGGTTGCTGGTCAAGAAGAGGATGCCTTGGTAGTATTCCAAACGTCGAAGGAAAACTACAACCAGGTCAGCTTATTACACTGTCACCACCCCATATATCCTAATTACTCACTAGAAACCATCTCGTTTTGGGCCAAATTGGATGCAGATCGTGCTTGAAGGAAAACATCGGCCTCGTCAATAAGACACGCAGCATTCCACATCTGGCAGCTTTGCAAGGCCTCTTTGAGCAGTTTCTCCTTTTCAGATATATCTTTTCCCATATTGCTTGCACTGACAGAGTACAATGGAACATGAGAAAGATCTGCAACTGCAGGATTTCAGCATTTCTCAAACACTTTGCCACGATTCAAAGCTTACGCGATTCAGCAGCGAGTGTCTTGCCAACTCCTGGCGGACCACACAATAATATGATCACACCTTTGCCTAATGCATCTATGAGTACTTTCTTACGCAGAGCCAAATCAAATTTGCAAATCGGTTCAGCGTACCCTTTTTAGTGATGAAGTCATCAAACCCTGCCGTCTGAAGATGCGTTCGCATAGCGAAAGCTCTTAGGATCTTCTTCTCGCAATCTGGCATAACCAAACGGCTAAAGGCACCATCATTCCATTCGAAGTCTTGAATGCCATCTATGTTAAACTCACCTTAGACTATATCAGCAGGGTTTTGTTCAAAAGCCACTAAGAACTTACACCATTGATTGTCTTTAAGGTCGTAACCCTTGACTCGAGTAACGGCAATGAGGCATTGATCATCAGAGAGAGACTGGATGCGTTCTACACGAGGCTCACCCTCTGGTGTGAGGCCGAGAGACGGTTTCGCTTCGGTCGCCGTAGGTTCCTTATTGGCAGAGTTGAGCGGGTGTAGAAACGAGTTTGTTCCATAGGCAAATTTGTGATATGCCAAGGCATCGATGATGACACGATCAGATGTCTTGTACAGCAGAGTAAGCGACAATCAATCGAAGGTGAAACATGGAAAATGACATACTGGTTTGCTGATTTCTTTGGGGGCCTCCTGGATCATTCTATCCCAATCGAGTAGATGTCGTTGACCCTTGTAGAACTTGAAGTGGTATCCTCTCATCTGCTCGAATTTTCGGCCACGCACTAGAAGCCTGTGCTTAATTTCCCCCCTGTCGGGTAAGAATTTCAGAGGACAATGACGCAACTCGGTGATAGGCATCAATCCAGAGTAGTGGTAGATTCGCCAGGTGGATTCTTTGTAGCCGAAGTTCTCTCCATTCCAGTCCGTCGATCGCATGAAAAGGACCCAGAATCGGGGTCTATCGCTGTTTTTGGCACCCTTGGTGGGGTCAAAAATGTCCTGCAGGCGGTAAAGCCTCTCAACACCATTGAATTTGGAGTAAACTAATGCTCCGGGGACAAAAATCAACCACAAGTCAACCCAGGCGACAGTTCCAGTTTGGTCGTACGTCTTCAACTTGCCCATGGTGCCAGACAGAGTGGGTTTGAAAGCTTCAATGAGTAGTTCCATTTCCGCCTTCTTGACTGAGCTCCTTTCATCCTTGGCTGCAGTGAGAATTTGTGGCCATCTGTGGATCAATGGGTGAAAAGGAGGGTAGAAAACTAGTTCATCCGCGTTCAATTGGAGATTCGGGTAGCCAGCGAGTAGCTTTCGCAGTTCCGCTTTGAGTCGCGGACTCTGCACACAAATTGACTGTGTCTCCCAGGTGCTGCTACCGTTTAATCGCTTCTGACGGTGGACGATGGCGTAATGGTGACTCTTTCTTAACAATGCCTCCTCTTCGGCCTTATAACCACTGAACTCAGACCACCTTTGTTGGCAATAGCAGTCTTCACTAGTCATTAGGAAAAGCTGCTTTGTTTTGCTTGTTCCTCCGTAGAACGCTGATTTTCTGGCCCGCCGTATGTTTCTTGCAAGTGACCAGTCCTCGTTTGTCACGGAAGATGAAGTCCCGTCGGTTTCTTGAATTGCTGTGGCGATGTATGCTGGGTCATGGTCTGGACCTCCGCTCATCAAAAAGAAGTTCCTGAGCAATGGGTCGATGTCTTCAGGCAGTTCTTTGCGATCCATTTTGCGCCTGTCGACACGGGGCACAGCGCTCTCTTCGAAGAATTCATTAAGCCTTTCTCGTTACACGACATCCCCAAACTTCCTCTAGTGCTGACGGGCGCGAACAACACGTGCGTCTTGTTGTGGCCTGTTTCAGTGTCAGTATTTACCCCGCACTGACCCCCACTCAGCTGACGCTGATATACGCATTGGGTTATCTGTACACCACCGGCTTCCATTTTCAGCTGATTGCATGAAGTGTGAGGCGGAGGTCCGCGTGGCGCATGCAGTGTGCGGCAGGGGTCTGCTCAGCGCATGCATGGTCTATCCACACGGGGTTCATAGATTCATTCCCGATTGAACTCAGGTAGCCTTGCTGAATTCTAGACTGCTCATCGTACATGGATGCTTGCGTGTTCATCACGCGATAGAACTCGGCTATGCGTGTATGTCTTTCGTAATTTAGTGAAATAAATCCCGCAGCTCATATCCATTCAGCCGGATACGCCTGACCGTCTCCCAATTTCATGGCCTAATGTATACTACGACTCGGCCGTGTGTTCTCCCTTACACTTAGTTGGGGGATGGAGGCAGCAGAGCTTAAAATCCGATGTCGAAAGTACGTTACATCTAAGCTACTAGCGTTCACTACTAATGACTACATTATCCAGGTGGAAAGAACGTTCGCACCTATATCCAGCTTTTTAAACCACGAAGGTAGTATACTAGTAGGAAGGAAAAACGAGAAACACCAGGAAACTCAAAGGAGCTACGGATCGTTGGACCAGGATAGCTATGGACACAATCTACAGAGATCTTGGGGGTGGAAGCATAGAAATTCGGCTTGTGAAGGTCCAACCTGGAACGGACCTCTCGCCAATTGTCTGCAAGCTGGAAACCGTTTTTCTAAGGCACAACTTGGAATACGAAGCCCTATCGTACGTATGGGGAGATCCGGACGGTCCGAAGGTGACTATTACTGTCAATGACAAGCCATATCCCATCACCGAAAATCTCCATGCGGCAATCAAGCGGCTGAGATTTCCTGATCTTGAACGAACATTATGGGTTGATGCAATCTGCATCAATCAGCAGGATGTTTATGAGAGATCAGCCCAAGTTGCTATCATGGGCGACATCTTCCAGAAAGCTCGCATGGTCATAATTTGGTTAGGGGAGTCTACGAGTATCACAGGCCCGGGGATCCAAGGATTGAACAGGTTTGCAAGAGTCGTCAAAAGCTTTAACCCAACCTTCCCGCTACGTGGCATTTCGAGAGAACCAGTTCCGGATGACGACGAAAAGCACAGAGTCCTGCATAGCGATGGGGGATCAGAGGATCCGGGATATTGTTATCACCACTTGGCTCTCCGTACGCCTCGATATGGTCGCGACATAATGGAGCGGGCATGGTGGAAGCGCGTCTGGACTCTGCAAGAGCTTGTCCTTGCCACTGAGGCAACATTTGTCTGTGGCGGATACTCCATCAGCTGGGACGACCTGGACAGGTGCATCAGACACCTCAAATGGGCCGGGCCTGACTTTACAAAGCCGGAAGATCCCCTTTACCTTATGAGACATCATCTGACATTTTCCTCCTTCCGGGAAAAGAGGCTCGGCCGGAAGAAGATTCCACTCCTTTCCCTCATCAAAGCTTGGCGTGAACATTCAGCTACCGACGCGAGAGATTATATCTATGCCTTTCTTGGCCTTATTTCAGACTACCGCCAGTTCGAACCCAACTATTCCAAAACTGAAGAGGAAGTCTACATCGACTTCGCGAAGCATTGCATTCTCACAACATCCCACCTCAATGTACTCAGCGCTGCTGGCTACCATAAAGACCTTAGAGTCCCGTCTTGGGTCCTGGATAGCACATGCTTCGCTGAAAGATCAAGGCCTCAGTACCTGACCGACCTGGACCGGGAGAGCAGCATTTTTGCGGCCACTGGCACATCCACATCCACAGCATGTGTCACCGACGACTTGACACTACAAGCCGAGGGCTGGATTGTCGGCGTCGTTGAGAATGTAGGAACAGTTGCTCCACCGTTGGAGAATCTTGACTACATGAAAGTTCTCTCGGACTGGGAGCAGGTTGTGTTCCGCAAGTTCGGCGACAGCGGAGACTGCTCCAGAGCGGCCTGTAGCTCCCAGCGAGCTGGGGAGACTGAATCAGAGAGTCACCACGAAGAAGTCTGCGAGCTGTCCGTTGCATGTGTCTTGGATCATTGGCAGCGACGGACGACATGTGCCAGCCAAGTCTGGCCCCAAGATGACCCAGAAGCGCCCTACTCCCTTCGAGTATTACGGACTTCCATAGATGAACCTCGAGAAAAACGACTAGCCCAGGCCACATCGGAAAAGCAACCCCACTACTGGAATGGCTACACGTACTTCCCGACAGATGCCAGCATCGGCGAGGCCTTCGCCCGTACCGTATTGGCAGACTCTATCCACTACCTTTCAGACAGGCTACGACTCGACACAGTCATCGAACGCTCAAGACAGCGCGATGGAAGTGCGTACCAACTGATTCCAAACGAATATGGCTCCTATAACAGCTTTGCCCATGCTTTCTGTGATTCACGTATCCCTAAATGGGACTATGTGGAAGAAAACTTGGCTGCAAAGGTTACCTGCATTATGTGTCGAAAAGAAGGACAGAACCGGCAGAGTGCGGCAGTCAACAACCATGCTCTACTCTGCCGATCTCTTGAGAACGCGATCCGAATGAGAAGATTCTTTGTGACTCTTAGCGGTCTGATGGGGTTGGCCCCCGCTGAGACGTCGCCTGGCGACTGTGTGGTCCTTCTTAAAGGCTGTCAAGTCCCTTTGATCCTGAGAAAGGTCGACGATCATTTCATTCTGTTGGGCGAGTCCTACGTTCATGGAATTATGGATGGATATCTTTTCTACCGGGAGAATACTATCAAGCCTTGGTTTCGATATTTCAAGATACGATGAAGTAAATGGTGGGATCGAGCGTCGTGGGAAATCGTTGTCGAGGTTTAGCAGCAGTCGATGTTCTGTCTTCGCAGAGAATCATTTCCGTAGTTCTCCAACATCCTGGCCCAAGCTTCTGCCCAAGGCCAATGACGAATCTCGTTGATCCAGTATCTATACCACCCTCGCACGCGATCAAACGCAAAATGTCACAGCTTGCAAATGCTTCTGGGCTGGACGTCAGCAGCATAAGGCTCTATTGCTTTAGCTTCGCATGGTCCGAACTTGGGAAACGGGGAGACGTTCAGCGAGGCTGAAATAGCAGGTAGAAAAAGGTGCCGAGAGGGGGCGGACCGATGTCGTTCCAGCGCCCCAAATGGCCACCGACATCATCTGTCTATACGGAGCTTTCCGCCACGGCGTTAATGATCTACGCCGGGACCAACAGCTCGGTCGTCTGCATGTAGTGATATCCCGTCATCCATAGACACTTCTACCTTGAAGTCTTTGACTCACAGCAACGAAAAGGCGTGCAGCCAGTAAGATTGTGATTATGCAGTATTACGAGTCCGCTTTCGCATCTTACTGCATATTCTCATTACTGGCAAGGCTGGCTAACCATCCTCCTCGTACAGTCCCCTCTTGCAGCTAATGGCTAGCGTAGATTTTTTTTTTTTTTTTGGCTCATGTCATGGGTAGTCGAAGCTATCGTCCGGACGTGTATGTAGAATTAAAAATTCGGCATTCTCGTCCGGACGATAGCTTCACCTACCCACATATGTTATCTTTCTAAGGCAGAGCTGGGGAGCCCTACTATTCGCGCTAGCCATCGGCTGCGAGAGGGGGCTGTAGAAAGTATAGGGTAAGTGGAGAGACTTTGACATCATGTGGTGAGAGTTTGATTGATTAAGTGGTTGATCGCGGCTCTGCTGATGCGGAGAGGGAAACCGACTTTCATTCTCTGATCCGCCCTCTGCCTACAAAGCTTTACTGCTTCGCCATTCAACTGATTGCTCTTATAGGAATTCTTCCCCAACAATTTTCCGCTCTTCCTCGGTGTGATACTACTCGTGGAAAGCATCTATTCCGATCCATTGTGTGTGAGTGTTGCCTACTGGGTTCATGCTGACATGGAAACAAGCTGCAATACTGACAAAACCAGCGACCTGCCAATGCACGTGGCAAGAGTGTGACCATTCTGTCAGGGGATCGGCACCCTATCGTGGGGAGCGTATATATTACGAGACTCCTGTATTTCTATCTCAACGCCAACGTTGGTGCAGATCAATGCCAGTGGGACGGATGTAACCGGCAGAGGCCGGGTGACACACATGAGTTCTGCAGTGACCGTAAGTCCACGGCCTAGTATGATACGCCGGCTTACTTACTGTACTCTAGATGAATGTACTACTGTAGGGTGTGTGAACAAACGAAAGTTGACATATGGGGCGACAAGCAGCGTCAAAGAGAATTATTGCTCGGGCTGTACGTTTTCGTAGCCTTGATTCTTATCTATAGTACTAACGGGGTATAGGCCTTGGTTGATTCTCCTATGAACTTTGCCCTGTTTGAACTGAAAAAGGAATATTGTGTTTCTTGAATGAGGGGCTGGCCGCTGGAATGCTGTTTGCAGGCTGCACTTCGCGTGAGTCGACATCCGTGGTGTAGCGATCGCCGAACCTGTCGCCAGTTTAGCTTTTTATTTTCAGCCTCGTGAATCATATGTATTAGCCCTGAAGCGGCTCCTAAAGACTGGCATTGCTAAAAGTGATTTCTTTAACTATATCGCATCCGAACATAAGACATGTGCCATTGTTAATCAACGATCATGTGGAAAGAAAAACTGATAGAGTTGCATTGTTCGTAGCAGTACTGCAGTCGCTAGAACGCATAACGAAATTGACGGTTCTTTACGTCGGTAAGTCCGTTACACATAGCCTCTGATCTTTCTGACATCTGATCAGTGGAGGGATCAGCTCTTCCATACTCGCGGTCCCGCCGCTTGTTTTCCGAAAAGCACAACCCGTAGTACAAACAGCCCGTGGCTACCATGACTCCGAAGCAGCATAGCATGGCACCAACTCCTAGACTGTAATGAGGTGCCTGGCCTTCCAAAAAGAAATGCGGCCCTATGATATTTCCAACAGCTGTGGAGCATCAGCGAAAGCAAACAGGTCCATTGGGCACAGTTGGCATACCATAGAAAATTGCGGCAGACACTGAAACGAAACTCTTCTTTGTCAGCCCTGCCACGTTCGAGGATTGAAGGCTCAGGACCATGACCCAAGGGACGTTCCAAAAGCCCAGCAGGTAGACTCCAGCAAGAGAGGCATCGCGATGGACTGCTGGATCCAAACACTTGACCATAGATGCGCCAGCCATTGCAACGCAGCTGGAGAAGACCCAGAGGATACATCTGAGGTGGGGCACCCAGAAGGTGATGGCCGTCAAAGTAGCCTGCGCTACCATGGCAATTGCTGCTTGGGGAGTAGCCATCAAGACCGTCTTCGGTCGAGAAAAGCCATACCCTGAGATGATCAGCGGATTGAATTGTGTGATACCGGCATTCGTGATAGCCTGCGCTACAAAGAATGTCGCGATGCACCAGTATTTCGGATCTCTCAGGGCTTCGAGGATTTGTCCCCATTCGATTCGCTTTGCGCTCGTAATTAGTACAGTACCATCTGCCCGTTGACATGACTCACGCTCTCAGATGCATCTCCAGTTTGGTTCATCGCAACTCTACGGATTGCGATAGGTCTCTCCTCCTTGGTCAGAAACCATGCTGTTGAGGGAGAGTCCGGTAATGCTAGGAAGATGAGTACACCCATGGTGAGTGTGGTTGAGCCGTAAATGATAAAAATGTACTACAGCAATGTGAGCATGGGACAATCCTCTGGTGAATGTATTCTGGCCGAATCTTACTCTCCATGTTGCCAGTGGACCACCGATATTACCGATAGCATAGCTTAGGATCCCTGTGAAAGTTCCAGCAAAAGTGTTCGCCCATAGCGCTGTCCGCAGGGGTTGTTCCTCGCGACGGTACCACATGGAGTTGATGAAAAGAAGGCAGGGAAGCATGGCGGCCTCGAATGCGCCCTGGAGAAAGCGGAGGGTGGCGAGACCTGCGAAGTTGTTGCATGCAGTCAGCAGACAGACGCAAATGCCCATGGCACAAAAGCAGGCTCCCATGTATTTCCCGACCGGGAACTTGGAGATTATCCACAGATTCGGAAATTCCATGAAAAGGTATCCAAAGTAAAACGTGCTCCCGAGCCAACTGTACAGTTGTTTGTGTAGGTGGGTATCGTCGACTAATCCGTAGACTGCTGCGTAGGGCATTACGTTCTGTAGCTGGTCGTCAGCATTGAAGATTGATGAACATTTTAGTGGATGAACAAACTTCGTCAAGAAAGGCCAGAGTCATCCCGAATGTCACAAGCGGCATAATGACAAGATCAGTCTTCCATAGGATCTTTCGGCTTCTCGGTACATCAAGTTCATCCTCGATTTCCCCCTTGCAGATTGATTCCGAATTAGCGATGGTCGCAATATCGGAAACCTTCTCGATGTCGGACTTGACACTTCCCATACTGAAACAAATGTAGAAGAAAGCAAAATGCGCCCGGTTGGGAAGATATTTTGATCGTACATTCATTGGGATATAAATATATCGAGAGAGGAGGGCGTCGAAACCCCCCTTCTTGACGTACGGGGTTGCATCTCAGGGTCGGCAGACATTCCGAAGGTTTGGAATGGCGCCTTGATGTACGTCACTTGTCATACCCGCACTGAATCCGAACGCACCCTGCGCTTCTCGTCAACCCACCAGTACTAGTCGTAAACGTGCACGGAGCCCAACCTCCTCGGACCTCCTGCGTAGATACTTTACTCCTCCAGGACAAGCAAGGTTTGTAGACATGCAACGGTGGCAGCGGAACGTTTCCGTCGAACCATCAGACGACAGGAATTTTTTCTTTAGCGTAAGTTTCGCAAGCAAGGCCCGGCGACCAGGACCTGCTACAGTCATCGACACAAAGGTGCTAGATCTGAAGAGGACATCTCGGTAACCGCAAAACGACCCAGAATGCTTCGCCAGCCACATCTCCTGGGTAGATTTTAGGTAATGCAAGTATGAGTACAGCCATGCCAAAAGATTCTGGGGAGAAGGAATTCGCACATGTTCATCCGTTTGACTGTGTAACACGTTTCCCAGTCAAGGCGCAGCTTCCAAAAATCGAGACTAGCATTTGTAGATGATCCGACCTTGAGACAGTTCCAAAAGTAGAGACGATCTTCCGGAACATCCGGAAATAACTTTTCCGGGGGATGAGCCAGCTTCTTCGTAGAAAGGTCCGCATCTTGATTGATGCTTTTTGTGCTATTGAGCCCATAACATCACTAAGACTGTGCAGATCATTAACACAAATCCCATCATTTATGACCCAAGTGACCAACCTACCAGTCAAACATCGAGTGAAAATAAGTAAAGAAGTCCGTATGCAAGCTGTTTATGTGTAAACCTTTACCGCCAAATGACTGCGTGTTCTATTGTCCCGCAGACTCAGACCCTCCACTTGAAGTACTCTGCTTATCCCGGCCACTGTCACACTCATCGCCCGGGTGATCGGAACCATTCAGAGCATCCTCATACGTCCTCGGAGGTCTTGAAAGCTTTGGGGCACCGGGGCCCGTGACTTCTAAGACTGCAAGGCGCTCCCCCTTCATTGTAATTGGATAAGAGCTCTCTTTCCCAGACCAAGTACCCACGCCCAGCTCCTCATGGGCGAGCCTCTGGAGCTGCAGAGTGTCGTTAGTAGTCCACTCTAGCCGGCTATAGATGTCTAGATTATAGCGCTTCTGTATGGCCTCGACAATCCAATCCAAGTTATACCCAACGAGATTGATGAAGCCGCCGATACCGAGGAGAATGGAAAGTCCCAGGACACTGAACGAGCTGTAATTGGTGTTTACTACTTTCTAAACAAAGAAAAGGTGTTTTGTTAGCTCCCTCGACGCTGTCTATCTTGGGACACTGTAGTACGAACCTGGCTTCGACATACTCTCTTTTCGACATCCAGTTGCGGCCGCTCAAGGAGTGGAACGATGTTTTGATCAAATGGGCCGTTGGCTAGCTCGATTACCTGCCGCTGCAACACGGCCAGCGAAGTGTCATGCCAATGCTGGACCTCGTGTTGCCACTGGTTGGGTGGAAGAGGAGCTTGCGTGCCGGAATGCAACGACTGCCGTGCCGTGAGGGCAGAAATGCCCAGAGTCCGCACAATATGCTGTGCAGAAAAGCCGAACCACATGGCTGACATGAACATGGCCGCAGCCTGCGCCGAGTTGGATGTAATGTTCGGACTGGCGTTGAAGGTGTCTACCATTTGCATTATACCCGACAAGGGCTGGCAGCTTTCGGAGGGGGAAGACAAGGAAGAAGAATTTGCACCTGCGTAGCATAGTTGATGTTGGTGCGCGCAGGCCAAGACGGTGGCGGGCGCGTCGCGGCAGTACAGGGTCATATTGGAATCCTCACCGTAGTACGTCCCCCACTGGAAGTGAGCAGAATATAGCGGGTCGTCGACTTGATTTGGATACACAATGTCATTTGCAGACACGAAGTACAGAGAGACGTCGGCTTCACTGCGGTTAAGGTGAACAATGGGGTAGAAGTCTTCGATACGACCAGCCAATGTATTGAAGGATCTATGTAAAACTTTCAGTCATTCGATTTCTGGAAGCAATTATTGTGTGAGATTGCTTACGTCATGGTATAGTCTCCTAAGAAACCATCGTGTTCCTGTGGCTTCTCTACCGGATAGAGCATCGTCAGTGGCAGGTCTTCACGGCCATGCGCACCTAATCCACGTCCGTAAAGGTAGGCCATAGCCGGACGGTCTTTTCCTTGCAGCTGCTCCGTGTACCCCTTCGTCTTCAATGGTGCACACTCCGTGATTCGACGATAGGAGAATCTCTCTTCCCTCGGAGCATTGATACCTAAATCGTGGTGGCTGTCCAAGAACCCCGAATCCAGTCTTACATTTCCAAAGCGGAATTGGCAAACCTGGTCGTCGAAGGGGCACGTATAGTTATTTTCCGAACTCCCTGATAAACCGACTCGGACAAACGAAGGGCAATCCTGGCGTTGTGCTCCTCGGGCGTAGCATCTCTGAACATAGTCAGCCGACGAAGATACCACCTGCGAGGAGTAGGAGTTGAGAAGGGTCGCCTGTTCATATATAGACTGCTTTGGCCAGGAAGGCCAACCGCAATTGTCGCCAGATAGAAGGACTTCGTTCCCCATTGCTGTAGATATCCAAGACGAGAAGATACTGGCTGCTGCAAAAGCACTGATAATGCAGAGTGAGGTTGCGATGACCGGAAGCATTCTACGGGCCACATGTGGGGCGTTGTTCCTCCATGCCCATGCTACTTGACTGAGGCTCCATACCCCCGCCACTCCCGTTCCTGACGTCCTGAGGATTGCTTGACGCTGGTGATATAGCCCGTCTTGGGGCGCCTCTGAGGAGAAGCTATGGTGGAGGGCAAAGCAGAAGATTCTCCAAAAGCTCGTGCCTGTTATTGTAACAAAAAGCGCTAGGGCGGCGATGAGGAAGTTACCGTTGCTCCTAGTCAGTGTGAGGGTTTTCCCAAGTATAGTGCCGTAAGACCAGTTCGTCCAGATGCCAACGTGGACCTCGGTATCAGCAAGTGCCAGCGTACCCGTATTGTTCATGGTGGCCAGGAGTGTATCTCCGGGAGGCTTTGATACAGCAAACCTTCATCAAGACTGGGAGTCTACTTTTAATATTTGAATATGGGATTTGACTCCTTCCGTACTAATTTTAGAACCCTATTTCCCGCGGCATATTTTCAGGACTTGATTCGTATTTTTAACTCAGCAAAGGTTGTATCATAATGCGTAGCCTCGCTCCAAGTTCAAAATGCAGGTCTAAGCCGGCAAATACGCCTTTGGTTGTACAACATGGGGGCTTAGTATCATGCATGTATCGATTTCTCCCGTTCGAGTCTTAGCCACTTTCACAGCCACACTGCCGCCGGGTTTAGCAGAGCCGAGCCACGATCTCCCTTGAACAGGAAAGGTTTACCACCCATGGCCAATCAAGCGTGCCCAAGTGCGACAGCCTCCTTGCGTGGTCCTACAGATTTCAATGCCCCTCTCATGTCTCCGTTGCTCAGTCTCTTTCAGCTGCGCACTGTACCTGAATGTTTTCACGCTCTCAGACCATTTAGCCACGGTCTTGCCGTGCACAAGTCACGAGAACCGGGGCCCGAAAGGACTCGCCATTCAATTTAAAGCAAGGCTTCTCTCATCTACAGTCTCCTCTTGCAGCCGATGGCTAGCGTGGATTTGTTTTTTGTTCATGTCATGGGTAGTTGAAGCTATCGTCCGGACGTGAATGTAAAATTAAAAATTCGATATTCTCGTCCGGACGATAGCTTCAACTAACCACGTATGTTATTCTTCTAAGGTAGAGTTGGGGAGCCCTGCTATTCTTCGCGCTAGCCATCGGCTGCGAGAGGGGGCTGTATTCCCGCTTTATGTGGCTTAAGTCGCCCCCATAATATCCTTTCATCTCAGCCCCCAAGACGGTGTTGTGCTACAATGGCGCTTGCCAAGCCAACTTCGGCGCTTGCGCAATGCACATTACCCTGTCGTTCTCAGCTTATGTTGCTTAGCCGCCACATCGAACAGCACCGCCCTCCACACTTAATGCTCCTTGGTCGTTATGTCTCTAATTTTACTGGTCAGGACGTGTGCGGCTTTTTCAAGGTCCGGATAGATTGGTAAGCCTATATACCCTGTTGCAGATGAGCCGGGTTGTTGAGGTCATATCCCGTGACTAAGGCTATAATGCTGTTTATATCTTGTGATGTGTGAAGTCGAGCTTAAAGTATGCACCTAATAAAGCCCCGCTTTTGAACATCGCATTGTTTCCTGGCGGAAGAGCGATAAATACAGGCACTCTCGGCGAGTTATTGTCTCTCAGCCGGCACATTTGACACTGCACACCCTTCAGTTGAGCGGGGTACCTCCATCTTCCCCGCACGCCCTCGAAACGAGGGGCCAGACAGTGCTGCGCACCAATAGAAGACTTACCCATGATTATTCATCATGTACTTCACGCACCAAATCGTGCCCGATACGAGGCTCTCTTCCAACAGTGGTGTTGCAGGACATGTGACAATGTTGATATATGGGATCTTGAGTTCCCACCAAGAAGACGAATTGCGGAAATGGTAAAGCCATTCGATACTTCGTGTAACCTACCACAATGCTACTCTGCCTCCCGACGTCCCACCGCCTGGCTCGCTTCGTCAGACTTTCCAGTAATTACCGAAACGCCCTCCCCACGAAACACAGTCTCCTCCAAGCGCACCGCGGTCTTGCCACGGCTACAGTGAGGACCCACACCTTGAACACTGGCGCCAAGATCCCGGCGATCGGCTTCGGCACATTCCAAGATGCCGATGCGCAAGAAGCAGCTGTCTGTACTGCTCTGAAGACGGGGTATCGCCATATTGATACTGCCAGAGTGTGAGCCTCATTTGCGAAAGCAATAAGTCCGAGTCTAACACTTCTTCAGGTATGACACCGAGATCCAAGTGGGAAAAGGCATCAAGCGGAGCCAAGTGCTTCGAGAGGAGATCTTCCTGACGACGAAACTCTGGTGCAACTCCCATCATCCAGATGACGTGGAAAGCGCGCTCGACGCTTCACTCAAAGACCTAGACACGCCATACGTCGATTTGTTCATGATGCATTATCCGTCCACCTTCGCTCGTGGAGAGGACCGCTTTCCAATGGACAAGGAGACGGGGGAGATGCTGCTGGGAGAAACGACGTATGTGGATACATGGAAGGCGATGGAGAAGCTCCTCGGAACGGGGAAGGTGAAGGCTATTGGAGTGTCAAATTTTAGCAAAGGGGAGATTGAGACGTTGATCCGAGAAGGGAGCGTTGTGAGTGCGGGTCCAACCGTTACTGTGTCTGGCACTGCTGACTGCCAACGCAGGTCCCAGCCGTTCACCAAATGGAGGTACACCCGTATCTGCAGTCAAAAGACTTCAACGCCTGGCTTCGGTCGAAAGGCATCCATGTGACTCAATTCAGTCCGCTGGGGAACATGAATTCCTTCTACAGGGAGATATCATGGAGCAAGACGGAGTCACACATGCAGCGAATAATCGACCATCCGGTACTGCAAGAGCTTGGTGCAAAATACCAGAAGAGCCCTGTGCAGATGGCACTGGCGTGGGGTGTCAACTGCGGTCGCTCGGTTATCCCGAAGAGCGTTATTGAATGGCAGATCAAACAGAATCTGGAGTCTGACTTTCTTATCGAGCCTGCTGACATGGACAAGATTGCTGGGATGGATCTGAAGGTCAGATTCAATGACCCCAGCGAGTTACATCGATGGGACTTCTACAGCGACCTGGAGGGGAAGTAAGTATGAATCTTTGACTGATAGTAGATTGTCTCGGAATTTGCCTATTCTCGCTTTTTCGGTTCAGCATTTTCCTAATTAATATCACACTAAGGCGATACCAGAACATCTGCCCGTCGATGTGTCGAGTGAGACACCGCAAAGGCTTCAGCATTGCCAGGCCCGCCGGGCGGTGTGAGAAGGGCAAGGCATCTCATGTCAGATTACACATGCATGACACCATTGGGTGGTTGTATGTCGACCATCAGTGATGACATAGAATTCCCGAGGGTCGTCCGGTGAGACGACTGCTTACAAATCCGGAAGACGGATAGGCTCCATTACCGCGATACCCACAAAGCTTTTGTTGATGACCTGAAGTTTGTAACACGAAAGTGGGGCCACACACGCGTTCGCGGTTGGTTTTGGTTTGTGCCCCGCTTCCTTCAGGTCAGACCTGATAAGCACAGACTGCACTCAAGTAATTCTTAATAGCAGCCCCCGCCTAGTGTTTTATTCTTTTTTTTTACTCACAAAAAATTACACCTCAGCGACGGACTAACATTTCCACATCATGGCTGCAACGCCCAATCTGAGGATCCCAGCTTCCGATGCGACCGTCCAGGTCAGCATCATCAATCCTGGAGCCAGGATCCGCCTGCCTGTGTCTGGATTCGTGCAGCCGGCAATTGAAGGCCATACTCATTTGGATGCCCCTGCGTATTCCTTCCTGATTGAACATGCTCAAGGGAAATTCCTCTTCGACCTGTCCATGCGCAAAGACTGGGAAAATCTCGCACCGCCGATCGTAAACCAAGCAAAGGACGTAGACAGCGGTGCGCTGGTTGAGGTGGATAAAGATGTGATCGACGTCCTGGAGGAGAACGGAATCAAAGGATCAGAGATCAAGTCTGTGATCTGGAGGTAATTGAAAAAGGACATCTTGCTGACGGAATAAGCTAATCAAATCGTAGCCACTGGCACTGTGACCACATCGGGAACATGTCTCGCTTCCCCAGCTCGACTAAAATTGTAGTCGGCGCGGGCTTTCTGGAAAAGCTCACTCCAGGGTATCCTGTGAACCCCAACAGCTTGCTTCTTGAATCAGACTACCAGTATGCCTGAAGCCCACGACGGCGCACCCTCACACGCAAACTAAGACCATTCTACTAGAGGCCGAGAGGTTCAAGAAATTGACTTCTCAACCCACCCCAACCGCCTTCAACTCGGCCCCTTCAACGCCGTTGACTTCTTCGGCGACGGCAGTTTCTACCTCCTCGATACACCTGGCGTAAGAATTTAACTTTAGTTTTCAGGTTTCAAAAACTAACACGCTCAGCACGCCATCGGCCACATCTGCGGGCTCGCGCGCACGACTCCCAACAGCTTCATCCTCACCGGCGGCGACATAGCCCACCACGGCGGAGAGTTTCGACCTTCTCCATTCCTCCCTCTCCCCGAACAGGTTGCCCCGTCACCCTTCTCCAGCCCGCCCTTCCAGCTCGGAACCTTCTGCCCTGGCGCACTGATCGAAGCGAAGATACACCCGCAGCAAACGGAAGGCCGAACGACGCCATTCTACAAATTGGCACCGACGGGCGTGCCGGACCACGACCTGGAGACGGCGCAGAAGTCGGCGGAGCAGCTGGGAGAGTTTGATGGGGATGACGATGTGTTTGTGATTATCGCGCATGATGCGAAGTTGAAGGACATTGTGGATTTCTATCCGAAGACGGCGAATGCGTGGAAGGAGAAGGGTTGGAAGGGTGTCGGGCTGTGGAGGTTCTTGGAGGATTTTGCGGGGGCGGTGAAGTCCGAGGCTGATGCGTGCCAGAAGTTGTAGCCTTGCACGCTACTGGTATTGCCTCGCGGTTCGATATCTCCTCTCCTCTATTTTCTTTGAGATCGGGAAAACCGAAGAAAACCATTGACCGGCTGTTTGAACAACATAGAAACTCAACTCACATCCAACCCTCCTCTTAAAACATGGTATACTCTTCTCTCCTCTACGCTTTCTGAATAATCTACCAGGATATTCATACTGCAATGCCTCAGCCACCCCATTCCCTTTCTCCCATCCCCCCTCAAAGAACAACACACCGCCCCCTCACCTCCCCCACAATCTTCAGCACCGCATCCATCTCCTCGCGCATACTCGCAATCGTGTGCTTCAAGATACCCCGGATAGTGAGGAGCGGGAACTTCTCCTCGACCAGCCGCACCGCCTGGCTCAGCCGCGCCACCTCGAACTCCAGCGTGCCGACCAGGCTCCACAGGCGCAAGCCGGGGGAGAGGCTGCTGGACGACGAATTCGACATGGCGAAGCCGCCGATGCGCTCGGGGAGCTTGGCGAAGGCGTCGAGGATGGGGGTGGGTGATGGTGCGGGGGCAGGTGCGGTTGTTGTGGATGTGGAGGAGGCGGAGGCGGAGGCGGAAGAGGCGGAGGCGGAAGAGGCGGCGGTAGTGTTGGTGGTGTTGGTGGAAGGGCCGGCGGCGGAGGACTCGGGGGGGTAGGCGCCCGCGGAGAAGACGAGGTTCGGCGGCGCGAGGTCGGTCCAGGTGATGCGGCTGATGGCGGAGCAGCACGAGCAGGCCGGGTTCTCTGCGGCGGTGAAGAGGCTCCGCGGCTTGCCCTCGGCCAGCGCGGCGTCGACGAGGGAGAGCAGCTGCTTGTACAGGTCCAGCATCAGCATGACGGGCGCGCACAGCAGCAGGCACGACGTGTCGACCGAGAGGGTCTTGAGCAGCTTCTCGCGGTGACGGAAGCGCGAGCCTTGGGTGTTGAGGTAAACGGCGATGTCGGCGACTTGGTGCGTGTCGGAGAAGAAGGGCTCGAGGATCTCGGAGAAGGGGACCGTGAGGGTTTTGCCGGATTGAAGGGCGGTGGTGGCTTCGGCGAGGGACGCTCGGTGGTTTAAAAGGCGGGATTGCAGGCGTGTCAGATGCTCGAGCATCTCGTATACGACATGTTCTCGAGGAGCTGGCTCTGTTGGGTTGGTGGGTTCGTCCAGGTTTGTCGAGTCGGTAGGGCCATCTGTCAATAGGAAAAAAGCGCTGAAATCAAAGTCGGGAACGTGAGTTGGGTCATTTAGGGATGCTTCAACTAACGATAATGTCAGAGTGCGGAAGAGAGTTAATATTGGAGTTGTCACTGACTCTGCGGATGAATCGAGATGTCAATTGTCTCAAGATCATCGAACAAATTGTTTGGGAGGCCATTTACACTGCCGTGCGAAGCTGCGGAGGTTTCGGTAGTAGATTTGGAGCCGTCGGATGTTTGTTGCAAAGCCTCGGCGGGTTGTTGTTTGGTTGCTTTGGTTGGCCGGCCTGATTTTCCGGCAGGGCTGAAGACGCAAGCTGTACTGTCGCGCAAGCATCGATCACAAGGACTGCGCCCTCCCGTGCAGCGCAACTTCTTGCCATGGCACCGGTCACAGGCTTGGCGCACCGTAGAGGAAGCCACGTGACGAGATGGACCTCTGGATGAAGACATCACGCAAAGCAGTAGTAAGGGGCGCGTCGGCGGCCGGGTGAAATAAGGGTAGACGCGTCTGTTGGATAGTGCCGTGATGCAACGATGGATCTGGGATATTCTGAAGCTGAATTTAGTATTGAGCTGGCATGAGTCAGGGGTGTTTGAGGTAGAGGTTTGAGGTAGCTCTGAGAGTGTTGCCTGAGCGGAGGTGTCAGCTCCCGCCGCTGACGCCGACCTTTCCCGCCGGCCGGCCCCCACGCCAATCCTCCCCGGCATTTCTTCGTGCGCCACAACCCGTCCACAATTTAACACGCAGCAGCGACAATATACGGTGCAAACACACGTTCACTTTCGTGCGTGTCCTCAAAGGGCGCGGTGTCTCTGCATGCGCTTGATGGCCGTTGTTTCTTGAGGAAAAGGATTATGCTGGCGCAATTTACCACTTCCCGCGCAGTCTGTTGACTTTATCTATCAAAGGATTTTCTGATATTTTATTCAAATAGTAAGAATATTACAATACAATAGATCATTAAGGCGGCAAAAAAAAAAGCCGTCAGCCGGCCAAATTCCACACGTATCTTCCTCTATTCGACCATTTCATCAGCTGTTGCTCCCATGCCATGCTTGCCAGACGCCCGTCTCCTCTTTCCAAAAATGAGCGCCAACACAGCGCAAATAAATGACAGCCCAGCAAAGCCAGCCACGGCCGCAAACTCCATCCTGTAAACCTGGGAATACTCCGCTCGAACCATCATTGCCTGGTCCTTTTCCAGCGTTGCTAAAGCCTGACTCGGCTGTTTCAGCAACGCCTGCACCACATCAGCCGGGAGTATTTGCCTTAGCCTCCGCGGTAGCTCCTCGTTCGCAATTGCGGAGGTCACTGCCAGCGCAACCGGGCCTCCCATTGTACGCGTCATGTTCAACGCCCCCATGGTGACGGCGCCATCTTTCACCTCATCTTCCAGTTGAACCCTGGACGCGACCATGAGCGTCGGGATACCAAACCCGAAGCCAATTCCAATCAGGACTTCGTATCCGTATACTCTTGAATCGAAACCCGCGTCGCTGCTGAAGCCCAGAGTGCATAGGAGCCCTCCACCAAGGACCTGCAATGCATTCGTGGTCGCGAGGATTGGAAGCACGAGGCGAGTGCTCTTGCTGTAGATCAGTCCGGCTATTGCGGAGCAAAATGACGAAACAAGCAGCAAAGCGAGCAGCTTCACGCCTGCAGCCGTTGCCGAGAGACTGTACAGTAGCTGTGAGCGGCGCGGCAGGTTAATAATGACGGTGTAGAAGACGGCGCCGAGGAAGAATGCGGACCTATGAAACAAATCGGTCAGCGGCCGGAGACAAGCCCAAGGGAGCAACACCCACAGAAAAATCAACACAATCACCGGATTGCGCAGCAACCTGAACGGAAACAGCGGCTCAATCCTCGTCTTCCCCTCGCGCCCACCCAACTTCCACTCCCACCCAAAGAACAGCAGAATCGTCACACCCGCAGCCACCAACACCCCAACGATAACACCACTATCCCACGCATACGTCGACCCCCCCGTCTCCAGCCCATAAACCAGCATCACCGCCCCACCAACCGACAACACCGCACCCACATAATCCACCCTCACCAAATCCGCCAGCACGATCGGCGTCCGCGGCCCGGGCAGCGCTCCGCCCACCAACGCCGCCGCCACCACCGCCACCGGCACATTCAGCAAGAAAATCCACTTCCACGCCCCCTCATCTCCCAACCTGCCCCCCAGCAGCGGTCCCACCACATTCGCGACCGCAAACGTCATCCCCGACACCCCCGAGTAGAACCCCATCCAGCGCATCGGACAAACCGCCATGACGGTCACGAACGCGAGGCTGAAGATGACGGAGCCGCCAACGCCCTGCAGCGCGCGGAAGACGATGAGCTGGTCCATGGTGCGCGCGGCGGCGCACAGGCCCGAGAAGAGGGCGAAGAAGGCCAGGCCGGCGAGCAGCGTGTTGCGCGGGGTGAAGATGTCGGAGAGCTTGGAGAAGACGAGGAGGAAGCCCGAGTACGTGACGAGGTAGGTTGTGACGATCCAGGTGGAGCGCGCGGCGTCGGAGAAGTGCGTCGAGATGGCGGTGAGGCTGGTGGCGATGATGGTGGTTTCGAGGGCGGAGCAGAAGAGGCCGAGGCAGAGGCTGTGTGTTGGGGGAGAGATCAGCGAGGGAGGGTGGATGGGGGGAGGAGAAGGGGGCGGACCCGAGCATTGATACGTGCAGTCGCCATCCGCGGAGGGCGTTGGGCGGGTCGCGGAGCTTGTGGGTTTGGTCTTGCACGGTGGTGGGTGCTGTGCTGGCGTCCTTAACGGGCGCCTTTTCGCCGTCCATATTTTCCATCATTTGAGTATTCCGGCAGGGGCTTGCGGGTTTGGAACGCTGTATAAGCGCAGTCTATGCCCAAGGGGAATAAAGTTGAGAATCAGTGGGGCGGAAATAACTGAGCTGCTGAATACGAAGACCAAGTAAGGAACACCGCCTTAATATTTGTAGTCACAAACAAAATACTGCAGAAACAGAAATATGGTGTGACGTTTGCAGCATCTGCACGTTGCGGCGGGTATTTGATTGGTAGAATGCTCAGCTCGATGGGCGATCCCGGACGTAACGGTCTGTGGCGCGAATCCTTCCCGGTGGGTGACTCAAAAACCCGCCGAGCGTGTCATAGCAACGCCCTCGATCTTGTAAAATTTCCTCCGACGGCATGGGATCATTTGGAGGTCTTGAAGACACGTATTAGTTGCTACTGCCTGAAAAATGGTGGTGTGCGAGTGCCTCGGAGGGTTGCAAGCCTGCAACAATGGCCGAGTACCATCGATGGCGACAGCCCTTGTGACACTCGACAGCCGAGGGCATCAAAAACCTCTTCCCGCTCATCTCCAACTTCAGATAAATCCACAAGAAGTCTCTCTATTAACCCGGTCCCAGTCGTAATCTTTCTCCACCACCGATAAGACACGTTGTAAAGCGAAAGAGGAGTTGAGCTCGGAGAACGATAGCGCAGCTGATACCAAGTCCTGTTCCAGAGGTGTTTCACACCATATCGAGATACCTAAGGCCGCTACGACCAAGATATTTCTCCTATTAGTAGTTTCACCTACGCTGTAGCGGGCGCCTCGGAAGTGAACTCGAATGACTGTCAGCGAGAAATGACTCGCCTTACATCAACTGAGTTATCCACTCAAATTCCCAGAGCAGATTGCTGGTAGGGCACCGATATTCCCATTTCTGCTGGCTGTACCATGGCTGCTCGCTCTCCTTTTGGCTGCATAAGTACTTGCATATCCAATCTTGGTTGTCCTGACGAACACGTTTATGTTCCAGGCGTCTAATGCAAGCGTCCCAAATTGCCTTGTAGCTATGTTTGATGCCGTAAATGACCTCGAGCGCAACCCCTTCATAACTGCATCTCCCAGGAACCGGCATGAGGCGGAACCTCACCTCTCCCTTCTGCTTTGCCCAGCGACTGCATATCAGCTTTGGCATGCCGCAGCGATGACATCCATGGAAAAGGTCGAAGTTGACAGCCCTCTCAATATGAATCAAGTCCGTACGCGCCCTCTGCGCCATCTCGTTGGTGCACACGCGGATGCTGTGGTCTGACGGCTTTCCCATGGCCCTGCAGACCATACAGGCGTCTCTGAAGTGCAGCAGCCGCGGTTCGATACTTCTCAAGCGCAGACAAAGCGGCTTCATGTCGCGGGTAGTTTCTATGTAGCTCGCCAAGCGATGCCACTCTGGAAATAGCGCGTACTTCCTGTTTTCTTGCTCTGTGGCACTGTCGTCCCGGAGTTTTCGTAGGTGCGGTTCAGTACACCTGCTGTCCCGTAGTCGCTGTCGGGTACCCGCGATTTCCTCGCTCAGTTCCTCAAGTCGAACTAGTCGCTGCTCCATGGCCAGGACATCGGCATCCATGCAATCGATCACTGGTCCGACAGGCTCGTCACTACAACGCGTTGCCAGCGCTACGACTGTATCCTGCATCTTTCCGCGTGGGAGGAGGTCAACTCGATACTCGTGATCAGCAAGCAGACATTCGTACGAGCCGTAGAGTTCGTCGAGGTCCCTAGCGATTGCAGAAATAAGAGAGGAGGGCCAGTCTGAGAATTCCTTCTCCGCCATCCACGCCAGTATCGCAGCCGGGTCATCAGTCTTTACCCACTCAACTTTGTCAGCCAGCAAGCTGTCTTCAAAGCTGAGCAGCGCAGCAACGGCTCGCCACACCACCTCCATATTTTCGCACTCTTCCACCGTTCCGTCTGGAGCAGTCACTCGGGGCGAAGCGTTTGGGCAGCGCTTGCTCAAAAAGGTGCAGACTTTGCATGGCGAGCTAGTTGTGGCGTTTTCGTCCCCATCGGTACTTTCGTCCTCGTCGGTGCTTCCACAATCATCGGTGCTTTCGTCCTCGTCGCTACTGCCGTACTCATCGGTGCTTCCGTCCTCGTCGGTGCTTCCGTCCTCGTCGGTGCTTCCGTCCTCGTCGCTGCTTTCGTCCTCGTCGGCGCTTGCTCGCACGCTCGCCTCCTCCAACAGCCGCAGAATGCGCTGCGCTTCCGGAGCTTCCTCCCAGTTCCGACATTCCTCCATATCGTGGGTGTCGGCGGCGGCATAGTCGCGATACGCGGCGCAGAGCTCACAGCCAGCTCCTCGCCAGAAGTTGAGGGCGAGCTCGAGCCGCTGTTGCAGCTCATCTGTAGAAACGCCGAATCTGGCCTCGCGCTTTCTATCCCATGAGGCCTTTACATCGTGATATTGGCGAGTGACGGCTCGTCGCCTTGCTGATTGCGCGAGTTGAAGGATGCGTGGCTGCGGAGGGGCCACAGAGCTGCTGTCCGGCCCAGGCTGCTCTTCTTTGGCAGATTCTGCCTTTCTTTTGCGTGAGACAGGCGACATAAGCGGCGTTTAGGGGACTCGCATAAAGCTTGGCTTTACGACAAAGTACGTACTTTGACAGCCGCAGGGAGACGTCAGGTACTGTACCTGCGAAGTATTCTCGGAAAAAGAACAACTTGACCCCCGTACTCCCTTGTTGGACTCACCGATTGTTTGGGTCACTAATTGTTGTTGGGCCGCTAAATATCATCATACTTGGTTAGTGCGGGGACGGGGGGACTATTTGACATCCCTAGCGTGATTCATGATAACACTATAAGCAGAGTCACTATTGTCTCAAAAAGGTGAGCTAAGAGTACTTCAAAGGATCGTTTTAGTGGGTGGTTCGCGAGAACAGTTAAGCTGGTAATAATAGTCGAGGGCATTCCCAAAGTCTGACCACGTGTAAAATTGTTGTGCCACCCACAAGGACTACACGCGTCGAGTGAAATAGTTATCTCTTCCTTACTATCAAAGGGCGCTATTTTCAGGGGTTCTAGCTTTGCAAAGTGAATAAAAACTACGGACGGGAATCTTCCTAACACTCAACAGCTTAGCGCATCAAAAAATTCTTCTTCATCGTCTTCATCTTCAGAAAGCCCCGCCCCGTTTCCATTGTCCAGCCCGACCCCGGTCGTGAGTTTTCCCCACCATCGATAAAACGTCTCGTTTCTTTCTCTCTGAGCATCATGCATAGTCTTGTACCGCTCGAATATGTCTAATGCTGTCTCTCCATTTTTCGACAACGTTCGCGGGTCTATTTTCGTTGCAACTGCTTCCATCACTATGTTGATTGTTTTGGGGTCTCCCCACCCGGCCACAACATGAAACATGGAGAGCCCTGAGGCTGTTTTGACCGCCGTATTTGCTCCAGAAAGGAGAAGCTCAGAGAGAACACCATGGTTATTCTTCCTCGCTGCATGTAGAACGGGGGTATCGCCGACAAAGTCAGCATGATCGATCATCGAGCCACATCTAAGTAGCACCCGTACTGTTTCCACATCGGAGAAGCGTGAAGAAAAATGCAGGGCCGTCCAGCCGAAGGATGTACTTCTGTGTGGATCCGCCCCATGACGTAGCAGTGACTTGACAATCTCCGCATTCCGTGACCTCGTGGCATTTTCCAGTGGAGAAATGCTGTTGGTGGCAACAATATTGGCATCAGCGCCACTGTGTAGTAAAGTCTTCGTCGAATCAAGACTTCCCTTGATTGTTGCCCACCATAAAGCAGTCCGTCCTAGCGAATCCGTTTCGTTTATGTTGCATGCCGAGTTTATGATTGCCTCAGCTAGGCTTTCGTTGCTTGTCCCAAGTACTATTCTGTGTAACAGTGGCAGTTCCAGTTCCTCTGCCAGAAAGTTCCGCCCGGTTCCGATATATGATTTACAAGACTCAGAGACTGTATCAGGGAGTTGGCCAAGGAGACTCTCCTCTGCGACCGCCGAGGCTGCCGATCTACCAAGGTCAGCAGCCACATTGTCTGGTGCGTTGAAGTTACTCGCCTTCCGCGACGATCTTCCACGGTTGGATCTGCGCCTTGATCAAGTAGGAACTTGGTCGCTTCCTGGTGATGATGCATTATAGCAAGCTTCGATAGTAATTCAGTCAGTGAAAACTAATAAAGGAAACCTGACAGCCTTACTGTGAGAGCTGCCAGTCCGAAATTTCCGTCAACATCATTGAGCCTTGCTTGCCCTGTTTTTAACAGAGTCTTCATAGCTTCTGTATCACCTTTCCAAGCCGCAGTGAACCACGGAGAGTCCCAAGGCACTACATTCCGGACCGACAATGAGAATGAGGGTTCTGTCATTGTGGAGGATGTGTAGGCCAGGGTGATTGCCTTTCCCAGAAACCATGCCGGAAAGTAGTATGTAGCCCTCACGCTAGAGGGATTGGGACTGCAAGTTTCTTTGCATTTCAAAACCGAGCATTGTCTAGTCGACTTGGGAGCCCCACTATACCCGACAAGAAGAGCTCCGAAAAGGCGAGTCGACACTGACTGCATTTGTAGGCGTGAATGGCACGAGCACCTGCAATCGGACGATTTCTTTCCTAAGCTTTGTTGTCGGACAGAGACAACTGCCAGTGGAGATGGCGATGTGAGCGAACAGTCAGGATGGGTCTGAGCTACCGCGTTTTCTTCAACTTCTTTATTTACGGACGCCGAGCTACCATCGTTTTTTATGGGTTGTAGATTTTGTAGAGAGTGCTGAGATTGTTGGTTCAGGGTCACATTGAATTGCTCAAGGAGCAGTCCGACCTTTTGCAGGTCAACCCTTCAACATGTCAGCGAGAGGGCACAAATTGTATGAAGTGCATGTGTGGTAGTTACGAATTGCTGGTGGCCATCAGAGCAATTGCTTGCAACCTGATCTCCCGCAACTCTGCCTGGCAGGACCGAATTTTGCTTCTGTAATGAACCCATACAAGCCGGTCGAGAGCGTTCCCATCAATGAGGTCAACCTTCTGGAGGAATGTTTTGATGGCTGCGATTTTGCTATCAGCATCACGGAGCTTCATTTCGAGATGCGGGCGCATATCCGGATGTACGGTTCCTCGGTTTCTCAGTTGAGTAACAAGAAGGCTGAAGTCATTCACCTCGTTGGACAGCGCCAGTAGTTCGTCGGGGGCGTCCCGCAACCGCTTGATCAACTGACCCAGCTTGCCAGCTGTTTCGGCCAGTGTGATGGCGCCGCTCACCACTCCAATAACTTCCGCCATGGTGGAGTGAGAACCAGACTGTTGCAGTATGAGGATGAAGCTGAGTGACAAGTTGCCACTTCAAGTGGGGCTTAGATGCTTGTCGCGTTGGGGGCGGAATCCTGCTGAGGTAAGGTCATGTGTGACCTGCAGCCTCGGGAGTGAGGACTTGCGACTAATGAGAATACGTTAAATTAGTCCAGCTCGCAGAGAGTTAGCAAACCCTTTATAAGTGTCGTAGTATTGCTCAACGATGGGTTGCATCTCGACTGATATACTATTTAGCGGATATCCTTCGATTATGTAAAAATAATAGCCAACTTGCTGTGTCCTTTAAAGCTCGACTACTGCTCTTCTGCCATGGTGAAGCATAACAAGGCTGGTATTGTATAACGCATTAGTTTAAGTGCAAAGTTGCCATTTAAAGTGGTGATTAGATGCGTGTCGCGCTGGAGGCCTTTCGCCTTCCTCCGCCCCGAAGAACGAATACTCTAACCGTATTAATCAGGCTCCTTGTAACTACAGAGCACTTAGCTTTTTGAATAGCTTCATTCCTCTTTAACGCCCTCTATAGTTATAAATGAATACTTCCCGGCTTAGGGTTGGTTATACCATTCATGCGCACCGAATCGATAGTTGTAGAGATAGGCTACGGTCGCGTGTCCGCTTCTACCTCCTTTATCTACCGGTATTTTATAGTTTATAAAGTCTAATCTAGGCTTCTAAAACGTCCCTTCCGCTACATAAGTAACTCTAGGATTTATAGAGAGAATGGAGGAGAAAAGTAGATAAATTAAGCCCCTTCTACCCTACTCTGCTAAGACCCCTTTAAAATTTCCTATGTGTTCGAAAGTAAGCCCTAAATACTCCGACCTGCTAAACGTATCAAAGCTAAGTAGAAGAGGTGCATCGTCACAGCTACCCAATAGAAAAATAACCCATAGTCTGACCAGCAAGTTTGAAATCTATGAGATCAATGTAAGACACTCCAACGCGCTCAAAGAAATTCTCATTCCAAACAACGAGGAGAACCGTGGCTGCTCTCTCTCTGTCGTTGCTGTAGTATTCTAGTGGCAAGGTATCCAGATCCACGTCGAGGACGATGCCAGTCATGGTTCGACGATCCGACAAGATAGAGAAGTCCGTTAGGCTCAACGGGTATATTCCTTGAGCCCCCTCATAGCTCACACCAATCTCTCCAGTGTTGTGGTACCCGTTCCTTTCCCAGTTTCCCAAAGAGTAGTATCGATGGAATTTTATAGGTCCGGGGTTAAGTTCGGCTTTTAGAGAGGGTGCTTTGATACGCAAGATCTTGGCCTTGGAGAAATCGTGTTTCGTATCCAACTTGCGCTCAAGTTCGGGTCCTTCAAATGTCATACCGTCGTCCATTTCTACCGTAATCCAATGATTGGGGCTGTGCCACGCCATCCGAGTCCGACCAAAAGCTCGGTGAGGGTCAACAACGCCTGTGTCGGCCCATCCTGTCCAAGACCAACTAGGGAATCCACTGCGCCGGTTTCCTGGCCGGACAGAGATCCAACTTAAACTGTGGCTGATGGTAGTTATCCACGGATTCAGCGTGGTAGATTCTCTTTCTAGTGGGAGACCCGCAATGTGGCGCATCAGTTCTATTTCCCTCCGCTTCAGTGAGATGTTGTTGTCGCCAAGGTTCTGGTATTTTTGTAATATTCCCAACAATCCGTTGAGGATATCTTCAGACTTCGTCAGATCCAGGCGGCAATAATAGATGATCCTGTCCCAAACACTGACTCTGGTCCCTGTTCCCATGTTGAAATGAAAGTATGGTGAAACTGGTGAAGCTTGAAAGGGATCCAACCGGGTTCTTTTAACTCCAGCCAGCTCAAAAGCTTCAAATGCTGCCATCTGGCTGCATTGGAAATACACTTGTTGGTCGGTGAAGACGAGACGTCGCCTTGATAGCAGCCCTTCCTGGTACGTCCAAGCCCTGGTAGACCATTTGGATGCACCAATAAGAGCCCTTGGATGTGCAAGTGTAGCTTCAAGTGTACGGCTGCCGATTGGCACACGAAAAGGGTGTCGCAATTTTGCGCTGATCCCAGGTAATCCGTATTGAGGCCCGTCACCAGCAGCCGCTATGATAGTGACGTATGCTCCTCCGTATATGTTGTGCATGTTCGTGAGTTGATGGTCCTTGATAGCTTTCCGACTGCCTGGTGGGTCCTGCTCGATGCAAAAGCGATCAACCCAGAGGTACTGAATGCCTAATCTTTCAGTAACCAGCAGCGCGTCCGTAATGGTGGTCGGGAGGTCCTTCGGTAAGGGCATTGGGTCGTCGCTCCATACGACACTTAGGTTGAAGGTTAATAACCCCCAGACGTAGGAGAGAGCCACATATTCCACTTCTTCGTCTAGTTGATTGATAATCTTGCGAGACGTGCAATCAATCAGTTTCACTCCTTCAACCCTTTTAGGCTTAGCTGAGCAATCGCCCTTGTGATTAGCCTCGCAATCCTCGATCCATGTCCGGAGCATGCCGGCATCAACAAACGGTCTGATGCAATCAGAAGAGAGACTTTCACAATCCTCTTCGAGAATCTGGCGTTCTGCAAGATAGCCGGTCCATTCAACGCTACCGCCAAAATATCCTTCTGTTCTATTCCAGAGCATGAAATAGGGGGTTTCGTCGGAAATAATAGGTAAGAAGCGGAGGTAAATTTGTCCATGGGTTCGCTTCTCCCGCACAAGTACTAGCCTGCAGGATCGCTCTGTATGTGGACGTTTATTAAGAGAGGGGTAAATAAAGTCCAGGGCCTGACAAAAACAGCAAGCCTGATCTTGAACGATGTTTTCCCCGTGTTCAAAAGTCAGAATATCCACATTTCCGACTCCTGGACAGAGTACTTCCTTAAGCTTAAGTTCTTGGCAGCGCTTGCAGAAGGGTGGTTGGGGGTTTTGGGAAAAGGATGCGGCAGACGCTTTTGACGATGTCATATTGCATGCGCTGACTTTCAAGCTGCAAGTGAATTTTTAGTTCTCAAAGAACACAACCACATGTCAACGTATCGTGAGATACCTTCGAGTAGGCTGTTCTCGATTGGATTTCGGTGTCCCGAGCGCTGTTTGGAAATTTGAGGCTTGAAGGGATGCTTTGAAGTCGGCTTTTGTTTGTCGTTGACTTGGAGGATCTTGGGAAATGAGATGGGCTTTTATAGAGCAGGACTGGGGGATATTGCTAGCTGAAAGTCTGGATGGCGTCTCACGTGAAGTGGCCAGACTAACGTCATCAATCCAAATTAGTGGTGGGAAGCGCGAGAGCACAAGCAGAGAAGACTATGGTGTGCAACTTTGCATTTCTTAGCATCATATGATGTCAGGCCTGTTTGCAAACTGTCTTCACAGTAAAATGCACTCAGCGCCTCCTGCAAGCTGTCGTTATGGTCCACGTTTTCCCATTGGGCAATGCAAGAGATCGGCCGATACCTGTGCTGCACAGGATACTTCTAATACGTTCGCGTACAATCTGGTAAGTTAGTTTTGACTAGGATGGTCCGGCACAGAGCTGGAACGGCTGCTGCGTTGCCACCTATCACATACATGGTCCATAACTAATAAACACAAGTCGGTAGTGGCCGCACGCAAACGCGTAAGAGGTGCGCGACTTGACTGGTGGGTGCAGTGCTTGGCCTCGCTTTACCTCCTTCAGGACCAGCGAGTCACGCTGGGCTTACTTGCAGCCGGGGAGCACTGATAATGATCCGTGTTTTACCTGGTGAAGGGTTTGGAGGGGCATCAACGATGCATCTACGATTGGTAACCAATTGGGCGATTAGGAAATCCACACTGTATAAAGATTGGCTGATCATAGCCTAGAAGCCCTAATCGAGCCCTGCTGAGGTGAGACTATGCGTGGCCTATATCAGCATGAGGGCTTTCAAGTAGTGACAATACGTCAAGCCAGTGCATCCCGCGAAAATCCCGCAAGTCGTTCACGAGCATCATGGAATTGCTTCGGCGAAAGTTACAATTCAATTAATACTCAAGTCAGCGGATGTCTTTTGATTGGTCCAAGGATGACAGCCAAGCTTTTGAAAGCTTTCTAACTCGAGCGACCGTGCTCTGATACATATTCTTTACTGCTCATGCAGGTGTGAGCGATCCTCCACCCGACAAATCAAACGTGGCACCATTCAACCACGCATTCCCCTCCTCGCCGCTATCATACGTCACCGTGAACCCCGCACTCTCCACATTCGCCAGACTCGTATCCTCATTCGTAAAATTCCCGAGCACCGTATCACCCGTGACAACCCACTTGCTCGTTCCATCCAGCGCCACGCTCACGGTGCCGTCCACGTCGCCTCCCTCTCCCAACACGACCTTGCCTGTCCAGGTCGAGTGCTCCGCCAGGGACCACGTCACAGAGCTGCCGTTGTACACGACAACGTCGCCGACGAGCTCGCTTTCCTCGATCGTGACGTCTACCTGCGCGGGGAGGATGGCAGAGTTTTCTTCAGCGCCGGCGAAGTAGGAGAACTCTTGGGTGACTTGCGAGCTGTTGGCGACGAGTAGCAGACCGGAAGCAGTCGTAAAGTTGGTGCTGTAGATGGAGGCGGTGGCGATGACGTTTCCGAACCAGAGGGCGGGGCCGTCTGCAGCAGTCACGGTCAATTTGGAGGAAGCGAAGGAGATGTGCGCTCCAGATTGCCGTTCCGAGGAGGAGAACTGGGTTTCTTGTCAGCACAGAGAAAAAGTTGAGAAAGATGATGGCAAAAGCCAAAAGGGACAAAGAAACAGACATACCATGACTGTTCCGGCAAGCAATCCAGCCGTGAAATCCACGTGGTCAAACTCAGCAATCTGCGGCCCATCCGAAAAGAGTGCAGGTGCCTTCTCGGCGAGGCCGGCAACATTTTCACCCTTGACAGTACCGAGTGCGTAGAACAGCGCAGATCCAATGCCAGCAGTGTGAGCTACCGAGTCGGACACATTCACCACGCCGGCCGGGGTGTCGCCCGAAAAAGACGAACAGCGGTTGCCGCCAGAGTAGTGACGAAGGTTCTTTCCAACAATCGTGGCGTTTCCTGCAGCGTAGAGGCCATGAGAAACCGGACCAGAGCTGTACAGATCGGTGTCGGAAACGTAGACGATGGTGTTGTCGCCGAAGGCAAAGACGTTTGCGGCACCATTGTGGACAGTGATGTTGGAGTGGGTGATGGAGGCCGAAGACGCGTTGGCAACATTGATGGCTGCGTTCAAGCCGTAGAAGCTGGCTTGGTACAAGTTGGAGCTGTAGCCGTGCTTGATCACATCCACATAGGACAAGTTGAGCTGGGCGCCGTCCGTCACGACGATGACGCTGGTGTCGTTTGCGTCGACTGTGAAGCTGGTGTGGTCCGCACTGGTGACATTGCCGTCCGAGTAGTAGTACGGGCCCACGATGTCGTTGGTCTGGTAGAGGATGGGTTCGATGTCGTAAACGGCCTTGATGGAGTTGTCGGACGCATCGGCGGCCAAGTCGGCAAAGTTGCTTGGATCGGTAACCGAAACAGCAGCCAATGCTGCACCAGAAAAAGAGAGGAGGTGAGCTGTGCTAAGCATGCTGAGAGATGGCTAAGCTCGGTGGCAAATTGGCAAACTGTTGCAAGAGGCTCTTCCGGCGCTGAAGTTCCTGGACTGTATGGGATCACCTCTAAGACCTGAAGATACTTTATACGCTCTTTACTCCACTCTTGAATTGTTGTTCTCGCTGTCCGTTGTCCACTACGAAGCCGAATGCCGGAGAAAAAAGCCTGTGCCGCAAGCTTGGCACGAAATGAGGAAATGAGCGAATCGTCACCGAAATTCCTGATCCTGCGAAGTGCCCCGTGACTGCATGCTGGTCTTGGGTCGAACAAAGTATAGTGACATGCTGCGTTCATGAGGGTCCGCTCGAAAAGGTTAATGGAAGCGGGAAGATCTGGGGAAAATCTGGGGTAGGGAACTTCCCCGCGTCGGCTGACGCGTACGTGTGGAGCCGAACATGAACCCGAGCCAACAAAACACAGCTTCGGCCTGGATTTTCTTCGGAATGTGGGCCTTAGGCTAATCCTTACTACAGTCTATAGTGGTACAGAACGGCTACAAGTCCGATGACGAATGAGAACCGTTGCATAAATTCTGACGGCGCATTGCCCAAGTAGAGCAGGCCCACTAAAGCCAACTGGCCAATTGATGTTTGCGGGTACACAGAACTCCGGTATTGCAGTGGCTGCATTGCCTTTTAGATTTATCGACACGAATTCCGCTACGAAAGACTATCTTATCACGACTCCTTCGGGCTTTGGCCAAGCAACTTCGGAATGAAGGTATAGTTTCTCTTTGTTTACCAGGCCGAAAGCTTTGACGGTGATTATCTCCACACTGCTCGTTTCAATCGCAATCAAAGCCGTTGGTACCAGACACGTGGTCACACCGGACCTTTGTCACGTCCTCCCCAGTCTCCGTGTTTATGAGATCGACACCGGACATTGTAATGTCCGTGCAACCGCCCGAAGCCTCACTGCAATCCAGCCAGGCTTTGTAGCTAGTGTTGGCGTCTCCAGTCCAGTCCCTCAGCGTCATGTTCGAAATCTCAAACAGGCTGCTGTCACAATCCCCGGTGGTACCGCTGAAGGTTGTGCACTGCGTGATGTAGAATGGGTAGCGTTCTAGCTCGGAAAATGTGAAATCCTCCAGTGCTGTGCCAGAATTTAGTCTCATAAAATGTCAATTTGGATTGTTTGTACTCACTTGCATTCTTGAGGTCTGACCCACATTTGTCAGCTGCTTTTTCTCAACGGCATTTTATCACAGGACTTACATCCGATCCCCCCTCCGCCTCCATTGGGAGGGTAGTCCACTTGGTCCCCTGTCCACGTTTTCACGTAAGATCCATACCGCGTTCCCAAGAAGGTGTTTCTCCGGGCAGTGACGTTCTCAACACGCTCCCACACGCCGTCGTACTGGCCTAGGCTGCCAAAGGCAATGCCTAGCGAATTGTCGAAGGTCGAGTCTTCAATCAAGATGTTCGTCGAGTTGGCCTTCAGGGCAATGGCGTCGTCGCCATTGCGGATGTACATGTTGCGGAACGTGATGCCATCCGAGTTGATTGTATCCGCGCCGTCGGTGTTGCGGGCCGGCGCGCTGCTGCCCGAGGTGCTGTTGATGTAGACGCCGTCGAAAAGCACGTTGCTGGACCACATTATGGCCATCGTCCACATCTGGCTTTGCACCATGCGTAGGTCTTTGAAGGTCATGTTCGAAGCTTCCCACACTGCGAGAGCATGCGGCCGCTTGGGATAGTTGGATTCGCCGTTGACTAGATCGTACCTGATTCAAGTCAACAATCCCCAGCGGCAGATAAATGCTTCAGCAGGGGTGGAGTCTTACCAGGCTTGCCCATTGCCATCCAGCGTGCCGTATCCATATCCATTGACCGTCACGTTCGTGCCGCCGAGGAACCATGCCGCGCTCCCGTTCTGGAAGCCCGTCCACTGGTTGTGTGAAAGCCAGTAAGAGGTGTTATCGCTCCACTGTGTTGTTCAGCAACCATTGAATTAAAGACTCTACATGTGACGTACCAGAAGTGTCCCGTAAATGTCAATTTCCGCGTTGGACAGCCCTGTGGTCGTCATAATCTGGTCAATATGGTAGGTCTTATTCTGGAAGATGATGCGTCCATCGGTGCCGCATTCTTCAAAGGCTTCGAGGATTGCGGGAGTGTCGTCTGAGCCATCTTCGTTTGCTGAAATGGTGCAGCTTGCCCGGCGTTTTAGCTCAATTGCGCTTGACGCACAGGTCCAGAGGAGCAACAGAGCGAACACGGCGGATCGTACTGAAAGCATCTTGTCCACACTGAGGAATGATAGCAACGATGGTGAGGGCATGGAAAGGCTTGCTACGGAAGACTAGAAAGAATAATCGAGGTCCACGCCTATATACGCAGATGGTGCACGATCCTTTCCCCCCACCCATTTACATGCTTTCAATGCTTCTTTCGGGGGAAAGGAGGTTTCCAATTGGAAACCACCTATTTGGGGATCTCGGGAGAAAGGATAGCGAGGATCGCGTGCTTTCATGCAGGGGGTAAGTTTCCGGAAGAAGATGGGTTTTGCGATGTGAATCTGTGATTGGTGGATCTGCCTCCATACCTACCCGCCCTCGCTCGCTACGGCCCGCCTTCGCGACACCAAGAGATACGTCATTGACCATGGGAATGGGAAAGACCGGTAGGAAATATTGAGTTGTTTCTGTAAAAGGCAAGTGACTGTCGCCGAACATTACTTGATCCGGCACAGTTCTTCTCGTTTCTTATAGATACCCCCTGCACTACAACACTATCAACGTCCCATCCCTTCCGCTAATCAACTCAAATGGCTTGTTGTACCCCCTGTCATTGACCGCACTTACTTTGTTTCGTTGTTTGATTCTCCCGAGACGTAGGGCACACCCCGCGTAGACTCTGTCATTCTTGTCTTGTGCTTTGTCCGGTGCAGAGTCTGCCGGAAGCCACGCCATTGGTGGGTTTTTCATAGTGACTCACAGATCCTGCACTTATAGAGAGATAGTCTCAAGCGTAATGGGATAAATCGGCGGATTCCACGCATTGGTTGATCATCTAAGATTTTCACTAGCTACACTTCGAATATCTCTCATGGCTATGACAAATGTAAAGAATCGACGCGCCGCAAAGTCCTCAGCCGGAACCCAACCTTCGGTAAAAGAAACGCCCACAAATATTCACCTCCGACGCCTGAAGGGGAAGTGAATATTGCACTGCCATGATCTAAAATGAAGAATACACAACATGCCGTCGCATTTTGCTAGCGAGAAAAACAAAAAGATACCCTCATGACCAAATCCAATTTCTCTTTCTCCATGTAAGTGTGAAACTCATGTCCAATAAAATCCTCCTTTTGAAGTCGAAAACAATTCAAAGTAGATGGGTGGTGTTGAAAAGACGATTGCTTGTATCGGTGTCACGGCTGCCTGTGAACTTGTTGCTGGAATGCCGGAGGGCAACAAGATTGACCTTTCCATCCCCAGCGAGAATCTCGTAGGATTCGCTGTTTGGATCGATGAACTGCTCCTGAACCACGCCAGCTACAATGATGATGCGAATGGTTGAGTGTAGGCGGCGGATCGCCTGAACAAACTTCACAATGGACTCGCCCGTGTTGATCACTGAATCCACCAGTAGGACTTGAGATTGCCCTTCCACGTGATGGGAGTTTACCTCCTCGGGCCCGTTGGCGTGGACGAACATAGCCAGCGGAAAGACGTCATTGACTCCCATTGCCATAGGTTCTCCTCCCCGCATGAGTGCCACAATTGTGGTTCGCTTTTCGTGTTGAAGCCGGTATCCAGTGCTCTGATGGCCCATGACATGAGGAGTATCATACTCTTCCAGGCCGATGATGCTGGCAACAAATTCGGTTGCAAGGTATGCTCCAGCACGGCGATGAGCCTCCTGAAGTGTTGGACCAGAAATGGCGGAATTGCGCATAGGGGTTGCGAGCAATTTTGCTGACGTCTTGTTCGTTGCAATAGTGGCGAAATTGGCTATGGGAACCTTTCTTCTGCAGAGTATTTTTTCGATGATATCACGCTCGGTGATAAGGGGAAGCGTGGTGATGTCGAGTCGTGGCGGTGCATTACGGGGCAGCAAAAGCTGATGAGCCCGGAAGCCGTGGTTGCGGATGAAAATTGGTAGCGCCTCGTCCATGCCTTGCTCCTGGTTTCTTTGTCGCCCACCACGACAACGGCTTCATCTGCCTCCTGCAGCATCATCATGTCCAGTGGGCTATCTCCAAATGCCCAAACGTACAGTTTCTGGGACTTCCGGAGATGGTTCACCGTGGCAGCCTTGACTGCTGCGGAAACTACGAACCCGTCTGAAACACGGCCGCCAGCGATAACCTTGACTGTGCTTGAAAGCCCTTCTCTTTCCATCACTTTCTCCCACACGCGTCGAAGGCCACAGCTGACAACGACTACGCCAATATGCTCTTGTCGCGACGCCAGCTGCAGAAGCGTCGTGAATTCCGGGTACATTGTAACTTGTGAAGCGACATCCGAGCACAGCGCTTCGTACTCTTGATCATCGACGGCGTCTTCGCACAGCAGGGCGGCTTGTCGAAAGGCATCATATGAGTGCCCCAAAGGGCTGCTGAAAAGAGATTTGAGAGGGGATGATCCGCGCGCTCGCTCCTGGGATGCTGTAAGTTGAGCCCAGAACAACGCCCCAGTGTCGACCGGGGCCAACGTCCGATCGCCGTCCACGACAAGAACCGTTTCCAGCCGCTCTTTGCGGGGCGACATGATTTCGTCCAGCTTGGCTTCGGCGCAAGATAAGTTGTGTTCTTCCGTGTGTCGATGAAAATCCCGCAACAGCGCCGAGATCGTACCCACTGATGACCGGTGCGGGCCGAGAACCGAGAACAAGATGGAATTCTCCCGGCAGAGTACGCGTAGCCTGTCCTTTTCGGCCTGCTGCCATCTCATCAGATGGTCTGTCGTTACAGACGGTCGCGATCGTTCCGTGTCATCCCGACGTCGTTGCTCGACGACGTCAGCGGGAACGTCCAGGTAAACGATGTGGGTGTACGTTTTCAAGTCGCTTGGAGTGTAGACCATCTCTCCCTCCTCCTCTCCTTCCCGCCAGAACATGAAGTGACCTGTAACAATCCCAGTCTTTCTGGTGGCTCTACAGACATTTTCGATGCTGTATATTGCCTCTTCGCGCCACTTCGTTTTCTCCTGGTCGTCCAACTGCTTGAAGGCCACCAGACCTCCCGGAACAAGAGCTGCAATGACCTCGGATCCTTCGAAGAAGTAGAAATCGGCTTCACCAAGCTCGTGCTTCAACTGATTGAACAAGAAGGTTTTGCCTGCCCCAGGCACTCCATAGATACCAATGACCTTTGGCTTGGTACTGGTAGTGGAGGCGTGCATACGGCCAAATTGATTGATTGTGTCTTGGTCCATTATTCAGTTGGGTCTGATGATTTTCGATATTTCCGTGTTGCTCAAAAAGCTACGTAAACAGTAACTGTAAAAGTAAGAACTGTGGGAGTGTTCTCAAGGAGTCAGAAAGCCAATGTGAGGATAGATAGTAGAGTTGCAGAGTAGCTGGTACTTATCTACCTTCCACCACGCTATTTGACATCAGCGCACCAGAGAATCAAGCCGCAATCAAGGCCCCATATAGCACTGTTGTTCATGCGGAAAACGTAGGTAAGTATGATCATTGTTTTTCTATCAAACATCTTTACTACAGAGCATTCTACACAGCAAACAAAGGAAAACAGTACCGCTCAGTTTTCTTTGACCATGCTGCCCGCGAGCATGATACAGATCACATTACGATTGTTCGACCGGCTTATTTCCGCATTACTGCCGGGATTGCAGCCTGGGTTACACACAGGAACGCCACCGCAGTCTCCAACACAGTTGTGACTGGACATAGGCTGAATGGCCCCCACGTCACGCGAATGGTTAGTCGCAACAACGCCCGGCCGAGGAGTGTCGCGCATTTGATACGTTGCAGCTTCAAACTAAGCATGCATTGCGGAGATGACTGCATGCATTTGTACACAGCGACACTCCATAAAGTGCGGGAAGGCAACAGCTCTAGCACTCAGCCTCAATATTTTTCTCTTTCCTTTCAACTACGTTTTGTCGAAGATGATCGGCCGCAACCGAGGCGTATCCGCGTCTTCGCGTGTCTCTGCATTTGAGCTTGATCGCATGCCTCTTTCCAACAACGATTCTGCAGCAGCATTGTTACATGAGATCAATGAAGAAAGGCGGCAGCCGAGGAGTTTGCATTTAGAGGCCACCACCGTGCCACCACCCACAACTCACCAAACAAGATCTCGCACCATCGCCGCTACTCTGGGATTCAGTGCATGGTTTTACGAAAGCCTTGCGCTGATTCTTTCGGCAGCATCCTTTGTAACGCTCATCGTAATTCTTTCGCGATACGACGGGAAACCTACTCCCGCTTGGAAGGCGGGCATGTCCATCAACGTTCTTGTATCGTTGCTTTCCGTTGTTTTTCGAATTTTCATTATGCTTCCAGTAGAGCAGTCCATCAGCCAAGCAACATGGGTCGCTTTGAGCAAGGAACCGCGTCCACTCAACGAGGTCATCTACTACGATTCGGCAAGTCGTGGGCCTCTTGGGAGCATCCTTTTGATTATCCGTTTGAGGCTTCGGTATGTGCTTGGTCATCTGTTTTGAAAGTGTGCTAACCATATTCTGGGAATGAAGCTACTTCGCATGCATCGGCGCCGCCATCATCATCATCGCTATTGGGACAGGCCCTTTCTTCCAGAGTACCCTCGAATCAGCGCCCAGACCTGTAAAAAGTTCGAATTTAGTAGCCATGGCAACAACCGCGACCACCTATGATGGAAATATTGGCTCAAGTGGTGGCGGAGAGTTCAGCACAATGAGTAAGTGAGAAGTTGAACATTTCCTTTGGAGCCAGGATATGTGGCTGAAATGGCAGGGATTCAGGACACAGCTTACCGCCCTACCTTCGAAGTTCCATGTACAGCGGCCTACTCTCGTCACCAATAATATCACTACCAGATCCTCCATTCAGCTGCCCTACTGGCAACTGCACGTGGGACCCATTCGCCACCCTCGCTGTGGGGACCCAATGCGTCAACTTCGACTCTTACATCCAGATGAATTGCAGTCCCAACCAGCTTAACGACTCCCTGATTACAGTAGATAATTGTGCATTTTCCGCCGCCGATCCCGACGATAAATACACTGAAAACTTCCTGGACGGGACAGGAAATCACACTCTTATGAAGATCGAATCGGGGAATCCGGTCATCTTCCGACAGCCAACGTTGACCCAGTTCGCCCCACTGGATATTGGGGATAAAAACGGCGGCTTGGCCCTGGTTCAATGGATCAAAGCCACGGACAACGTCTACCGTCCGGCAGCCTCCAGCTTGTTATCTTACATCCAGCAAAACACCACATTCGAAGCACGCAGGTGCCTAATATACGTCAACGTCCGCATCATCTCCGCGCGCGTGGACGGCGGCTCCTACTCGGAAACGGTTCTCGACGAGATCGTATACGCCGACAACGCAAGCGCCACGGTGTTTGAGGAGGGACCAGGCCTCCAGTTCCACCTCAACGGCAGCGCAGCATCACACGGAGTCAAGGGGACGTTGACACTGCCTCAGCCCGGCAGAACCATGATAGCGTCCGAGATGGTCAACGAGATGTTCTTCGACAAGCTCGTCAACGCTACCCAAGGCGCAGGGACCCAAGGGCCTGAAATAGCACGGATGCTGTACACGGCCGATAACACCACGCAATCTCTAGAGCACATGGCGCACTACCTGACGGTAGCCCTCCGCGCCAACGACACGGTTCTGCTGCAAGAGCAGACCGGAAATAGCTCGGCCATCGCGCCCAGCCAGGCCGTTGACGGCACCGTCTGGGTCCAGGAGATCTTTGTCCGTGTGCACTGGGAGTTCCTCAGCCTGCCGGCGCTAGTTCTCGCGCTGACAATGGTGTTTCTGATCATCACCATTGTCAAAAGTCATCCGGAGAGCGTCGGGCTCTGGAAATCCAATCCATTGACTCTGCTTTTCCACATCGATAATCGAAGTGCCCACGTGGATAGTCCAATGACTACGTCAGCCGAGTTGGAGAAGGTGGCAGCGAAGATGCAGGTGGATATCGTAATGAACGAGGATTGTCATCACGTGGCTCGAGTAGTTGACAGAGTAAATGTTTGATGCAATAGGGGACCGAGAAGATAGGAAGAAAAGAATAGCCATGTTTTTTGACTAGAGTCGAGACCTGGAAGCGCGCGACGAGGCTGAACGCGTCGCGTGATGAGTCATCTCATGGCCCCCACCACCGCACCCGTATCTGCAGCCAAAACGTACCGGGGGGTATCGCAGCCAAGGGTTAGCGTGAAGAGCCCTAGGCATAACTATGCCTCAATTCTTTTCTTAGAAAAATAACATATGTGGGTAGCTAAAGCTATAGTCTGGATGAAAATGTAGAGCTAATCATTACACACTCACGTCCAGATGATAGCTTTAGCTACCCGTGATATGAGCGAAAATCCACGCTGGACATCAGCTGCGGCCAGCTCGTATGACAACATCATGGAAGGATCAATGCCAAGGCAGGATTTCTGCAAAGTCTGCCTCCTTGCGTCCGTTAAATATTAGACTCTCGCCAGTTTCATCCCACATTCGTCTTCGACTCCATCCCGCCCAAAATGGCTTACAACAACAATAATCCGATCTTAATTTCTCTTACAATAGTGGTCCTTCATTCCTTGCTGCCATTTATACTGTTCATTGTCGTCACCATTGTCGCGCTCATCCTGATGCTGAAGCATCGAACATGGTGCGCTTTGGCTTCGGTGATCGCGGGCCCATTCCTTGCCCTCGGCTGCCTCGTACCAAAGATCATCGTGAAGAATTGGGGGCCACCGGGTGCCTTACCAGTCAGCCTGGACAATACCTTCATCTGGTAGTTTGGATCCCCGGTGCTGCTTCATCAGATGGATGGCTGACTATTTGTAAGCTTCGGCGCATATCTCATCATGCTACAAGTTCTCGTAACCTTTTCCCGCATGTCCTCTTTCCTTCAACCAGGTCCAGATGGCTATACTCTGCTGAAGGAACGCAAGATTGCGTCATACCTACTTCATTTCAATCTTTTTGGCATCTGTGCATTGTTCATACCGCCGGTGCGGATCTTTGCTCTCCTCCCCGAGGTACCCTTTTGTGTCTATTTTGCATACCTTCATTACGCGCACGCCGAGTCCTTTACCCGAGCGGCCGAGCGAAAACATGCTGCAACACTATCAGAAGCGGAATCCTCTTATTCCATGATGGACCTGTTCGTCGCTACTCGGCAAATTGCAGTGATATTGATAGTGAGTATAGCTTGTTACGAACATTTGCAGCCAATGTAAATCTTACATATTGAACAGCTTCGGTCCACATGCGGAGGTATTCTTTCGCTATGTCCGCCGTCTCACCTACGCTTATTACTGGACGTGATTGCAAGTCAAGGTGCACTGCTTTGTAAGTTTCGTCTCCTCTCTCTACTTGGTGGCTATATTCTAAAAAGAATTTGAAGTGTGTTACTGGACCTTCTTTCTCAGCTATCCCGGTTGGTACTTGCCTAAGGAGTGGACATATCTGCGCTATCGCCCGGAACCGAAAGGCTATCAGCCAGTTCCTCTCACGGACCTCAGTTGATCTAGATAAAAGACATATTTGGAGTTATTCTTCGGCCTACGTTCACGACGGAAGGCTTCTCAACAAGACACGATTCAATTTCAAGCTTTCCAATGAAATTTCAATATTTGCCTTTCAACATCTTGACATGAATGACACCAGAAACCATACTCTATAGTCTTTTCACCGTCCTCTTAGCTGTAGGAACCGCTAATAATTTGCTCCTTCTTTGTTATCACATCTGATTCCCAACGTCTCCAGCCCTGTTGGTCATCAACCATCCATCAACCATCCATGCCAACCATATGATCTTCCGATTGTCGCTGCAAACTGGGCTCCTCAGCAAGCAGGCTTTATGATCGCCAGAACCAAGCCTCTACGGCAAAAGAGGGAAGAACGGACGCAACTTGTTGCCAACACGCACGAAGACGACCGGGTCGATGTCGTGGCGAAGCGCAACCTGCTCCAGCTTGCTGTCCTTAGCGGGGTTGACGACCTCGCAGATGGACTTCCAGTTGGGTGCGCCGCAGAGGTAGGCCGCCGTCCGATAGAAAGCCCAGCGCATGGTGAACTTTCCTAGCATGAAAGCGTAGACCGGCGCATTGTGCAGGGTGGCGAGGGGAGGCAGGTCGCCGACCGAGAAGCCATCGTATTGGGCGCGGCTGATTGTGAAGATGACGTCGGAGCTCTCGCTGAGCCGCTCCACGAGGGTGACTGCGGCATCGCGTTCTTGGATCTCCTCTCTGAGGCGATCCTCGTGCCAGGATGCGGGTGACTGGCGCGCGAGGCCGAGCACTGCGTGTCAGCGGTGGAGGAACTTCTGAAGCATCGGGCGCATTGTTTTGAGTTTCGTGGTTCGTTGTTTGTTTAGGAGGATAGCGGTTCTGGGTGGGCTCAGGTGGGATGCTGGCTCGAGGGCGATGAGGATAGTAATGGAGGCGGGCGAGGCTGTTGCGAAAGCCAAGTGTGGTTCGGTCGCTTGAAGGTGGGTGTTGTAGAGAAGAAGAAGAAAGAAGGCCGGACCGGTGGACAGCTGGGTATTTAGGCTTGGGCCGTGGCAGTGAATGTATATACGGGCCGAGAGGTCCAGTCACTTGGACAGAAATTTGTGATATACCAGCCAACTATAACACCTGTGCCTACGGCTTCAAGTATAACACCTGATCTTGCACCGGATGTGGGGCGTACTAATACAGGGAACAGCATGCCGTCTCTCAATACTGTTAAAAGATGAAAGCACCCATGTCTCTCAACAATGGAGGCAAGACTGCCCTTGCCTTGTGCCCATTTGCGGTCAGAAGGACTTTTTGACGGTATTTCATTAGAAGGATATATTTGTATGTGTTGCTACAGTAAAGGGTAAGATATTAATAGAGATAGGCATGTGGTTGGATTAGAAGCGCAATCAAGCGTAGCGCAAACATGCTACAATCACGTTTGTTGGCAGCCCTGCCTTGCTGTCTAGCTTCTACTCTCCAGCTCAGCCTGGCACCAAACATGGATTCTCCAATAGTCACCCTTACCGTAACTCTGACTCCTTAATTCTCTAGCTAGCATGTGTGCTAGCGCTCACCGTTCAGGCAAACTCGCTTTTGTCATCTTGATTATGTGGCAACACTTAGACCCTCTTCGTTACTGCAAATCTAAGCAGAAGTTGTTGGTAAGCATGTTTAGTTTCCTAGAGGAAGAACTGCTTCTTATTTACATAAAGGATTTGCCGAGGAAAAGAGAAAACGCGGAGGAAACACGTGATGAAGTTGCCATGAATAAACAGTAATAGATACCCCTTAAACGAAAAGCGTTCCCCTCACAGTTCACATAAAAAGCAACACAAAGTTTCTATGGCAGCTGTACCAATCAAATCCTGAAGCTCGCTCATCAACATCTTCCATGATCATTCGATGTTGAACCACTGACCCCTATACACCCCCCTACAACCACCTTCCGATCTGAGTTCTTCTCGTAGAGAATCAGGATCTAGAGGATCTGCGTGCAAAGGATCATGGAAGTGAGGACTGTTGAACATCTCGCCTTGCATGTAGCCTGGGAGACAGCAAAAGCCGACAAACTTGTACTTCGGCCCTTGTGTGACCCGCTCTGATCGAGACATATTTTCGGGATCCGGCGTACGGCGAAGAATACATGGAACATTGCAGCCGTCTAGTATGACAACGATGTCCTCCTCCTGGACGCTTTCGTGGCAGATGCCCAGTTTTCCTTTCCGGGTGAAAAAGACAATATGCCTCCCTTTTTCGAATTCTCTTATGCAAACGGGTGTTGAAATATCCTGACCCGAGCTGAACTTTGGATCTTTCCTTTCCAGCAACGGCCAGAGGTCCCGTACTGCGTGATCAGGCATGTCATCCAGAGATCCCTGCGCTTTTTCGGATTGCAGTAATCCAATCAGGAGTTTTGTGAGCGTCTCTTCTCCCATGAACATGAATAATTTCAGGGAGTCGCAGAAAGACTCCAACAAGGGTTGCTGTCTGTGCTCGGGTGAACTATGTGTCCGTTGAAAGAAAAGTGTATGGTTGATTGCGGAGACAGTCCATAGGGTGTTGAGAAGTGATGTTCCGAGAGTCTCAGCATTGAACTCCTTCGCAGATGCCTTGTTAATCCGCTCCATCCATGCAGGAGCTCTGACTATTGCAACTACCGTCCCCCAAACAGAAAGAACATTATTACTAGAAATCTTTATCCTAGGGGTGTGTTTCGTGCAACAGGCTGAGAATTGAGGTCCAGAGATCTTTCTGCTCACTGGTGGAATTCTCGAAAAGTCGGGAATCCAGCTGGGAAGATCGAGGTGAAGGCGGTGAGGCGCGTTTAGCTCAATAATCTTCAACTCGTTAAGAGACCCTTTTGATTCGACAACCCATTGCATGAACCTTGTGTAGGCCTATCTTACTGAGTCCGTATAGTTTGGCCGAAACGCTGGCGTCCAGGATGGAATGTCGGTTGGTATTGAAGAGATGGCATTCACCTTGTCCCGGATGTCGCTTGCTTCTAGCTCATTCATAGACAATAAGACTTGGCTTATCGTGAGTTCAGTGCGGCTACCACTTTGTTTGGATACTAAATTGAAAGGTCGAAGGATATGTTGAGGTGTGCCCAAGCTCCATTCATATATGGAATGCCAAATTGATGGAAATCGAAGATCATCTCCAGATCGCATAGGCGTTTCGCTGAATCGGGCATGAAATAAGTACTTTCCAACAATAGCTTGGAGGTAAAAAGATGAGAGCTTCAGGAAAGGGAAGAGAGAGAAAGACATGTTTGGTGCTTTATACTCGTAATTGACTTCAACGTGTCTGTTGCTCAAGATTTCTTGCACAACCCATATACGCCGGAACCAAATGGATTGTGAAACAGTAAACCATGCGGAAAGTGCTGTTGAGGAATTCAAAGTATGGACTACTCTCTTCCTCCCACAAAGTACGTGTGGGTAAATTGGACAGTGCGAGCAACATGCCGCCGAGTAGTTCCAGACGGGGGATGATGGTTGAAGGACCCTCTGCAAATACTCATGAACTGCCGAGTCTGAGACTGACAAAAGAGGATAGTGCATCCAGAAAACGAGATTGTAGATCGTCTCCTGAAGAGTTGATGACCAATGAATAGGGTTTCTGTCTTTGCTAACCTCTGCGTATGGCTTGCAACCACTCGGCCTTTGAGCGGTCAGCTTTTGGGCATAGTCATCTGATGGCGTTTGAAACATCGCTTCGCTGAACTCCTTTAAAACGGAAAACCATAAGAGCTTTTCGAAGGGCATCTGCGGGACAAACGAGAAAAACATCATGAGATCGGTGAAGCCAGGATCCTCCAGGAGCGGATGCCGTCCTGGTATCGTCCAAGCCAAATGCGGACCGAGGCGGCTGATGCATACACTTCACGCATGAAGCTGACTTGGTCGCTCCTCTCTTCCGTATCGCCTTGGTTAATGAAAAGCATATCAGCCCGTAGGAATTGAGAGCCGTGGGAAGTGATGAACGACCGAAGCGCGGCGTGCAGATTCGTCGTTATTTGGAAATCTTGGACAATAGCGATCGGCTGAGAGAGGGCCCTGGGAGAGGCCTTATCTGACCAGGCCGTATCAAATGTTGTATTTTCTCCCAGCTCAAGATTGATTAGAACAGTCTCATCAAGACTTCCCTAGCAATATGAGAGAGCTTGGTACGGAGGGGCCTTGGCAAGGGTCGTGCGAAATAGGAAGCAGGCAATGCGGTCGCCTTCGGCACGGGCCTCTATCAAGCGGATCTTTCGCGTTGCTGAGTCTAGACGCCGGTAATGACTGTAGTAGTTTGGGATCTTCCGGGTAATTGGGTCGTCCATCCTCGTTTCGAAAACGCGCGAGAAGCCGGGTCACTGGGGTAGGTGGTTGATTCATATTCGCATCATCTTCCATCTCAGACTGGGCTCCTTTGAATGCTGACTGTATTCTCCACTTCAATGATGTGACATTCACGGAGAGGCAGCACTCTACCTACCTGGTTGGAGTGGGCGATACCAGTGCAGATACCTGACGGGTTAGACATGTCAAGTGTCTCGAATGATCGTAAGGCCAAACGCGTAAAAGAAGGAAGAAAAATGCACGAGAGAAGCCCGTCAAGATGGACACTCCTTATAACATTAGCCTCATGCGTAGCAACAAATGTAGGGGCTTAAGAATTTCTGTCAAAATACAACGACTTCTTGAACGTCTTCCTCTTCAAGAACGACAAATGCGTGGAAGAAAGGGAAGGGGTAGCAGTGAATGGGTTCCGAAAAGTGATGTCACAGGCTTGGAAGTTATAAAACAGCAATCCTATGCACCATTTCCCTATTTTGTACACCTGCTAAAGGTGGCTGTGCTAAAGTCATATCACGTGATTTTAGCACTTTATCTCATACTCTCATACTCTATCCTGTATTTTAGTATGAACGAACAATCTATTCATTCCGTTACAGATCGATCTTCACCAGGCTGAACTCTGAAGGCGGCTATATGCGGCTCGGAGGAGAAGAGGATGGTCATGGGGTTGCGCGCAGTGCCAGTGGGTGAATAAAGAAACGATTTGTAGAAGTGTGGTGATCAGGGCTGAAAACAAAGGTGTCTGCCTAGCCATTATGAATTTCCGGCTTTTCGCCCAATCACCGATCTGTCACTTGGATGGCTGAGGCTCAGCGAAGCTGCAACATTGACGCAACCCCGCTATTTTCGATAGTATGTGCATATTACTGACCGGTGAGACTGCGCCACGGTGCAGCCTGGCAGGCGAATAGTGGGGGCGTCGCTCATGGTTGGTTGGGGTGGCACAGTGGGGTAACTGTGCCACACAGTTACAGAGCTCGCCTCAGCCTAGGCCCCACCACAGCCCTTGACCGCCCCCAGTATTTTCCGCCATTGATATGAGCGTGGTGCAGTTTTATCCAGCCCTTGCCTTTCAGTTTGCCCCGTTTGTAAGATACCATACCAATTGAAAAAAGGCTGCCTTGCACCAACTGGCTTATTTTCGTCTTCCCTTCAGCATTGCACATCACCCAAATTGTCTCAACTCATCGTTTTTATTCTTTTGTGTTGCAATCTTGAAATAACTACTCCATCTCCAATGGGTCTGGCAGACCTTTGGTCCTACGCACAGCTTATTTTCACCGCTATTGGGATTATAGCTGTCGTCCATCGTTTCCTCCTCTCAAACCGTGATAACGTCACCGAACTCACCACATTTCAACCTCCGGTAGAGGATGAGACCATCAATATTCAACAAATCGAATCCATGTACGGCGACATCTCTGCTACAACAGGTAACGGACCTCGCAAAAAACTGCGATGCGGCGACTACTCAATTGGCATCATCACCGCACTGCCGAACGAGATGAAAGCAGCCAAATCTGTGCTGGATGAAGAACATGAACCACCTGCCGATTTCCGCAAACCCGACGTCGATTATAACCACTACGTTTGGGGAAGTATGTCGACGCAAAGCGAAGCGGCGCACAACGTAGTGATCGCCTCCTTTCCGGCAAGGAAACCTGGAATCGTTACCGCTGCCGATGTCGCCAGGCTAATGGTCACCACATTTCCATCCATCCGACTAGGTCTGATGGTCGGCATCGGTGGTGGTGTTCCCACTTCCAATGACATCCGCCTTGGGGATGTTGTTGTCTCCCTAGGATCTGGAACAACTGCTGGCGTAGTTCAATACGATTTTGGAGACGAGGAGGAAGAGGGATTCGAGCGCAAAGGACAGTTGAACAGTCCGCCGGCGGCTCTTCTGAGTGCCATAACTGCCTTGAAAGCGTGCGACTCGGCATCTTCACTGATCAGAACAGTGATAAGAGCGTCCTCGAAGATTCAGGAGACTGATTTGAATCTGGACAACGAGCCTACCTATACCTATCAAGGTATTGAAAACGATCGATTATTTCAGTCCTGGTACCATGGTCCGGGTTCTGTACGATGGTCCATTGTTTCTTCACTCTTCCGGTCACTGCAACGCTCTCGCCCGTCACACAAGGATTGCGCCAGTTGCGATCCAAGGATGTTGGTCAAGAGAAATCCACGGCGCCTACCGAACATTCCACGAATTCGCTACGGCCTGATTGCATCAGGAAACAAGGTTATCAAAAGCGCCAGGACGAGAGACAAAATTGTAGCCAGTTTGAAGCAGGACACCAACGGCGGCGATTGCCTTTGCTTCGAGATGGAAGCCGCTGGGCTCATGGACAACTTCCCTTGTTTGATAATTCGAGGAATCAGTGATTACGCGGATACTCATAAGAACGATATGTGGCATAACTATGCTGCATTGACTGCGGCGTCATATGCTAGAGAGTTGCTCCGAGTACTCTCGACTGCTGAGGTATCTTTGTCGAAGCCAGCTAGAGAGATCATTGGACAGATTCAGCGGGGTTAGTTGCCACTATAGCCACACTTACACCATATTGATTCATAGAAACCTTTCTGACTTATTTGCAGATGTGAAAATCATGAGAACCGACCTTCAGAAGATATCTGACAAACAGATCCATGACTGGCTGAAACCATCTGACCAACAGACCAATTTCGACCAAGCTCAGAATGAAATAGAACGCTACCAAACGGAGAGCACCTGGTTCTTCGAACACGAAGACTACAGAGACTGGTCATCTCATGGGATTCACCACATCTGGTTGCATGGGCAGTCTGGCTGTGGGAAGACTGTTCTTGCCTCCACTGTGGTAAAACAGCTCTCAGCAGAGGGGAAGCTGTGCCTCTACTTCTTCTTTGATTTCCGAGACCTGAAGAAGCAATCACTTGACTCTCTCCTCCGTTCGCTCATCTGGCAACTTTTCTCGCGCTCCGACTACGAAAACGTGAAAACCCTGGTGCGACAGTTGTACGAGGACCGGAATTCTCCAACTCCGACAATAAAGAAGCTGAGAGACATGTTCGATAAGATGGTAGAAGAGGAGGGTGAGGTCCAAGTGGTTCTTGACGCTCTCGATGAATCAACAAGAAAAGGCACTGACAGAGACGAACTTCTGCGATGGCTGAAACCACGAACGCAGTATGAGGGACCCGGGGGTTGCGCACTCCGAACCCTCATTACAAGCCGAAGCAACCAGCAAGATATCGTGAATGTTCTTGGTTCTCGATGCCCAGGGAGGAGAGAGATATGTATCGAGAATGAGTCTGCCAAAGTTAAGGCTAACATCCGCCAATACATCCACAAACGCCTCAGCAACGATGAGGGGTTTGCAGAGTGGAGAAGAAACACCAAAATGAGCTTTTCTCTAGAAGCTGAGCTGCAAGATCAAGGAGATATGGATCAGTGGCACCCAATCATGAACGAAATGGAAAAATGCTTGGTTGACAAATCTGGCTTTATGTAAGACTTGAAAACCTTCGCGGTTGTAAATACGAACTAATGCAATTTAACTTAAGGTTTCGCTGGGCTTCCTTGACCATTGACTCGCTGGGGAAGATGGGCACAATTCAGAAGATCAAAGGAGCTCTCGAGAGCTTACCTAACGGATTGGACGAAATCTATGCCCGAAGTCTCGAAGAAACCAAACCCCATGAATCTGACGCTATCCGGATCTTGCAATTCATACTACTCTCTCCCGCACGCTTCAATGAAGAAGCAATATTAAACGCAACTAGTGTCGACCTGGACGCTCCTCCAGGGTGTGGAATTGATCCGACGAGGAGAATGAACAGCTTCGATAAGTTGTCGAGCCTTATGTCAACGTTCATCAGGAGGAACAATGATACGGGGTGGCTTCAAATTGCGCACTCGTCCGTAAGAGACTACTTGCTTTACACGGGCCCTGGAGATCCACCGAAGTACAGGTTTCGGGAAATCCCGGCAAAAGCAGCTATTGTGGGAGTCTGCCTGGGTTATATGGACTCATTTCTCACACATGCAAGCCCATCCGACCTGAAACGTCCTATTTATGATGTCTGGCTATACCATGTAGACAATATTTGGAAGGATCTTGTACAGGAACAGGAATATCGACATCAAAGAAAGACTAATCCTGTATCCCAAGCAGTTGCGCTTAACGCCAGTCTACAAGAACGGACGGTTCAAGAGGAAGCTTACAGTTCCATTCTGAAGTTTCTGATTCACAATGGTTCTAAGCTACAACACTGGACTTCGTATTATCACGATATAATGTACGGAGGCCCTCCTTTGTACGTTGCTTCTGCGATGGGGCTCACCCGAATTGTTGAAGAATTGCTTAGCGCCGGTGTCGGAGCGAACGAGAAGGCAGGGATTGATGGATTTATTGATGCGGTTGCGCTTCCAGATTCATTTTACAAGGATACTCTGGATCGTTTCGGGGTCGACGAGCATGAGGAAATAAAATATGCGCCAGGTTCAGCCCTAGGCTACGGGTCTGCCTTGGTAGCTGCATGCCACCAGGGACACGAGAGAATTGTCCAGATTCTACTTGACAGCAAAGCCGATGTCAACAGCGACGAGAGCAGTGTATACGGAAGTCCTTTGAATGCTGCATGCATCCAAAATCACGGCGCCATCGTGGAAATGCTCCTTGAGAGAGGCGCTGATGTCAACCAAAGAGGGGAGTTGTCTAGATATCCCTTAGTTACCGCATGCGTTTCAGGGAATTCAGAGATGGTGAAGCTCCTCCTTGAAAAAGGGGCCGATGCCAATATTGGAAGTCCTCTGCAAGAGTCCTGCTCTCAAACCAGAGAAAATGAGGCTATTACCAAGATGTTGCTCGAACATGGAGCCGATGTCAATGCAGAGGGGGGCTTTCACGGGACTGCTCTGCACGCTGCAATTGAGAATGGGCACAACCGAAGCATTGAGCTACTTCTTAATGCAGGGGCTAATATCTATTCTGAAGTCGGCAGACATGGGACAATATTTGAAGCTGCGTGCTACAGCAAGAGCGAGGAAGCCTTTCGGCTATTGATCAAAGCAGGAGCCGATCCAAACGGTCTCTCACCTGGCCGTGGCCGAATACTACGGTTAGCGGCTTTTAAGAAGCGGGGTGATATTGTTCGATATCTTCTGGAGACTGGAGCGGACTTGGTTGATTTAGTTGGGCTCCCATACTGGAAGCAGGAATATGTATTTGACGTGGCTCGAGCATCTTGTAACAAAGGCATTCTAGAGCGGTTGAAAATCAGAAAGCGTTAGGAAGGGCTCAGCCACCACAAAGGCCAAAGTTTTGGCAAACCATTTACCATCCAGCAACTTTGGCCAAACGCGCCTCTCCGTGGATGATCATGGACAGGAACCTTCATCCTCTTCCTCTAGGTGCTATAACGTCAACGATTGGGACAGCCTCTGCAGCTCCCAAGTATACTTGGAAAGCCTTTCGGAAAACGGTGATGATGGCTTTTCTTTTCATACCAAGTATCACACAAAAGGAACGGACTGGGGTTGCCTGCAAATTCCCCAGTAGGAGAAGTTTTGGAAGGGTGGTGGTTTACTGTATGATTACGAAATCTTGCACTCTGCACTCTAGCAGCTTCATTGGTAGCTTAGTCGTTTGACAAGGATATACAGAGGAATACTGTAGCCGATGGCTAGCGCGAAGAATAGTAGGCCCCTGGAATATAGCGTAAATTTCGGATTTTGTTTGCCTTTTTAAATAAAAGTGGGAGAAAAGAAAAGGAACGCATATGGGTAGTTGAAGCTATGATCCAGGCGTGAATGTACAATTATTAATTCTACATTCACATCCGCATGATAGCTTTAAGTACATATGGCATAAAAGCTAGCCGTCGGCTGTAATACCAAACCCCCTCCCCCTCAGCCCCGAGTCGTATGGCCGCCTCCGAGTTACCTACCCTCTTAGTGATCATGTCACATATTCACTGCATCCAATGTAGTCGGTCTTCACCACGTATTGCGACATGAGACGTGCGGTCAGATGATAGACAGACATCATCACTGGTCTGGGGCTGCAGGGGGTGATGGGTCTAGCCAAGGAAAAGGACTATATGGGCGGCACTAGCGGCATTTCTAGTATTACGTGATTTGCAGTAGGCATTGCGCAATGAATTCTCCTAAGTCTAAGGTGATACATGGTGATAGCTCTCACGGCGAAATCATTCTAGCCTTAGGCCTGGTGACAATGAAGTTGAAAACAATGAAAATAAGCTAAATAAAAGTTTTTTGACGTGACCCAACCTTTTTTTGATTTTATTTCATTCCATCAATGACTCTCTCCAGACTTTCCCGTCAAGCGATCGGTTTCATTCTCTTCCCCCTCACTCTCCTCATCTGTATCCAACACAGCCATCTCCGGGCTTTCCGGCTGCTGCCTCCTCTCCTGAATCTCACTGAACCCCGGCGTACCCGGATCGCTTCCCTGATCCTGCACCCTCTTGTAGCCCTTCGACCTCCCAAAGCACTTCGCATCCAACTTCGGCGTCAACCAAAACAAGAACACAATAAAGAAACCCGCGAAGCCTAGCAACACAGGCGGCAGCACCTGCGCCGTGAGAGAGATCTTCGGCCTTCCAGGCTGCGGGGGGTAATGCCTCTTCCCGTCAAACCCAGCATTGAAGACGAACTGATCCGGATGCTGCGCCTCAACCGCCGGCGGCAGCGGCAGGATATCGCGATTCGACACATTCTGCGTGATGCACGCCAGGTCGCCGCAGAACGGACGCAGCTGCTCCGACGGCACGAAGGTGCTGACAATCGCACTGCGGCGCAGCAGCACGCCGTCGGCATCGATGGCCTCAGCGTACGACCACTGCGTGTAGTTCTCGGCGCGCAGCCGCGTCTCGAAGCCCGTCTTGTTCGCGGCGCCGACGAGGCTCCACGGGCCGGCGGGCTCGCGCGCCGCGTAGAACTTCCAGCTGGCGACGGTGGTGGCGCCGTTCCAGGAGACGTAGAAGACGGTGTCGTTGACACCGTCCTTGGAGTACGTCCACAGCGTCGGCGCGGCGCTGGGCACGCCCGTCCACGTGTGCTTGCGCGAGCGGTAGACCATGACTTCGGAGCCGTTGCGGCCGACCTGGCCGCGCAGCACGGGGGCGCCGTCCTTGGTGAACTCGGAGAAGAAGGGGACGGCGCCCCAGCCGACGAAGGCGTTGTCGTTGTCGGGCATGATGGACATGCTGCCCTGCGAGTGCGCGAGGAGCTCGCCGTCGTCGTAGACGTACTCGCCGAAGAGCTTGGCCGTTTTGGCGGCGTGGTCGAGCACGATGATGAGGCCGCGCGAGTAGGCGTTCGTGGTCGTCATGCCGTCCCACGCGTTGTCGAAGACGGTGATGACGCTGTGCGTCGCGTTGTCCGACACCCAGCGCGCGTCGTGCTGGCTGGAGAAGTTGAAGTCCTTGGCGTAGGGCTCGTTTTCCAGGCCCCGCAGCTCCCAGACGACCTTGCCCGTCTTGCCGGATATCTTGTAGAGGGTGCTGAAGTGGCGGGCTGAGATCAGGTAGTCGCCGCCCCGGCTCTTGTCGATCGAGTTCGTGTGGAAGTAGTCCCACGGCTTGTCGGGATTGCTGCCATCGCCGGCGACAAAGTTGCCGTTGAGAGGCAGCGGGCTGTTCTTGGGCGAGGTCTCTTCATGATCCAGGCTCCGCCACTCGAAGAGCAGTTCCCCAGTCTCGACGCGGACTTCTTGGAAGATGGACTCGATGATCCAGCCCATGCCAGAAGATTGGCCAAACGGCGACAAGTCGTACTGGCGTGGCGACAGGACGTTGAGAATCGCTCCTCTGCCACCATCGACCAAGTTGAACTCGTGCATGTCCGAGGCAGGCACTGATCCAGTTGCCTGGACCGTCTTGACTACGCGATACGACTCATCCAGAATGGCGCCCATGCCACGACCGAAGCCTGGGTTCGTAGTGCCTTGGAAGAAGCAGAAGAACATACACAGGTGGTCGCGGCCCTTGTACTGGCAGACATGCGGGTGGTGGACAGTCACAGGGCCGAAGTCAGCAGCGCCGGCCCATACCAGGTCCCCCGCATTGTCGTATATGTAAGGTCCACGATCTGGACCTTCTTCAGAGAGGCGCCATGGTGATACAAAGATGTAACCGTCAGACACGGCGTCGGGGTCGTACACGTCGATGTTAATGTCCGGTGGCTTGATGTCTGGGCGCTGTGTAGGTTGTTAGTTAGTTTTCGCAGTGTGGTCTGAGAGAGCGGCGCATGCATACCGAATAGAAGAAAGAGACCGGGTCTGTCTCGGCCTCGGCTGCCAATACAGCGGCGCTGCAGGCGAGAAGCGTCAGCAGCAGCGTCAGCAGCGAAGTGGTGGCTGCCATATTTTTTTGGGGCGTGCTGGTCGACTAAGTTCGCACCGCGAATATTTCAAGAAACTCGGGCGTGGCTGGCCGATACCGGGTAGAGAACCGGTGCGGAATAGATGTTGGAGCGCTGAGGCATTGTTATGGCCGAAAATTGGAGCGCTGATCGCGCGGAGCTGATGATGATTCAGTGCCCGCGCCCGCCCCTGTCAGCTCCGAGAATACCCTCCACCCCGGCGATTCCTTGCCCCGTGCGACCTCTCGCCCGATGCGCATGCACATCTACACGTAGCATTTGCCGCCTGAGGCGACACGCCCTCGAACCACAGAAATTTTCGTTTCGCTTCTGTTCATGCACGGCGGGATCTTCCGGCTGCAAGAGCGAGTCGCGGCCGCCATCGAACCCGTCCTGCTGTCCCTCGTCCGCCACGCGTGACCGAATTCGCCAGCGCGCCCTCAATTCTGGAATTCGTCCGCTGCGTCGCTACCGCGGTGTCGGGCCTTCAAACTCTGCAACTCCCTTATTTAGCCATCACCAACCACTGCCTCCCGCCCAGAGCAGTGCCGTCGATCGCTCGTCCATCTTATCAGTTCCATCTACCATGGCCTTCAAGAACCCCTTCGCAAAGAGATCCGAGCCGGACGAGCTGGTGCCCGAACCCGAGGCCCAGCGTACCGCCAACTCGGACACCATCGAGCCCAAGTTTGAGGCCAGCGAGACTGCTCACGCCGTGCCTTCTGACCACGACAGCGAGAAAGATGAGGGCCACCAGTTCCACGGTGTTGCCGAGATGGAGGCCATCACCTCTCACTGGGACAAGAAGAGCATGTACATTGCCTATGCTTTGTGAGTTGGCCCCCAAACAGCACCGCGGGTGCACCAGCTGATTGCCGAAAAAAGCATCTATCTCAACCATTGGGCCATGTCGATGCTGTCCATGACATACATCAACCTGACGCCCTACGTGACGAGTGCGTTCGGCAAGCACGGTCTGCTCACGGCGACGACGGTCGTGTCGTCCATCGTGGGCGGTGTCATCCGTCTGCCCATCGCCAAGGTCATCGACATCTGGGGCCGCGTCGAAGGATTCCTGCTGATGGTGCTGATCATGACCATCGGCCTCATCATGATGGCCGTCTGTGACAACGTGCAGACGTACGCCGCCGCCGCCGTCTTCTACAAGATCGGCTACACGGGCATTGGCTACGTTATCGATGTTTTCGTTGCCGACACGTCCAGCCTGCGCAACCGTGGCCTGATCATGGCCGTCAACTCCACCCCGTACCTGGCCACCGCCTTTGCCGGCCCTGCCGCGGCCGAGAAGTTCTACTACGGTGCCGGATGGAGGTGGGGATTCGGTTGCTTTTCCATCGTCATCCCCGCCATCTGTCTCCCCATGGCAGGCCTCTTCATGTACATCCGCAAGCAGGCTCGTCTGAACGGATTTGCCCCGAGGAAGGCTTCTGGCCGCACTCTCTGGGAGTCGACCAAGCACTACTTTGTCGAATTCGATGGTATGAAAGGAGCCTGAATTTAGCCTGGGGAAAAAATGAGCTAACGCAACATCAGTCATTGGCATGCTGCTCGTCACCGGGGGCTTTTCTCTCATCCTTCTCCCGCTGACCATCGCCACTTACCAGGAGAGGAAGTGGGAGTCGGCGTCCATCATCGCCATGATCGTCGTCGGTGGCGTCCTCGTCATTGCTTTCGCCGTTTGGGAGAAGTGGTTCTCTCCCGTCTCGTTCGTTCCCTTCGAGGTTCTGGTCGACCGCACCGTTCTCCCCGCCTGCCTCGTCTCCAGCTGTCTCTTCGTCGCTTCTGCGTACGTCTCCCTGTTCCACTTTCGCAATTTTGGCTGAAACTAACCTTCTCCCACACAGCTGCTGGAGCTCGTACTTCTCCTCCTTCCTGCAGGTGGCCTTGTACCAGACCATCTCCCAGGCCGGCTACGTCGGCAGCATCTACAGTCTGGGCTCCTGCGTCTGGGCCTTCGTCACCGGATCGTAAGTCCCTCATCATCCTCTCCCTCAGAACCACAACTAACGACTTCTTCCACCAGCGCCATCCGCTACACCAACCACTTCAAGTGGCTCGCCATGGTCGCCGCGCCCCTCGTCGTCTGCGCCTCGGGCCTCTTCATCAAGTACCGCCAGCCCGGCGAATCCGTGCAATCCATCATCGGCGTGCAAATCTTCATGACCATCGGCGCGGCCACGCTCGTCGTGACGGAGCAAATGGCCGTCATGACGGCCGCCAAGCACGCCAACGTCGCCGTGTGCATCGCCCTCCTGTCCCTCTTCACCAGCATCGGATCCGGTATCGGGTCGGGCGTGTCCGGAGCGCTGTGGACCAACATCTTCCCGAACAAGCTGGCGGAGGCGCTGCCCGACGCGAGCGCCAAGACCATCGCCCAGATCTACGGCTCGCTCGTGGTCCAGCGCAAGTACGCAAAGGGCACGGCGATGCGCGACGGCATCAACTGGGCGTATGGTGTCGCGATGAAGTACCAGAGCATCGCCGCCATGGCGATTCTGATCCTCACGATTCCGCTCGTCATGTGCTGGAAGGACTACAATGTCAAGGAGACGCGCAGGAACAAGGGTCGCGTGCTCTAGATGTGGTGTGTTCTACAAAATACTGTTGTTGTTGCATATATCCCCGGGGGCGGCGGTTGGCTGGGTTGTTTGGTTGGGTTGGGTTGATTGATTGATTGGGCTTTTTATTTCTCTGCAGATTAGATTGATTGGTAGATACATAGGGCTGTTGCTGGATTTGGTAATTGGAGCTTGGCTTTGTTTGGTGGCGAAACTTACGAGTGCAAAACAATTCAGTGAATAGCAGCATGAACAAAGCGACACCAAATCTCAGGGCAATGCTCGTCGTCGAATGCCAAATTTAGCATCGCCAGATCGAGTAGCGGTTGGTCATAGATCCACCGCGCCGCATCGTGTTCAGCCAACGCGGCGTCACCGAAATACCGTGCTTGTGTCCCAGCAAGCGAAAAGAAACGCATCTCCGGATAGCGGGACTTAGACAGGGAGTACGCGGCAGCCAAGAAGGCACAGCGGCAAGTCATCGCCGTGCCGAGCTTGCGGGCCACTCCGGGAGCGGTGCAAGGGAGGAAACCGAGGGAGTGGGAAGCGGCACTGCAATAGCAAAGAAAAGGACCGGCGGGCGAAAAGAGGCCGATGTAGAAATCATCGGGCGCATGCATGCCGATCGCCGTAGGTCGTTAAAAATTATCTGATCCGTCAATGGTGGCTTGGCGAGCCGAGCCGGGGGGCGCTGCCGGGGGAGATGATTGGGCCGTGCGGGCTGGACCGGGGGCGCGAAGGATCCCATGGCATTTTTCATGCGGGGCGCATATGCATGGTGGAGTTGGTGGAAGGGCACCGCTCGGCCAATCTAATCAGATTTTGACCCTGGCAGGCATCATGCCCCGGGGCGTCATGGTTACCTCTCGGTCTTGCGATCTCGGGCGTGGGATGGGGCCCGGTTGACTTTTTACCCGCATTGCTACGGTTTGTTATCGATTGGAGCAAAAACACCAACTCGGTGCTTTTTCGAGCTTCCCATCTCTCTACTCCCCGTTGAGCGAGCAATACGCCTTGGCGGTAAACAGCAGCGCGCCATGGCAGGTTCTACGGCAAGCTCTCCCCACCACAGCTCTCAATCTGAACATTTCGCTGACCATGTAGCTCCCACAGCCCAGGCAGTCGGTCGCCAGGCGGCTGGCCTCCAAGGTCGTCAATCCCGCCTTCTTCTCGCTGCTGCTGGACGCGCACCCCGAGCCACTGGACGTGGCGCTGCTGGTCGTCGGCAGCCTCGTGGCTGTGGCGGCGGGCATGCCGTTCCCGCTGCTGTGCATCTACTTCGGCAAGCTGGTCGACGACCTGAATTCCTCGGCGTGCATCGACGAGCCGCCGGCGAACCTGGAGGAGATGGTGCGGCGCAAGGTCATCATCGTGGCGCTGTTCGCCGTCGCCAACTTCGCCACCATCTACGTCTACATGGGGTGCTGGACGCTGTTCGGCGAGCGCGTGGTGCGGCGGTTGCGCACGCGCTACCTGCGCGCCCTGCTGCGGCAAGAAGCGGCGTATTTCGACACCATGCCCGCCGGCGAGGTTGCGGCGCGGCTGGACGGCGATTTGCATACGATCCAGCAGGGCGTCTCGGAGAAGGTGGGAATCTACGTCGCGAGCGTGTCCAACTTCATCACGGCGTACATCGTCGCGTTCGTGGTGGATTCCCGGCTCGCCGTCATCCTGTTCGCGCTCGTGCCGGCGTACTACGCCATGGTGCACATTGGAAAGTACTTTTCCCAAAAGTACTCCAAGACGGTCGATGCGGCCGTGGCCGAGGCCAGCTCCATCGCGGCCGAGAGCTTGTCCAATATCCAGGTGGTGCAGGCCTTCCGGCTGGAGTCGCGGCTCGAAACCATCTTCGCCGACCACCTCCTCAAGGCCCAGCCCGCCGCCGTGCGCCGCTTCATCGCCGCCGCCATCCAGCTCGGCTTCCTCTTCTTCGTCGCGCACACGGCGAACTCGGTTTCGGTGTGGCTGGGCAGCGGGCAGATCGCCGACTCTGTCGTCAACGACACGGGCTTCACCTTCGGCCGCGTCTACACCTGCCTGCTGGTCCTGATCAACGGTAAGCACTCTGCCAAATCCTAGTTCCCAGATGGCAACTAATAAATCTCCCCAGCCTCCTTCATGCTCACCCAAGTCTCCCCCTTCCTCAACATCTTCTCCTCAGCCGCCACCGCATCCACCAAACTCCTCGAAACCATCGACCGCGCCAGCCACATCGACGGCACGTCCGACTACCACGGCGAGATCCCGTCGGCCCCCTTCCGCGGCGCCATCGACTTCTCCTCCGTAACCTTCACCTACCCCTCGCGGCCCGCCGCAAAGGTCCTCGACTCGCTCACCCTCTCCATCGCGGCCAACCAAACCACCGCCATCGTCGGCTCCAGCGGCAGCGGCAAATCGACGCTCGCCTCGCTCATCCCGCGCATCTACGACGTCGACAGCGGCACCATCACGCTCGACGACGCGCCGCTCAGCTCGCTCAACGCGCGCTGGCTCCGCTCGCACGTCGCCATCGTCGAGCAGAACCCCTCGCTCTTCGACGTCTCCATCGTCGAGAACATCGCCTTCGGCCTCGTCGGCTCCGCGCGCCCCGGGCATTCGCTGCTGCAGGAATGCGTGGCCGACGGCGGGCTGGGGCTGGTCGCCGACGCCGTCCGCAAGCAGGGCACCTCGCTCGAGCTAGCGGCCAGCGGGTCGGCCACCGCGAAAACAGTCGTACGACTAGTCCTCGACGCAGCACGGCGCGCGGGGGTGCTCGACTTCGCGGGCACGCTCGAGCACGGCATGGCGACGGCGGTGGGTCCCGGCGGGTCGCGGCTGAGCGGCGGGCAGAAGCAGCGCGTGGCCATCGCGCGTGCGTTGGTCAGAGATGCTCCGCTCCTCATCCTCGACGAGGCGACGTCGGCGCTGGACTCGGCGTCGGAGAAGGCGATCCAGGCGGCGCTGGAGGAGGTGTGCCGGGGCCGCACCATCATCATGATCGCGCACCGGCTGGCGACGGTCAAGAACGCGGACAAGATCATCGCCATGGCCAAGGGCAAGGTCGTCGAGGAAGGGACGTACGACGAGCTGCTGGCCAAGGGCGGCTTGTTCGCCGGGCTGGTAAGGGCGCAGGATTTGGAGGCGCAGGAGGACCGCGATGCTGCTCAGCCGTTGATCGATGCCGGAGAGGCGTCGTCCGCGTCGGCGGCGGCGGCGATGGCGGGCCCGGAGAAGGACATGACGGACGTCGATATCGACTCTGACGGCGACGACGATGAAGACCTCCCGCTGCTCGAGTCGCAGGAGGAGAAGCAGAACAACTCCAAGTCTCCCCAACAGACATCATCCGACAAAGCCCCCTCCTTCCTCACCACCTTCGTCGAAGTGGTCAGCATGGCGCGTCCCTGGCGCACCTACGTGCTGACCGGTATCCTCGCCGCCACCATCGTCGGGTGCTCGCACTCAGGCGAAGCGCTGATCTTCGGCAACATGATCGGACACCTCACGCCCTGCCGCGGCGAAGCCGCCGTGCGGTGGGCGGGCGTCTTCTTCTCACGCCTATTCTTCCTGCTGGCCATCGCCAACTTCAGCGCCAACGTCATCAGGGGGACATCCTTCGGCTACGTCGCGGAAAAGGTCCTCTTCAAAACCCGCATCTTAACCCTGCGCTCCCTCCTCCACCATGACGTCTCCTGGCACGAGTCGGCCGGCCGCACGCCCGACAACCTGCTGGCCCAACTCACCACCGACACCAACAGCCTGAGCGGCATGACGGGGTCCGTCCTCGGCATCGCGTACAGCATCGTCGTCTCCCTCGGTCTAGGCATCGTCCTCGCGCACATCGTCGCCTGGAAAATCGCCATCGTCCTCCTCGCCACGGTCCCCGTCCTCCTCGCGGCAGGCTTCATGCGGCTGCGCGCTTTGGCGCAATTCCACGAAAAGCACGCCAAAGCCTTCAACCAGTCCGTCGCCGTCGCCAAAGAAGCCGTCGACCGCATCCAAACCGTCGCCGCCTTCGCTTTGGAAGACCTCTCCCTGCGCGTCTACGGCCGCGCCCTGCGCGCCCCCTACGCCGCGACGCTGCGCGGCATCGTCACCAGCAACTTCTGGCTGGCGCTGTCGTTCAGCGTCACCAACCTCATCTACGCCCTGGCCTACTGGTGGGGCGCCAAGCAGACGGCCAACGGCAACTACACGCAGACGCAGTTCTTCGTCGTGCTGCCGGCCCTGCTGTTCAGCGCCCAGAGCTGCGGCCAGTTCTTCTCGCTGGCGCCGGATATCTCGCGGGCCGCCGTCGCGGCGCGGAGGATCCTGGGCTTGATCGACGATATGCCGCCGGCGGCGCCGTCGGCGGAGGTGCTGGATGTGCGGCACCAGAACAATCACAGTGCCGCCGACCAGGACGACGACGACGACGACGACTCAGCCGTCGGCATGATGCCGATGAAGGAGCTGGGCGGCGGGAACCGGCCACTCAACGCCGGGCTGGGCGTCAGCGTATCCTTCGAGGACGTCCGCTTCGCCTACCCGTCGCGGCCGAACGTACCAGTCCTCAAGGGCCTGGACATAAGCGTGTCGCCGAACCAGTTCGTCGCGCTGACGGGACCGTCCGGCTCGGGCAAGAGCACGGCCTTTGCGCTGCTGGAGCGCTTCTACCGGCCGACGTCGGGCTCGGTGAAGCTGGACGGCAAGGACGTGGCGAGCGGGACGGATGCGTCGTTTAGAGATGACATCGCGCTCGTCCCGCAGGCGAGCGTGCTGTTCGACGGGTCGGTGGCGTTCAACATCGGGCTGGGTGCGCCCGTGGGCGTGCGCGTGTCGAGGGCGGATATAGAGGCCGCGTGTATGGCTGCTAATATCCACGACACGATTATGAGTTTGCCGGAAGGATACAACACGCGCTGCGGCAGGAATGGGAGCCAGTTTAGCGGTGGGCAGCTGCAACGTACGTTTTTTTCCATCCTTCCCATTCCCCCCCTCCATCCCCTCTCCCCCCTTACCTCCCACTAACACCGCAAAAACAACAGGCCTCAGCATCGCCCGCGCCCTCCTCCGCAAGCCTCGACTGCTGCTCCTCGACGAACCCACGTCGGCCCTCGACGCCGAGAGCGAGCGCATCTGGCAGACGACGCTCAACCGCATCAGCCGCGACATGACCGTCATGGTCATCGCCCACCGCCTGGCCACCATCCGCAAGGCCGACAAGATCTTCCTCATCGACGGCGGCCGCTGCGTCGACTCGGGCTCGCACGACGAGCTGCTGGTGCGCAACGAGGCCTACAAGTCGAGCGTCGTGCACCAGACGCTGCAGTAATATGGAAATGATGGGGAGTCATGCGGAGAGATGGATGATGATGAACCTTTTGTAAAAACACACTTGCATGTTTGCTGATGACGGGTAAAAAGTTGATTGCATTTTTTTTTAGACAGCATGGCATGTTCATGTAACAATTCAATACCTTTTGATGAAGCATCTCGCCCGTTGGTGAAACCCGGCGCTGAACGAAACTGTAGACTGCCGACCGTTAGTTGACTCTGCTCATGTGACTATTCTGTCTCTCGACTCTCAACACGAGGACGCTATACGCAGTGGATTAGCCATGACTCAGCATTGCCGGGGAAAATAGGACGCATCCACCAAACACGAGTTTGAGAAAACCGCCGGCCACTTGCATCACCGAATAGCCGACCACTCGGCCGACAATGTCTCAAAACACAATAAGGCCTTCCATACAGACAAGCACCGACGGAAAATTCCCCAGCGACAAGCGGGCGCCGAAGGGAGCCGGTAATTGCCCAAAAGTCCAAGCCGGAAGACCTCCGCAATTGGCTGTACGGACGTACAATAGGAATAACGAAAAAAGGTGGCGAGAGAAGATGTGGACCAATCCGCCGAGATGGAGAGGAAGAATGCATGACATGATGAGAAGGCGGAGTTGCCGACAACGGGCATGGTAGGTGGGGGCCAAGACTCCGCGGTAAAAGGCGTGCTGTCTTATCAGATGACAGGGAAATCTAGACTGATTGATTGATGATCCGAGGGGCGAGGGTGGGTGCTGCTGACCAGTGCCTGACGGAGCGATTATCTCGAGGGAGCGATTAGGCTTGCAGGGGGCGGAGTCGAAGACTTCGCTGCCCTGGTCGGCATCTCCCCCGGCAACGTTACGATGGGCAATGAAGCTCGGTTGCTGCCCCTGCCACCAAGCCGAAGATGCCAGTGACTGAAACCCGCGCCGCGAAACTATCTACCGCGCCGAGTAGTCCAGCATGCGGTCAGTGAGGACCCTTCGGCAGTGTGAAATTCTGAAAGCGATATCGCTCCCGCCCGGGTTGCCTGTAGATCGGCCCATTTTGAGAGTCGTTGGACTTTGCCGTCGACGGCAGGCACGCAGCGGCATATATCAAGCGCCGGCACTACTCAAAGGTGGTGACTCGCCATCTCTTGGGGATTTCGGAATAACTCTCGTCGTCTTCATCCAACTCACCTTTCCGTCCGTTCCAACCGCCCCAAGATGAACGGCGAGATGAACGGCGTGATGCCCAACGGCCGAAGCAGTGTCGTCGAAGATGACACGGGCTTCATTCCGTTTCAGCCGGCGGTGCCGATGGAGGATGTCGAGGAGCACGCCCACTTCCTCGTGCTGGCCTGGGCGTTGTTGTTGTACCGCAGTTCGACAGAAAGCGCCTTCACTTCGGGATTCTACGATATTGTCAGCGAGGAGCGCACAGCAACGACGTCAACATCAGGCTTCACAGCAGACATTGTCTCGCGGACCATCGAGCCGGTGTCGAAAGCGCTGGGCCGTGTTCGCGACCAAAGCGTCATCAAGCCGAGGGAGGGGTGCGATGGCCCAACAACCATGTTCTTCACCAACGCCGGTTCCCAGGGACAAGACTCAGACGTATGTGATCAGCGACAGCACTATTGCAAGCACCGAAGCTGACTTTAATTGTGCAGTTGAGCATCCACATGGAGGCGCGCGTGTCGGAGGGGCAGCTGTGGGTGCGGCACAGCCAACGGCCGCCGATCGCACGGCGCATGGCCATGCTACAGGTCGACGCGTACATGGATATCCTCAACTCGGTGCTCGTCGACCAGGAGCAGATGTGCGCGCAGGCGATGCGGCTACGCGAAAGCGAGCTGGCGCAGCTGTGGCAGTGGAACACGCCACTGGCGCCGCGCATCGACACCTGCATGCACGACCTCTTCGTCGAACAGGCGCGGAAACAGCCCGACAACCCAGCCGTGGTGTCGTGGGACGGTCAACTAACGTACGGTGAGCTGGACGCGCTCTCGACGCGACTCGCCGGCCGGCTGGCGGCGCTTGGGGCCGGCGTCGGCACAATCATCCCACTTTGCTTCGAAAAGTCCGTGTGGATGTCGGTCGCGCTGATTGGCGTGATGAAATCAGGAAGCGCGTTCAGTCTTACTGATCCCAGCCAGCCTGAGGCGCGGTTACGAGTGATCGCAGAAGAGGTGGGAGCGCGCGTGGTCATTACTTCGGAGAGCAAGGCCGATTTGGGCGCGCGGGTCGCACCAGAGGGCGCAACAGTGTTGACGGTGGGGCCCCGGATGCTGAAGGAGAAAGAGGAGGAGTCCAGCTGGGAGCCTGTGGCGGTGCCGTCGTCGGCAACGCTGTACGTCATCTTCACGTCGGGCTCGACGGGTAAACCGAAGGGAATCGAAATCTCGCACGCCAACTACTCGTCCGGCGCGGTGCCGCGAGGCGACATCGTCGGATACAGGCCACACTCGCGCGTGCTGGACTTCGCATCGTACGCCTTCGACGTCAGCATCGACTGCATGCTGTGCACGCTGTCGACGGGAGGTGTCATCTGCGTGCCGTCGGAAGAGCAGAGGATGAACGATCTCGGAGGCGCCATTGAGACCATGGACGCCAACATGGCGCACATGACGCCGTCGGTAGCGCGAGTGCTCGACCCGGAGGTGATGGACCGGCTGGAGGTGCTCGGACTGGGCGGCGAGGCCGTGTCGGCACGCGATGCGGCATCGTGGAGCCAGCGCACGCGGCCCGTCATCTGCTACGGCCCGTCCGAGTGCACCGTGGCTTGCACCGTCAACGGCGACGTGGCGCCCGGCAGGACTAGCATCGGCAAAGGCTGTGGCGGCGCCACCTGGATCTGTGACCCCGAGGACCACGGCCGGCTCGTGCCGGTGGGTGCCGTGGGCGAGCTGCTCGTCGAGGGCCCGCTCGTCGGCAAGGGCTACCTGAACCAGCCCGACAAGACGGCCGAGGTGTTCATCGAGGACCCGCCGTGGTTGGTGGCAGGCGGCCGGCGCGGACGGCTGTACAAGACGGGCGACTTGGTGCGCTACGACGGCGACGGCTCGGGCAACATCGTCTTCGTGGGACGCAAGGACGCGCAGGTGAAGCTCCGGGGCCAGCGTGTTGAGTTGGGCGAGGTCGAGTTCCATGTGTGCAAGCACATGCCGGCAGGTACCAACGTGGCGGCTGAGGTGGTGAGGCCGTCAGGCGGCGAGCCCAGTCTGGTTTGCTTCGTCGCGACCAACAGCAGCAACCCAGACTCGTTTCCGCCGGCGCTGGCGAAGGCCATTTCCGGGCTGGACGAGGCGCTGGCGCGCGACCTCCCCATCTACATGCTGCCGTCAGCATACATCCCGATAGAGCGGCTGCCGACGCTGGTGTCGTTGAAGGTGGACCGCAAGCGGCTGCGCGAGCTGGGAGCGGCATTGACGCGGCCGCAGCTGGCCAAATTGCGGGCGGCGGCGACGGAGCAGCGCGAACCGACGACGCCCACCGAGTGCTGTCTACACCGGCTGTGGACGGACCTGTTCGGCGAGGATGCGCAGGTGGGCGTGATGAGCAACTTCTTCGCGCTGGGAGGCGATTCGCTGGCGGCCATGAGGCTGGTGGCGGCGGCGCGCAAAGAGGGCCTGGCGCTGGGCGTGGCTGATGTTTTCGCGCGCCCGCGGCTGCAGGACATGGCCCGCGTCGTCGGCTGCCTCAGGCCTGACGCCCAGGTGCCGCCCTTCTCGCTGCTTCCCAAGGGCTGCGATGCCGAAGACGCCCGCGCCCACGCCGCCGACCGCTGCAGCATTCTGCGCACCCGCATCGAAGATGTCTATCCCTGTACCCCGCTGCAGGAGGGCCTCATGGCGCTGTCGGCCAAGGTGCAGTCGGCCTACGTCGCCCAGCGCGTGGTGCAGCTGCCCGACCTGCCCACGGCCTATCGCCTGCGCGACGCCTTCAACGAAGCTGCTCAAGAATGCCACATTCTCCGCACCCGCATCATCCAGCTTCCAGGCCACGGCCTGATGCAGGTCGTCGTTCGCGGTGACTTGCCGTGGACCAGCACCAGCGGCAGCGTTGAGAGCTACCTCGACCAGGACCGCGCCGATGAGATGGGCCTGGGAACGCCCCTCGTCCGGCTCGCAATGGTTGCCGACTACACGTCTGGCAGCGTCGACGTGGTGCTGACCATCCACCACGCTCTCTATGACGGCTGGTCCATGCCGCTGGTCATCGACCGCGTCAACAGAGCCTACCGCCGCCTCGAAACCAACCGCGCTGCGCCCTTCCGCCAGTTTATCCACCACCTGGATGCTATGGACCGTGAGACCTCACGCAAGTACTGGGAGCAGCAACTTACCGGTGCCGGCGGCCCGCAGTTCCCGGCTCTGCCATTCCAAGGATACCAGACTTCAGCCGACGCCCTGCTGGAGCGCTACATCACCCTTCCCCAGAAGCGTGCGACCAACACGACCCTTGCCACGGCCATCCGCGGCGCCTGGGCTCTGGTGGCCGCCCAGTACACGACCGACGACGTCGTCTTCGGCGAGACGCTGACGGGCCGCAACGCCAACATCACGGGCGTCGAGGAGATCGAGGGCCCCATGATCACCACCGTCCCGCTGCGCGTGCACGTCGACGGCAGGGCCCCGGCATCGGTCTACCTTCAGACCATCCACCGCGACACGGTCGAGCGTATCCCGCACGAGCACTTTGGCCTGCAGCACATCCGCCGCCTCCACCGCGACGCCCGCGAAGCCTGCGAGCTGCGGACCGGCCTGATCATGCACCCGACGGCCGAGCCCGAGCCCGCTGACCAGCCGCCCCGCGAGGATGAGCCGGCCCTGGGCTTCATGCCCGCCAACGACGTCGAGGCTGCTCGCGAGGCCCTCAAGTTCAACTCGTACGCCCTCATGCTGGTGTGCTCGCTGGACCCCAACGGCTTCCTGGTCATGGCCAGTTTCGACCAGAAGACGCTCAGCGTGGCCCGCGCCGAGAAGGCCCTGGAGCAGCTCGAGCAGGCCGTCCAGAGGCTGTGCGAGGACGGCGACGTGCTTGTTGGAGACATCGACTGCGTCGCTGCGCCAGGTACTTACTGCACCGAGCAGCCCAAGAGCACGCCCGCACCGAAGTTTGAGCAGCAGCCGCGCCGTGACTCGGGCGCCGTGCCTGCCCAGCCTACCACTGAGAAGCAGCTGAAGCTCCGCAGTCTCTGGAGCCGCGCCCTCGGCATCCCGGAGACCGAAATCGACACCGAAGCCAACTTCTTCGATCTCGGCGGCGACTCGATTGCCGCCATGAAGCTGGTGTCGGAAGCCCGCCTGGAAGGCCTTCGCGTGACTGTGGCCGACATCTTCAAGACCAGGCAGTTCCTCGATCTGGCCGACGTCGTCCAGGAACTTCCTGATGAGGGCCGCTCTCTTTCAATCTCCCCCAAACCGTATACCCCCTTCTCCCTGCTGGACGCGCCCCTCAACGCAATCAAGCCGCAGATAGAGAACCCCGAATGGAACATCGTCGACGTCCTGCCTGCGCGCCCGCTCCAGGAGATTGCAGTGAAGGGCACGACGACGTTGCCGCGGTACTCGGCCCGCTACGAGCTCATGTACCTGGACGACGCCGTCGACAAGCACCACCTCTTCGCCAGCTGCCAGGAGCTAGTCGCCCGCAACGAGATCCTGCGCACCGTCTTCGTCGAGCACGACAGCCGCTGCTACGGCGCGGTACTGGAGCAGCTGCAGGCCCCCGTCGTCGAGTACCGCACCGACGCCAACCTCCCGGCCTTCGCCCAGTCGCTCTGCCACCTCGACGTGCAGACCCTCATGCCGCTCGGCTCCTCGTTCGTCAAGTTCTTCTTCATCCAGAGCGCCACCACCTCCCAAAGCTGCCTCATCCTCCGCATCTCCCACGCCCAGTACGACGAGATCTGCCTCCCCACCCTCCTCCGCCAACTCTCCGCCCTCTACGAGCACAAGCCCCTCGAGCCCACCCTCCCCTTCTCCCTCTTCACCGCCCACATCCTCCGCACCAGCATCCCCGCCAGCACCGCCTACTGGCGCGACCTGCTCCGCGGCTCCTCCATGTCGATCCTGCGCCCCGCCGCGCCCCTCACCTCGACCACCCCGGTCTTCCTCCAGCGCACCGTGGATATCTCGACCCGCGACAAATCCACCACCCTCGCCACCCTCCCCTCGGCCGCCTGGGCCCTGACGCTCGCCCGCCGCCTGGGCACCCGCGACGTCACGTTCGGCGAGGTCGCGACGGGCCGCGCCGTCGACGGCTTCCCGCACGCCGACCGCGTCGTCGGGCCGTGCTGGCAGTACATCCCGACGCGCGTCGTCTTCGAGCCCGGCTGGACGCCGAAGCACCTCCTCGACTTCGTGCAGGCGCAGCACATTGCCAGCGCGGGGCACGCGTGCATGGGCTTGACCGAGATCGTGGCGGCGTGTACGGACTGGCCGCGCGAAATGGATTGGTTTGATAGTGTGGTTCATTTGGATGTGGACCACGTCGAGGAGCTGCCCTTTACGGGCGTCAAGGCGCGGATGGAGACGGTGTACCCCCACCTCGAGCCGCTGCGCGAGTGGAAGGTGCAGGCGTTCCCGTCGGCGGATGGTGAGAGCGTGACGATGGAGATTGTGGCGAGGGAGGCGTGGGTGGAGGAGGCGCATGAGTTGCTTGATGGACTGGAGAGCGCGATTGGTGTGTTGGTGGGGAAGGGGAGCGGGGTGTTGTTTGATTAGGATGGAGTAAAAAAATTAGGGTTGTTGTTGTAGGAGTAGGGATTCCCTTTTTTTGTTTTTGTTTATACCGCGGGGATATAGGTGTTGGTGAGGAACGCGAGGTGCTGTTCCGTTTTTATTTATGTACATATAGGATCAATCACGCAATTCGAACGTTTCGTTACAACATCTCTCCAGCCCCAGCATTCTTGCCGAGTGCTTCCGTCTCGCCTAATAACGACAGCACGTCAGATGTGATGCTGGTCATTTTAGCAGTGCTGGATTTCGAGATGTCGCTGTCCATGTAGTTGTAGTATAATAGAGGCGTGCGCTTGGCATGGTTGTGCAACACCAAAAAGCCAAGTTTCTGAGGCAAAACATTTAAAATCTCCGGATAAATATACTTTGAAATTTATATGCGTGCTCAAGAAATAAATCTCCGAGCATTGATTGCATGCAGCTTCATGAATTTTCTTTTTAAGCCTTAAGAGACTAGATCGTGGCCTCCAGGATTTTGTAGCTGGGAAGACCGAATCTTCTATTGCTTTGCAGCGGAAGCATTTTTTGTTTTTACTTTTGGGCTCTATTTTGTTTCTTTTTAAAATCATAAGTTTTTTTTTGTAGCCTGGTCACATTATTGAACTCTCAATGGTCAGTATGCCAAAGCAGATCTTTTCTTGCAATGTACTGTAGTCAGCATGCCACACCCACACACACACCCACAACCGATGTACATCCTCGCCACAACGCAACACCACCGTTCCATCCGCCCCGTCCGTCCATCACGAGCAACAATTAGAAAACGGCGCTTACCGCGGAGGAAGCCTCGGAGTCGGAGCAGAAAAGTCACAGAATAACCACCGAACGAATCACTGAGAACTGGCACTTGCCGACATTTCCCATGAGGCCAAGATGCTTCGTCCCTTCACTCTCGCCTAGGCGCGGCGGTGATCCTTCCGGAGGCCCCTCGGAGATTCTACTGATTAGAGGTCTCGTTTAGCGGTTAAGAATTTTTTTTTCTTCATCGCAAAAAAACAGGGCGAGGCGAGAGGGATGCGAGATGGCATCGTAGGCAGCATATCAGAGCGGTAGGGTACCTAGGGTGGTAGGGTGGTAGGGTGGTCAGCGAAATCCCATGAAGGCGATCAGAGAGTCATGCGGGCCCGACACGGGGCACGCGGGCATGCAACATCTGGGCGGGCGGGCAGGCAAGTGCATGAATGACGACAGGGGCGCGCAGGGCCGTGCAGGGGCCCACATGCCTTGGCGACCTGCCACATGTGGGGGGATGTGGAGAACAGCGCACGACTCAGCACAAGGCTTTTGTTCCTTTGGTGTGTGTCGGCGTGGGAAAACCAAGACAATCTTCTCGGATCAGATAGGTCCGCGGCGCCCGGATCAGATAGCCACACTGGTGAAGCAGGTTAGCCCGGCCGAAGTGAAAAAATGTTTATCTTGGCAGGCCGACCGGCAGCGCAAACCGATCCACTTCGCTTTTCTTCGGCGCAGGAATGCAATTTCCGTAGCCCAGCGGCCGGCGGGCGGTGTGTCGGGCTGGCTCGTCTCGGCTCTCCGCCTGAGCGGCACAGCAAAGTGGCGCGCGCGGTGGGTGGTGGGTGGGAAAAACCGGGTTGTGGAGTTTTGAATGTAGTGCTGCAGGTGGAGCACGAAGTGGCGGCTGAGCCGAAGAGAGCATGCTCGACTTTCTGCTGTGAGATATGATCGACATGGCGGTCTGCATATAGCCAGAGTATAGCTGAGATAAGGGGGGCTTTCGTAAGACGAATCTCCAGATACAGGGGGTGCCGGCAGTCGTCCGTGGTTGGTCGGTTTCCTCGTTCGTGTCGGATCCCAGGTTCCAATAATCTGACACGCCCTGCCAATTTTCTCTTTTCCCGGCCGTGTTTTCTGCTGCTCTCTCCACAGCAGCACACTGGTATCTGGTATACTGGTGTGGTCATGGCTGCCACCAAGGACGCCCGCACGTGCAGCAGCAGCAGCGACGACGACTCACCACCACCATCGACCGCCCTCCTCCCACCTTCATCATCACCTCTTCCCCCCACCGAGGAAACGGCGCTGCTCATGCACCGCGAGCGCGAAGATGGCGTGCAGGTCACGGCCGAGCAAGGAGTGCGCGACATGGAGGCGATCCGGCGCGTGTGGACGCCCAAGGTGGTCGTCGCCCTGTACCTGTGCATCCTGCTCGTCATCTTCGGCACCGGACTGGAGTCGCAGGCCAGCTCGAACCTGCTGCCGTACGCCACGAGCGAGTTCTCCGAGCACGCCCTCGTCTCCACCGTCGGCATCTCGTCCAGCTTCATCGCCGGCGTGGCGAGGATCCCGACGGCAAAGCTGGTCGATCTCTGGGGCCGTGGTGAGGGTTTTGTCTTGATGTCGGCTTTGGCGACTTTAGGTGTGTGTGTTTTTCTTCGACGATCCTCCCCCGCTTTTGCATATGTTGAGCAAGGCGCAATGTAGGACTGGCCCTTATGGCCCTTTGTAGCAATGTTACGGTGTACGTGATTGCTCAGGTAAGCCCCGTCTTCCTTGTTTGTGTGTATGTTCTCACGCAGCCACAGGTCTTTTATGCCGTCGGGACTGACAGTGCGAACTACATCCTATACGTAATCATGGCCGACGTGTCGAGCCTGCGGAACCGTGCGCTGGCCTTTGGCTTTTCCACGACGCCTTATCTGCTTACCGCATTTGCCGGGCCTGCGATTGCTCAATGGTTCCAGGAGAACAGCACGTGGAGATGGGCGTACGCTACCTTTGCCATTACCACCCCACTCTTGAGCGCCCCGCTCGCCCTTATCCTCTTCGCCAGCAAACGCAAGGCTTATAACGAAGGCCTTATCCGACCGGCCCGTCTTCAACAAAAAGATGTCTCCACGAAGCATCGGCTCCGCCGACTGGCCGTGGAGTTCGACGGTCCGTCTTCCCCCCCATCCCTCCGCATTCCCACCACTAACCCCAACCCCCAGCCGTCGGCGCCACGCTCTTCACCACAGGCCTCGCCCTCGTCCTCATCCCCCTCAGCCTGCAATCGCGCTACCACGCCAGCGCCGACGATGGCAGCAGCAGCGCCTTTCTCTCGCCCTCCCTCGTAACCAAATCCCTCGCCGGCCAAGCCAGCCTCCTCCTCTTCGCTTTCTGGGAAACGCGCTACGCCGCCGTCCCGCTCATCCCGTACCGCGTCGTCGCCAACCGCACCGTCGCCGCCTCGTGCGCGCTCTGCTTCGCCTGCCTCGTCGCGACGGGCGCGTACCACACGTACCTCGCCTCTTTCCTGCAGGTCGTCCACCGCCTGCCCATCCGCGACGCCGGCTACGTCGCCAACATCGCCAGCATCACGACGTGCCTGTGCGGCGTCAGCGTCGCCTGGCTCATCCGCACCACGGGCCGCTTCAAGATCTGGGGCGTGCTGGCGCAACCCGTCCGCGCTGCGGGACTGCTGGGCTTGATTCCGGTCGTGGCAAGGGGGGATGGCGCGGAGACGCGCGCGCTGGTGGCGGCGCAGTTCGCGGTCGCGGTCGCGGGCAGCATGCTGGTGGCGGCGAACAACACGGCGGTGAATGCGGCGGTGGCAAGGGACGATGTGGCGGTCACGATCGCGGTGATGCTGCTGTGCTCGAGCGTGGGGAATAGCGTTGGGACCGCCGTCGCGGGTGTGGTGTGGGCGAGCGACATGCCGCGCCTGCTGCACGAGTACCTGCCCGCCGCCAGCAAGCACCTCGCCCTCGAGATCTACGGGAGTTTGCGGAAGCAGTTGGAGTTTGCGGATGGGACACCGGAGCGCGCGGCCATTGTGAAGGCGTACAGCGTGACGGAGACGCGGCTGTGTTCGTATGCGGCGCTGAGTGTGCCGGTCGTCTGCGCGTGCGTGCTGGTGTGGAAGAATCTGCCGGTTGGGGACGAGATGCAGGTCGACGACGAGCACGTTGATTGAGGCCGAGGTTTTATCTCCGAGCGTGGACGGACGAGCTGCGGATGGACAGCAGCGGCGACGACGACGACGAACACGTTGACTGAAGGGTGTAGGTTTTCTCCGGGCCGGTACGAGACGCAGGTGGACAGCAGACGGACAGCAAATGGACAATGGACAGGCGCGAGGAACAGGTCGTCTTCTGTTTTCTGTCCGGGCGCTGATAGCGTTATCCGGCGGGATGATGGTAACACCACAAAATTTCTCGCTTGCGGATTCGCGTTCGTGTGTCCTTACCACATAGGATCGGCTTTACGAGGCGTCCGCGGCATCCGAAGGCCACCATAATGCAGCGGCTTTTGCTGTTCAATTAAGCTCATTGTTCGTCAGCCGTGGCTCTCGTCACGTCATCTAGAGATCCACGTCCTTTTGTGGGAGAACGCATCGACTCCACACCTTGTCTAAAACCTTATTCTGACTGCAAACTTAACATCTGTATACGACCGCGAACCGATAATCTGGTGTTTCTATCGCTGAATTGACTTTTTCCTGACTCGCCCGTCGCTGATAAGCAGATTGTTACGGTGTACCCCCCCAACTCCACTTCAGGGGGTTTTTTCGCTGCAGTGGGAATCGTCCGCACACGAGCCACCTCACCCGAGACAAGCAGCTCGGTCAATTCGTCTTCAGCAAACCCAAGCAAATGCCGTGCCTCCCGCCCGCCTACTCGGAGCCGGTGGCCAAGTCAGGGTAGTGCCTTGGCATTACGACGCTCTTCCCTGCCAAGCTGAATCAATTGGCTGCCAAGCTGCATTTACACTCCGCCAAGCTGCATCATTTACGATGCCCTTGGCGACGATCCCCTACTCACCATGCCACAAAAACTCCCACCCACCTGCCGTCTCCGTTGCCCTGATAATCAGGATCAGATTATTTCTGCACCTGCCGAAAATCGGCGATGCAGATCCCATCCCGGACGTGACGCCAGATCCATGCCGGACATTGAAGCTGCTGGCGACGAGAAATGTTTTTGCCATAACCACACCCACCAAGCTTTTCACCAACACGAGCTATCCGGCGAAATCGGCCGGCCCCGTAAATTGGCATAAATAGCCTTCCGTAGTATACAGCAAACAAACGTAGTAAGTTGAGACGCAAAGTTCTTCAAAATGTCGTATTCCCGATCCCCGAGGCCTTACACCCGAAAGCCGAAGACAGACATTTTCACCCCCAATGACACGGATATCGACCGTCGCCAGTGCCGGCGCGTGGTGCCCATGAGAGTGCTGGCACTCGGTCTGGGACGCACAGGAACCGTTTGTACGTAACTTCTCTGAACTCATTCTCGTGGCTGGACACTCACAAACGGTATACAGCTCTGCGGGAGGCCCTGCAAATCCTGGGTTTCGACCCGTGCTACCACATGCTCTGCGCGAGCACCGAAAATCCGTCCGACTGTCTCATGTGGTCCGATGCTCTGGCCGCAAAATACGATGGAGAGGGAGAATTTGGCAAAGAGCAGTGGGACCAGCTATTGGGCCATTGTCAGGTACGAGAAGAGCGACGATCGTTTATTCTAGTAGTAAAACTAATTCGCTTGCGGCAGGCCATCTGCGATTGGCCGGCAGTTGCCTTTTCGAAGGAGCTGATGGAGGCGTACCCGGACGCAAAAGTTTTGCTAACCACGCGGGATGTCGATTCTTGGTATCAGTGAGTAACCCGCATGATCTTCTTTGTCATCTCTACTGATGCACGTGGGAACAGATCGACCCTCGGAACTGCCAATTGGCGTGCAAACGATCCCGAGCTGCGCATGCTGTCCAAGTGGGATTGGGGCGCTAGCCACTATTACCCAATGCTTCACAAATTCTGGACCTGCTTTTTCAAGGGCGACTTCGAGAAGCACGGCAAGGAAGTCTTCAACGAGTACTACGCCGAGATGCGTGCCACCGTTCCCCCCGAGCGGTTACTTGAGTACCACATCAGTGAGGGCTGGGAGCCGCTCTGCAAGTTCCTCGACGTCCCCGTGCCCAAGGTGCCTTTCCCGCACGTGAACGATACCAAAGGCTTCATAAAACGATGCAAGGGAAGGAACAGGGCGCAGATGTACAATGTCATGTTCCGGGCTGCTGTTGTTGGAGGTGGTTGCATTGCGGGGATTTGGATGGGATACTCCATGTTGCATTAGATAGTTCCACCTGCCAAAAAAAAATATAGATTGTTTTGCCCGGACTGAACAGGGGTGCAAGTAGGGCGGGCGGGCGGCTACTGCGGCGCCGTAAATGCCGCACACTCTCAGTACCCACTTGTTTCGTTGCCCCCCGTATCTTATCCATCTCGCCACCGGTTGAATCAACTTGTTTTGAATATACCGGTTGTTCCGCCAAGCGCGCTACTGGGACACTCGGACCCTGCCAGCCTTGCGCTTTTGCACAGCGGCTTCGGCCTACCAACTCCGGCCAGTAGCCCAGCTAAAGCATTTTTCTTGAGAACTCGACCCAGCTGCATTCGCTCACTTTGTGCAGTATGGTCGGATTCAGAACACTATGGCCGGCCGCGGCCGTGCTGCTGTGGCTTCCGGTCGCCACGGGGATTGACTTGTGGGTGGTTAATGATGAGAGCGTGATGCCGACTTCCTTGTTTCTCTCAGTAAGCCGAATTTGTTTTCCCGTTACCCAAAAGCCTCAACTGATCTGGCTATAGCGCCCTGACATAACTCCGCCCGAATTGGACATCACAGTCTACAAGCCCGAGGCCATCACTCCAGGCTACTTTTTCCTGGCCCCGTGGCGCCGCCCGAGAGGCGGCCCAGACCATGGTCCCTACATCTACGACAATGATGGGGTAAGTTTACCATTTACTCTGCAACTTTGCATCAGTCAACTGAACAATGCATAGAACCTCGTGTGGAGCGGTGCCGCAAGCTTCGGCGGCATCAACGCCTACAACCCGCACGTCTGCCAGCACAACTCAAAAGACCACCTCTGCTTCTTCCAGGGCGAAGGGCGCCTCGGCTACGCGAAAGGCGTCGGCATGGTGCTCGACTCGTCCTACGACCTAGTCAAAATGGTCAAGCCCAGCGGCTCCCTCTCCGGCACATCCGACATGCACGAATTCCGGCTCGCCGACGACGGCCGCACCGCGCTGATGACCATCTACCAGACGGTGCCGTACGACCTGAGCCCCTTCGGCATCACGGGCGGCTTCGGCTGGATCGTCGAAGCCGTCTTCCAGGAAGTCGCCGTCGACACGGGCGAGGTCGTCTTCGAGTGGCGTAGCCTGGACCACGAGGAGACGAGCCCGCTGCACGGCGAGAAGATCCTGCCGGGCAACACGCTCGTCGGCGGCCGCGGCGTGCACCCCATCACGCCGTGGGACTACTTCCACATCAACGCCATCGACAAGGACGAGGATGGCAACTACCTCATCTCCTCGCGGCACCTGTCGACCATCTTCAAGCTCTCCGGCGACGACGGCCGCGTCCTCTGGCAACTCGCCGGCGACACGGACTTCGGATACGAAAAGGACTTCAACTTCTCCTCGCAGCACGACGCGCGGGAGCTGCACGCAAACGCCACGCACAGCACCATCTCGCTCTTCGACAACGCGAGCAACTCGTGGAAATGGACCGCCCGCCACTCGCGCGGCCTCGTCTTCTCCGTCGACCACACCGCGCAGACGGCCACCCTGCTCTCCGAATTCGCGCCGCCGGCAGTCCGGCCGCACAACGAGTCCGACCCGCTGTCCGCGGGGTCCCAGGGCAACCTGCAGGTGCTGAGCAACGGCAACGCCGTCGTCGGCTACGGCGAGTACCCGTTCTTCGCCGAGCACAGCGCCGACGGCGAGCTGTTGCTGTGGGGCGCGATATCGCGGAATAACTCGTTCATGATGCATTATCGCGCGCAGAAGTTCAACTGGACGGCCAGCCCGCGCGAGGCGCCGACCATGTTTGTGTATTCGCTGGATGGGCATGCGTCTGGGACGGTGTTCTATGTGAGCTGGAACGGCGCGACGGAGGTGGCGATGTGGAAGTTTTATGCGGGCCCGGCGCCCAACGGGCCGTGGGATTTGGTGGGGAGTGCGGAGAAGGACGGGTTCGAGACGAGGTTTCAGGCAAGGGGGTACTATCAGGAGTGGAGCTATGTGGAGGCGGTGGATAAGGACGGCAATGCGTTGAGGAAGTCGACGGTGTACAAGACGTTCAGGCCTGGCGACAGCTTGAAGAAGTCGTGCGATGAGTGGCGGTGCAAGGTCATGGATGCGCCGCCGCAGCCGTCGAAGGAAGAGCAGGATTCCGAGGTGAAGCTGACGGCGGAGGATGTGGACTGGGAGAATGTCAAGTACAACAATCCGGCTGAGGGATTACGGCCGCTGTTGAGGTCGGAGTCGACGACGACGAGCTGGTGGAAGAGCTACGGGTGGGGCGTCGTGCCGCTGGCGTTGTTAGGGTTAGCCTTGCTTTTGATCTTGGCTGTGGGAGCGTGGTCGGCGCACAAGCTCTATGCTAAGTACAGGAGTAATAGCTTGAGCCTGATGAGTAGACGAACGTATCAGAAGGTCGAAAATCCTTCAGAGGAAACTTCATAGATATTTCAAAGAATAAAATTTTTATTATATTCGGGAAGTTAATATGGAAGCTGAAGTGAATTCAATAGTCCCCTAATTCATGCCAGTCGTGCAGGGTCCAATAATGGAAGGATAGTTACGCAAGTTGAAGATGTGTTGATAGAAATCTCGAGAACATAATTTATGGCGGCCTAGTGTAGAAGAGCTGTATAACTTTTGGCCATTCATCGTCCCCGTCCCGGACCGTAGAAAACGCTATAACTAGCTCTCGAAATACACAACAACTTCGAATTTTCCACTCTTTCCATTTTCTTGGACGTTGTCTCATAACAGGTGAATGCAATTTCAGGATTTTTCTCACTAACCGTCCACTCATCGCTTCAATACGATCGCCCCCGGGCTGAAGTTGAGTACGCCTGCGTTTCGGGCTTCCTTCAGATTATCCTCCATACCTCTGCGAAGAAAGAGCATCTTTCTTACACCTTGACTTACCAACATTATCGTCTTGCACCAAATGTGGAGTACCAGGTTGTCGAATCCACCTTGCACGCTGGTATTCCATTTCCCTACTCAATAATGTGCCCAAGCGTCTGGATTGATTATAGGAGAAACATTGCCCTAAAAGATCCATTAAAGAGAGATTGCGCAGAGGTCCAAACCCTCCGACGAACGGATCGGCACCATGTCGCAAGAATTCCTCAACATGGTCGGCGTAGCCATCAGCTACATCGGAAGGGCTGACGGAGGAAACTCTGTCCAGAAATTCCTCCCACACTGAGCGACCAACCAGACGGTCGTATTGATCATTCGGATCTGCTGCACATTTGAGGAACTGGCGGAGCATTCTCAGGGAACACTCAGGTGGGTGCCTGATAAGGTTCTCGAGAATACCTTGACTCCATGCCAGCCGGCCCATGTCCCTGACATTTACATCAAGCCCGTGGCTGATGAATACCTGCAAGATTCGAACATGTGAAGGGCTCCCCCAGTCTGTTGCACCACAGCCCATAAGTCTGCTCAGTTGATGGTTTGATTGAGCTGCGATGAAATTGACTCCCTCTTTCAACAGTATCTCAATGATCTCAAGTCGTTTTGGGCATTCTAAGTTCTGGAATGCCTTTTCAAGAAAGTATTGACTGCATGAGGTCGTCTTGAACAGTCCCTCCGATGCCTTGCGTCTTACGTAGCTCGCAATTCCTTTGCATATTGCTGCTTCTAGAATCCAGGTGGAAGGAATGCTGCTCTGTTCGACGTTTGCACCGCACCGCCGGGGTCCTTTTACGCTGTCCAGCTGATCAAGGACCCTGTAATCCAGGGTATTGTTTTCATCTGCCTTCACGCATATTTGCAGCAGATTTTCCTCCCTATCAAATTCGAGAGAATCCTTAATAGCAAATTCGAGAGACTTATACTGTATAGATTTCATCTCTCCAATAAGGGCCCTCGATATTGTAAGGTATGGACAGAATGATTGAGGGAGAAGCTGCTCCCATGATCTGTACTCATACAGAAGGAAGTCCCGAGCAGTCCTATGGAAGAAGCCCACTGTGTCGTCGCATCTGGGGAATTCTGCTCTCCTGAATCCAGCACCAGGCTCTGGTGCTGGCTGGAATTCTAAAAGACCTTTACAGTGCGCATCGAGTTGGCGTTCAGCGAAGACTATCCGCTGTTGAATTTCGCTAGGAGTCAAGAGTCTGCGTGGAATTAAAATTCCAAACTCTGGATTATCTTCCATCAGGATGGAATACACGTAAGCACTCATTGGCCGATCGCACTCCAGGGCTATCTTGAATAGGCAGAACATCTTCTCTTTGTACACGCTCTCAACCTGGTCGATAATGTGATGGAAAAAGTCCAACAGCTTAGGCGGAAATGCGTGCAACCGAGCGTAGAGAGTGGACACACTGTCGCTATTGACGATGCCGCGTCGAAGAGAACTTACTGCGAGTGCGACCCAGAGGAAAACTCCTTGAGCCTTTTGGGTGATCTCCTCGGACAGTTTGTTTGCCATTCCGACGGCGTCATTGTAGTCGCAACCAAGCATGAACGAAGAAATTTTGTCGTAGGCATACTTGGTAATGTCTTTCTGCGTGAGAATTTCCATGTAAAGCTTTTGGTCTTTCCGCTTCCCGAGGCTCTCCTCAAAACAGTTCCAAGGTCTGCTCGAGAGGCATAACTTGACGTGGGTGGAACAATCAATGTCGCGAAGGCAATCGAGAATATCGTGCACATCCCCATCGTATTCGTCAAGGCCATCGATGAAGAAACAGAACTTCTCAGACGGCGTGACTTCTTGGCAGACAAGACGCTTCACGATTAACTTGAGCTCCGACATTGTCCAGCCAGTTAAGCATGCTATCTCAGAAGACCATCGCGACGGACAAACAGTTGGTATCCACTCGGGTCGCCGGCTCAGAATCTCGAAGACCAGAGATCGTAGTAGACCTGGTAAAGATTTCTCCATTGCAGTGCCAGAATTCCAGAAAAAGAACTTCGCAATATTTAAGTTGTTTGCATCACTCCAAACTTTCAGAGCTGAGGTGGTCTCTGGATTGTCGACAATGTACTTCATAAGAGTCGATTTTCCAGATCCGGGTTTTCCTGATATCCAGTAGGTACCCGTGCCAGACTGCAGCCACTCGGTGAAGTGAACATTTGAGCGAGGGTCGGTTTCTGGAGGACAGTTGCCCAAGAATACCCATTTGAAAGTCTGAACGTGTGCATCGGTGATGTTGAGATAGCGAGAAGTCATGTAGTCGAAGAGTAGACTTCGCAGGACCCTTGCTCTTCTGTCCATCTCTGGATTCATTAGATCCGCCAGAGCTTTGTAAGTGGCAGAAATGTGATTTCCAGTAGAAATTTCACACCGGAATTGTTCCAAGGAGTGTATTGTTGACTTGAGAAGCTGAAGATTTTCGAAGTGTAGATCATGGAGCTGATTTGTGTCGCTCTGCAGAATTCCCATTGACTCTTTCATTGAAAGTAGCAGCTTACTGAAAGACGTCAGCTCATTGAAACATGCCAACCTATTATGGGATCCAGTTGATACACGTTTTCTGGGGTGAGAACGAACCTTTGGCTAGTTTGCAGGTGGACCGTAAGCTGCTCCTGAAGATAGGACAAGCGATCCCGAAATCCATTGATCTTGTCCTGATTCCAGATTCGTTTCAAGGCCTCACGGAAACTCTTCCATTTATGACCAGGGATCTTTCGATAATCAGTTCCTCCAATTGCGGTCAAAAGCTGTTGTGATAAGTCCTGGCATTGCGCTATCAAGCTCTGCAGGCCAGGATCGCTGAAAAGCTCATCTTTCCGGCTCGCTGCTGTGGCAACATCTGAGAATATTTGTGAGATATCCTGATTGATGCAATCGATCTCCTCGTGTTCGTCTTTGCAACCGCGACACTTGTGCAGTCTCCGGGTCTCGGAAAGGAGTTTGGCAGAGAAATCAACGAATTGAACAACAACCCCCGCAAGGCTGAGAGCAGCAAAGGGGTCGAGAACCATGATTGTGGAAAAAGTTCTCACTGCTGAAGATGGTAAGCCTGGAAATCAGCTGGGAAGGTTTGAAGCTGCTGGGCCTTCATTTATGGAAAGTTGGGGGCAGTGCTTGTCAGCCTTGCACAGCCGACACGTCACTGTTCAAATCCAAACGATGCTTCTAACTGGTGCAAGAGACGAACAGAAATCATTGGTCGTAACTAACGAATGGGATGACGCAATGCGCACATGCTTAGCAAGGCTGAGAACGTGACAACACTCTATTGGCTTAACGTACGCGTATGCATGGTCGCGCTGCATTTAATAATTGTTTTATATGTCGCTGCCTAGAGTTAAGAAGTTCCGTCGCACAAGGCTGAAATTTCTGTTGCTTCAAGCCAAATGATTGGTCTGGAATCACTGCATGGTGCACAATAGCATGTTCTCTCGTTTTCTGAGTTTAAGTTTCCCGATGTGTCTCCTACAAATATTCTACTGTGGGCGCGTCTTGTATGTCCTCACTGCGAGCTCTTTGGCATGAACTGGACTATCAAGCTCAAAAGTTGGCCACAAATGGATTTGAACTGTTAGTATCGATTCAGCGTTATAATTCTAACCATCAATAAACGCCGTCGGCATCTCTGAATCACAAGAAAAGGTCAACTGCAGCTAATTCTTAAAATACGAGAGTACTTTGACTCTCTTATAGACTTAATCTTCTGCAAGCTGCACTGCAGTAAGCAATTCTAAAGCCCAGTGGAGTAGCTGTCGCCACAATCTCTCATCACCTTATACTTCAATCAAGTGAGCGACGGATCCATCGCCTCCATTGCCATTTGCTGTTAGAGAGATGCTGCCCCACATTCGATAGAAAGCCTTGATTTCTTCTGCTGTCTTTCCTGACTTCCCAGACTCAAAACATTCGAGTGCTGTCTCACCATCGATGTCCCTCAGACTGAGATCGATTCCTGGAAGTCCATGCGTCGCCAGGACGTTGAGCGATGGAATATGAGTGTTCAAAGCGGCCCAATGCAATATCCCGTTTCCAACATCATCAATGACTGTGTAGTCCGCCCCACGATCAAGTAGAAACGCGACTGCAATGTGACTGTTTTCAGTCATTGCCAGCATCAGCGGAGTGTAACCCCACCTGTTCCGAGTGTCCAGAGGGAGACCCAAATCCAAACAGCGCTGCAGGAATTGCAGGCGTAAAGAAAGTTCTTCTTTGCTCATATCTTTTAGTCGGGCCAAGTTGAGCATCGAGTGAAGGATTGTATTCTGCCACTTCGTCACTATCGTCGCATCTGCGCCGTACTGGAGTAGTATCTCCGGAATTTCGGGTACTTCGAACAATAGCGCTGTCCGGTAAAGGGCGGTTTGGCCGCGTAGGTCCCTCACGTTGGGATCAGCACCATGCTCAAGTAGTGTCTTGACGGATCCGAAATCGTTGAGTTTCGCCGCCCAGGATAGAGCGGTCCTTCCATAAGCGTCTACAGCATTGATAGCTGCGTGTGGTTCCACTATCACATTTGTCAGGGGTGTGAAAATGAGTTTGAGAACAGTTCGGTGTATGCCGGTGAGCTGCCAATCCTCATCCAGGACATCAGAGTCGATGCCGAGAAGGGCTTGGAATTGAGTGTGAGGATATCCGAACACATGCCTCCATACATATTCGAAACGTTGATATTCTATGAGGGAGCTATTCAATTCAGTGAGCTGGAAATATTTCTTGGGTTGAGAGTGGGATCATACTCTCCAAATTTGTCCTCGTGGTGTGGATCTGCGCCAATTCGCAAGAGCCACTCACAAACGTGAAAATGGCCACGATCACTCGCTATCTACCATGTAAATTAGACGTCATTGCCATTTCAAATACAGAAAGACAAGTTGAAGGGGTACAAAATTTTAACTGTGCTTTTGAATAAGGGCTTTGGGATCTTACAGTAAGCGCTGACCGACCTTCCTCGCTCACATCTGTGAGCCGAGCAGCACCCGACTGCAACAGGTTCTTAAGCCCATCGATATCCCCATTGTACGCTGAAGAGAGCCAGGGCGAGTCTTCCTCGATGACATTCCAAACAGATAAAGAGAACGATGGCCCCGCGTATCCACTCGAAACGAAAGAGGCATGCAGTGCTTTCGAAAACAAAATAGCTGGGAAAAAGTATGACAGTGAGACCCGTGTTGCGCGAGACCTGCAATCTGTCTGACAGTGTGTTTCAGAACATCCTCCGGACAAGAAAGGGCAGTTGCTGTATCCGAGAAAGAGGAAGCCAAGGAACTGATTGCGTAGCGAGAACCCCTGTGAGCGACGATGGCATGTACATCTACAGCTCTTTTTCATTTGTAGGTCAACATGGCCTTCAAAAGAGACTCTGCTGCAAGACCCTGTAGAGGCTTCGGCTATCTCTTGGTCTTGGTTCAGCTCGAAGGGGAGTGGGTCCAGAATGTGCACGTTGTCGGAGATGATACCCTCAGAATCACGGGCCATCTGCGCCGATGTAGAGACCATAAGCTTGACAGTCTGTACAAGAGTCTCAACTCTTCGAATCGCTGACCTGTTGCACCTTCGCGTCAGAGCCAGGCTCAAAGGCACTTCATCATGAGGAATACATACATGGTCTCGACTCCGAGCAAGGCAGTCAAGTGAACACGCGCATCCCGGATCTGTGACTGCAAGCGACAAACTTTGGATTTGTAGCGCATCCAGGTCACACGGTCCACGTAATTCACATTGCTGATGTCAAGTCGTCCAAGGAAAGCACCAACCGCGTGTATCCTGTGGTTGGCGATTTCAAGCGTTGCTTGGAATCTCATCTTGGATTCTGGATCACCTTCCACCAATCTTTCGACCTCTTTGAATAGGACTTTCATATCGGTAAGCTCGTTGGAGAGAGCCAGAAGCTCATCTGGGGCGTTGCGTAACCTGTTTATCAGCTGCTCGAGCTTGAGTGCAACCTCAGCTAGGGTAGCTATGCTTGCAATAAGGCCAACCGTTTCAGCCATGTCGGGCGTAAGTGGTATAATGGACGATATGTATGGGACTTAGCATATACAGGGGCGGGGTAGGATGAAAACTTAAAGAAACGACCTTAGAGTTTATGGAAGAGACTTGAATTCTGAGGAAGGAATGAGGCTCAAAATCAATCACTATCTATTGGTCGCCTCGCCTGCATAAGCAGGGCGATCGAAATACGGGTTACTTTAGCAAAGGAATTGCGACACATAGCTGATAACCAATCGTTAACATTGAAGCTGAATCGAGAGTGAGCACATGAGCAGCTCGTAAGCATGTGTCAGCCATCAGCCGCGGCGCGTGATGTTGGTACTGCTTGGCTTGCTTGTGCGCCAAGTCGGTTGGTGAGAGGGGGCTGGTGGTTTTTAAAATCCTTCGAAAAACATATGTCTGGTACGCGAGACACCACCCTGGACAGGCAGCAACATCAAACCATTGAAAACACATGGTGGGAGACTGCAAGTGCGTCTCACTTCCAGTAAAAAAGAAAATATGGTCAGCAAAGAAGGCTAAGTAGCCGGCCACATCTATTACACATACAATAACGGTGTAAATATACAGAAATGCCAGGCTCTCAATGAATAAGGCTATGCAGAGGATTCACATAAGGGAAAAGGTCCGAGCAAGACCCAAAAGTATTATTCGAGTCCAGCTGTAAGTTGAATATCTGTTTTATCTTTTAGAGCTTCTTTTACTCATTGGAATGAGTACTAAGATTCATTCAATGCACACTTTTATTGCTACCGAGAGTGTCATGCTCAGACGTTTTCTTTGCTTGATGGTGTAGCCCTGGAGCTATCTGACTCCGCCTCACACTGCTCGTCAGCTGTAGCATCCGCGCCCTTCTTCGGCCGGATAGCCAGCACCGAGAGAATGATTGCCAAGCCACACATGAAAATAGCACCGTAGTACCCAGCACGATAGCCATCAAGTCTGGCTTGGGCATCGTTCTGGCCTCCATTGTTCGCCGTGACAGAATTGTCGATGACGGTGAGCACAGCAACACCGAGAACCGCACCGCCAACGTTCAAGCACATCTGGAAGAGAAGCCGGAGAGTCAGACAATTGAACAAAAACAGGCGAAGGGAACCTTACGTTGTAAACACCAGAAATCGATCCCTGGTCCTTCGCGAGGGCCGAAGCCACGACAACCACGTTACCGACGTAGTACACCGTTCCTACGCCCGTGATGTAGAGGATCATGCCCGGTAGACAGTAGCGCCAGTAGTCGTCGTTCGAGTTCATCAGAGACAATAGGAAAACACCGACAATGGCAAGGATCCAGCTAATGGTCAAGAGCAGTCTCGGTCCGACTGGGGATAGGAGATGGGGGATGATGAAGTTTACCACGCATGCCGTGATGCCGAGGGGAAGGAAGTGGACGGACGTTTGCAAGGCCGAGAACCCGAAGTCTGTTTGAATTGGTGTGTCAGCGAAGGAAACTCCTACGGCCTTGGATTTTGCGTTTTAGTGGAAAGGTTTCTGACCTTGTAGTTGAAGTGTGAGGAGGTAGTTTGCTCCCTGCCACACAGCATAAGTGAATGCTGCAATGACGCATCCAGAAATCTTGATTGTGTCCGACCAGAGATAGATTGGGATGAGAGGGTGCGCAGCGAATCTCAGTTCAACAAACGCGAAGGCACCAAGAAGGCATACGGCGATGACGATAGTGGCAATGACGCTAGCCTGATCCCAGCCGTGAATGTTTCCCGTTGTCAACCCGTAGACCAGAAGGATGAGCCCTGGAATGGAAAGGCAGATGCCGAGGGGATCAAAGCGGCTGAGGATGTTGAAAGTCGATTTGTCGTTGTCCTGCGAGTTTGTCGCTGGTCCCTTGAAGGCCCAAAGCAGTAGCAATGAGAGTGCCTGTAGGGTGCCCTCAACAATGAGAGTGAACCAGAAGATCTACAGAATTAGCAATATGCTGTCAATTCTAGACAAGGTGAACGAACCCAGCGCCAATTTGCGAGAGAACTAAACAAGCCACCAAAAATCGGTCCCAGACTGAATAAAGTATCAATACTGCTCTGAAAGGAATTGGAGGCAGGTCGAGTACGTACACGAATCCAGTGGATCCGGTGGCTCCCCACACCCCGAAAGCAAGCACACGAGACTTGGGGTCTTCGAACAGCAGTGAAACAAGGGCTTGAGCTGAAGGGATAGTCAAAGCTGCAGCTAGGCCTGCTATTTTGTTAGTGTACCGCGACAAAGCAAGAGGAACTACTTGTTTTCACCTTGAAAGGCGCGACCCACGACGAGTCCGATCTTGTTTGGCACCACACCACACACAAGGGTCGCAATGTTGAATAGGGACATGCCAACCTGGATAATGAATTTATGCTCAAAGACATCACCCAGGCGACCGCCCACCATGAGAAATCCGCCAAACTGCAGCAACTAGTCAGCTTCCACCAGGGAGGTGTAGCATGGAGTATGGGATAGACCGTCAAAGCGTAAGCTGTCAAAACCCATTGTAAAGAGCCCTGGTCGAATCCGAGGTCGCTTTTCATGGAAGGAAGAGCAATCGTACACATGCCCAGGCTGGCAATGTCAATGAAGAAAATAAGACATCTGGAGTTCTGTTGTCAGATGCGGAAGTAATTTCACATGGTCGAGAAAACCTACACGAGAGCCAGCCTGGCCCAGCGAAGAGCCGTTTCTCCTGCCATTATGCAAGTCCTCCTAGAGACAAAATGGTCGTGTGAAGGAAGTCTTGCAAGAAAAGCGAGGCCTGGGGCGGTGCAAAACTTGTCATGGGTGAAAAACTTTGCTCTCTCAAAAGTCCCTGAAATTAAAGAATCACGCCAGGCAGTCCCCACACGTGCCAACAAGATCTACTCCTATCCCACTCGCTTGACCCTGTATACCATCCCGTTTCCGATGTCGGGACGGCGCGATGCTTTGGGGGTGGACCTTCGCCTGCTGATGTCGATCCTCTGATTTCAACGGTACCGATATAGTTGTGGAGTACGCGTGTACCGTTAATCCCGATGCATGTTGCCTGGAGCGAAGTCGGTGGTTAAGATGGTAGTAGCTCTGCGTGAATAGGTAAAGGTCCGGGACTTGGTCCAATAGCATTGCAGCGCGTATAGCAGTTTTACACAGAATCATTGCAAGCGAAGACACAGCTGCGCAAATCGGATGCAGCCTGATTCGCCGAGCAGTCGTGCGTCGTGCGTAATGAATAGCTAATAGAATGGGTTGCAGTTCTGAAGTCCGAGCGTCGGTATCAGTATTTTTTTCCGCGTATGAAATCGTTTTGCGCATGGGCGGGTGGCAGTGGGTCACTTTGACGTGACTAAGGCTAGGGTTCTACCGACTAGTAGGAGTGTTAGAAGCGCTAGACTACGCTTAATATTACGGTTGCGGATAGTATAGCCTCATAGGTGGATGTATACAGACTAACAAACAATTTGGGGTCAGACTAGCTCTTGGCCTTCGTGCTTATCTAGCAATTACCTGGCATCAGGGTATTTGTATACATATCTGCAGTTACAAACCTACTCCAATGATAATAGGAAAATTTTGATTTTTGCTGCCGGTTGCAGCCTGAGCTCGGCCTCGGTTACCCGATTCGTTCGGCACCGAAGGAAATAGGGAGCCCCGCCAGAAATCAAGAAGGGGCTCACCCCAGGCTTGGAAAGCTTGGGCAAATGGATAGCCGAGTCTTGCCATGATCTTAGTACCCTTACATAAATCGTCGGTCTATTCCCTGACGATGAATTTCGGGGCCCGACAATCCTGTTGGCGCAAGGCCCGTACCGCCAGAAGTATCGGTCCGAGGGGCTACAACTTCAACAACATGGGACTGGACCGGTATCGCATCTAATACGAAGTATTCTGCATCGTGTTTTGCAGGGAGCGAGTGAGAGGCAAAGTGATGCATCATGAGGAGCATTCCTTGTAGTTCATCCGTTGCATTTGATTGGCGTTCTTAAACGTATTAACCACATAAACCTTTTAGAGCTCTTGGAATATTGCAAGTGGAAGGTCTCCGCGGTCGGCAAATTCAAAGCGGTGAGCTGGTTCGAAGTCGGCGACCCTGCGGAAAACGACAACCACGAACTGTTTGCCTCTCAGGTAGCCCCCACGAAGCGCATCGCACTTCCCGTTTGATCCACGTTATGGACTGCGGAAACCGCCATAGGTGCTCCGATTGCTCACCACGCCATTGCTGATCTGGCCCGTAGTTGGAATTCTAGAGCGAAGTTTCTGTTTCGCCGTTTGCCTCCGTCTCCACTAACGGCACCCGCGGTTGCCGCACTTCCTAGGATCCCGTGGTAACGAGGCATTGCCTGTTGTGTAGCGTCTAGCCGAAGTATTATGGTAGTACGTGATGTGGAACGATGATCTGATTAAATTAGATTATCTGATCAATCTTGTCTCTGGCTGCTGAGGATCCGGCCTGACGACTGGATACATATAATTGGATGTAGAGGTTCATACCGTGTTCTTTAGCATATTGTGTTTGCTGGTTTTCTTGCTTTCACCATGGCACTGTTCAAGCAGGACATGTCACTCCTGTCCGGTCCAACCGTGATCAGCGGCAGCTCCAACGCAGGCTCTACATGTCAATCTGCGATTGGCGTTCGAGCTGTGTACCCACTCAACAGTAGCCAGGAAGGCATCTGGGTCGAATATGTCACAGATCCCCTGAGCACCAAATACAACCTGACACTGGAGTGGGACCTTTCAAACGGCGAGAGATCATGGGATTCAACCTCAACAGTCTTCAGTGGTAAGTCAACTATCCCGATACCTGTAATAGTTACTGAGAACCCTCTAGCGATCCGAAGGCTTACAGAGCGCCATTCGGTGTTGCGTTCTGTCATATCCGTGCTCGACGGCAAGGCTCACGTTGAAGAACACGACCCCCAAGCCGCCGAGCCGGTAGTTCGCATAGTCTTCTGCGAGTCGTCTTCCGTCACCGAAAGCTCAGTCACGACGATACTTCGTCAACCATTCAATCTTCGAGAAGAATACCCGGCAAGATGGGTCGTACTACAGGATGCATCGACATATCGGGTGTTCCTTGTGGGACACCACATTGCGGTGGATGGAGGATCGATGAGCATCTTGTCTCAGGAGTTCTTGGAGTTGATGGAGAATCGCAATGCCAATCTGCCGTTGCCTGTCGACTTCAGCAGAATGCACCTTTTTGAGGTGGGTAGCTGCCTTTTCTGACAAGTTGCTTGGCTGACTTTCGATCAGCGCGCATGGAGGCGCACACCGGTGTATAAAGCCAACGAGTCTTTCTTCATGGGCCAGGTACGGAACCAGAGACAGGCTGGTAGCATCGCAGAAAGACAAAGTGGCAGGGCCACTGGCTCCGAGGAGTACCGGATGATCCAATCGTGGTCAACGTTCTCGAAGAAGGTCGGCAAGCTCTCCTACATCCTGAAGATACACGTCTAACGACAGGCTACAGGACCTCGAGGAATGGGGCTCGTCCTATAGAACATCGTGGTTCCGAATCGCAGTGTCGCTCGTCGGACTCCTCGTCATGGACCAAACCAGACCCCCTCTCGGCGAAGACGAAGTCCTTGCCGTCGCCTTCGCAGGCCGTCCAAAAGACTTCCAACGCTGCGTCGGCCAGTTTGCCAACGCTCTTCCCATCCAAGTCCCCCTCTGGAAATGCCTGCTCGAGTCACCGCAGAGCACGCTGCAGTCGCTGGTCAAAGCCGTGTCCAGTAATGTCAGCCAGGCTAAGCGAGCAGAGTTGTTCCCGCCAATTGAGGTGGCCAGATGCAGCCGCTCTCATAACATCCAGTACCAGCCCCCGAAAGTAGCGGTGACATACTCGCCCAAGCTTGCACGGCAGGAGTGCCAATTGTTCCCCGTCGAGGGAGCATGGGATCTGTTCTTCTGCTTCTTGGAGTACGAGAATGATGTGAAGCTCGGAGTAAGTGAAGCGAAGCAACGTTGCTGTAGTCGATCTCTAACGTTGCATTGATAATAGGTCATATACGATCCGTCTCTATTCTCAGAATCCGTCCTCGGCAGCATGAGGAGCCAGTTTGAGTCACTGATCGAGCTCAGCAAATCCCCCACCACGAAACTTACGGACACGCTTCCTTGGATACCAGCTCATCCATCGGTGCCGAGATCGCTGGCGGATGAAAGCCTGGGCCGACCCCATCGCCATGTTCATCACTGGTTTGATGCACATGCTGAACTGAACCCGAATAAGATTGCACTGTTCTCAGCCGAGCTGAAGACATCTGTTACGTACGGCGAACTGTATGAGTCTTCAGAAGAGAAGTCCATATGTGAGTTGACTGGGTGATGGACTCGAGCTACGATGACTAACTGAGACAGTGCTGCGGCGTAAGGGTGTCTGTCCTGGTGACACTGTCGTCATCAACCTCCAACGTGGTCTCCATGTCATTGATTGGATCCTGGCAATCCTCAAGGCAGGCGCTGCATTTGTATACTTGGATCCAGATTTGGCCGACGCTCGCCGTGAAGCGATCATGAACAACTGCCAACCGACACTGGTTGTTGATGGGCAGTTTGAGGACATGTCGTACAATTGGGTGTTTGTCAATGGCACTTCGGATGATGACGATTCTACATCTGATGGCTCCACCTCTGACGCTGAGACAAAATGGGCCACTCAAGATAGCGATCTAGCCTACATCATATACACATCAGGATCAACTGGTAAGTATCCCTAGAACGTAAGCTATCGACTGGGAGCTGACTTGAGTATAGGGGAGCCCAAGGGCGTGATGGTGGAGCACGGAAACCTCTCCAGCTTCGTCAATGCCACTAAGGACGTCTCCAAAGTCGGCTATGGAGCACGAGTGTTGCAGCTCGCCTCCTTCTCATTCGATGCGTCGGTGCTGGAATGGAGCATGGCTCTCTGCACCGGCTCCTGCTTGTGCTTCGCCAAGCATCCGAAGCAGCTTGTTGGTGACTACCTCGCCGACGTCATTGAGCAGAACCAAGTCACCTTCATGGAGATCACACCCACTGCACTCGAGACCCTGCCGGTTACTCGAGACGTGGCAAGTCTGAGGCAGATATCAATTGGTGGAGAGGCTGGCTCGAGGAAGCTTTTCGAAACCTGGCACTCGCGTGTTGACCTTGTCAATGCGTACGGGCCAACTGAAGGAGCGTAAGTCATGAATTCATCGTCCAGATTGACTACAAACTCACGGAACCCAGTATCGCCGTCTGTTACGAAAAGATTGACAAGGGGGATTCCCTTCCTGAGATCATCTCCGCTGGCAAGGCGAACCCCGGAACGAAGATTTACATCTCAAATGATAGCTTCACCCGTATACTTGGCTCTGGCCAGGAGGGTGAAGTCTGCTTTTCCGGAGACCAGGTTGTCAGAGGGTCAGTCAGATGAAGTATACTGAGTGCTTGGCAGAAATGGGCTAACGTTTTCGACAGATACCGCGGCAAGCCGGAGTTGACTGTTGAGAAATTTAGACAACACCCCGCTAACGGCGTTCACATGTACCGCACTGGTGACCGTGGAGTATTGCTTGAAGACGGCTCACTTGTTCTGTTGGGCAGAATGGACCGAGAGCTGAAGCTACGTGGTAAGTATCCTGCGTGTAATTTAAGTAAACAGCATGCTCATAGTTATAGGGTTCCGCATTGCGCCCGAAGAGATTGAGAAGGCCATCATGGGCTCCGGTGCTGGCTTCACTGAGGCGTCAGTGCACCTGTCAGATGACGGTCTGGCTTTGGAAGCATTCGTAGCTCCTTTAAATTCCTCTACTGAGGATCTATCGAGGGCTCTGAAGTCAATGGTCCCTACTTACATGGTTCCCGGCATATTCCACCAAGTGGAGAGTTTGCCCAAGAACGCCAGCGGCAAGATTGACCACAAGTCCGTCCATGCCTTGCGCGGAAGTCTCAAAGGCCCTGAAATCATGAAGAGGAAAGACAGCTTGCTTGAGTCAGAGGAAGACTCGGATGACTACTACTCCGATGTGCAGGGGTCAGGAGAAGAGGCCGCCGTTACGGAAATTTGGCAGACTGTGCTTGGTTTCAGCAAACCCCCAAAGAACAATGTCAATTTCTTTGACATCGGAGGTCACAGGTAAGTGACGAGGGGAGAAGGCAGCTATATTTTTATTTTCGTCTGACAATCGTGGGCAGTCTTCTGGTTCCACGGCTCAACGAGAAGCTGCGGCAGCAATTCCCACTGTCGACGTTCCGCATGGTCGACCTATTCCACCAGTCGACCATCGAGCAGCAAGCAGCACTAGTCACCCCCTCCAAGAGCATCTCCCAGCCCCGTCGCCGTCTCACAAAGTCCCGAAAGCGGCCAGCAGCCCCACTAACTCCGCCATCCCCCCTCTCCGCCCCCGCTTCGGCACTCAACCGCAACACGAGCATCACCACCACGCAGCCCACAAACCCCAACCAAACCGACGTCGCCATCATCGGCCTCTCCGGCCGCTTCCCCGGCGCACAGGACGCCGACGCCTTCTACGAGCAGCTGCTGCGCGGCTACAACGGCATCACGCCGAGCGCTACCTGCCGCACCAAAACAACACTCCCCGGCAACATCTGGGTACCGCAAGCCGGAACACTCTCCGACATCGAAGCCTTCGACCACCGCTTCTTCAACCTCTCGGCCGAAGACGCGACGGACATGGACCCGCAGCAGCGGCTGTTCCTGGAAGTCGCGCACGAGGCTTTGGCGGACGCCGGCATTGCGACGACGACGCGCGAGGGGCGTGGTGTCATGACGAACGCGACGCGGATAGGGGTGTTTGTGGGGGCCGCGCAGCATGCGTATCATTTGCATACGGAGAGCGTGGTGAAAGATGCGTTTGCGAGGGAGAATCGCGGCTTTACGGCGCCGAGTTTGAGTGCGCGGACGGCGTATCATTTGAACCTGGCGGGGCCGAATGTTACGGTGCAGACGAACTGCGCGAGTAGCACGGTGGCGTTGTCGCTGGCGATGGATGAGATTGCGCTGGGCAGGTGCGATGTTGCTGTTGTGGGTGGTGTGTCGGTGCAGCTGTTTGAGTAAGTCTTTTCTCCCCTCCTCCTTCCGGCGTGTTGCTGGGCTTCTTTCCCCCCCTTGTTTTTCCTTTACTGACGAAAGTGCTTCAGTGGCGGTTACATCACCCAACCCGGCCAGATCTTCTCGGCCAAGGGCGAATGCCGCCCCTTCGACAGCCGCGCCGATGGCACCGTGCCGGCTGACGCGGTCGTCGCTGTCGTGCTCAAGCGCTTTTCTGACGCCGTGTCCGACCGCACGCCCATGTATGCCAAGGTGCTGGGCACGGGAATTGGCTCGGACGGCGGTATGGAGAAGGCTGGCTTCCAGGTGCCTAGTCCGAGAGGCCAGGCCGAGGTCATCAAGCAAGCGTGGAAGAAGGTGGGGGTGCCAGTGGACAGGCTGGTGTATTCAGAGTAAGTATCCTCTTTCCAGTGCCGAGCTTGGTGGGTGAGGATGAGATTAGTGGGCTGACTGGCGTTGGTATAGGCTTCACGGTAGTGGCACGCCGATTGGAGACGCGCTGGAGTTGCAGGGGCTCACGCTTGCACTGAGAGAGCTCGGCCGCGCCGATGACAAGCCATGGACCGTTGGATCTGTGAAGGGGAACATCGGTAACACGCAGGTAAGTTCACATCCTCCCTTTCCTCGAGATCTCAAACCAACTGAAGTCTGTAGCATGCTTCCGGCCTGGTATCACTGGTCAAGCTCTGCAAATCGATGCAACGAGGCATCATCCCCGCAACCACCGGGCTCGAAAAGCCCAACCAGATGATTGACCCCTCCCTTCCCATCCGCTTCGCCGTCGAGCAGACGCCACTGCGGGAGAACGATGTCGTGTCCATCTCCGCGGCCGGCTGGGGCGGCGTCAACTCTCACGTCGTCCTCACGCCCGCTCCTGCCCGTTTGCTGAAAACATCCAGCCTCCGACCCCAAGCCGACAAGTACCAGAGGCAGCAGCTACGCGCTCCGCGGATTAAGCCCGAGCGCGTAAACGATGAGGTCTTGGTTCGTGCAACTGCGGCTATCATCTCGCGGTGTGCGTCTGACGTCTTTGAGCGGGATGTGCGGCCACACGAGAACCTGTACGAGGTGGGCCTCGATAGCAAGACTTATGTCTCGCTGACCGGCTCCGTTGCAAAGATGCTGGAGACCGATCGGTCAATTGGGTAAGTGCAAGCGCCTCAACCAAGCACCAACCCACCCTCTCACATAGACAGAAGGAGGGAAAATAATACAGAACGAAGGGTTGACTGAGTTTTCCGTAGCATCGCCGGCCTGGTTCTCCCAGACTGCACTCCCACCAATCTCGCCCGTCTCTACGTTGACCAACTCGCCTCCACCAGCAGTAACCACGGGCTCCTCCCATCTTCATCGTCTGCGCCTTCCACCTCCGGCTCTCCGTCTTCGCAACCAACATCCACTATCGCAGCGGACTCCATGTCCGAGCCCGAGCCTTCATCACCGGAATCGTCGGGAGCTATTTCTACCTCTTTGAACGCTTCACTGCCCTCAAACCCCGCGTGTGAGGCACCACTGTCAGAGAGCTAGAGCATGAGAGCGGCGGCGAGGAAAATGATTGAGAAGGAAGCTGCACCTCGAGCATGGAGTGGGGGTTACTGAAGTAAAAGCGTCGTGAGCGGCCTGTCAAGGAATATAGATTGTAGAAAGGAGCACAAGAAGCTTTCACACGTTAAGTTAAATTGGACTGACAGGAAATATTCCATAACCTTGTTTATAAATTTTGTAGAGCACGGAAAGAGCAATAAATTGTCTAGAATCAACCCAAACAAAATTCAGATGTTCATAAATTGAGACCAGAAGCCGGAGCCGCAGGAAATACATTAAACCAATTGAAATTTCCGAATTCCTCTATCAGCCCCTTCCATTACCTTACCGTCCACGATATATGTACATCTATGAAACTCCTTGCTTCTGCGCCACAGATTCAACCTGGCATCTTTCTTACTCATCAATCTGAACAACAAGCTTCCCCTTCGTCCGTCCCTGCCTCAACTTCCTATACGCCTCAGGCACATGCTCCATATCAAACTTCTCCTCCACAACCGGCTTCAACTTCCCCTGCCCCATCCACTCCGCCAACTGCGCCAACTGCCCCCCATCCGGCTTCATCGTATAAAACACAAACTTCCTCTTCCCACCTCCCAACCACGCCGGCCTCAACGTCCTCCCCGCCATCATCCTCACCCACTTCCACGACAACGGCGCGCCAACCTGCACGTACGCACCCCCCTCCTTCAAAAACGCCTCGCACCCCTCATACAACCTCCCCCCCTCCTCCGCACTCCCCACATTATCCACAATCAAATCGAACACGATCCCACTCTTCCGCGCCCGCCCCACCACGTCTCCCTCCCGATAATCCCACACCTCGTCCGCGCCCAAGCTGCGACACAGCGCCGCGTTGGCGCCCGAGCACGTCACAACGACTAGCCCCGCCCCCAGCGCCTTCGCGATCTGTATCCCCATCGTCCCCGTCCCCCCGCTGCCGCCGTTGATCAGCACCTTCGCGCCCGGCTTGATCGCGGCGCCGCCTGGCTGCGTCAGGCACTGCAGCGCCGTGAGGCCGACCATCGGCACGGCTGCCGCGTCGTCGGACGGGATGCCGGGGGACGCAGGCAGCGCGGCGCACTCGTTCGTCTTGGCGACGACGTACTGGCCCAGACTCCCATGCGTGGGCGGCGGCACGTCGAGGGTGCCGAAGACCGGCGTGCCGGGCTTCGCGAGCTCCGGGTGGTGCGAGGACGCAGCGACGGACGGATGCGCGGCGACGACGGTGCCGGCGAAATCCGAGCCGGGCGTGTGCGGGCGGAAGAGGTAGAGGAGGCGGGAGAGCAGGCCGAGCTCGGCGGCTTTGTAGTCGATTGGGTTGACGGCGGCGGCGGAGACTTTGATGAGGAGTTGGTTGGTGGAGAGACTCGATTCGGTGGGGGCTGGGGCGGCGGGGTTGAGGCGTAGCGCGTCGGCCATGGTGGGGTGCGCGGTGGTGAATTGCCAGGCCTTCATTGTGGGAGCCATGGTTGGTTGGATTGGAGGTGTGTTGGTGTCTTGAGGTTTTTTTTTTTTGTTTTTTTGGGCTGATGTTGTGAAGGGTTGTAGCGGGATATAACTGGAGTGATGTAACTGTTCAGTAGCTAGTCACTGTCTAGCCTATATATACAAGAGATAGCTTTGAAGGATCTACCGGCTCCGATCCTTCAAGTATGTCAGCTTGAGTGCCGGCTTCTTGCAATGCACCGAGCCCGCGTCCATCACCTGTTTTTGCTGTTGCTTGGCAAAAGTATATGCGAGCCATATGCGGAGGGATACGGTTCCGCGTCGCGGGTTGGTCCGGGTAAATCCGCTTCGTATCGGCGTCTCGCCACAAACTTGGCGCATTGGAAATCTCGCGACATGGAGTTTAGCAGCAACGAGGCCCCTAAGTCCGCAACGCTCGAACATTTCTAATTCCGTACAAAAAGAACGTACGTCATGACACCCAAGACTACTTTTAGAATGACTCGGCAGCAACGAAAGGGTCAGAACTCCAGGTCTAGACTTTCTGCTGCGTGGATGGCCGACCTCAACCGTGTGCACCATTTCTGATTGCGGGTCGTGAGAAGTAATATGCCGTTTCGCGGGAAGGCGAGAAATTAATTTGTTTCCTGGATGCATGATTAGTGGAAGCTGTGGAGGAGGAAAGGACTGAAGCAGATGCCACTCTAAAGCATCACGTTTCGCACGATTCATCAAGGCGCAAATTGCAAAGTACTCAAAATTGAGTAAATCTAACTTGAAATAAATCATCTTCTATCTCTACACTTTATCCGGGACCATAGGTCTTTATATCACTGCATAATCCTCGCTGGTAGGCTCAACAGCACAGCTCGGGCTGTTAAATGACACTGATCCCACCCTCGCCCTCATGGTCGCCTCAACCGCTATCAGTTTCTGTGCCAACCTAGCAATAACAATACCGAGCTTCACGCACGACATACTCACGAGCGCACGCTGAAGGATGATGTTGACTGCTTGTTGGAAGAGGCCATTCTAGGGGGTTGGTTTCAAGACAGGCAGATGCAGTGAGAATCTTCTGAAATTTGCGTGGGGTGATTGCACCTATGCGTTAAAGAGCATGGCCTTTTTAAAGAGGACATTTCAAACAAAATTTCCCCCCGTCGGTACCTCCTGCGAATCGCCCACTTTAACCTCAGTCTTGCATTTTTGTTCTTCATTCTCATCACTCTCGTTGACGGTTTCCTCAAACGACACCGGGGGTGCCTTTAGTCTTGGATGTGTTCTCTCGCTCAGATCCATCACCCCCAGCCTTTCCAGCCTTTCAGTAACGGGCACATCGGTGTCACAGCGGTGCCAGTTACCCAACCCAAGCTCTTCGTGGGCCAAACGTTGCAGCTGCAATGTGTCGTTCATGGTCCACTCAAGACGAGCGTAAGTGTCGAGGTTCCGGCGGTGCTGGATCCAAATCGCGAATGGTTCGAGAGTGTATGAGATGACGATGATGAGAAATCCGACTCCAAGCAGCATCGCCAGGCCGAAGACTGAAAAGTTAGTATATGCCGTGTTTCGCACTTTCTACAGTAGCGAGCACGTTAGCTTTCCTTTCATCGCTCTTTTTCCCTCGAAGACCAACCTGATTGTTACAGAACCGCTTTTCTCCATCATTAGCGGGCTTGACGGCCCAATCTCTCAACCGGCCGTCCGACGGCCCAGCCGCTATCTCGACAAAATTCTGCTGAATGCTCGCCAAGCTTATATTGTACCACTTCTCGACGTCAAGCTGCCACTGATCGCGCGAAAGCGGACCCATGATCCCTGCTACCTTGCGAGAGCTGGATTCCAACACGGCCGACCCCAACGACTCGATGGAGCCAAACAGCGGGTCTTGGGTGCCCCGCACTGCACTGGCCATCCAACGGAGTGTGTCCCAGTACGGTTCGTCCTGCGCCCACCGCGTGTAAGCGACACGGTGCGCGTCCAAGAGCGACGAGAGCGGAGTGCAACGAGAACCGTCGGCGCCGCCGCTGCAGAACTGATACTGCCTCACGCAGCCCAGAGGGGAGGCTGGCTCGTCGCCGAAGTACAAGGACATGGATTCTATGCTCGCGTCGGTGATATTGACTCCGAGATCGTGTGCGGGGTACCACAGGTCGTCCGATGGTTGGGAGAAGACCACAGCGTTGGTCGACAAGAATACGAGGTACACGTCGGCGTCGATCCGCGCCAACTCTTTGATCGGTATGAACATGGACTCCTCGGAGAGGGAGCCGTTGACCGAAATCGCTCGGTAGGCTCTGAGGGATAGTCAGCATGCACGAGGTATTCAGAGGTGTCTACATTTTAGATTACTTACTTAAGGTCGAAATCAGGCTGGGCGCTTGTAGAATCCTCCAGAACGAACTGGTCTTTTTGTAGCACCATGTGTTGGTATGTGAAGTCTGAATTGAGCAAGCCGGATATCCGGTTCTCTCCGTAATAATAGCGCATATATGGATCGTGGAGATCTGGCGCCAGCCGTGGTACCTGCTTCTGGTATCCCTCGATCGCCAACGGAGCGCATTGCATGAGAATCCTGAACTGGAACCGGTGGTCCTTCGGTGAATTGGAACCGAAATTGCTATCGCTGTCAAGATAACCGCTATCCAGGAGAATGTTGGAGTCTTGGCTTTTACAGATGCCTGCTGAAAATGGACAAGTTGCGTTCCTAACAACCCGTGCAGGCAGCCTTGTTTGAAAGAATGTCCTGCACCCGTCTGTGCTGAGAACATTGGCGTAGCATTGTTGCGCGTAGTTGGCATCGGATGTCATTCGCCGTGATATATACGGCTCGTATATATGCATGTAGTCCGTCATGTTGAGGCTGCCAAAGGCGCCCAGCAAGCCGCAGTTGTCTCCCGCAATGAGCACGGCGCCTGTGTTTGATATTCGGGACGAGAAGGTACTGGCAGCAGCGAAGACGGCCAGAGTCACGAGAGTAAAGACCAGCAAGGGGAGTAGACGTAGTGAAGATTGCTTTGGAGGTTGGGTGCGCCGCCAAGCAAAGAACATCTGGAACAGGCTTGTGATTCCAGTCGTTGCGTTGGCTGCGTTTCGCAAAACTGCTTGTCGTTGATGGTAGAATGCGTCGCGCGGGGCTTCAGTGGAGTAGACGTAATGGAAGACGAAGCATCCAATCCGCCAGAAGCAGGTACCAGCCACTGTGACGTAGAGGGAGAGAAACGCGATTAAGAGTCCACCATGAGTGCTTGTTGTTGTCAAGGTTCCACCAAGGATTCTTCCACGTGACCAGTCTGTCCAAGTGCCGGTTTAGATGTCATAGTAATTAGAAGTTGTTTGATGAACATCCATCTTGTGTGATAAAGAAAGAAACAAACTTGTAGAACTGATGGAGAAGGCAGCGACTCCTCCGATGGCATGCAGTTGATGGAGAAAATGCCTCTGCTGATGTTTATGTCTACGTGATATATACCGTTGTTTTAGCCCCCAAAATTGACTGGACTAGAGAAAGGCAAGGGATAACCTACCGTGGTGCATGTGGTGTTACATCGCACTGACGCGACCTTAGACTTGTGCGAGCTTGCAATGGTACCCAAGCAAGGCTGAGTATAACATTCTTCAACTCATCCTCGTCTTTTGTGGAACACACCTTAAATGTCCAGACTCAGCTCGGCATCAGCTCCCATCCCGACGTGCTAGTAACCAAGCATTGGATTGAGAAAGTGGGACAGTGCTAAAACTAATGTAACCGAATTATATTCGGAAAGGCATAGCGTAAACGTTTCCGGATGTGAGGCATACGAGGCTGTGCTGATTGGGACCAAGCCACCCTGCAAGTGCAACAGAAGAGTCCAGCCTTTGCACCTTGCTTTCTCAGGCTGATAAGCTACGAGAACATCTCCGTCGAGCAACAAGATCAGTACCACAATGTGACTCGCCTGACAAGTAGCGGAAAATAGAGGGTGAAATGCTGTGCGACATGACAGAAATGTGTATGACGGTGAAGTATGACAGGCTTGAGGCTGAAGCGTTGTTTGTCGCTGAGGCGGAGGAGGAAGCGGAAGATTGGGGGAGATGAAAGTAGTGGAAGGCTCTGTTGCAGTGTGTTCAGGGTATGTGGTATTTGCCTCGGCTGAGAAACATCGCTAACTACAGATTGATTTTTGCGTGACAGGTGGCAACGAATGCTGCCATCTGGCTCGATTCGTAGTAAAAATACAAGTTGAAAGTGAAAGTGGTATCATGAGGGTTGTGGCGGGGTCAAGAAAAGGTGTCGTCTGAAACTCCTGCGCGGTAGGAGTTCGGCATCGACTAGCCCGCCACTAAGATCTTAGTAAGTAGTTAAATAATATATAAGTCCCTGGACACGTTCCGTATGAACAACTCCAACACGGCTTCGCTCCGACAGATGACCTGCTTGAGGTACACCACATCCGCGCCGCTCAGACTCGACCTCGCCGGGTCTGCGCAGCACCTTTTATCCTTCTCCTTCAGGTCTTCCGCTTCGCCGCTCGTAGCCGTCGGCGGCCGCGACACGAGCGACAGCGGCGACAAGCAGTTCCCCGGGCTACCAAAGCCGGCATTCGTCGGAGATTGAACAGCCTCGGGGGTTGCCGGCGAAGAACACTCGGCCAAGCTCTTCAGCGACGCCAGTGTCTCCTCGCCCTTCTGCAACGCTCGTCGCACCAATACCGTGCGGATAGCCGTGTATTCCTCCTCGCTGACTTGGTATTCGCCGATCAGGCAGGGTGGTACGCCAGTCGAATTCCCTGAGCTGACGGTCGCGCCAGTAGCAGTGTCCATCGCCGAGTCGGAGTTCGATTGTTGCTGGCGTTGCGCGACCAGATGTTCGAATAGCCGCAGCACGAGCTGGAATGCGGAAATGGTCAAGAGGACGGCGAACGAGTCTTTCGGGCACCGGCCGCAGCGGAGGAAATCCCGGCATGACGTCAGCGCTGCGTTGATGCGCTGGACGCAGATGTCGATGCGGCGGCAGGCGGACGACTGGGACTGGAGCGTGCGGTGGAGCGAGTGGAGCGCGCTGAGGTTTGCGGTTTGGACGTCGAAGCAATCGCAAGATTGCGCGCTGCTATTCTGCGAGAAGCTGCTGCTGCTGATGGATGATCCAGGCTCGGAAATCTCGCGGTCGGCCCGGAGCATCTGGGCGTGAATCGGCTCGGGCGGCGGCGTGAGGACATCGTCGGCTAGCAGGAACGGATCGACGTCCGCGAAGCCGTCTGGGCCGGTGGGATTGATGGTGCCGGCGGTCGTCCCGAAGCCGGCGTGCGGGCCGGGCGATGATGGCTGAGAGGGATACCCGTTAGCTCCGGAGGATTGCCCTTTTTCCAGCACACTTCCGCCTACCTACTTTGTCTGCGCCGCCTGTAAAGTCTGCGCTAAAGTAATCGATGTCCATCCCCGCGCTAGCATCGTCGACCCACAGGGCCGGGTCCAACGGCGTGTTCTGCCAATCGTCGTTGCGCGGAGTGGTGCGGGAGGCGGCTGCGTACTGCTGGCGCAATCGAGCTTGTTTCTCCAGCGTCTTCTTGTTGCGGCTGCCGCGCGGCTTGCCGGCGCGCATGGCGTAGCTGTAGCTGCACGGCAGCTCCTGGCTCTGGCAGCGGGCGCACACGGGCTCGCCCGAGCACTTGACCTTGGCGGCGTGGCAGAAGTCACAAGCGGAGCGAAGCTTCAGCCGCGGTCTCTCGGCTTGCTCGGCGGCGGCGGCATTGGGCCAATGATTGGCGAAGAAGGAGCCCTGCGCCGCGTCCATTTTGAAAGTGAGTGAGTGGAATGATAAGATGATCAGATAAATCGATAGCGGCGGAGCGCGCGCGTCCCGGGTTTAAATCTGGACAAGCTTTCTACGGTTTCGAGCTGGCTGGCAGTCCCGCCTTGCCGCTCCGGCGTCGCAGGGAGCAGGGTCGAACTGCTGCCAGAGAGAGTCGCGTTCGCGTTCGCGTCCTGACTCGAATTGCGCCCAAGTCATTCGCCTGACTCGAGGCCATGGCGTGACCGAATCGCTCGAATTTTCATACCGGAGAACAAAGCCTGGTGTCGAGAGAATCAATGGTGTCGATTGTTCATGCATAAAGAGCCGCAAAGGCCTCCAGCAATATGGCGCTGCTGAGCAGCCGGAGCAAGTGTTCGTTATGTGCTGGAGTTGACGACCGGTTCCGGCTAGTTTCGGCCGCGCGACCTGCGGGAGCCTGAGCCCGATATCGCGGCCTTGGCGCCTTATTTGGATACACGCCGAGTATAATCCCCGAACGATGCTCGATCTGGGGAATCTGGAGGAAGGAACCGCTGCCGGCCGGCACTTGTTACGCTGTCCAAGAATGCCCAGCCGGGACTAGTCTGTTCCAGGCGGTTGTATACATATATTATGGTCGACGTGTGCTGCGCATCCGCAACTGACACGGAAACTCTTTCCAACAATGCCGCAGGTAGATGCCGAGAGCAAGGACGCCTCGCTTTCTCTAACAGAGAAAAAGGACCCTGAGGCACTGGTCCCTCCCGATGGCGGAGCCAAAGCCTGGGCTTGCGTCGCCGGCTCGTTTCTGCTTCAATTCTGCTCATTCGGATACGTCAATGCGTAAGTGGAGCAAACACGCGTACGCGTCTCCCCCGCTGAAACCATACCTCACAGGTGTGGAATTTTCCAATACTACTACCAGGACTCGCTGCTGGCCGACCAATCGTCTTCGAGCTTGGCATGGATCACGACGCTGCAGGTCTTTCTGCTCTTTCTCTTCGGCCCCTTTGTCGGACAGCTGATCGACGTCTACGGTTCCCGCCCCATCATCGCCCCCTTCTCCGTCATGGCAGTCTTTTCCGTGTGCATGCTTAGCCTGTGCAAAGAGTACTGGCAAGTCATGCTGGCCCAGGGCGTGGCCTTTGGTCTGGCCAGCTCCGGCCTTTCGCTACCGGCAATGGCCCTGGCCACCCAATGGTTTTCGTCGAAACGCGGGCTGGCTGTGGGTATCGTTGCATGCGGTTCTAGCCTCGGTGGCGTCATCTATCCCTTCATGATTCCACGGCTCGTCGACAGTGTCGGCTTTGCTGCTGCCATCCGCTGGACCGCGTTGCTGCAGGGCGTATTGTTGCTCGTGGCAAATTTCCTATGCTCCACACCCTTTCCGCCGAAGCGTAAGCTTGAGAAAAAGCAATCAGCAGGGCTTAAAGCATTCAAGTCACTGCCGTGGGGCTTCTTCGTGCTTGGCTGTTTCTTCACCATGTGGGTAAGTGCCGAACAAGACCCGAGTACGACGTCAAATCCGAGCATCTGGTTCAATTGCCGACAGTTGCCGGTCTTTTCTCTCCTTCACCGTCAAATAGTGATTGCTTTTGCTGACTCGAAAAACCCGCTACTGCAGGGGCTCTTCGCGCCGCTCAACTACCTCCCCGAGATGGCGGCACAGAAAGGCATGAGCACGCAAATGTCCCTGTACACGCTCGCCATCGCCAACGCCGGCTCGGCGGTTGGCCGCGTAGTACCGGGCTGGATCTCGGATCGGATCGGCCAGTTCAACGTCATGGCCTGCGTCTCGCTGTTCTCCGGCATCCTCCTGCTCTGCTTCTGGCTGCCGCTCGAGATCCACCCGTCGAGCGCCGGCATCATCGTCTTCGCGCTGCTCTACGGCTTCTGCTCGGGCGGCTTCGTGAGCATGGGGGCGCCCTGCGTGGCCTCGCTCGCCGAGGGCCGTATGGATGAGATCGGACTTAAGCTCGGAGGTTTCTGTCTGGCGATCGCGCTGGGCGCCTTGACCGGCTTGCCGATCGAGGGCGCCATCAAGGATCGTGAGGGCGACTCGTTCAAGGGCCTCATGGTGTTTGCCGGCGTGTCAATGCTGCTCGGAGGTTGCCTGCACCTCGCTACAAGAGTCCTGAAAGGAGGATGGGCGGTGATGAAAAAGGTCTGAATTATTATTGACGTGATCTTAGCACTGCGTGTTTTTACGTATCATGAGGCACTGGTAGATAGAACAACTTGTAATACTTGCTCTACACTTTACCTGAATAGGCATATTAAATCTTGGCAGACACGTACATTCACTCCATATTTGGAAGCGTTAATGCGTTACGATGATGTTCAAGTCCAGATTCGAAACAAATAACATGATTCGTGGCTACTCTGCCCCACATTTCCATTCGTTTGTACCCGCCTCTCGAAAGTATCTCTAGTCAGAAAGCCTGTACAGATCACAGGTACCGGCTTCTTCCATAATGTCCTACAGTCTCAACCACGGTACTGGGATACGGGAAAATGGGCCGGCTAACCATACGATGCACTCACACGTGGGACTGCTGCAGGCTGTCAATCAAAAGCAGGTATCGTAACAATCTCAAGAATATCATTGTAGCTATCTGATGGTTTTCCCATTTTCTCGTGTGCCTCAGTGTTACATTCGACACGTTAGTTGACAGGCCGCAGATCCAACACCTGCGAGAGACATCCCCTCGGCGTAATGACATCGGCGATCTCAAACCCGCCCTTCCTTGCAATCTCGCGGTACTCGTCCAGCGTGCGCTCCTTATTCTTGACCATCGTCAGCATGCGGATATCGCCATACCTCGCAAAGCTGCCCAACCTCCCCTCGCGAATCACCATCTCCACCACCAACACCCTGCTCACGCCGGGCCTCCGCACCATCGCCTCGCGCACCTTCTCGAGGATCTTCACGCACTTCTCGTCGTCCCAATTGTGGAACACCAGCCGCAAGAAGTACACCTCAGACTTCGGCAGCTGGTTATCCTCCGCGAAGAAGTCCCCGCCCAACACCTGCACCCTCCCCCCACCGAACCCTTCCTCCCCCTCAAACCTCCCCCGAATGATCTCCGCCGTCGCCGGCAAATCAAACGCCACGACCTTCGCTTTCGGAAACGCGTTCGCATACGCCCGCACGAAATCCCCCTGCCCGGCGCCGACGTCCGTCAGCGTCGCCTGCCCCTGCAGCAACTCCTCGCCCCACGGGTAGTCCGCGAGCAGGCCCGGCGCCTCAGCCACGCTGAAGGCGCCGATGGCTTTGTGGAAGCCGGCGGTCAGGCCGCGCGCGTGCATGATGGCGTAGGTCGACTCGTCCGTGTCGTAGAAGTGCTGCGCGGCGCTGCGCGTCGAGGTGGCGGAGATGGCGTCGGGGAGGGAGGATAGCATCGAGTAGTGCGTTGTCGCGTACTGGTCGACCCAGTTGTGCCAGGTGGTCCAGTGGGTGGTGCGGAGGAGGTGGGAGGCGCGGTTGTTGCGGACGGATGGCTGCGGGGTGGAGGAGGAGGAGCTGGAGGAGGGGGTGGGGGTGTATTCGAAGAAGCCGAGCTCGTCGATTAGGTAGCGGATGAGCTGCTGCGCGGCGGCGGGCTGCAGGCCGGCGGCCGCGGCGAGCGTGGGGATGGGGAGGGGCCCTTGTTCGTGGAGGATGTCGGCGAGGTGGTAGCGGTGGGCGCAGAGGAGGACTTTGGTGTTTGTGGCGGCTGGAGGCGTGTGAGTAGATAAGCGATGATGTGGGGAAATGCGGAGGATGCTCTCTCACCGAAAATAGCGTCCATGAAGAGGACCTGTGGGGGCGTGATGAGCCGCTCGAGCCTGTGGAGCGTCTGGATGCTCTCCTCGATTTTGGCCCGCAGCGCACCCGACTGGGCGGATGCGTTGTCCGGGGAGAAGCTCAGAGCGGCGTCAACGTCTCCGGCAAGCGGGCCCTCGAAGGCCTGGACGGCCTGCTTGGCTGAGGCCAGAAGTTGGGTCAATTGCGCCTCCATGGTTGGTGGGGAAGGTGTGATCTGCGTTGACGAGTTGGAGAATGGTTGCAGATGGTCCCCACGGCACGCGAGAAAAATATACGGCCATTGGTTGCGGTGACTGGGGTAGAAAGAGCGTTTCTTCGGATGCTCCGTCCTGCTTTCCGGTTGTGTTGTCCGGGTGGAGGTGTTCGGCGAATATCTCCGGAGCGAATCGTGCGAGTTTGGTCGGGGCAAAACGTCGCCCTGTTCTGCACCGCAGCTCCACCATGTTGCACCAGGTAGGTTGGGAACATTGAAAATGGAGTCGGTGCCAAGAAGATAGTGAAAAATGGTGGCGACCGGGCTTGGCGGTAGAAAGCTCCTCGACAGTTCCAACTTGGCGTACTCCCATCCACGAATCGGCATCCTTTCGTATGTCTCAGGGTTTATCCTTGTATTCTACCCTCGTAGAGTATCATTGAGAGGTTTCAAGACAGAAAAAAATATGGCTGAGAAGTGAGTGCGCTGACCTCTCCAGGGAAACAGTCAGCAGTACTTCCAGAGCAAGCGAGTTAATACCAATCAGATAGAGGACGCCCGCGAAGCTATCACTCTCGCCACTTAGTCAGGACGGCTTTAAAATGATCATCGATTTCGACTCCTTGAGCGACGCCACATCCAAGCCTGCACACGCGTTAGCGAATGCGTGGATTCTCCACCGCCTGGATGAAACCTACCATCCTCGGTATCGATCTGATACCTGACCGCTACTACACTCGCATACGCATCCTTCATCGCCAGCTTCCGAAACGTTAGCGTTGCCACGGCCCACATCCAGACGACAAAGGCCTCGTCATGTGAAAGATCCGGCATGCCGCTGTCGAACTAGCCATCCGAGTACCTGAAGCGCCACGCCGGAGGCGGGACAACCCCATCCGGGGCCTATCGCGTATTTTCGACGGCCTTGATATAGGCTTGGGAGGAGATACTCTTCGCCATTCTCTTATACTACTCACTTCTGCGCTGTAGTGAGGGGTATTGCAACCGAAGAGTAGCGCGAAAAATACTAGCAAGGCCTCAGAACTAATCGATTGTGCTCAGCTAATAAACTCACGAGGAGAGCCAGTTTTATGGTTGTAGAAAACAATCTGGGGACGAAAAGTAATGCAGAATGACGTGTGCCAAGTGTTGCAGTAAGCAGCTGCCTAAATTCGTTTGCGTTCTCAACCAATCCTAGCCTTTCGCACGAATCTTTGCTACAGGGAAGTCAGGTGGGGTCATGAACTCTCCAATAAATACCCTTGACGCTTGACTAATTCTAGTTTTCCCTCTGTCAAAGTTTTCGTCTTGGACCTTGCCTGCAAAACACGAAGAAATTTCGAGATTCACCTTCCCTCGTTGTAGGGACATCGCTATCGCAGACTTCTATTTACACACACGTGCTAAATGCGCAGGATTTCTAAAAAAAAAAAAAAAAGATGGCTGTTTGCAAGTATTGCTCTAGGCTGGATTTTGTGAAGATGGAGAGATGGGAGCCCCCTGCGAGATCCTCATTCGACCGCGATGAGTTTCCTTTTCCTCGTATCGAGCACCATCACGACATGGAAGAACTGCTGGAGTGTGGCTTCGCGGCTACAGGTCGTTGTCAACTTTGTGAGATATTTATCGTCTCCTCGATAATCTGGTATGAATGGAAATATCATGCCGCTGCTTCGAGCTGGAAAGAACAGCCTTTAGCGGTGAGAGCACGGTATTATCTGGAAATGCGGCCTGATATCTGCCAGCGTCGCCTGCATGCTGGACCCTTCAACTTCCAAACACGCTTTAGAATAAATCCTGGTATTGCGCTATGGATCATGGAGGGTGACGACGAGGACGTGGGTAACATACGTGTAGCTGAGGCAATGTTTAGCTGGAAGAAGCGTAGGTCGTCTTGTCCTGTTTTCTCATTCACGGGCTAATCTTTCTAGATGCCGTGCCGGACAAGAAGAGCCCACTGCACAATAATATCTTGATACGCGAGATCTATGAGGACCCAAAGTCTCCAGAGTGCCTCGACTTTGCACGCAACTGGCTCCGAGACTGCCTGGAAAACCATCCCCGCTGCATTGCATCGGCAGCAAGCTGCCCACAGCTACCGACACGAGTAATATATGTTGGAAATGAACAACATGATCCAAGGCTTGTTCTATCCGACCACAAACTGGGAAGATACGTTGCTCTCAGTTACTGCTGGGGCGGGAAACACTCTCACAACGTCATGTTGACCACGAAAACGTTGGCAGATTTCCAAAAAGGTATACCATTATCATCGTTTCCAAAGACTCTTCAAGATGCGGTATATGTTGTGAGAGCCCTGGGAATTCCGTATCTATGGATAGATGCATTATGCATTATTCAGGATTCAACCGAAGACTGGGTCATTGAGTCGGGACGGATGAACACAATATACAAAAATGCCACGCTCGGACTATTCGCTACCAATGCCGAATCTGCCAACGACGGCTTCCTTGGAAAACGCGAAATCTACGCGGAATGCTCCGTGTCCTTTGCACAGCTGCAGTCACTCAATACACCAGGGGACGATCACATCAACAACGAGTATTGCGACAAGATTGTCCTTCGCTTCGAACACCCACACCACGTGTCAGATGACTTCTACGGGCATAGCCTTTGGGCTCGCCGCGGTTGGACGTTACAAGAGCGACTGTCACCTCTTCGCGGGCTCAGCTACACTAAACTTCAAATGAGCTGGGCTTGTTTGACGTGCAACGTAAGCGAGAATGGAATGGGGTGGAATAATGAGCTTCGCAGGCAGAAAGATATGAAACGGTACATTGGCGGAGATTGGGGGTCGGGCGTGCTGATAAATCTCGCGTCACGGTGGAACACAGTGACCAGATTACAAGATATCAATCTGGCCCACTTGCCAACATTAGATCTCTGGTACTACATTTTGGAGGATTACCAAAAGAGGTTGTTGAGCAAGGAATCTGATAGGCTCCCTGCCGTCGCTGGTATTGCCAAGTTTCTCGACAGCCGCGAAGCCGAAACTGGTCGATATTTCGCGGGCCTCTGGGAAAATGATTTTCACAACGGGCTGTGTTGGGAAGTGGTGGCCAGTGATTTGGATTCCAAGCACGATCCAAGTTTCCATTCCAGTGATGAGGCACAGGTTATAGTGGCTCCATCATGGAGTTGGGCTAGTACGGTCCACAGTTCTTACGAAAGACTTCGGCAAAACCTTCGGAATCTCGTCTTGTTCAAACACCCCGCTAAAAGTCTCATGACTATCCATGCGCCGCACACCATAAACGATGAAGATCGTTTCATTCCACGGAGTACGCTAGTTCTGCGAATTACTGCACCGTGCCGACTTCTATCGCCCTCATGGTATTCCGAACAGGCATCGACAAGCGATCAGGACCCGCACCAGACAGCCCTCGAGAGCTTTTTACGTCAAGAACTTGGAATGCAAGAGCAAAGTGGAACATGGGATGGTGAAGAAGGTTATAGGCAGGGGAGGGTACTAGAGTTTGCCCGAAAACATCAACCGTGGGATGGGCAACGCCTCATGGCCGTACAAGCTCTCGAACCAAGATTGCGCGAGCCAGAGACGGGGAAGAAACCAGATGTTGATTACGGATTCATTTTAGTTCTGGAAAGTGTGAAGGACAAGGTTGGACGGTATCGCCGGGTGGCAGCGTTGGGCCTGGACACGTGGCGGGATGCTTTCTTTGAGTCCGTCGGGCTGAATTGTTCGGGAGAAGATCTGTTATATATGATATGGGAAAAGCCGTGGCCGCAGATGGAGTTTGAGTTGGTTTGATCACATTTGTAACCTGTTTTTTAGCAGGAATACTTGGCGCTGAAATGTTATTCATCGTTTGCGATTGGATTCTGTGCTTCAGTAATATGGCGAGTACAGACACATATTAGAGGTGATAGTTAGTGCGACGAATAGCAGGGCCTTAGAATAGGGGAAGTCAACTATGCTGTACCCCAGCAATCTACGTTTGAGAAACAACGCATGCCGAGTCGACTTTCGTAGGTAGTAGAAGCCATCGTCCGGACAAGAATGTATCATTATTAATTTTACAATCACGTCCGGAGAATGGCTTTTACTACCCGTGACTTAAGTAGTTAAACAAAGTCGCGCTAGACTGTGGGTACAGTACCCCTTCGTATAGCGGAGAATTTAAGCCCCGTGTCTCATAAACATTGCGATTTCTTCGGGACTGCATATTTAGACTCTTACAAAACCTCAATTTCGTGGATGTTACTGCTTGGTGGTGACATCTATGTGAGACATGAGGCTTTCATAAATTTATGGCCCGTCAGTATGGAATTGTTGTGGGAAGGAGAAAGAGGATCAAAGAGCAGATCTCGGTTGGAAAAGAATTGTGCGGCGAGGCTTTCGGGAGCTTATTCGTGTTCTCACACGAGCGCTTCTGCAAGCTGTGTGAACTGATGGGGGCCAAGATTGCTACTTCTCCATTCGTCCGAGCAAGCAGTCGTAGCGATTGGCTAGCCGCTTCTAAACAAGTCGCATTTTCTGCTTTTACTGGCGCGATGTTGCCTAAAGCTCGCGAAGCCAATGATCGCTTTGCACTGTCAATGTTAGCGTCCGAAAGTGGGGGGAATTTTTTCGGTTTATGGAGGGGGTTGCGGGGCTGTGTGGCTCGCAATCTCGAAGCGATGCAGCTTCGGTGGGTCCAATAAGACACCGCACAAGATGAAGCTCCGCTCACTGTTCTCTACTAAACACTGACATAGCCCTTCCCACAGCCTTGGTCTCCAGTACCGCCCGTCTTCCCCCCCTCTAAAAACCGTCTACCTTAAATTTCGCTTGAGAATCCGGATCATGGACATTGTATCTTCGGATCTTCGAGCTGAACGCCCTTCTGATAAATTCGAATACGAGCCCCTTCGATCGGACAACGAAATTCGTCTCCTCAAACTGCGTCCCGCGGGATTCTACGATTCGATCACTTGTACCTTAACACACGCCCCATTGGACAGCGCCAAACGATCCTACGAGGCTCTGTCCTACACGTGGGGCTCTACCGAAGACCAGGTCCTCATCCAAGTCAATGAAAAGCCGCTCAGGGTTACGCACAATTTGGCTACAGCTTTACGCTACCTCAGGGAGAATCACTACAGGCAGACTTTTAAGAAAAGGCATCGTAGAGAGAAGACCAATGAAAGGGTGGACCGCGATATGACCCTATGGATCGATGCGATATGCATCAACCAGGAAGACATTGAGGAGAAGAAGGATCAGGTTGCTCTCATGACGAAGATTTACCAAGACGCAACCCAAGTCATAAGCTGGTTGGGCCCAGCTGCGAGGGACAGTGAGAGGATCATGAGTCTGTTCAATTCCGTTGGCAAAAAGGTCCAATCGGGAGGAAAGTTTTTCGATAAACAAGTACGACAACATCCGGCCGAAAAGGATCAGAATCGCCTTCGTCGATCCCTGTTCAAGCGGCATTCCTGGTCTATAACAAGTCAAAGGGTCACTGGCTTTTTCAAAGACGGTGGCAAGGCTCCAAGAGAAAAGAAGCCTGAGGAAAGCATGGATTCAAAAGGTTTGCGACAACATCTGATGGATAAGAGTCAGAATCGTTTGCGCAGAGCACTGGAGGCGCTTTTGGAGAGAGATTATTGGACCAGAGCTTGGATAGTCCAAGAGGTCCTCATGGCTGATAAAATCACTTTGATGTGTGGGCTAGATTCAGCATCATGGGAATGTGCTGATGATATCGTGACGATATTCATCGAGGAGCGAATTCGATTGATAGACATCACCGACATCAGCTCGCCGGATACAAGCTCCTTCAGTGACCACCACTCAGTCCTGTCTCCTCCCACATATGAATCACGTATATGCTTCCAAACGTTCAAGCAGCTACATTTTTCTCGTCTCATCGCAGAAGATGAAAAAGGTCCGGGCTGGATGCTAAAGATGCTCATGGCCCTTCGCCACTTCAAAGCGAAAGATCCAAGGGACAAAATCTTCAGCCTGCTTGGGCTCATAAACAGAAATCTTTTCCAAAATAGTCATTCCGCGATACCACCGCTCCAGGTTAACTACGGGTTAAGCTTTCGATCTGTTTCTACAAAGCTGTTGCAATATTACCTGTCAGCCGTCCTATGCGAGGGGTCATTGAACATTACCTGTGCCAGTCAATCCCCGAGATCAGATGGATTTCCTTCATGGCTTCCAGACTTTTCAAAAGACAACGGAATGGAGCCTTGGCCAGTGTTGGGGTATCAGCATTGCGAGTTCGAAGGCAACAGCCCATATTTCTCATCAGACGATACCATACTCCATGTTCCCGCAGTGAGGGTAACCACAATCAGCCAAGGATATGTGACTGGAGAAGATGATGATTGTTCCACGATTGACAATTCTTGTCTGCTCGGCCGCATATGGGCATTCATGCAGTTGTCAGCGAAGGAAGGATCATTTAATTCCATGTTCTGGAAAGCGAGGAACCACACAACGCTTCTCTCCAATGCTCGAGATATAGTGGGGGCAACAACAATGGCTGAGTATATCAATCTACCATTGTTTCCCGACAGCTTTTCTCCTACTCGTATCTTAGAGGAATTGGAGAGCGGTATGAAACATCAAAAGAACGGGGTCCCGGGTTTCCTCGACACTTTTCGGCGGAAATCGTTCCGTAGGCGCTTCGCGATTTTCAACATTGAAGGCGTATGCTATCCTTCCCTCGTTCCTGCTGCTTCACGGCCAGGAGATGAACTTTACCTACTTCGGGGCTGCGAAATCCCTGTCCTTCTCCGAAGCAAAGACAACGAACAAAACGCATATGAGTTCATCGGCGCATGTTGCATTCTGGGCTGGGTGACAAATATTCACGCCTCATCCTATGGATCTATCGAGACTATCGAACTGCATTAAGGAAAGAGGCACTATGTTTGGGCATTGTTTGCCGTGCTTGATAACTCCAGGGAGGGTTATAGGAAAAGAAGCCATCGACGACCCACGATCTACGTAAAGGAGTATTATCTAGGCGTTCTACGAACAGTTACGCCAATAATGTGTGAGAAGCCCACTATGGTGGTAGGGCGGGGTCATCCTGAGGGCGGCCAATACTATGCTGGCAATGGCAGAATATTTGGAGGCTGCATTGCTTCGCAAATGCTTGTGCTTTTCCGGGGTGTAGCGCTTGATAATCTGTTTTCGTAGCTAGCTTCTTCACAGCAGAAATGACCTTTCTTTTGCTCTCTTACCTCTAGGCCTTATTGGCACTCACTCCTGATCGCCTTTCCTGTTCTCCTTGAACGTAATCTCTTGTTTCGACCGATTGTCTTGAGTCCATGCCTTAACGCCCGACCCGCAATGAGGAGCGAACGCTAGCATTGGGAAGCTTGGCTAACATCCACCCCTCACAATGAGTATCTGAAATACTGATTCTCCTTGTCCGTCAGATCCTGAAATTCCTGTCCACTAGGTTGAGCCAGGGGAAAATTGGCAAGCTTGTCTCTCCTCGTGTTCTCTCGCTTATTCACAATGTGAAGAGCGAGGCAGAAGCAAAGCGCCGCGAACCACTGCGCTATGATGTTGATCTTCGCATTAGTATACGAAGGCCCGTCCCGAAATGTCTGAGGTCCAATCAAAAAGCCTGAAGCACGTAATCAGTAAATTCTTTTGTAGAAGAAACGAAATCCAGAGACTAACCGACACAGTAGCCTACCAGCGCCACGGCGTTCACAGTCGTCTTCTTCGTGTACCCTGCCGTGTTGCTCGAGATATTGCTCAGCGTCAAGATGGTCGCAGTTGCCGAGTTGCCAATTGTTATGTAATATCCAATGATCTGGCCGATGGTATTCGCCGTCGGACCGTCTCTGGCAAGCCCAGCCATCAACGCAATGCCGAAGAGGCTGAGGCACATGGCTGCAACGGCGGAAAGCATGCGGAAGCCGGTCCGCTGTGCCAAGTAAGAGAAGCCGAGATTGCAAATAACTTGCACCACTCCTGCCGGCATGGTGATGATGAAGGTCGTGTTGGCGTCGAAGCCCATGCCACCGATCAGCTGCGTGAAGAAGACGGTGATACCTCCACATGGAATATCAACGGTGACTAGGAAGAGGAAAATCAAGTACGTCTGAAAGCATCAGCTGGTCATGTACTGCCACGGAATCACGGCACTACTTACGCGGACGTCGGTAAACGCTTCCCGAAATTGGTACCACTTGAATACCTTGGACCCCACTCCCTGCTGATTGCTTCGAAGCCGCTCGATGGCGACATGCCTTTCTTCCTCGCTTAGCCATGGTGCTGAGATTGGAGATTCAGGTAAGAAGAAGAACAGTGCAACCCCGTAGATGCTCGTAGCAATGCCGGCGATCAGGAAGAGAGCTTTCCATGAGGAGAAGTGGATGTGCGAATTTTCCTCAAACCCACGTGAGACGCCGTATGCCAAAGCACCGCCCACAATTTGTGCCACGCCGTTGAAGCAGAACCATATCCCTGTTCGGAACGCTTGCTCCGATGCACGGTACCACCTTGCCGTGATGAGAACGAAGCCTGCCAACGTCAGCAACCAAAGCCGATTCCAGCTGCAAATACACTTACTAGCCGTGACAGCGCCCTCCAACGCCCCCAAGAAGAACCGCACCGTCATGATGCCCGCAAAGTCCGTCGTCGCAGCCGTGGTGGCGAGGATGATGCCCCACACAACAACCGACACCGACACGTACCTCGCCACGGGGAACCGCTGCATCAGCCGATTGTGCGGGTACTGCAGCGCCAGGTAGCCAATGTAGAAAATGCTGCCCGTCCAGGAGTACTGAGACGCGGTCATGTTCGTGTCGGCGGTGATGCCCATGCTTGACGCGTAGCTCAACGTGGTCTTGTCGAGGTACTGCAGCAGGTAGAGGCCGCACATCCACGGTAGCAGGTTGCGGTCGATCTTGCGGCGGACGCGATGGTCGGTGGCCTCGTTCATGGGGACCGCGGGGCATTCCGCGGCGAAAGCGAGCGCTGCATCCTGGCCACCGCCGGGTTTTGAGATGGTTTGCGTCTCCATTATTGATTCGTCTGCTTGCTTCATAGCGGCAGCACCTTGAGTACAGATATTTGAGGTCAGAAAAAGGAAATGACTTGTACAGTCCCAACTAGCAGCTATCGACGCTTTTATAGAGACACCGTGAGCCATGACTGAGGGGACGGCTCGTCTCCCATCTTTGGCTCAGGACGGGAAACGTTCCCTGCTACCTATCTCAAAGGAAGTCAGCTTGCAGCAAAGTAAACAGGGATTGACTGATCCATGTAACCGACGTCAATGTCAACCATACTCCTGATTCTTTCTCGGGGGTTGCTCGTTTCAGAAGAGCGCGTAAATACCAAGTATAAATGCTGTAGCGCTGAAACTTTCTCAATAGCTTTTAATTTCAGGATGCTGAATCGCGCGCAGCCCTTTGATAATTCCAACATACGTTGATACAAGCAGTAGACTATGCGATCGGCGAGGGGGGGCGACCCCACTTCCGGTTGATAAGCGCATATGATAGCATTTCTCCGACAAGATGCGGAGTACTTTGGCACTTCTCACCAATGAGTACTCTCAGTATCCCATCAGCTATCATGTTGCTTTTTGCCAGGGCGAGGTTTCGGGACCGGGATGCTAAGCCGCAAAGGGTAACCGCTGAAGACCTGAGCATTTGAGGCCCTTGCGCGGCCGCGGCATAACACAGGAGACACATATTACTATAATACGGGCGTCTTCTCCCTTCTCTGGAAGAGATTTCGGGTGCTCCATGCCGGAAGTCTCGTCGGTGGGTGATTATATATCATGAGGACGGATTGACAGATGTTTGGTATCATTTGCACATTTCAGTGCAGTAACTGGCGAAAACATGAGGGCTAGAAAAAGGTAGAAGAAGGTGGGAAAGGTTGATAGACTGCGGCGGCCAGGTCGGGCTTTTCAGATCCCGATCCGATGTTCCTTCCGTTTTGGTCGCTCACACGGTTGCCTACCGCCTACCGCCGCTCCGCCTTCACCACCTCACCAAAGCCTCTTCTAACCCCCGCACCTGTCTCCCACTCAAGCATTGCCATCCACAGCCTCCTATACGCCTTCCGTCTCATATTGCGCCAGAGCGAGATGCATCGCCAGGATCCCTCCGATTGCCGCTCAGCGATCGCGCATTGCGCCGCGGAAAATGATTCCAGCGGACCACTTCACCTTCGTTCCGGGAGGCACAAGAACAGGCGACAGGCACGCATCGGTCAGCCCGTCGCGGCTCACTCAGATTTAACTGTCGAGCATCGCAGTGGCCCCGCTCCAACATCACCGTCAGCTCAAATACCTCGCTCGCGGTCAGCCAATGCGTCTGTATGCGGCTTTTCTTCTCGCGATAACTGATCATCGCTACCTCCCGGCCAGTCGGAGCCGAGAGAGAGCTCACTGCTTATATCTTGTTCATCCACGCCCGCCGGTGTTCCATCGGCCGTCATGCGGCAATTTCGGCATGGGATGAGCCGCTTCTGGTACCAGGCGGAGTCGTCTTACACTGCGTTGACAGCATCCTCGATCGCTGGTCTCCCTGTCCGCCTCGGCTTGTCCGCAAGAGCTTCTGTACAGGATCATTTGCATCCAAGACAACGTTAAAGAGAACCTGCGCAAGTCGCGTAAAGACACACTCAGTATTTGGCTCTTTATCCTTTTCAAGCTGCTTTTCGCTAATACTTTTACAGCAAAAATGCACAAACGGAAACTTTTTGAAATTCCGCCACCCCCCGACCCTCCTCAATCACACCCTTTTGTATTGGCAAAAGTCGCGAATGGCGCCCCTACCATGGCGTTTGCCTGCACCCACCCCGATCGAGAAACGCTAGTTCTCGGGACCAATGAGCCAAATTGGAAAGGCTTTCCCCAAGTAGAAGTCATACCGCGGAGTCTTCGAGATACGAGGCTTAAAGCCTATATTCCGTATGCCAAAGCAGCATACTATTCCCTCAGGGACAAGGAGCTAGAGATCAAGAAAAATTTGCTCAACACCAACCGGGAAAAGTACGTGGCTGATGAGAATCTGCTTATCTCAGACGCCAGACAAGAGGCAGTTCTCTCAATGAGAGATAAATCAGCTTTCCTTGGCGGCGCAGGCCAAGTCGGGCTTGGATTTCGGCTACCAAAATGGAGCCCAAATCAGCCTTGTTGTGTCTGCCAGGGCATGATGGGCTATGAGATAGCCAAAGAATGGTATTAAAAGGAGATCAGAAGATATTTGATCAAATCTATTGTCGAATCCCAACGGCCTGTCCGCAAGAGCTGCACTGGAGCTCAATTCACTGCTTTGAATTTGATCTTGTTCATAGATCTCGCTATCAGCCTCCAGCGAGTCCCGCGCATAGGATTCACTTCACCGAAATTCCGTGCGGCTTCTTCAATGCCGAAGGGAGAATTTCAAAGGGCGAACGATGTAGCTTTGTCGTTACAACTGCGTCTTTCTCTTCAACGTTTTCGCCTACTTAAGGCTGAGGTTGGAGGGTGAGGCGCATCCTAGCGCCTTCGGACAACTTGCTGGCCATAGTAACAACGTCTCGTTCAACAAAACTGCTAAGACACTGAGCAATGGACGCGATTTCGAGATCCTTATGGAGACGGATCGCGCCCTAGACGAAGCCTTGCTCTGGTCACACGGGCTGTTCCAGATCCGACACATCAGTTCCAACTACTGGGCGCCGAATGATCCAGAGAGAAGCAAAGGGTCTGACTTTTCCTGGTATGCCAGTTACAGGCAGTACCGTTACATGGAGATGGAAAGTATCGAAGATGAGGAAGATACTACGTTATCTCGAAACACTGCATTCGGCCATAGATTCTTGCTGGAAAAGCTCACTGTCGAATTCCCATCATGGATGAAGGGAACTGCGGAGACTCGGTACTTGGGAGACAATAACCAAGGTGCCTCTTACAATCCTGATCAAGTTTTGCCGTTCGAGCATGCGGTCATGCCATTCTACACCAGCCGGCAAGCGCTGGAGACCACGCTCATGATCGGCCTTCTCTGCGAGAGAGAGGCTAATCGGGTAGCACCTGCGGAGATGCTATTGCAAAACTGTTCTCTTCTGATATTGTTTGAGAAGCGGAGGATCTTCATTTTCTTCATGATCACTTGCCGCTTGCCAGCAGCACCTTGCCCCAGAACTCGAGGGAAAATTGCCAAGCCGGGGTCATCTGAAGCCATCGTCCAGACGTGAATGTAAAATTTTAAATACGACAAAATCGTCCGGATATTAGCTTCATATACCCAAGGATGTCGCGCGTGGTGTCTCAATGACAACTACGGGGGCAATCGTCGACTGTAACGCAGGACCGACTGTGGAAGATGCTTTCAATTATGATGATGACGCTTCACCTAACGTTCGTGGATCCAGAGACCACAGCGCGAACGGCCGGGGTCGTGTGCCGGCTGCGTGCCCGCAAGAGATTCTGAACCGACTGCTTTGCACGACACAGCATGTCAGGAACAGCCTGAGATAGTCCGGCAAAGACACACTATGTAGGCTGTCTCCTTCTGACTATTGGTTCAATTTGTCGCTAATGCCTATGTTCACAGTGAAGATGCATAAGCGAAGCGTGTTCCAGGTTCCACCCGTCGAAATTCCCTTCAAGAAGCCACCGACGAACGCCTATGAAAACGCTGGAGATGGAGCACCCTCTATGGTCTTCGCCTGCACGCACCCAGGAGCGGAAACATTGGTCTTCGGCGCAAACAAACCGAATTGGAAGGGTTTCCCCGAGGTTGCGGCGGTGTTGGCAGGAACGGGCGCCGAGGGGGTATTTAGTGCTTTCTCTCGGGTAGCTCAATACATCACCCGTTCACCTCCTCAGTTTCGTGCCACAGCCTCGCCGCACAGCGGTATCCCGCCAAATCCGCGACACGCGCCTCTCCGCGTACATCCCATACGCCCATCCTGCATTCAAATCGCTGAAAGAAAAAGAGAGACTTTTCACGGAGGAACCACAGAGCGGCCAAAACGCACATTCATCCAATAAGAAGTCAGTAGTCTATAATGCGCACAAGAGAGCTATACGCCCAATGAGAGACTATGGCAGTTTTCTCGAGGGAACACACGAGATGGGCCTAGCGGTACGCACTCCCGAATGGAGCACAAATCAACCGTGCTACCTTTTCCAAGGCATGATGGGGTTATGAGGTGGTGAAGCAGGCGAAAGAAAAGGATGTCAAAAAGTATCTCCTTCAATTTGACTGGGAGTTACGGGGAGACTACCCTCATTCTTGTGCAGAGGCGCCGGCTCGCACTCAGTGCATAGCATTAAAATATCTGGAACGATCTAGACGCAAAGTTTTCAATTGAATATCAAGATTGGTTCGCCGAATTGCTCGTGGTTTCGCTGAACTGGCCTCCATCGAAAGAGATGCCAACGTTTAGCTCGGCGCCGCTGTTCCACCCTTGCAGCTGCTGTCTCGATCGTACGTTCAGCAGTCTATGATTGGCTAGCCAAAGGAGGGGGGTTGTGATCGGCAGCCGGATAGAACACACGAGTCGCATCGACCCATGAGGATGGCCACTAAAGCCTCGATGCCAAGTAGGTGCTGCCCGCTCAACACTGCGGAACCAGCGAGAGGCAGTTCGCACAAAGCTGAGGTGTGCAGCTTACATGCGCCAATGCCGGCATAATCGGATGTGGGGGGCCAATCTCATCCTCGCGAGTCTACTATGCCAAGCTCCGACCGGCCTATAAACCGGCCAACACCCCTCTTCCCAAAAAGTCGGCTTCAGCTCGATGGCACCACTCACCTAAAAATGAACTCATGCAGCACAGGTCAGACCATTCTTCATACAGCTCGTCGTCACATTGCATGTCCCCACACTACACTCCAGCTTTGCAAGGCAGCAGCGCAGCCTTGCCAGTTGCGTCTGCCTGCAAAGGTTGCCTCGTGATGGAAATTACCAGTAGTACTCGCTGCCATGCCCGCGGAGTTGCGCTATGCACCTTAGTGACGTGGTCTAGACTCTGCAGCATTCTGGTTCACAAAGTGTGGCGTTTAGATTGATCCGCTGCTATCCTATTCCCCCAAAACTCAATTTCGTACCGTCTCGGGAATTCCTAGTACGCTAGTGGCTCGAGGCTACCCTACGTGCGTTAACATGACTGTCCGCTGATGAAAACAACCTGGACGGAAGCCAATGCCACTGCAGCAGCGAAAATCTCGATCTTCCTCGCACTGGTGAAAAATTCCAAAGCTACGGTGAAAATGAATGAAAAGAAAGAAATAAACAATAAACGATATACGGTCGTTGGAATGTAGTTGAGGGCAAAGATTGATGCAGTTGGTAGAAGTGAAGCACCAGCGATGACCATAGCTCCAGATGCTCTCTCAATCTTGCAGTCTTCGTACTCGTAGTAGGGCATGGCTGGCAACAACTTTTCAAGCCGTTTGTGAATCCACGGAAAGGCCTTGTCGAACACCCAGTATGTGAATTTGTCTGTATTGCCGGACCGGTGGTCCAAAGTGATCAGATCCTCGTGTTGATGTTCACCGTCTATTTCCTCGAAGATGTTCTCGGGATGTTCAAGGAAGGAACCAACACCTGTGCTGCGGTGGACCAGTCCTTTTACCAGCTCTTTGCGGTCAGACGCATTGGGCTTGGCAAGCTGGAATAGCCTTTTGTTCTCAAACAACAGTGCATCTTCGCACTCTGTCAACATCCATACCCACTGTAAGGAATAAGGAGCCACTTACTGTATTCCTTCAGCATTGGGCGGAGTTTCTGTATCTGGTTCCACTGCTTCCACCCATTTGATCCGTTCTCAGCTTCCATAAGCCGCAAAAAATTGGTGTGATTGTCTAACTGATCGTCCTCCAGCTGGAGTGTCCTCAACTTGTGTTCCTCGTGAGATATCTCGGCCTGGAGGGCAAGCAGATTCAGGGCATTGAGAGAGGCAAACCGTCGAAAAATTGCAAATGTTGGTTGCCGGCCAACCCAATACGCATAATTGGCATACGGCTTGTAGTAGGTGCTGTCATGGGTTTCGCGATGCCTCAAAGGTGGTCGTTGTGGACTTTCCCCCTCATCGCTGCCGCGAGAAATTGTGTTTGGAAGTGACATGTCGAGGCTTGCTCTGCGTTCTGGAAATCCAAAGCCGCGTAGTTCTTAACATGTGCTCTTTCATCATACTGAAATCTCCGCAATTTACAATTGCATAGCCAGCCTCTTCAACCGGATGCGACGGGTAGCCAGATGAGAACACTGCGGAATTAGCGCTTACGAAAGAACGCCACTGTGGCTCAACTGCATTCTGCCTACATCGACTCACCGGTGGCCGGTCAGTGAGGTGGCGAATCCAGCAAAACGGTAAGCCTGTGTGAGCCCCGCACATTGAGTCTATTCGTATAATTGGCTGCAGCTGAGCCGGATGGTTTACCGGCTTGGGTGAGCTCAAATCGGGAACGTAGCCTTGGCAATAGCTGAGCCGCCTGATTGAACTATAAGTGAGCGTCTCTTTCCTTGATCAAATATCGCATTGGAGAGCAAGACCAGCAACCTTTCGAGTTTTCACCCGAAACAAAGCATCCATCTTGTCGAAATGGACCCACATCAACTTTCTGGCACTGACGAACGACATGGTCCAGCCATTGGCCAGAGCTTTCATGCACGGCTCTGGATCTGGTTCATTGATCTTTTAAGATGGATCTTGTGCACTCTTTCGGAGCAAGTCACAACTCTTGAATTATGGACCCTGGGTTCTGATGAATCTCACAAGCAGGCAGTAAGCACCCTAGCAGTACAACTGTCACCAAAGAACTCCTGGCTGAATCGAATAGGAATCTCGAAACGCCAAAACCATATTCATCCGGGTCGACAACGAAGATGGAAACGACTACTATTGCGAAGCTTTTCTGGACACGGGTTCCAGCATGAACTTGATATCCGCGAGTCGGGTTTCCGAGCTTGGTCTTTCCTACAAGGCGACAACCAAAGACGAAGAAGAGGATGCCACATTAATCGATTTGGACCACACAGAGACTCATCCACTAGGAAGTTTGAAGATCAACTACAAGGGTGGTCATCACGGTCATAGTCCTCAAAGTGTGGAAGCCTCCAAGTTCTATGTTTTGGATGATGTCCCATACGGAATTTTGCTTGGTCGACATGCGCTAAACGATCTACATGTCTTCACACTTGACCCTCTATACTTTAGCAAGCCACCCAGACGCACTCCGCAAGAAAGAATTCTGACAGTACCTGGGGGTGAAAGGTGGAAACGGGGGACATATTTCATTGGGCAACGGAAGGGAATCCTTTCCTCAGGAAAAGCTTTCTTTCCTGGCAAACCGAACACAGGCGAGCCAGTTAAAACGGTCAAACGTTGATCACTCGACTATTATCTATGATGATTTAATTTCTCGTTTATCTCTCTCGTTGATTTGCCCCTTGTCTGGCTTCTCTAGCTCTCAACTTTCTTTCAAGCAATGCAATTGATGATCTTCACACGATCTTCAAAACACTACGCTCTATTACATCATGAAAATTCTTTCTATATGCATGGGATTCGTTTGTACGGATTCTTTACGACAGTACTCTATAAGCGCGTCGGCTTCTGCTGGACATTTCGATCTTCAAACCGCACCTTTATTCTAATCAGTCACGTACCCTAAGATTTTGATCTATCTTCATCAACCTTGCGAGCCTTTTTCTCTCAGTCCATAAAATTTATCCCTATGCAGCTATGTAACCGTTGTATTCCTACGCGCCCACCAGTTTCGAATCTGGTGCTCCAGCCTGTTTTACCCCTAATGCTTCCACCGCCTTTGCCCCGTCGTTGTTCCCCATATTTTTATCTGTCAAGTTGTTCTTATTGTCTTCCTTTTGCCTTTCCTTCCCCTTCTCCACTTCATTTTGCCTCATTTTCTCCTCCTCTTCCGCTTTGCTTTCATGATCGTCTCCCTCTAAGCTCCTCCTACCCCGTTCGGGTTCCCCTGTCTCCTTCAGTCACTATCGTTCAGTTTATTAAAACGCCTTCAAAGGATGTCCGCATTGTCGCTCACCTTTTTGTAATCCTGTCGAAGAATTTCTGAAGTTTCCTTTATAGAGGCTAAGGTCTTTCGCATGTCGTCCTTGTCATCCAGCTCCTTGCACAACCTTCTAAACTTCTCGAAACTGGTTTCTCCGTATGGGAGACAGGGATCGTCGGAGCAAAAAGCCAAGGAAGTCCGTTGACACTTGCAGCGGTGCGGAACATAGTCTCGATCCGCAATCGTGAGCTCATGCCGATTGACCTTCTCCTGGATCCGCCAAAGAGACTGTCCAACGATCCAGGCAATAGACATGAAGACGTAGATGATGAGCGCAATAACCAGTACGACAACAATCTCGAACTTTAAGAATTAGCCAAATGTCGTAGAGAGTCATGTTAGAACATACATGGAAACGGTAATCCGGCCCGGAGAAGAACATGTTGATCGATAACCTCCTGATCTGGAGCCCAAAACCTGTCACATAGTCAGTAATGCTGCATTCTAATCGACGAAACATCTTAGCGGTAAGAAGTGATGCTCACCAAGGGGAAGGTGGATGAACGATAGTCCTAGCGGTGCTATGGAAGAATAGAAGCGGAAGTCAAAACAGGGAGAAGAGTAGTAGGAGGTGACGATGCCAGTAATACGGGTGCTAGTAAAAAGCAGAGTTAGCACTGGCTCCTGACCGAGTCTCAAGCCATGAATCATACGGGCTGATGCTGAACAGTGTGAAACAGCCGGAATTTGTTACTTCCTTGAGTTGCAGCCATCCATGCCCCATTATATAGCAGCAGTTGAAAAAGATACGTGCTGTGAAGAGGGCCTGGGTGAGGGTAGCTTACGTGTGAAAGGGATTCAAAGAATAAGATGATCAACAACGCGCGTCGTATTCAGGCAGTGATAGTTTGACAGCTGGTTTTCAGCTCGTTGACAGGGAAATGACAACTCTTGTCCACTCTTTTGCAGATGCACGCTTTGCTATGCATCTATGAGTTGGTCTGACCTCGCTCCTCGGCATCATATTAGATACCAATCCAAGGCCTTGCGCCAAGACCCTACCCCTCGCAAGTGTGACACATCATTCCTCAGTAGTCGTCACATCCTGAGCCGGATCTCTCACTATTTTCCCCATTTTCCCTTTTTCGTATCGTCCAGAGGTTGGTTAGAACAGTTATCTCTATTCTTTTGGACCTCTTTTACAAGAGTTATGCTACATAGATGCTGTGCTTTAGTATCGCATAGTGGAGGTAGAACTAAGAAAGCTAGTATCCCTAACCTCCTTAGTTACGTTTCTGCTCTTAAGCCAGAAAAGCAAATACCAGATGGCAGCAGGCCATTGGCCTCGAAGACTTCGTCGTGGCAATTTCAAATGCAATGACACCATGTTGCTATCCAGACTATCCTAAGAAGGGGACAATTGTTTGGTGTGCAGTGTTGAGGCATTTTTCGGATTGGAAAACCTGCAGATGAGAAGGCTGAATGAACAAAATGGCGAGTCTTCACCGTATCCTGATACCTTGCATGTCCCCAATGTGATATCCGGCGTAACTTGGCTCGCGATTCTTGGCACGGATGGCGCGGAAAGTAGCTCTCCTTATGGTCTCTCTTGCAGCGTTACCTGCACGCCGTGAGTGGGCGATCAATCTCCCCAGCACTCGCCCAACTTGTTCCAGAGGAGAGCCAGAAATGACGCTGCGAGCTGAATTGGCAAGCTAATGATAGTGTCCAACGGTATCTTACTGGGATGTAGAATCGGCATGGCTACCATTTCTTTGACCGACGGATTCAATACCATGTCAACAATCGTAAGCATAAATTCTGTAGACTCAACTCTCCATATGCCGAGCATGGACAGACCTACATCAACTTACGGCATTAAACCCCATTACACGGTAGTGCGAAGGCGGGAAGGTGGCGGGAAGCAGTGTTGACAAAATATGTGGTCGGCTAAATCCCAGTAATCCCACCAATCCAAAATGCACTAGGGCCGGCCCGCTGCACGACGACGTCGGCAGCGCCTTAACCTTCTGACACACTTACCCGAATGTCCCTTACGCAGCATTCTTGCCGGAAACCCGGCGCTTGACGCGCGTGTACTCACACGGCTTTCTCCGGTCGTCTAAGTCCCTCGCCGTCTCCTCCATCCATTGCTGGCTATCATGTTCAGCTAACCAGGCATGAATAGTTTGCCAATCGGCAGCCCCTTGCCGACATCAGCGACGAGCTGTACGATACCATTGGGTTTCAGCTGCAGGCCCCGCCGCCCCGCTGCCCTGATTCCTGCAATCCCCGCAAAACGCGTGGTACCCCCACCTATCATCCTTCGCACCGATACCCGCTGCTGCCATGCGTCTGCAGACCAAGACTACCGAGACGAAAACTCCTGCTGTGCTGGCTAGTAAAGCGCAAAAGAGCCCGACAGAGGCCGCTGGCCCAACTATGGCCCTGTCCGCCATCACAGCTCAGCAAGACCCCGAGAAACGCCTGCATTCTATGCACCTCGTGGGCTTGCTGATGCGCATAAGGCCGTCACTAGTATCTCCGGTCCCCCGCGGAACCAAATGCTATCGGTGATCCTTTTCCCAGCTTCTTCAGGGACGTAATTGGCGTCCAACGCGGCGGACGCAGACCCTGGAATATTCATCGGCTTCAAGCAACTTACAGATATGCTTGGCTGCATCAAAACTATGACCAACTACTCGTGCTGACGAGAAAATTACAAATCCAGGACACACGGGACCTTTCGACCCCAAGAATCGAACGTCCACACGGAATCAAAGCCGCAAGGACCAAAGGATCACATAGGAGCTCAAAGATGCAGCTCCAGGAAGTCCGTACGAGATTTGAGGCAGTATTGGCTAAGAATTCGTCTAGTCTTATCCAGTAGCCAAAGCAGAGCAAGCACAGGAGCACAGGTAAGCGTCGATGGCTCGTTTATTGCCTCTATTGACATGGAAGAAACTATTTGAACCGGTATGCACATGTTCGAAATCGCGAACTGCTTTCCAAATAGTCGGTATTATTAAATCTAATACATTCTACAGTAAATGTTGCCCTCGCATTCAATACCTCAATTAACTTTCAACTCCATCAGCGCCGCGATGCCTGACACTAGTGGTAGTCGGCCCATCTGTAGCACCCGCCGTGAGTCCAAGTGGTAGTAGCACCGCAGGTGGCCTTTTCAATAGCCTCCTTAACACAAGTAGTGTCGCGGGTCTCCTCGTTCCACGGCCACTTGTAATGGAAGTTCAGGTCGATGCCGTAGGCAATGGATGCCTCGTTCGTTGACGGGTTTTGAATCTGCTTCCACTCCCACTTCTTATTGCAGCCCTTGAGGGCCACCTCCTTCCCGCAAGTTCCCTTAATGTTGTCCTGCGATCTGTTAGTCTCCTCTACTGTTTAGAGTATCTTTTACTGTGGGACGTACGGTAATACCCTTGCACCAACCATCAGAGTCCTGGCCGGTAGGGGTGATTTGGACAATGTAGTTGAGCCAGTCGGCGCCGTCGTTGTGCTTGAAGTAGCAGTCGACGTTGCCGGTGAAGTATTGCGCCAATTGACAGTCTTCGGGCAGAACATTGGCGCGTTTCTCGACGGCCGTGCTGTTGTGATCGGACGGGCCAAGGTCTGCTGCGTCATCGCCGAGAGGAAGGGCGTTGATGGCACTGGCGAGTGCTGCGAGTGCGAAAGCAACAGATGCGATCGGGGAAGGCTGGAAACGCATGGTGTTTGAAAAGGTGCAAAATAGTGCGAGTAAAGCTGTGATAACGTGGACGGGATTTTGACTTGAAGTCTGAAGGGTGTTGATGCTCGAAGAACCATGGAATGTGCTGTCTTTAATACTCGCCTTTCAAGGGCTTCTCAAGGTGGATTCTATCCAGGCTGTAGTGGTATGAGCCATCTATGTCTGTGCAGTACGATGTGTTGGATATCCGTGTTCAACACCGTTTTTTTCGCCCCCAGACATGTTCGAAAGCTCCAACCTACCCCTGAAATTAGTCTTGGGTGGCCTAGTCGCACGACCTGTGTTTCTTTATCTAGCAATCGATTGTCGCATACACCTACATTTCCGCCCCCAAGTGAACCTGAGAGCGATGTTGATGTCCAAAGCACTCGTGTCAGTTAATCGCTCCATTTTTCCCAGAGTGGAATATCCCTGATCCCTTTCGGGTTTAGTACCTAAGAGCAGGGACCGCTAAAACCTCCGCCCTAGAGCCTCTCCTTTTTTATACATCAACCCCACGTTGAACGACTTTCTGAACATGTAATTATGGAGAAAGATTAGCTCAAGAATTCCCTATGTCGACGCCTTGGTATTCGAAGGATTCGGGGACCAATTTGCGGACGTTGGAATCGCGGGCGTCGGAACATTTTCGCGCACGGACCTCTGAACAAAGACATGTTCACGACGTCAACTATCAGGTCGCTGAGGATTATTTAACTGGGCTGGTTACCAGCAGAAAGACTTGCTCAGTACCACAATCCATCCATTACTGCAACAAGCCATTCCAACAAGCCTAGCAAACATGAAGTTCTTCACTGCTCTCACGGTAAGGCATCCTCCGAACAGATAGCATTGACACCTCTGACCCGTCGGCGCAGTCCGCTCTGGCGTTTACCACTACGGCCATTGCCGCGCCACTCGCCATGAACGAAACAGAGCCGTTCGCTCTCGAGGAGCGCGGCACCCCCCTTCAAAACGTCGGCATCACCGTCTTCCATTCCAAAGAGGAAACGCGGCTCGGACGCTGGACCCTTCGGTTCAGGATGATGGGGTTCCTCCAAGCGACTGGTGCGATGTACGACATATTGACGGAGCAGATGGGTGTAAATGCCGACACAGGGGAGCCCGTTGCGCGGGCGTCGGTCGTGGCGCAAGGATTCTTCGCCAACCTTCGGCCCTGGTATCAGTCGACCTTTCCCGACGTCCGGCCTAAGCTGTTTCATTCCCTCTTCAATGCTGGAAGCAACGTCGGCGAGGGATGGGAAGGCACCGTCGGGGCTCAGTTCTGGGTACGTATCCCGCCTGGCAAACGCTGCTGAAGCTGTACTAACGGAATCTCGGCGCAGCTCTGGGCGGAGGAAGAAGCTACGTACGATAGGATTCTGGAGGCGCTTAAGGCATATTTGTCCGGAAAGGGTAGCAACCCTGTTGACGTCATCTTTTCGCGCGTTCCAGATGCCTTCGCCGTCGGCGACCCTAAGCAGTACCTTTTGCCCCGTAGTAAGCTGAGGGCCAGGTCTGATACCTGCTCAAGCGGCACCTCTCTCATCAGTCAGTTTCAGAACAGAGTCCCCGAGATTCCGACTTTCTCGGGAGCGGACTGTTAGATGGGAAAGTTGAAAGGATGGACGCGGTAGTGTGTAATAGATTTTGGCTTGGAAATACATCATGCTTTTAGTTTATTCTAGCTATCACTTAATATATATCTCGGAAAGGGATAACAGTTTTCTTGTTATATGACTACTTTTCTAAACTCAGACCTTAAACTTACTTCTTTCCTTCGTTCTTTCACTCTACGATATTCCAACGTTCTCGTCCGCTTCAGCTCTACGCCCAAACTATACTTGGCTGCAGGCCAGTCAGTCTACCATTCCCATCACCGTCAGCAAGCGATGCGGTATTATGTCGACGGATTCAATGCTAATTGTATCGAGACTACTTACAATTTTGCTGTATGTATTCCTCATGATTATGGTCCACGTGTCTCTTTGGGGTCTGTAAAACATGTACATGTAGAACCAACGCATTTGTAACAAAGTTCAAGTGCTGGCCTCAATGTAGACTGAGAATGTAACTCCTTCGGCGCATGTTTATCATGAATATTTTGCTACTTATAAGTCCGACAATTGGAATCTTTCATACACCCCCGCATATCATTGTTCAAACCACGTCCTTAATCGAATCAGCCACGAACTCATACACAGAAAACACAATCCCCCCCGCAAACACCAGCCGCGCAAGCCTCATCGTACTCCCCTTCCAAAACCCCCTCACCCCGCCATCCCGCCACACCCCCCTCACCGCCTGCCCCAGCCTCTCCCCCCGCGCGCTCTGCGCCCGCGTCTTCACCGTATCAAACGGCTGCGTCGCATACACCGTGACCGTCCCGGCAATCGCTCCCAACACAAACGTCTCCGCTGTCGACTTCGGCAGACATCCAAACCTGGCCCGATACGCCTCCTTCATGGCGTTGTACGACCCCATCCGTACCGCCGAGTTCGCCGACTGCTTGGCGGTGGTACTAACCAACCCACGATACATAGTCCTCAACCCCTGCTCCCTCACTAACACCGCCACCGCGCGCGGCGCCGACCCGCGGAAGCGCCTTGCGCCCTTGGCGTCGTCGATCAGCGCCGTCTTGATGCGCTCGGTCGGCGTGACGGCGACGACGGACTCCACTGCACCCGCAACACTCCCGGCAAAGATGCTGCGGGCCGGACTGAGCCGCCCGTCCGGTCCGGCGAGGCTATTCTTGACGCTGTCGAAGGTCGTGAAGCGCACGCCGGCCTTCAGCGCGGTGCCGAGGACGAGCGTGGAGCAGCCGGCGTAGATGGCTGGGATCCCTTCGGTGCGGGCGGTGTGGAGGAGCACGTGGAAGGGGTTAGTGCTGGAAGGGCCCGCAGAGGTGGCGGAGCGGAGTTGGAGACAGGTCTTGGCGTATTCGAAGGGGTAGGTTAGCGTTGCTTCGATGCCGCCGGCGATGCTACCGGAGATGAGGGAGGCGATGGGGGAAATGGTGGGTTTGGGGTGGGAATCGGTGGTGGGAATGGCCCGGGGTTTGGGGGAGGATGCGATGTGTGCCATTTTGTAGTGTTAGAGATATGATGGAATGAGAACAAGTCGACATATGGCACTGCATCAAGTCATTTTAAAGTTGTTCACTGTTCTTTAAGTTTCCGTGTTGGGAAAGTGGAACGCTCACACGGAGCTATCCGGTGGAGCGGAGCTCTCCAGCAAGGCGGACTCGTCCTCTTGCTTTAGCCAATCAGAGCATTCTAAGCAACACAATCTCCAAGCCATAGCAATCACTAGTGCGATTGAATAGTAAGAGTGTTTTATTAGATGTTACATAGCCGGGTGCGTTGATGATTCGTACATCGCTGTTAACAAGATAGATTACATGTTGTGCCATCGAAATGATTCTAGCAATGAATCTAATCATAGTGTCCATGACTTTACAAGTGCTGATTTCAATCGCAGATCAGTACTTGAGGTCATTTTTACGCATAGAGACGTCCTTCAATCGGTGCTTCCACCGAATCGTTGGAAAATGCGCAATGCCCCACTTGTTTCCCATCTGCGGTGTGTTCTATCATGTCCGGTATCGCACCCCACATGACCGGTAGGAGTTCGGATGTTCCCTCTGGGCAGTGACATGCTGCAGAAAGGGCTGCACTGCAGCTTCCAGCTACCGGCATCCCCGATGGAAGTCTGCGCCAGCCTAGCGCTACCGCAAAAACCATAAGTACGAAAACTGCGATAGCTGTGATCATAATAGCGAGGAGAGAGTAACTGCAAGTCGTAGGGCCGTCAAGTTTCGCATATATCGATGGTTCTCCAATTGGGCTCCTTGCATCTACTTGGCTGAAGAAGATGGCTTGCGACATGATCCAGTGCAGAAACGCCGATATTGACATAAGAGGGATGGCAAGGCGATACGGGACCTGGAGGAAATATGTAGATCGCTGGTTTCCACGCCTTTTGGAGACTCGTAACGAAGTTCCATGATTTGCGTACCGGGACCACTCGCGTGCGAGGGAAAGGCTCGTGAATAAGCCATTTATGAGCAGATACAACATTGAAAACAACGTCTGAGGTATGTTAGCGACCAGGATAGCCAATGTGACCGCCCCATCACCGGATGTAGGTAGGCCCCAGCCCGTGATCAACGTGAACCTATTCACCGTGCCAAGGCCAAGCTCCCAGAGGGAGCGGAAGCCCTCGAATCCACGCTTCACTTTCAAATCATTGATACCGTATCCCAGAAGGCCCAAGATTATGGTTAAGCCGACGGAGACCCTAAATTTAGTTAGCCTCTCTTCAATCTGCATCAATTCTGCTCACTGACAGAATAATAATGGATATCCATCTTCGTTTACTCGCTGCTACCGCGCGTCGCTTTGCCTCTGACTTGAATGATCTCGCGGAAGAGTGGTTGTGAGCGCTAAGATACCAGCGGTCGAAATCCTCCCTGGCATACAGACACAACCCTTTCGTCACCAGATCAGGTTCTTGGATGAAGGAGGCTGCAGCATCGCCAATGGTCATTAACTGCTCATCATGTGTTCTCCAGACAACTAAAGTGATGGTGATGGCTTTCTGTACCACGAATACCTTTAGCATTGAAATCCATACAGAATATTAAGGGCAACATACGATAGCGTTGAACACAATGATGGCAATTAATAGACGTCCTGCCATTTTCAACTTGCATTCGTGTTCGAGTCTCTCGCTGATGCAGTAGTCGATCTTGAATCCATCTACGGTCCACTGAGACGCGTTTGACTTAATTGTTTCCCAATACCCATCGCTGCATAACGGAGGTATAGGATCGGTGGTATCTTCCGGATAATTATCTTTCTGTGAGCATATCCAGTTGAACCAGTTGTTTCGTGACGTAGGGCTATCAGGCAATAACCGACCGCGGTAAGTTGTAAAAGAATAGATCGATGAGTTTGCTAAGCAGGTGAATAGAATTTGTCGGTCATCATGAATCGGGAAGCCGTTGGAAGTACTTACAGTTGCCTCGGGCGTTGCTGTCAAACTTGTATGTCTGGTCAAGCTGGTAATTGTCGCGCGGCAAAGTGGAGGAAACCAACACAAGGGTACGCCTATCCGGCAATGGTGTTTTTGCATAGGCTTCAATGCAGTCCACATTGTCAAGTCTTTCAAATACAGACCCGTTCCCTTGGATTCCGAGCCCCTGAACCTGTTCTTGGATCGCGCTTGGACTTGTATGAATGAAATTGCCATCCGAGATCAGATTATTGTCGAACCACTTTCCGTTTTGAAAATCATGAGAGGCAATGTATATGTCGTAAGAACTGTTGGTCAATGATACGAAGAAGGTCGAGTTGTAACTGTGAAATGTTAGCCACTGTCTTGAGAGATTTGAATGATTTGAATGTATTTCTTCGATCTTTCTTCCGCCGGGTATCTTCGCTCGCCCATTGGAGCAGATGGACTTACATCAGATGAAGTGGCAGGGAGGATAGTCCCAGCAAGCACCAGCAAACAAGCCTTTCTTTCTTGATGACGCGCAAGTTCCTCAGACTGGGAACACCAATGTCGAGAAATCTCCTCTGCTTGTGCTCCCTATCAATTTCGCTCCGTGTGGGAGCAGAAAGGCACTGCATGCAATAATTGCTTGCCCCAAGCAGTAGTGTGCTGACGACGTTGATGATCAAATGGATCCCAAGCTGGATGTGCTCCATTTCCGAGCAGCGACCCTGACGAATAGTGGCGAAAGCTGATCCCTGACTATCCTTGTCGTCGATAGAGCCCGAAACAATGGCCATGACGATGACGTTACCAATAAGGGCGCAAAAAGACAGGATTGCGCCCATAGTGGCGCCAAACCGCCACCCTTCAGGTAGTTGGGGCCGAAGCCAACTTGGCAGAAAGTGGAAAGTCTGCTTAGGAGACGAAAGTATGGCCTCTGGCGCTCCGTCGTTCTCGTTGGTAGACCGAGTTAACAAATTAAAACGTGTGGGGTCATCAGATGCATCGTCAACATCATTTGTACTGTTGAGGTGTTCGTAAGATGTCCGACGGGAACAGGATCTGCTATCCGCAGATGCGGTGCTTTGAGCGAGGAGAGACGGCTCAAGATTGCTCAAAGGAAGTAGAGGAATGCTTGTTGGGGAACACAGTAAGTTGTAAGGCAATATAGCATAAGCGGGTCGTTTACTAACTCGTGTCTCGATCTTTGCATCTTTCCTGTTCGAATCTGAACTTGAGAGCGATATGTATCACATGCACTCTTATTCTGCTGAGGGTTCTGACGCCACTTAAAAGACCATTCTGCTTACGCTTTTGCGACAAGGCTGAAGGAGATCGCCACTTGTTCTACTACAGAACAGTCATGTTGCAACGTTACATACAGGCAGCAGGCGACTATTAAGCTGAGAGCCAATAGATAAGCGGTATCACACAGAATGCGTGGCTGCAGCCTTCGCCGTGAGTTACCTCCTCGATCAATTGATTGGCGGATGCGAGATTACCAATAATCGTGACGTAAATGTGTGTTACACGATATTCACGTAGAGGGCAACCTTTCGCTGCACTCCATGTTGTGGCGTTCTTGGCCGAGACCTGTTGAATGCGAATGCGAAAGTAGAGGGAACGAATGAGTACACGAATCATTTTTTGGTACAAATAGGCCGTTGATTCACTCAAATCTTGTCAACTCTATCTTTCATTTCATATTTATCCCTTCGATGTCTCTCTAATAGCTTGCTTACAGTACTCACTGCAACGTTCCCCTGACGAGGCTGAAAGAAGCTGCGGGAAGCTGGGAAGGTCAGTACCAGGCAGAAACCGTTACACAACCCTGGAAAGGGATGCGTGACGTAGTGATCCCGCGATACTGACAGAGAGGATTCGGGTGACTGATATTTCATTGGTCCGCCTCCTCAGCCCCTGAAGCACTTCTGCCCATTCCTCCCAGATTTTCGGTCATGGGGTCGAGTAGCCTGAATCGAGCTTGGTTGGAGTTTATTGGGATGCCATAGAACGCGTTCCCCTATTCATCGCCCTAATGGAACTGCGATGGACAGTATAAGTGAGGACGGCGCATTTACATTGCTTCAGGACTTTTTTGGACTCATTCCCATGTCGGCGAGGCAAAATCTCGAAACCTGGGAGTCGAGAACATCGACCTCCCAGGATAAAGTCATGTCGCACAGGTTCCTAGTTTTTAGCAAAGGCTAGATGGTTTGGCCCTGCCGAGGCTGCATTGCACGCGAGGACATGACAGATGAAGATGCTAGCACAAACAATATTTAGCCTCTTCTCCAGCCCGCCTTCAGAGACCTGGAGAAGCCTTGAAAATATAGCGTCCTCCCGTTGAATACGAAAGGTCTATATCGGCGGTGAACGCCTAACGTGAGCTTAACAAGGCAACAAGGCTGAGTGACACCGAAAATCCTTTGATCGGTTTTCACCACGTCAGGGTGTAACCTATCATAACCAACCAAATCAACGCAGAGATATCATACGTAGTATCACCTGCAAGGATGTTACGAAGCTGAAGTGTTAGCTTATGCATTGCTACATAAGCTAGCCCTAGCCTACTTGACGAGGGTGGGTCTGTAATGCAAGGGCAGTCACTTCAGGTTGACGCAGTCTTATTAAGTCGACGGAAGCACAAGGGCCCGGCACGCAACACGATGTCCCCGACCCAAAAGCGAAGACCCCATTGGCATTCACTCATTCCCGACTCTCAGCTTAGAGCCACCCACGGGAAGGTATGGAGATTCGCCTCCTCCTTGCTACTTTATACTACTAGAAACACCCTCGAGCACCTCGACTATAACAGTCCGACCACTGGCTCTTTTCTAGAGCTGAACAATTCAGTACCCGGGTGGCAACCGTATAAAAGTACCGTTGCGTTAGATTACTGGCTCTCCACAGTGATGAAGACTAATCAGCAACTCCCTGGATCCATGGAAAAGGCGGTCCGGGCTTTTTGAAAATGCATTCACAGCGTCGTTGAGTGTGTGGTCCTGAGCGCTCGAATATCAAACTTTAGCCATAGAAGCAAAGAAGAGTTAGTAGAATCAAGCCCTGTTCTACGGCGTTTTCCTGTTGCGATATTGCCGCCTGGTGCTGACGTGATGTCGTACAAGATGAAAGCGCACCGCGGGCCAACCGCAGAACGTACCGTAGAGTATCACTAGCGCATTTCCACAACAGCGATTTCAAGGGCAAAGCTTAAAGCCAATGATAATTAAGTCTAGCCCATTATCTATGAGAATTCGGGCTTCTGCGCTGCGCTTGACACCGGAACTGTATAACCCAATCGGTCTCTGTTGTAGAACTCCACCGATATCTCGTGATTCGAAGCGCCACCATCGAGGATACCGCTCTTAACAACCGTCATCTCCTCCATAATCTCGAGCTCGCAGTAGAGGTTGCTGCCGCACCGTGGGCAAAAGAAATGCTTGTTGATCTTTCCGGAAGCCCCGATTGCGTCGAATGCTTTTGGATTTCCTCGGAGGACTCGGAAGTTTGTGCGCGGTACGACAATGTTGGATGTAAAAGCTGCACCGGTCCACTTTTGGCAGTCGACACAGTGACATAAAGCTGTGACGGCCGGCTCACCTAAGAATTGTTAGCGTTTCGTCTGGACTGTAGTCGAATGCAGCTGCTACATACCGGTATACTCAACGGCAATATCCCCGCAGAGGCATGTTCCGGAAGGCATAGTGAAGAGAAGAATATTTTGTGTATCTCTCGGAACTGTTGACGAGGCTTCTTGGGAGATGGGAGAATATGTTTGAGGAATGGAGTGATGTTCGTGTTTATATGTCTTATGATGTGCAGTCTGTGCCGAAATTCCGAGCGAAAAGGCGCAGTTAAGTAGTGGTGGAAATTTTATTCCGATAGATGTAAATGGATTCATGGTATCGGATACTTTTGGAGCAGCTTTACCGTCGGCAGGCCACAGGTGGATTTAGTAATTGATAGCTTGCGTCATCTGCAGACAGCCGATGGTCCAAGCTCATTGCCTTACGTACGCGGCCATCGTCAGCTGGCAACAGTCAACATGCGTAGAAAGAAACAGTGCCATAAGCCTTGCACTGCAACAATCCATCTTCTTGAACCAGGTACTGGATGAGAGCAGTCCCAGGATCCCTCTTCTTCTGCCAGAAGTTTCGTCTTCGCTGAAGTCATCATTTAAGACGCGTCGGGAAGCCGCCGGAAGTCTGCGGTGGTTTACATCATCAATGCCGGAGTCCGTGCGTTCAATCCCGCCACTTCTCAAGATATCGGAGAAACCAATTGTTTTTCGCAACTGATAATTCTTGTACTCTGCATTCAGTATGTTTGCATTGTAGGAGCGTCTACACCAGGAGGCAGCATGTGATTAATCCAACACGCTTCATGCGCTCACTAAAATCAGATCATTAGACTCCCTTAGCCGGATCATTAAAGCTGCACCACTTAGACAAAGTATCTAAAAGCCTGTGCGAGTCTTGCGCCACCATAAAGACTGCTGGACTTCTAAATCTTGGATACAAGGAGATAGGAGAGAAGCAGCATGGCTTTGAGGTCTGATGGTGAAAATTAGACTTTTAATAAATATAAGATCAGCAAACTGAAGCACTCATTAGTCAATGTCGTTTCCGAATGCTCTAAAGGTATCCTTAAGCGAGGCAAATTGCTAACAAGTCACAGTTTGCCAAAGCCGCCGGCGCCAGGGTCATAGTGACAACCTCTACTAAGGAGAAAGAAGACAGATTGAAACAGCTCGGTGCCGACTATGTCATCAACTACAAAGAACAAGCCAATTGGGGCGAAATTGCGAAAGAGCTCACTGGAGATCGTGGCGTTGATCACGTTATTGAGGTCGGTGGCCTGAAGACAATGGCGCAGTCTCTTAAGTCGATCCGGATTGACGGTCTTATTACGATTGTTGGCTTCATCGGCGGCGACAGCGAGGAACAGCCTTCCTTCCTTGATGTTCTGTCCAACATCTGTACTTTCCGTGGACTTTTGGTTGGTTCGCGCCTGCAGTTCGAGGAAATGAACCGCGCAGTTGTGGCGAAAGATATTCACCCGGTTGTGGATAAGCAGGTGTATGATCTGGATCATGTTCCGGAGGCGTTCCAGTATATATGGGAGCAAAGGCATTTTGGCAAAGTTGTCGTTTCGATCGACTAAGTAGCACATAGATGCGTACTTCAAACTCAATGGATTTCTCCTTCTGGGTACTATATCCAAAGTTTCTCGGCCACTCGATTTAGATCTTCTTGTTCGCTGTGAACTGTTCTTGGTAGCCATCATCTAGCGGCTATAAGTTCCATCTATGTTACCTATCAAATTTGATATGAGAAGTAAAACACGCTGTACACACTACTTGGCAATGGTGCCGCCGGCAACGCTCCCCAAGCTCCCATCGTCCAGACGAACCACTCGGACAATCTCAATGTCCCGATCAACGGGGTTCATCCACTCGATCTTTCCACCAAACCTTCTCCCACTAAGTTTATCTCCAATGAACGCGTAGGAAAACGGGATATCTGACGGGGGCATTGTTCCCCGGTGCCCAGCGACCTTCTGAGGATTTTCGTCTGGTAAGCATTCGAATATGACATAGAGTCCTTCCATGCGGCCATCCTTGTCGCTGATGCGCGCGGCTACGACGTAACCGGTATCCTGCCATGAGTCTTCTTCTAGCTCGCTTATGATGGCCGGCATCTCATCGTCACCGAAGAACTATAGCCTTCCAAGTTGGTGGAACACGAAACCTGGGGAAGGAGCGGGGGAAGCCTCATCAGCGGAAGCAGTTTTAGCAGTGGGAGCAGCCGAGTCAGTGGGAGAAGCGGAGTCATAAGTTGTGGTGAACCCATCGTTGTCAGTGTAGTTCTCTTTTCGGCGGTTGTATCGCGAAGATTCCTGAACGCTAGTCTCCGCACCGAGAACATTGAGGGCGATAAAGTTGGTGCCCAGGAGATAACCAGGCCCGCGACCGCGATGGCTGTAAGGCTGCACGTTGCTGAATCTGGAGACGCCTAGGACAACTCGGTATGCGGTGCCGTCAATTGAGTCGCGACCCAAGGGGACCCATGAGACAAAGTCGCGGGACATCCACCCCAACAGCTTTTCGGACTCGGCCTTATCGAAGAAGCTCATCGACTCCACTTGATGGATGAATTCGTCCACCGGTATAGGATTTTGCCGCACTCTCATGTCGTGCCTGACACTTTCAAGCTCGGCATCCGTGAATCCACGGCGGTCTTCCGGATCAGGAAATTCAGTGATTAAGAAGTCCTCAAGGGCAACGAGCGGATTGATGTTCGAGTTGAATATACGCCTAACATCCCACCCGGTTGACATGATGGCGGATGGCTTCAGCTTCAACTTTGGCTGAGGAAAAAGAAGGTTTGAAGGTGTCAGCTATTGCAGCTGGAGCAAGAGAAAAGCTAAAGACTCGGATGCGTCAGCTATTGCAGCTGGGGCAGAAAAGAGGCGAAAGAGTCAGAGATGCAGAAGAAAAAAAGGCGCGCGATGTGGTGTTTAAGAAGTGGGCCGTTCGTCAAAACTCGCAGCGGTTGAAAGTCATCGATCCCTGGCGCGCCGCGCGATTGGAGTGGCTCCCAAAGCGGTTAGCGTATGCCAGAGTTGTCATCCGGTAGGTGCTCTACACAAGCATTTCGTGCGCATCGCTCTTCATGAAAGCTTCACTTCATACCATAAATTCCAACAGCTATCTCGTCAGTTCAGACCTTGCCGTCGCCGCAGCCTCCAGACCAAAAGACTCATCCCTTGAGCTACAATAGCTCATTTTTCCTCGACATCATGACGGCGCCCATCCCGCTGACCGCAACGTCAGTCGAAGGATTCTCTGTCAGCCTCAGACTCATCGAAGAGTACATCCCGGGGCAGGTCTCCATCATTTTTGACCATGCCGCAGGTCCTCAGGCCATTTTCGATAGATGGTTGCTGCCGGTTATCGTCTTCGGAAAAGCAGGTCAAACGCTGACGATATCAGGATTATCTTGAGCATGGTGTTAAAGAAATGGGTTGCTGGTCTACAGTCGACAAGTCTCTTGAAAAACTTGCGCTGACGTGAGTCAAGTAGTTATGCCCACATCCCGTGTCGTCATCAACCCGTACCACCGTCTGCCAGACGAACTTTTTACCCAAGGAAAAATATTTTACAATCTTTATAGGGGGCATCGCAGCCGCAGCCAGGGTGAAGATTAGTAAGTCTCCAGGCGTAACCTTTCCACAGCTCATTCTGAAAAAACGACATACGTGGGTAGTTGAAGCTATCGTCTGGACGAAAGTGTGAAATTAAAAACTCAACATACACGTCCGGACGATAGCTTCAGCTACCTATGACACGAGCAAAAGGTCAAGACTACGTTAGCCATCGGCTTTAAAAGCGGACTGTATTAATGTAACCCGCGAAATTTTTCCTGCAGAAATAACCAACGCCACTTTGTTCTGAATAAATCTGTCGCTGGAAAATCCTCCACCATCTCGGCTGCCTGATGCTCATCGATGCGCATTACACTGAACAAGTCCAAAATTCTGGCCTCAAACCAAAACCAAAACTCTGCTTTCCCAGGCGCCTGGGTCTTCTCGGCCAAAAACCACCCCACAACCAGCACCCACATCAGCGTCGTTGCATCCAACGCCTCCACCCCGCTACTACTTCCCCTCCATTGCTGCATATTTGACCCTTTGATTGCACCCTCAAGAGCGCTCCGCAGTCGCCGCAGGTACACCAGATTCAAGGCCGAAATTGCCGGTATCTCGCTCAGCGTGGCGCAAAGGTACGCGTTAGCCGCATGCAGCAAGACCGCGTACACCCACCCTTCCCCCTCGTCCTCGCCATCCAGCCCCTCCTCACCCGCACCCTCGCCGTCGTCATCCTCACCATCCCCCGCCACCTCCACCACCACATCCTCCGCCGCATCCCCCCGCACCAACCGCACCACCTCGACCAACAACACATTCCCAACCCAATCCAACACCACCGCCACCGCATCCTTCTCCGGCCCCCCCGCCTGAAACACCCGCCTCCACCTCTCCCCCGTCGTCGCCCTGCTCACCAGCGTCAGCGCCTCGAACACCCCATCCAACCTCCTCATCCTCCTGCTCCCCCCACTCCCCACACCGCAAAGCGCCAACCTCCCCCTCGTCCTCCCCTGCACCGCCTGCACCTCCTCCACGAACTCCCGCGGATACACCGGCGTAGCGTCGATAGGCGGTGGTACTGGTGGCGTGATGGTCGGATACAAGTCGCACGCGGCGCAGACGAGCCACTCGCACCACGTCACGGCCCGCCACGCGAGGACGTTGCCGTCGAACGACTCGATGCCGCCGCGGAGCCGGACGAGTTCGCGCGCGCCGCGCAGGTGGAGGAGGGCGGCGGGGAGGTCGGAGAAGACGGCCTGCAGAAGTTCTCATCAGTCTTGTTTAACGAGGACGCGGGGGGCGGGGAGAAGGGGATGGGAGGGGAGCCGGGGGGGAAAGGGAGAAGGGGCAAAAGGGAAGGGAGGATGCACGCACACCAGCGGCGCCCAGCGCTGCCACAGCGAAGATGTAAGGGATAGGCGGCTTTTCCGTGGCGGCGTCGGAGCCGTCGTCGTCGGTGCTGCTGCTGCCGCGGGACGGGGACGGCGACGGCATGCGGGAGCGGATGCTGCGGATCAGGTCTTGCTGGAGGAGGAGGTAGTCGGTCTGCCATTGCCGGCACGGGCTCATGGTGTTGCGCAGGCAGGCGACGCCGGCGAGGAAGATGAGGAAGCTGGACTCGTCCGTGATCATCAGGTGCCATTGCGTGTTGCTGCGCTTGGCGAGGGCGCGGTCGGCGGCGTCGGGGCTGCGGAGGAGGCGGTCTTTGACCAGGCTCTCGTTAGCAGGGGTCGCAGATGGGCGTATGTGTATGAAGGCGTACCGTCGGTGAGGGGTGGGGCTCCAGGGTAGTTTTCCAAGTCTGCGGCGTTTGGTTAGTCTGGGCATGGTGTCTTGGACGATCACGAGATGTACGTACACATTAGCACGAGATCATTCATGCCAGAGAAGGATCTGACGGGTAGAGAATCGAATGGATCTTCGTTTCCGGCGCTTGCCAATCGCAGAGGACTGCACGCTCGGAAACTTTGAATCATTGCATTGATGTTTTCGGCTCGTCTCTTTTTCTCGTCTTCTAAGCCTCGGCGTCGTCGGGATTCATGCGTGGCGTGCATGATATGCGCGCGGATCTTCCGCTTGGATGCTTTGTCCTTCGGAGCCGTGACGTCTACAAAGAGTAATGCCGAGGGCGGCTCTGTTTGAGATGCGAAATCTGGCCGCGCTGCGCGGGAACATGACGCCTTGGGTGGTCCGGAATGTAGTATGAGTTCGGACGTGGGCTTTTCCTTCCTCCGAGGCATGGTCGATGCGTTGTGGCCGGAGAAAGGAACACTTCTGGAGTTTTAAGGTGTGTGGTGATGGCGAAAGCTAGATGGCGGGTGGGGGCGGAAAGCGACCTAATAATAGGTAAGCGGCTTACCGCTTTCGTCCAGGTGCTGCGCCGCAGACCACGGGATCTCTGAGATCCGATCCCCGATATGTAAGAGGGTGGGTCTCGTAATCGTGACGAATGTTTTGCTATCTGGATTTTGTTGCTGCCTGTACGCTACATGAACACAAAAATTTCTCATTTGTGGGCAAGCACTAGGGCTTGTCTGGTTAATATACACTGCAGCCAAGTCTCGCTTAACATTAGGCACGTGTTACGCAAGCAACTCCAGCATTTTTCATTGGACCGGTGGCATGGGTGTATCGAAACGAGTTCTTGTTCTGTGTAATACGATGAGCCGTATATAGTAATTCCCCATCTAGAAGGCCCTATCTGGGTTTAGCGGGCCCTCAATGTTGGTGCAAGGGTGACGATTCGACCAATGACTCGGGTATTGCACCATCTTAGGGCAGGGCCTCACCGTCTTGATACCTCTCGAAATCGAATTTAGGCACCATCAGTCCATGCAAGGTGCCTACATAATCAATGCATACAGCACCCTTCTACATCCGATAGCGAATGCGAAAATCACCACAAGGGACTTTGAGGTCGCTCTAGTGGTCTGATACGTCCCAACCCCAGTGAAAACAATGTCACGCTAGCTATCAGATGCAGAACGGGGCTGTACCATGTCCGGACAGCTCAAACTGGCGGGGATACCTTGCCTTCTATACGTTCTTGGCGAACTGTTGGCCTTTTCAACTAATGTATCGTGTCTAATATTAGTGGCAAGGCTTCTAACCGCTTTCGATGGAGGATACATGACACTTTATATAGTGCACTAATTATCAGATGCCGACTGTGTGTAAATTACGTCAAATTTCAAGCATCTTTACCCCACCTGAACCGAATGCGAGGGACTAACCTAATCTTCAAGCAACAGAATCCCGGTCGATCTGCCGTTGGAAGCTCTGGCGAGGAAGACAATCATGAACTGATCCCTCGGAATTTTCCCAGGCGTCGGATACTTGTCGCGAACATGCGGTCGCTTCAGCTGGGCATTCCACTCCCAGCTCTCCCCCTTCAGCGTGACCGCTGCCGACTCCTCTCCATTCACAAACGCCTTCATGCTCTCAATCGCCACCGAAGAGCCTTCACACCGCACCGTGCCACCAAGCGACACATTGCGAATCTCGCCCCCCTCATCCGACCTCTTCGTCACATCACTCCACTCAACCACAACCCTCGGCTTCTCCGACCCCACAACCCCGGCGCCCCCCAGCACAACAACATCCGTCTCCAACCCCGGCGCCAGCGGCGGCGACCCCGTCCCCCTCCTCCCCGTCGCCCTCTCATACGCATACGCACACCGCAACAACTCGTTATCCCCATACGCCCTCCCCGCAAACGTTATCCCCACCGGCATCTGCTTATCCGCCAGCACGCCCATCGGCACCGTCACCGCCGGCACACCGAGATGCTTCAACGCACGACCGCCATTCGAATACTTCACGCCCTCCCGCAGCGCGTCCCGCATCGCCTCGGCATCTTCCTCCGCCTCCGCGCGCCCCACGTCGCCGTTCGTCGGGAAAGCCAGCACATCGAAGCCGTGCGCGTCCATCCAGTCTTCCAAATCGCGTTTCCTTGCCGCCTCCAGCGCCCGCAGCGCGTCGGCGCAGCCGGGCAGGTCGTACACGCTGTCCGGCCGCCGCGTCCGCACAAACTCCACCATCTCCGCGTACCGGACGTGGTTCTGCGTCTCGGTGAAGGCGGACGGGTCGTCCATGGGCGCGAAGCCGGGGTTGATGCGCGTGTGATCCACGGCGGCGAGGCTGGGGATGTTGGGGTCGGCGTTGCGCCGCAGGAAGTCGTCCCACGCGACGGCGATCAGCTCGCAGCGCTCGACGTCGATCCAGGACGCGGGAACGCCGGGCACGTTGGCGGCTTGGCCGGGGAAGAGTTGGCGGGCGTAGTTGTCGGCGAGGGGGAAGGCGTCGACGTAGATGAGGGTGGCGCCGAGCGAGGCGAGGTCGGCGGCGGCGCGGTGCCAGAGGGTGAGGGTGGCGGGGGAGATGGTCGCGGTGTTGCCGGTGGTGGTTGGTTGCCCGATGTAGCATTTTGGCACGGCGATGCGCTTGCCGCGCAGGGCGGTGGGGTCGGCGAGGGTGAGGTAGTCCGCAGGCCGCACGGAGGAGCTGGGCGGGATGGGGACGTGGTGTTGGGACCGCCAGAAGTCGCCGGCGGATGAGGGCTCGGGGTCGTCGTTGACGATGGCGTTGAGGATGGCGAAGAGGTCTTCCATCGACTTGGCGTGCGGGACGACGACGTCGCAGGTCGGGTACAGGGGCCACTGGCCGCGGGCCGGGATGACGCCTCGGGACGGCGAGTAGCCGACTAGCGCGTTGTGTGAAGCCGGGGCGCGCCCTGAGGAAACTGTCTCGCCGCCGAGGCCGATCGGGGCGAAGCTGCAAGAGGTCGCTACGCCGGAGCCGTAGGAGGAGCCGGAGGCAAAGCTGGTGGGAAGGTACTCCGGGTTGTAGGGGCTGGTCGACCTTCCGTAGGCGCCTCGTTGGCTTCCTCCATCGGCCATGGGGGGCATGTTGGTTTTGCCGATGAGGATGGCGCCGGCCGCGCGAAGTGACTCGACGACTGCTGCATCGGATGACGCTACCAAGTCAATGAAGGCGGGTGATGCAGCCGCCACGGTTAGCCCCTTGACTGAGAAGCTGTCCTTGAGAGTAAATGGAATGCCCTCCAGTGATCGCGGAGGATGGCCTGATGCGCGGTAATCATCTGAGTTCTGGGCTTCTTTGAATACGTCTGGGTTCAGGACACAGATGGAGTTCAGAGAGGGTCCTCGAAAGTCGTATTTCCCGATGCGGTGGAGGAAACGTGCAACAAGCTCAACGCTTGTTGTTGCTCCGGTGCTCAAGGCATCTTGTAATTGGCTAATGCTAGCATTCGTGATGTCAATGGATGAAGTAGTAGCCATGGTGACTGCAGGACAAATTGTAAGCGGACTGAAAGAGATAGAAAGACTGTAGAAACAGTTGGCGAGAGTAAAGATTTCTGCACACCATCCATTTCTACATTATATATCTATTTTTTCTCTACAAGTACTAGGAAGCTACAAACTCGAAGTTCGTAGCGATGGTGTGTTCGGTAGGAAGCTCGAGGCGCTTTCGGGCCGTAACCGTTAATGGCAGTTCGACGCGTAAAGCTTCTTCGGCGGGAATTTCGAGCCGCGACCTAAAAACCCTCCGACGACCGCACCTGTCCTCGTGCCATTTTGATCTACCCTTTTCGGCCTCCTGAGACCCTCCTCCAATCGGCTTCATCCGTCCCTGCATCCCCAGATCCACGCTGCGTTGGACCCTTCTTCCCGTTCCTGTCAGCACCTTGTTTTGCTGATGCCGCACGCACCACCTTCTCCGCAGTCGGCTCCTCACGGCCAATCGTGAACAAGTTCAACTCAACCAATCACCGTAGCACTTCCTACCACCCATCATGCGCAGCACCAAAGCCACCGGCTGCTGGACCTGCCGCCTACGCCGCGTCAGCTGCGACAAGGCCGCGCCCGCCTGCGCCGCCTGCACCAGCCGCCACATCAAGTGCCACGGCTACGGCCCGCAAAAGCCGGACTGGATGGACGGCGGGCGCAGGGAACAAGAAGTGCACCAGCGCATCAAGTCCGCCGTCAAGATCCATACGCGCTCCCGGAAGCTGCAGCTATACGCCCTGGCGCGGAGCCAGCAGCAGCAGGCGGCTCAGAAAACGAGAAGTCAGTCGCCGCTTCCTACTAGTTCTGGGTCGGACGGGTCTGTTGTTGTGAGAAGGGGGGATGGACCGCTGTTGTCGTCGTCGCCGCTGGCTATCGCGTCGCCGGCTGCGGTGGTTGAAGGGAGCCCCGATACGGCGAGCAGTTGTGGTAGCGAGCAGCAGCAGCGCCCAGGCCGGGTAGAGCGAGGAAGCGAAAGCGCGACGCCGGATCTTGGGAGGGCGGAGACGCCGTATCATTCCCTTCCGTCGTCGGCGCACGGCGAGCATTCGCATTCGCACTGGCCGCTCAGCCATCGGACTGCTGCTGCCACAGCGTTCTCCCGCGGAGCGCTGCCGTACGACGAGGCGGAGCTGCTGATGTATTACCTCGACCACGTTTTCCCGATGCAGTATCCGTACCATTCGGCCCGGACGAAGAGCCGCGGGTGGCTGCTGTGGTTGCTGAGTAAGAACGGTCCGTTGTATCGGGCGTCGCTTAGCTTGGCGGCGCTGCATCAGCGGTTGGTGTCGGTTGGTGGGGAGGGGGAGGAGGATGTGCCGTTTGAGTACCATAATAGCACTTTGAGGGAGCTGCAGGATTTCATTGGGGCTGCTACGATGGACGGGCTGCCGAGTGGGGATGAATTGTGTGCGGAGATTGTGGCGTGTGGGGCGGCGCTGGTTAGCTTTGAGGTGAGCATGGTGTCCACAGATCCATCTGCTATTGGCCGTGCTGATGATGTAACGGAAGGTCTTCACGGGAGGAACGGAGAACTGGCAGCCCCATCTACAATCAACAGTTTCTATCCTCAAAACCATCGACCCCTCTCGCCTCACAGCCAATCCGTCCCAGAGGTCACACGGCGTAGACGCTGCTCTCGCCTTCCATGCCCCTGTTTTGCTTTGGATGGATATCCTGTCCTGTATTGCTACGTGCCAAAAGCCACAACTCCCTTACGATCATTGGTTGTCGAGTAGTCATGACATCGACCTCGCCCAGATCATGGGCTGTCAGAATTGGGCTATGAAGGCCATTGGAGACTTGGCCACGCTGCAGGAGTGGAAAATGGAGAGTCTTACCTCAGGGACCTTCCGTGTTGAGGAGTTTACTACAAAGGCGCAATGGATTGAAGACGAACTGGAGAACGGGATCGAAGCTTTACAGCTTACAAAAGAGGTCAGTTGGCATCGTGTTTTGTTGGTGGAATTGGTCTGACAAGATTGTATTTCGTCTCAGGTTTCCTCGGAGAGAGCTGAAGACAAGGCCGTCACGCTGGTGTTCGCCAGCGCTGCATTGGTCCAGCTGTACACAATCGGCGTCGATGTGCTGCACCCTCAACCATCGAAACGGCGAAGAGTCGTTGCTCGAGTGATGCAACAAATCCAAAGAGCATCCGGGGTCGTCTCTGTCCGGCAAATCGTCTGGCCGATCTGTATTGCCGGTTGTGTGGCAGAGCCGCACCAGCAGCCCTTCTTCGAAGAAAGCGTCGCAGACGTGTTGCAGAAGCCCGAGGGTACGATCGGGAACTGCCCAGCAGCGCTGACAATCATGCTAAACTGCTGGGACTACCGGACACGTGAACCAGAGGTCCATTGGGATTGCAGCAAGACTTTGGCTCGAATGAATATGTCCGCTCTTCTTATTTAAATACTACATTACATATGCTCGAATACAGCTTGAGCAGCCGTCGTTTACCAGGGGAACTTGTTCCAGCAGTACTGGTACATGTTGGGACCACCGGCAGCCTTGCACGCATCATCCCACTTGCAGTTGTCGATCAGACCATCACCGACGGCGTTGGAAGAGCACTGGTGAAGGGATCAGCATCGAAACCCTGGAATTTTGACGCAGGAGAGATACATACCTGGTGGTGCGGCTCGTCGGAGTAGGTGTAGGCGTCAGACTGTGTCTCACGGTAGTAGTTGCAGGCAGCCTTGGTGGCGGCATCGTTTTGTTGCTGCAAACGTCAGTCGTTGCCAGATCGTGGGACAATGCGCGTGTAACTTACACCAGTCGTCTTGTCGTGGCACTTGCAATCCTGGTACAGGGCGCAGGCATTGCTGCCGACAGCGAAGAGAACAGCGAGAATGACGGAGGCAACCTTCATTTTGTGTGATGTTTGATAAAGGATGAAGAGGTGTTGAGTTGGAGATGGAGACGGTGGTTGATGGCTTTGAAATGGTAGCTTCCGGGGTCTATTTATGCCAGCTACTGTAATCCAGCCACATGCACTGGACAGGTTCTTGAGCCAAAGATGACCGTGTCCTATGTCGGGGTCTCGTTCTGGATCCAAGACTTCCGTTCCGCCTCATGACTACTGAAATTGGATATCAATAGTTCACAACAATACAGGGAAGGGATCATCATGGCAATGACAGTGTCCTCGCGCAAGACTTCCTATTGTGCTTCAGTTGCCCTGATTGTGGCTCCAGTGGACCCATTGTGGCGCCAGCGGATGGGTTCGGCTTCCCTGGTGTTTGAAACGGAGTGGTGGAAACTCTCTTGGCCGGGGTGCCGAAATGTCCGTGGTGTTTTGTGGGGAAAGGGATACGAGATGGGTGTTGGGCAGGTACCGAGTCAAGCAGCATCTGACTGGCTCGTATCCCAGCCTGAACACCTTACACGTTCGGCTAAGTCGGTGAGCATTATTCCATGGGGTTCTGGGCCTCTAGTCAGGTTTGCTGTCATGAATGTGTCCCAGCCAGCAGTGTACTTCTTAAGGTCCTCGCGAGCGCACCTGCAGCCACCACATTCAAAGACAGTTTCTACAATAGCAAAATCCTCCACTCCAAGACAAAATGAAGTTCGTTTCGGCTCTGATCATGCTCTCCATGGCAGCCATGGGTCTTGCTGTAAGCTACCCACCTCAGTATCCTTAGCTATCTACTAACGTTTAGAAGTGCTCGTCGGAGCAAGACTGCTGCTGGAGCACCAAGGAGGCTTGTTACCGCCAGCACGGCATCACCACTTCGTCCAGATGCGAGAAGGCCAGCTACGAGGACGACCTCTGCTACAACCACGGTGTCTACCTTGTTGACTGTGTAAGTTGCAAGCCCCAATAATCTTAGGGTTATTGTCTGCTAAACCAATGACAGGACGCGGATTGCTGTTCCATCAGCAAGAAGATTGGAATTGCTTGCCCGTAAGAAAGACCCACAAGCACAGTAATGCGGAGGAGGAAGGTGGGCGGCAATACATAGTCTAGGCACAACATGAATCAAGACTTGAATCATCCACTACAAGCTTTGTCCCTGTGATGCGGAGTTGCGGAGTGTCCAGATCGGGAATGCGGGATGGGCCGGTGATCCGAATCGATAATCGTCACGGTAGGTGCCGAATGATCTGAGCCATCGAAACTAATTACTATCAGCACCTAAGCTTGTTACGGAGATAGACGAAGCTATCATCTGGGCGTAGATTGAGAATTATTAAATGTACATACATCCATACCCGGATGGTAGCTTCAGCTACCTACGTAACTCGGATGGTTTTGCTCGCGAGGATAACTGCGGAGAATCATTTCTTTTGGCACCATGGTGGTCATCGTCACGAGAGATAGAGTTTACGAATCCGAAGGCACGGTTCGCCATTCGGGCCATTTCGGCTGAGTAGCCAATACGGTGCTGGTGTAAGAGAAGCGCCAAGCTTCGTGGCGAGGAGCTTGAGCCGCTTGTCTCCACCTCATACCCACAAATCATGTACTCTTTTGCATAGCTAAGGCGTCCCAAGCAACGGGCAGGTACTGTACGTTGCTCATCTCCCGCTGTTTCAACGAACCGTCAATGACTAACGCTTCCGGTCATGTGGCGGTGACTTGTCAACTGCGGGTCCAGCGGTTTGTTAAGCATTGTAAAAATAGTACAAAGAGTTCCATGGACGCAGGTCATTCTATTATTCTATTTTTCTGATTGCAAGCGTCAACAAAGAGCTGATGTCTGCAAATTGAGCAGTGAGTGAGTCCCAAAAATTGTGTGCTCAAAATCACAATCCGTCTGCCAAGAACATGCAGGTGAAAGCCAATAGTGTTGCCACGTGGGATCATGCGCAGGCCGGCGGCGTCCGCCCACGACTGAGTCATTATAGCGTCTACACGGCGGAGCCGCTGGAGAGACACGAGATCGGTTTCGCGTTCTCGACTGAGAGAAGCCGCTCTACCGCATTTTAATCATGTGTGGAGATGTGATTGACTCAGTACTTCGCAAGGCATACTTCACACGCTCACAAGTAAGCTTATTGATCTCGGGAAGGGCTGCATCAATGCCGGCGCAAGTAATGGGATCGGCGGTATAAAAGTGGGGAAGCTCCGCATCGATAACACCAACGCCAAAAGCACTGACCTACGTCACCGAGAAAGGAAGACGGAGAGTGGGAGTGAGAATAAGGGGTCATTGACTACGGTGTAGAATCGATCCACCTGACAGCACACCAGCTGCGAATTGCCTTGCGGGTGTGGTGAGGCAAGGCGTTGCGGGCCATCAGACTGGGTGATATGCCGCCCTCTCGCTAAAGTCAGTTCCATGCCGAGTCAGTCACTGTATTCTCACAAGCCTTGTTTCGACAGATACTGAATGGAAGAAGATCTAAATGAAGCTAATGAGAAAAAGAAAAGGCAAGTATGGAGAAGACAACGGGTGCAGAGTAGAAAACGCGATGGTTGACAAACCAAGTAGTTGGTGAAGCAAAGTAAATCAAACCAGTACTTCACACAAGACCACAAACATATTCTGGTCCACTGAAGAAAGAGTGGCTCGCCACAAGTTGGTTATGGAAGGTTCTACCCGAGTTACGAGTAGTTTTTCCGAGTGATCGTGTTGTGGGTCCTTCATGAATCATGCACTGGCTTGCTTCCGGAAGAGCCTCACTATCACTCCCCGAGTGAGCAGTTCCCTCGGAAAGCGATTTTCCGCTCATGCGATTGAGAATGACTCTGGTACTAACAGAAGGAGTAACGGCGTTTCATGTGGCGTCTGGCTGCCGTGACTCGGCCCAAACTAGTCATGCATGAGAATGACCACTTCACGAGAAACTGCCGAAGAAAGAGCTATTGCATCTCCCAGAGATATATAAACAAAGGAGCTGGTAAGCTGGAGGAAGACGCACCTGTGCCTACACGAATCTTGAACACAATGAAGCTCATCTCCCTCGCTCTGATCTTTTCCCTCGCTGCCACTGGCATGGCTGTAAGTCCTTGACATCATCGTCCGCAGGATCGTGTTTGCTGATATATGGTAGTGTTCGCCTGAGCAAGACTGCTGCTGGAAGGATGTGTTTGCCTGCTACCGGCAGCACTCTGTGTTCAACCGCTCCAAGTGTGATTCGAACAAATACAAGGCGCAGATGTGCGATAGGAACAACGTCACCCCCGAGCAATGCGTAAGTTGGCTGAAATCCGTCTCGCATCACCTTTGATTGCTGACACGAAATCAGGACGCGGACTGCTGTTCAGTGAGCAAGAAGATCGGCATTGCGTGCCCTTGATTGACGGGTTGGAGAAGACGGTTTCAAAAGAATACATGTGTCGGAATGGTGTCTCTGTTCGTAGAATGATCTATGTCGAATGTATCTTGCCGAATTAATGGATACTTGAGCACGAAAGGGATAGACGTGTGAATACTCTCGCGAGATCATCTATGAGGCCTTTTCTCCAAGGGCGCATCGTATGATAGATTGAGCGGAATGAATAATATGGCTAGGACCTTTTTAACAATATTGTGAGTTAAAGCTAGTTTGTCGTCTGAGAATATGACATACCGAGCTTCCTGCCCTAGAATTAATCTCCACCATGTCAAGAGCGACCATGTTTCCCGACTCTGAAATGTGTTGTGCAAGAAGTCTACTGTCGTGAAGAGAGAGCCCGTTGGGAACTGGATCAGCAGTGTTGGGAGCCCACATTAGATTCAACCTTCTACCACACCTTCACGGTTCCAAAGCACTTCCTTCACACTCCTCGTCCTGTCCCACAGCCTCCCTTGCTACGACTGCACCCCGAGCAAACTCCCCATTTGTGAGTCAAGATCTAGCGTGCCGTTCCAGAGCAGGTTCCCATTGTCATCAATGCAGCTTCAACTTCAACCACATGCCACAATGAACAATGCCTTCCTCATCCCATTCTCCCATCTCCTCGTCTTTAACAAACCCAAATTTGCCCCAGAACCCTTCAAGCCAACTCTGGGCATGCACGAGAGCCAGACCATCCCAAGACTCAAGATCAGCTGCGGGGCTCTCAACGTCGACCAGCCCGATCTCTTTGACGCGTGGCGGACTTAAGACCTGGTAGCCATTCTGGGCAGCCCAGTCCAGCGCTGTGCGCACCAGCAGCGCAGCTAGCTTCAGCTTGCGGTACGCTGGGAGCACGGCCAGACGACCGAGCTTGATGTACGGTCCAATGGCATGCGTATTCTCGGTGGGTGGAGAGCTGCCAGGCTTGTGCGCGTCGGCGGACGCAGGATGCGGCGGATGGGGTGGTGGGACAAGGCGAATGGTGCCAACGGCGACGCGGTTGGCGGTCGGGTCGCTCTGGCGGTGCTCGCTTTGGGGCGGCGCGGACTTGGAACCGGTAGCAGGGGTACCCTCGGATCCAGGCGAGGCGCCGTGGGAGACATATACGACCCAGTGAAAGCTGCGTGGATCGTCGTCGTCGAATTCGTTTTCGAGAGGCACTTTTTGCTCCTCGACGTAGACACGCTCGCGAATGGTCATGGCGTCCTTGAATGTTCTAGGGATTTCGCGAGCTGGTTGGTTGGCAGCCAGCTTAGTACGGTCGTACGACGTAGCCAACGATCTGGGAGGCGGAAGGAAAGATATAGATTGAGACATGATTGCAGCGGACCTGGTCCTATGGTCGATAACGGTGTATGTACCTTTCGATGTAGAGGTAATGTGGTATGGTTATTGCGAATGAAAGTTTTGATAAATCTCAATGCAAATAGCTATCGAGCAGAGGCAGTTGAAGGTAGAAGCAGGGCTTACAGATTTGTAAGGAGCAGACCGAGAGCGGCGGTATGTACACGGAAGGGCGTGAGCCGGAGGCGATGCAAGGGTAGGCGAAGGCGCTAGTACATACTTAGTGTTTGGGGGCAACTAAGTCAACCTATCCCACCACCGCATCAACGAACCACGACGCCCTCGAGTTAAGAAATAATGCATCTACGATGACACACCTGGAGCGAGACTTTGGCATTATTATAAGGACTCCTCGAACGCGACTTCGACTGCCTTAGCTTTGCAATCTCTGCGGATGAAGATGGTTGGGGCGGGTATTAATTAGGTAGATCGTCTTCAGGAACGGCCCGACTACCTACCATGACTCCCACCGAGGGAACCAACTATGGATGATATTATAGACTCCAGTTTCTTCTGGCCTGCAAATGATGCACAGCCTACTACTAATCTCAGACTTCCCACTTTTTCTTCAGCCCGTCAACCCACTCCACAAACTCGACCTCTTTTCCATCCACCTCAACATATCCTTTCTGACGTTCAGCTGGACTGGGCCCCCACGGCTTGAAGAACTCGTGGAGTGGATGACATAATCGAAATCCAAGCTCTTCATCCTTCATCGACTGAAGGCATTTGTCACAGAAGTCCGCTTTACAGTACCGACAAACTTGGAAGAATCCCCAGGTAAAGTCTTCTCCACATCCATCACATTGAATCCAAGGTGTGGAAGGAATCTTCCAGGTGCCGTCGTAAAAAAGGTACTGCAGAAAGAGGGACATTGCTGAGTTTGCATCCTCGTCATCAACTCCGGTCGTTATGAAGACTTCAACCAGCATGAGGAAGCCGCTAACGTCGTTAGATTCGTCCCAATCCTCCAAAATATCTATCGCGAGCTTAACATCTCGTCGAAAGTTTTGGTGAGCCTCCTTGACCGAGTTCGTCATCAGAAGCAGGGCCGAGCGCATTAGGGATGTGCAGTGAGCAGACCACCACATGCTTTGTGTTGGATCACTTCCTCTGAAATAAAGGCTTCGAAGCTCCTCAAGATGACTCTCAGCGGTTTTCCCTTGATGTAGAGTTTTCGCAATCAATGCTTTCGTGAAGGCCCTGGATGAAAGATACCTCGTAGCGTTGGCATTACAGCGATGAGATAATTCACTGTACGACGTACTTGGATGTTGCAGAACTTCTGTCCATAACTCGAAGGCTCTTTCATCCTCAGACGTAGTTTGGAACAGATACCGCGCGAGATAGTCCTGGAGGATTGGGATCAGGATGTGGCCAGTCAGCCGTGCCTCCTTCAAACATTCTTCCAAAATCTCAATAATCTGAACTGACTGAGATCTGAATTTGTGTACGTTATGTATCGGGAAGAGAACCGCAATGAGTGGAGGAGATGTTTCCTTCAAACAGTACCTGGTCAGCCTTGATTCCCCGGTTGGCGTCGTGTCCGTGGCGAGTCTGTTGAAATATTGACAAATCTTTCCAAACTCCGACCTCTTCTTCAACTCATTGAAAAGTGATTTGACGTAAGCATAATGTAATTCCTCTTCCGTCAACTGAATTGAAGTTGCTTTCTCCCAGACGTTTTCCAATATGTCCAGGGCTTCATCGCGGTTCCCGTGCAAGCCAAGGATTTTCAAAGCAGCTAAAACTTGATTTGAGATATCATCGGTAGCGTCGAATCCATGATAGCTTTTGAGATAGCACTCCCGCGCAGCTGACTTGTTGTCCTTTCGAAGATGGACTTCAGCTAGTTCGTAGTTCGCAGTGCTACACTCCGGGGACGATTGCAAGACCTCCATCAGCTTGTCTTCGCATATCTGCAAGTCGTTCTTCAACTTGAGTGTTTGAGCTACGCGAAGGTGCCACGTTAAGTCTTGTTCAAGCCGGAAATGGCATGCAATCCGGTTAATCTCCTCCGAACAACTTTCTGGGTGACTTTTCATAACAGTGGTGTTATCGTTTGGAGTAGCATCTCTTTCCTCGAAGAAGCTACCGGCCATTCGCGTTTCATGTTGATTTGATGGAGGCTCAACCTTTGCAGAATGAGCTTTCGGCGGAAGCTGAATGGAGTCAAATTACTTTCTCTTTTGATGTTTTTACTATTGGAAGTGCTTACCATATCCACATAGCTTTTTAGGAAGGCGAATTCGTAGGGAGAGACAGGTTTCGACAGTTCATTGAGCCATCGCGAGGCGAATAGCTCGGCCATTGGTCTCAGAAGAGGGATTGTAGGTGTGGAGGACTCCTTCACATCCATCAACCATTGTGATAGTGGCTCTATAGAGGATCCGTCCAGGGAGGTGGTCCTCAACCATCTCAGCATCACAACTGTGAAATTCCCAGGATCGAGAAACTCGCTGGAGATGTGAATGGCCTCTGATCCAGTAGTCCATCTCCTCAAAACGTCTTGATCGAAGAACATTTTGATGATGAGAGCCGAGATTTCCGCTTTATCATGGTCGGATGTTCGGTTCAGGTCGATATCCCTAACATGGTAGTGGAAGTAGTTCTCGGCATATTCCGCAATCTTACTTGATCTCCACGATTTATATATCTTTTCGTTGCAGAAAAAAGACATGCAGAAGCGAGCAAGGTCCAAATTAGCGCTTTGAGGGTCCACGCCAACTTTTCGGTTCCCTTTTCCTTTCGTGTTGAAAAACTCCTCAATTGCGGGTTGAGCAATGGAAACTAATGTGTCGTTCAAACGGGCAACTCTCTTCCGTTCTAATTTGAGATTTTCCGAAACGATCTCTGCATATGTGGCAGTCGTCTCTTCTTTTGCCTCGTCTGCCTCCTTGATTTTGGTGGAGTTGGAAATCATCGGTGTTTGGGGCGTCCTTGTTGTTATTCCGAACAGCGAAGGGTGGGATTTGACCATATTTTTCAAATTGGATATCCCTCGTCCATAACGGCTTTTGATCTTGAAAATCACATCCAGGTCTCCCAGGGTGACATCGGTGCGCGAATATATGATCCATGTAAGCAATGTATTCAAAGCATCGCACACCTCGTTTGTTTCGTTTTCGACTTGATTCAAAGTGAGATGAATCATTCCATCGCTATCCGTTGGTCGATTTTCCATCTGTTGAGAGATTTCATCAGGCGTTTTCGCAGTTCTAATCCATTTATCCATTCCAATGGCGTATGCAAAGGTGTCTGCCTTTTTATTCAATTCTTTGATGTACTCTTCGCGCTTCGTTTTGTCCAAAAGCGTATTGGCCTCCAGTTTTGTTTTGATGTACTGTCGGATGTCGTCTCTGAAGTCATCTTTTTTCACTGGGAAATGGTTCAAGCTGGTATAGCTTTCCGGATCGATGCGATCGAGACGAGCTGAGATCAATACATGAAAATGGAACCCCGTCTCTGAGGGCGTGTCTTTGTGATTGCAGTTGTTCCGGGGGTTGTGTTGAAGATTGCTCATCAGCGTCAAAAAGGTGTCGATTTCCTTCAGAGAGGCACTGGTAGCTTCCAAACCGTCCAGTACAAGGTACATGTGGGTGTGGTTCCTTCGCTCCTCTTTCGTAGTTTTGGGCAGAAATTCGATGAATAGCTTTTCCCAAAGATCTTCGATGGAGCGTGATTTTGAGAGGTCATCCTCCTGCTCGATAATTTTATTGACGTGCTGACGGTAAGACTTGTTCTTAAGCGTGAGGTCAAAGGCCCATGTACGGAGCACCTCTTTGAAGTCTAGCTTCTGGCCTCCCAAGTACGACGTCACAAGGATATGGTCGTTCCCGCTTGATGTTGTCGATAGCTCTTTGATGATTCTTCCACAGAGATATGTTTTGCCTACACCTGCAGGGCCACTTATAAGTAAGATCGGATGTTTGCCGGTTTTCCAGGCTTGGAAGGGAGGCTTCTCGTGGACCCATTTTCCCGTGCGGGGGACTAGACTTTTTATGATTTCCTGTGAGAACTTCAACCTGCAAGTCGATGAAGGCTTGAGCTTCTCATCGCGATCTGCATCCACGAAGCCTTGATGGAATTAGCTACATCATCGCAGTTATCCAAGAGGATGTGGATAGTACTCACTTCCTTCTGCCTTTCGAATAGAGTCAAGGATAGAATTTGTATTCTTCAGAGTTTGTTTCCCATCCTGGTGGGACTCTGCAACAAGCTGCTTAAGCTCCCAATCTGTCAATCGATCGAGTTCCGCCTTTTTGTCTTTCCAAGTTATATCCTCACTCGGAATATTCTTGAGGAACCGTTTCAAGCGGTCCATCTGACCATTGAGTGTAGCCGACGTGGTAAACCCAATGACCTCAAACAAGATCCGTAGAATTTTCACCACAGTTCCTCGCAGAGAGGATGTCAGGTCTGACTTGTAATGCTGCAGGCGGTTCAAAAAATGGCCAAGCTCATCGAAAAGCTCCTGTACAATTTCGTAGGCACTTGAGACCCTTTCGCAAGCGTCGAAGAAGACGTTGACAATGCTAAAAATGATGCTTGCCGGAGAGAATACCTATTCCTCATTAGCAGTATACTGAGTGGAGTGCATAATAACTTACATCTTTGATTGGATCACCAAAAACTTTGACGATGGTCCTAGTAACGCCCATGGTCTTGCTGAGAATGCCCCAGATCTCCTCGTGTTTGGAGCGATGTTCATCGAATCGTTGGGAAGAAATCATGATGGTGGCATTCTTAGAGTCGGGGCCAATCTTTACCAGGAACTCTTTTACCTTGGGCCAGTCGCCACCGTTGTCCAAGTAGGCATTGAGAGCATCCGTCCAAAGTCCACCTTCATCGTCTTCAGAGGTGAACGGGGCTTCTCGGCTTGAGGCATCAGCTTCCTGCCCCAGATTCTCCTCTTCTACAGAAACAGGCTCTCGGTCTACAGCTGTGTCTGCCTTTGGAGGGGTTTGAGCGGTATCTGGGTTTTGTGGAGGACTCGAAGTCAAGTTCGATGCCGGTGAAGCGTTACTATGAGCAGCATTTCCGGAGCCTTGACGAACGCCAGAGCCGAGGGCAGTGCTGTTCAGAACGTCGCTATCTTGGTTTGCACTCGGTTTATTGGAGGATGGAGGAACGGGGCTCAGAGGTGCTGGAGGTACGGTCGGTGGGCTGGAAGAGGAAGGATTTCCCTCATTTTCTCGCGCGGGCTTCTCTTTCTTTCGAGAAAAGGTTCGGATGTGCATACGCCTTTGAATGCGACGCAGGAGCGGAAACCTTGAGGTTGCCATATTCAACATGATGGATTGGATCTGGGACGTGTGGCAGCCTTATATGGGCTCACATTTTCCCCCGTGGATTCCATATGCACACAGTGGAAAACGAAGAAAAATCTGTCGACAAACCAGAACGAAACACGCGTTACCATTCCAAATCTCAGCATTAATTGCTTTTTCCTGCAACCGAATGGCTTATGTAGCCGAGGTGCGGGTCACAGGTCGCCACAGGAAAAGTGTAGCTGGCTGCATGTTTCTCAATTGGTTTGGTGTTCGCCAGTCATTTCTGTAAATGGAAGTGATTGTTCGCCCCCAACTCCTTGGCATGCAGCCTGTTCCGATCTCTTCATGCTGGTGTTCCAGCGGCTCCACCTCAGCTGAAAGCACGGCTGAAAGAAGCAATACATAATGGAAAGCGCTGCGTTGATGCAATTCCATGGCCAGATTCAATGTTCTGACTCCCAGATCATTCAATGAAGGCTCCCGAGGTGAGCCCTTTTTAAATATTGCCTCAAAGAGGAGGCCGCTGGAGCCTCCGCCTAGATGAATGTACAGCCAAGATAAACGGATGCACTCGACAGGGATTTTGACTAGTGATATCTTGTTGTGACACCCCTTTCTTCTTATACCGCTCCACCCTTTGCCTCTCGTAACAACGCCCGCCCTCAAATCGTACAGCCAGAAGGCGCTTATCTCTCGCGCGCGACACGCCACGGGCTGCCCGAACAGCTCTGCTATATTCTTCTCCTGCTCCTCCCTGCCGGGTTCCGACGTCTTGGCCAGAACGTTCGCAAAATGCAAATGTTTCCGCAATTGAAAAAGATCTGCTCGCAGAAACACAAGGCTGAGAAAATCGAAATCACATGGCGTTTTTCTCTGGCCACCACCGCCCAGTATCTTTCCCGACGGAGAATGCGGCGTAAGGCCCCACCCTCCAATTTTACGAGCAAAACATAGGTCAACGATGGAGCGTATATGATCTAGCCGTACACTGATTTTTCCTAGTCCACGTGTTTGATGTGACGCTGCTTAGGCTGCAAGAGACCGGCGCGAGCGAGCACGTGCATGACGGATAAGTACTCCGTCCCCCTCATTGGTGTGGCCGTACATAACCCCACCATAAGCGGCTCAGCCATTCTTCCACCAAGCCCTCAACAATCGCGCAATGCAGCAACTCTAACCGTTCTAATACAAGCCGCTCGAAAGCACCAGGCACATCCTCTTGCTGGACATATGTCCTAGCTTCTTTCGGGATGATGCCCTCCAGAAGCAGCTTGGCAAAGTCGGGTGCGGGCGTCCATCTATCGCTACGATAGTGCATGCCTCACTGGACGAAGCGCCTACATTCGAGACGATATTCTACACTTGGGGCCTGATGTTTGCATGGGAAAGCTCCATGTTGTCCTTGGCAACAGTACCTCAGCCTCACACAAAGCTTATTCTCTTTTTTGACCAACGAATGCCTTAGAAAGCACGGCAAACCACACTGGACACTGTACGACTTCGAACCAGAACACCAATTTAGAAGGGCATATGACAACCAAGTGCCAGTGGGAGAACACGCGTACGGCGAAGATGAGGACGAAGACGAGGAGGAGGAAGAGGAAGAAGAAGAAGAAGAAGAAGAAGAAGAAGAAGAAGAGGAAGAGGACTCAGAAGAGGAGGATGAGGTGAAACTGGAAGACGTGAAGATGGAGGAATGAAGAACCCCCTCTGAAGCCGCCACAGGGGCAGGTTACAAACGGGATCGTGGCGCGTGGCCAACGCGTAAGAAAAACGGCATCCACTCATTAGATACTTTCCCTTATATAAGCGCCTAAGCGAACACTCGGGCCCCGCAGCTGGCACGGCGGGGACGCCCCGAGGATAAGCGAAGGCGCACACACACTTTCGCTTCAGGAGGACGCGGGTCGCTCCCTCAACGAGACTAGCCCGCATAGCACAGGCCATGGAGCCGGCTGGGACGGAGTATGAATCAATCAATCAATCAGCCTCACACAAAGCCTTGTAGATGCGCTACCACATCTTTTCTCCAGGTCAACCCCTGGACTCCTCTGGATAGATCAGCTCTGCATCAATCAAGAGAACTTCGAGGAACGTGCAGAACAAATCGCTATTATGGGCGATATCTTAAAGTCCTCGGTGGCTACCATGATTTGGCTCGGCCCAGAGGATGAGCATACTGCCAAAGCCGGGGCGTGGATCGATGGGCTCAAAGTCATTGACTGTGTTAACAACGAAGATTGGGCTATGCAAAGTGACCAGCGGAGGAAAGTCATTACCGATCTTCAATTGAGGTTTTCGAATAACGCCTATCGCGACGCTATTTGCGCGTTGCTCGAACGCCCTTGTTTACTCGTGGTTGGATAGTCCAAGAGTACCTCTGATCGAAATCAGTTTCATTCATTTTTAGTTCCATGGTCTTCACAGAGCATAATCTGGAGGATATGACTTCGATGTCCGGCGGGCGGGGAAACTTCAGCCTGCTTAACGATATATGAGTGGATTTTTTTGTTTAACAGAAGTTTCTTGGACACATTGACATGATGCGCCTGCTTCGCAAACCTTGCGGACGGTTTGAAACGACAGAACCCATCGATAAACTATTTCCCCTCTTGGGCCTTTGGGCCTTTGGGCCTTTGGAAACCCGTCAACTCCACACCAAGATACACCGCTAAGCATGCGGAAATCTTCACCAATTTTACCAAGTGCATCGCAGATGAGACGGGCTGTCTAGAGTTTCTCTCTCTTGTAAGAAACAGCCAGCTTTCGCTTTCCAATACGGACGGGCTTCCTTCCGGGGTGCCAGCCTGGACTACCACTGCCCATCAATATCCTGAAAGCATTTCCCTCGTGGGCATTTTGTTTGACAAGAGAGCATGGGACGCCTCCCAGGGAAGAAAGCACATACTCTCGAATCCCAGAAATGCTATCGTTTCCCGAAAAGAACAACCTGTCGTCCGAGGGAGAATCGTTGATTTGGTTGACCAAGTATTCGACAAAGACTTCGACATACCGCCGGATAGAGACAAAAAACCAATTATTCCATACATGGAACGCTTTGTCAGTGAGCTCGCTAAAGCAATTCCGCCACTGAGCCGTTGGGCCACTCCTGACCTCCTGAAGGAACTAACCAACTCCGAAGCAGGAGGTTGGCACCCAGTCCACACACCGGAATAGAGCTTAGCAAAGCTGAAAGAATGAGATTGGATTTATTACCTCAATAGTGGCATTGGAAGGAAGGTCACTGTAACGGACAATGGTGAGATCGGACTTGCTCCGACTTAATGCGAGAAGGGGGATCGCATTGCGATTTTCCATGAGTGCAATGTGTCGATAATCATACGACAGCATAAAAATGGCACAACCACCATTATTGGTGACTGTTTTATTAATCGAATCATGCATGGAGAGGCCGTGCGCTGGAAAGAATCGGAAGCAGAAGAGTTCGTTCTCAATTAAAACTTTATCCTAGTATGACGAGCGTCTTAATTGTACGATGGGCATAATTTCCCTTACGGTAGTTCTTATTTTTATTTTTGAGCTCTTTGTACGTCAAGGCACCGTTGCGTAAACAGAAGCTGCAATGAACTTTCGGTTCCGAGAGACGCAGTACCAGGTTTTGTAGTGGGCGTATCATGTCTTCGTAGCTATGATGGAAGTAGAAGGGGTTTTCCATATGAACTCTAGTATATATCCAGTATCACTTTCTCTGAGCTCTGTTTAAAGTCCGGGTCTTTTCAATTTACAGCTAGAAACTATTTATATACTGATAGATTACTTCAGCTTCCTCGGCTCCAACAGAAGCTTTCCCGATGGGGCATCCGGCACAAGCCCCTGGCCTCTTGCATAGACCTTCTGTCCCCTAAGCCAAGTCTCCTCGACAACGCCCTTCAACTTCCTAGTCTCGTACGGCGACACTTTATGGCGGAACTGCATGGTGCTGGGCCCGACAACAAACGACGCCTCATCATCAAACACAACAACATCCGCATCATACCCCACCCCCAGGTCACCCTTCCTCCCGTCCAAGCCCACCATCTCCGCCGTGTTCGTCGACGCCAACCTCACCACATCCTGAATCCCCAACCCCCTCTTCTCCCCCTCCGTCCACAGCACACTCAGCCCCAGCCCCAACCCACTAATACCGCCCCAAGCCGAGTAAAAATCCCCCGCCTGACCTTCCACACTATGCGGCTCGACCGGATGTCTCTCCGGCAACAGCTTCAGATCCGGCGTACACGGCGAATGGTCCGACACGACCTGCTGAATCACGCCGTCCCTGCGGCCCCGCAGCAGCTCGGCCCACAGCCCGTCCTGGTTCGCCTGCTCGCGCGTCGGCGGCGAGCACTTGTACCGCGTGTCGCCCTCGCCGACCTGCTCGGCCGCCAGGCTGAGGTAGTGGAAGCACGTCTCGGCCGTGATGCGCACGCCGCGCTTGCGGGCCTCTTGCAGCAGCGGGATGCCTTCTTGCGCGGAGAGGTGCACGATGTGCAGGTCGAGGTCCGGCGCGACGTGTGCGAGGGAGAGGATCTGGTTGATGGCATAGGTCTCGAGTGTGGGGGGTCGCGTGGAGAGGTAGGATTGGTAGTTCGTGCGTGGGCCGGGGATGGGGACGCCGTCGGAGGAGCCGGCGAGCGTGATGTTGGGCGGAACCATTTCGGCGTGGAACATGACGGTTGTGGGGGCGTCGGCGAGGGCGAGGAGGGCCTTTTCGATGTCGGTGGCGTTGATGGCGGGGAATTCGTCGATCTGGGGGGTGGTGGTCAGTGGGCTCGGTTTGGGGGTTCGTGTAGTTGATGGTAGTAGATGTCATCAATAGGGGAAGGCCGACGTGCTGAGGAAGAGAGCGTTTAACTTACCCCGCTGTCTATGAGGAATCCCTTGAAGCCTCTGACCCCAGCCTCGACCAAAGGCACCAGGTCGTTCTCGTTGCCAGGGATGATACCTCCATGGAAACCGACGTCCACCCAGCACTTACCCTGGGCAGCTTGAGTCTTGATTTCGAGATTCTCAACGGTGGTCGTGGGCGGAAGGGCATTCAATGGCATGTCGATGAGAGTGGTAACACCGCCAGACGCCGCAGCACGAGTACCGGTGTAGAATCCCTCCCATTCTGTTCGACCAGGCTCATTGAGATGCACATGCGTATCCACCAAGCCCGGAAGGAGAAGCTTTGGCGAATGATCGAGGAACAAAGTGCCGGGTGGGAAGTCCGAGGCAGAGAGAACGGAATCGAAAACCGATGTGATCTTGCCCGTGGTTGTGTTTACCACCAGCGTTGCCTCAGTCAGGTGGCCTCCGACGACGGCGCGAGATGAGGCAAGGACGGTCAGGGCGGAGCCTTCAGAAGTGCCATTGTGATACGAATATGTGTGCGGGCTTGGAGGAAGTCCAACAGAAGATCGAGGGCAGAGGCTCAGGGCGCTGAAGAGAGCCAGGCCATAGCGATAGGTACCAACCATGATCACAGCGCTGTATTGCTGATGGCTGGTTCGAGTTGTAGCAAATCAAACACAAGACTGTTGAGGCCCCAATCTGTAGGCAAAACCAAAGAATATTTTAAACATATCGAACACAAATGAGAGATGGCTTCGGTTTAAATCAGCCATTGCGCTGCAAACTGACTCTGTATGCAAACAAAATGCACAGATGAAACCAAAAAGGGTCGGCGCCGATGGCCATCCGCGCCGCGGACTCCGAAGCTACCAGCTACGAAGTAGCACTGCGATGTTAATTGCGGTGGAGCTGTATTACTCGATAGAAACCCCAGATCTGATGAGCTTAGGCGGCTTGGCGATGGGGAACCTGACGAACAGCTGGCCATCCTTCACCGTGGTCCGCCTTGGCACCGGGCACACATTGCGTTGATCTTCTGCATAAACAAGCTCCGACCCGCTCCGGATCTGGAGACTAAGACTGGATGACTTAGTAGCTTAAATATAATTACTCGATTGAAAAGGATGACATGACCAATGGCCGGCAACGTTCGACCGTGGGCCGGCTTGGCACCGGGGAGAACTCCTGTATACTTTCTCACCACTGCCGCCAAGGCGTTGCATCAGAGCCTCCGTCGCACCATCTACTTGGTACCCACTACAGCCCCCTCTCGCAGCCGATGGCTAGCGCGAAGAATAGCAGAGCTTTGGAACATAGTGTAACTGTGCCCCAGCTCTGCCTTAGAAAAATAACATATGTGGGTAGCTGAAGCTATCATCCGGATGTGTATGTGGAATTAAAAATTCGACATTCCCGTCCGGACGATAGCTTCAAATACCCATGACATGAGCAAAAAACAAATCTACGCTAGCAATCGGCTGCAAGAGGGAACTGTATAGAATATTCAAAGAACTCCGCGGAGAAACAGGAAGAGGTTGAGATGTAATGCCAACCTCGTTCTCGAAGCGTAAGTACAGGAACTTGGCGCCAAGTGGCACCAAACCCCACGCAACCTCTTTGGAGGTACTACTTCCGCACTTCAATTAGTCAAGCGACGATTCTCCGCCGGAATTTATTGTCATTCTTGCACAGGATGGAGAGTTGGGGAAGAACGTCCGGTTTTGAGGGCAGAATCATTTTTCTTCCATGCCATCTTTAGAAGCTAACCGAAAGGGCGGAGCTTACATACTCTCCATGTCAGGCGTACAAAGAGCACGGCACCATGGAATTGCAACTTTTCAACATATTCTTAGATTTCCGAGCCACTTCTGCCTTGTGCCGCCCGAAAGGCAAAGCGAGGATTAGTGCGTCAGATAAATTTCAATGCTGCCCAAAACAAAACCCAGAAACATTGTAAAACAAAAGAAAGCAAATAAAAGAACCATCAATCTAAATATACGGTTTTAAACTGTGGGTTTGATTTTAGCCACCTGGTGAGCAGCATCCAACCAACGCAAACCCGATGTGCAACAGGCCCGTTCCATCGAATCAGCATAACGTAGACGACCGGAATAGACGCCATTGCACTACCGTCCGCATCAACAAATGAAAAATCAAGTCCGTCTGGACCAAGCCCGGCGCAGACCTGTGCCACCTCTTCCAGGGATGGCTCATTATCTTCGAATGAGTCGCGCAGAAACTGCAATACCTTTTCCCACATATCCTCATTTTGAATGTAGTGTTCGAGGTAGTCCCCTCCCACGGAGTATGGAACCGGGAAGCAGCCAAGTGAAAGTGCTATAAGCTCTTCCTTTGGATGTTCAGATGAAAGCAAGTTCAGTGCTGTTGCCGCATCTAGACTGATATATAAAGAACCAGCAGGTTTTCCGTCTGCGTCCAAAATGAATACATTCATGTCCCAGTCGTCATTGCACTTGAAGTGAAAGAAAGAAGACTGGACCCGTCCCCTTAGCGTGCTTTCAGTCAGACCTAACTTAGCTTTCGTCCCTGGCCAGAGATCGAAATTTTCTTGTTGATCGCTGAAGACACCACAAGGCCTGCCATGGACAACCTCTCGTTCCAACTCTTGATAGCTGTCCCAATGAAGTTCCAACTCCGTTACTAGGTCGAGGAAAGTGTAGTCCTTGAAATCAGAAAATGGCCATGGGGTCTCAAGGCACCCGTGACTCCAGGCGATGGCAAGTATAATCAACGCATTGCTGCTATCTTTCACCTTGTAAAGTCTCTGCCGAGTTTTGGTAGACGGGAACATGCAGATGGTGCTCTGCGATTCTGCATCTGGACTCTCCCAAGGACCTGTGGGTTCATAACCAGCTCCTTTACGTAGCCTCTGATCCAGAGCTTTATGGTCTTGCACGGGGCAAAATATAGACCCTTTCTGATGCTCCCAGGCCACCAATGTACCAACGAAATAGTCGCTCAGAGTGTATCGTGCAGGTCCTACCCAGGACGACCAAGACCAGCTGGGTGATGGCACATAGCCACGATCCACTCTCTTCTCTGTCGCATCGCTTCTCCAGAGACGCCAGAGTAGTGCCTCGTTGAAGTTTCCTCTTGGAAGGCCGCAAAAGAATGCATTCTTCTCTCCGATGAATGCATGCTGTATTCCAGCGAATGCATTATAAATGTCGGAAGAGTGGCTGAGAAGACGACCTGTGTAGCTGAAGACGTGTTCGGCCCAAATGTCGAAGCTCCGCATGCCATCATCCCGGTTGACACGGTACATAGCCCCACCGTGACCGTGGTCTGCCTGGGTGGGGTCTTCATAATATGTTTCCTTGTCGCATATGAAGACGGCCTGGACTGGAGTGAAGTAAAGCTTTCGTCTGGCAAAAACGGACTCTTGGTATGTCCAGGCGCGCAAGTTCCAATCAGATTCGTAGCTAAGTCCGTGTAATTCGAGGACCCTATTAATGAAAACAAGTCCATCTATTGTAACTTGCCTTTGGACTCCAGGGAACCTCGGGCTTACGCCTGGGATTCCTGCATCCATATCGCCTTCCGTGACTACGATGACTAGATGAGCTGCGGCATAGATCCTGGCCATTTCGTCATATTGTTGCTGCTTTTTCTCGTTGTCGTCTTGAACAATGCAAAGCCTATCAACCCAGAAATAGTCGATGTGAAGTTGGCGGCAGACCTCAATCGCATCTGCAATGGTAGCTGGAAGCATGGAAGTGTCAACTCCACCGTCGTATCCCAGCCGCTCGATGTTGGATAGCTCAGCCTTTAGCTTTGAAGGGTTTGGATTTTGGCCCCACACATAGCTGAGTGCCGCAAAGCGGTAGCGCATGTTGCCGACGATGAGCCGCTTCCTTTGGATATCGATAAGCCGAAAGTAAGTGGGAGCGGTCGTTGAATAGGACTCGCATTTCGGATGGGTTGACACGCAGTCATCCAGCCAACCAGTGATTCGGTCCCATGAAACTGTCCTTGGGAGAATCGACGGTGCATCCTGGGGAGCGTATGCATGCAGATCGCAAGGCTTGAGGGGTCTGTCACGCATTATCCTCAAATAGCTCTCTCCGCTATAATATTCATTTAGGACACACGAGATTTCGAACAGCTCAGGTTTTGGAATATTTCTTCCTTTCTCCGTAACCCATGTTAGATATTTTTGCTGCATGACGGTGTCATTCCGCACCATACGGCACAGACGGCAGTCTCTCGTAAGATCATCCGCGCTCTCACTGGACTCATATCCAACTAAGGGAGGGTACTGTTGGCCCTCAAGCGATATGTCGAGGGAGAGATATGAGCATCTATCATCCTTCCAGTAACAGAAAAAGTGCCGAGGCCGTAGGTGCTTGCAGAACGGGCAAAGATCGTTGTTCGAAGAAACGTCCTGTTGGCAATCGACGCATTCATCGTGAAACAATGAGGCGTGGGTTATTGGCTTCTCGTCATCATCTTCCGGTGTGAGCGTGATCTTGATCATATTGCAGTATTGACAATTGGGTGGTTCGCTGGCAGCTGAAGCATCATGGTCGAGAGCCATATCGAATTGGAAGAAGTGAGAGTAATGGGGCCGAATTTTTAGGACAATTGGTCTGCAGATGCAGGAAAGTCAATTTGGATGGAATACAATCGTTCGACGAAAGCTGCTTTATGGAGAAAATGCTGCGCCTCATGAGAAGTGGGGTAGCGAAAATTAAGCGCGGGAGTGTGTTCTTCACCGAATCAGCTTGCAGAAGCAGCCCCACCCATGAGAGCGAAGGGCGCTTACAGAGAAGCTATCGTAGCCAAAGGCTAGCGCGAAGAATAAGAGAGCCGTAGAACAGCAAGTAACTCTCCCTCAGTAATCTTTGTATATGTAGAATTTTTAATTCGACAGTCTTGTCCGGACGACAGCTTCAACTACCTACATCGATGAGCAACGTCTGAGAGTAGTGGCTATCATTCAGGAATGAATGGATATATGCTCATCCTGTATTAACGTCCGGAAAATTCAGTTGTCCATGCCATGGGCAGAAGAAGAGAAAGTTCACGCTCGCCTCCAGCTGCAATGCCAATCTGTGCCTTGGATGTACCACTGATGTTTTAGCCGGATCGTAATTTAGGTTCATTCACCTGTAAGCGACAGGTAGATTACTACACGCATGGAGAGGTATGAGTAGATCGTAGCCAAACATAGATTCATTCCTGTCAAAACCCGACTCCCAAGCCTGCAACTGTAATACATATCTAGCGGTATATAGTATAGAGCCCGTTTCCGATTCTATACTAATGGTTTTATTGAAGTAAGTGGTGTGGCTTGCACCATACACAAGTGACTCTTGAACCTAATACTCGCTTTCAATAGAAAAATTGCTCCGAGCTTACAACAGACTTGAATGTATGCAACCACCCCTTCACCTTAGTTTATACAGTGGGAATCTCCCCGCCAGAAGCTCAGCGTAGCATTCCGACCGGCCAAGAACTTGGATCACGCTACGTGTCGCTGCTAAAAGCCTTCACGTGAGCCCGTGTAATACAGTCGCCTCGTTTCATCCCAGAATCTAGTCATGGTAAATTTTCCGAAAACCCCGAAGGTAGGCTAGTAAGCTTCATCTCATAGAATAATACGAGAAGGTGACGAATGGAGTGTGAAACTGACTCATGCACGATCTCTATAAGCATTTAATGTAGAAGTAAAAGGTTGTAGGTTTGAGTTAATGTATCATTTGTGTGTATAAGTAAAATACAGCGAATGTGCTATTGTACAAATATTTGTGAGATACTCTCGCAATTTCTATTGATGTGTGACTGTGACACTCTTTTCGACAATTTGTTAAGGCAACCATCGCACGCATCCCAGTGGCACGAGCGTCGCCTCCCGGGGTATAGCGTAGGTTTCTTAAGAACGGATCCATTTACTAGTGATGAAGACATAGCTTTCACGATTCAACATAAGTCATGGTTCCGAGAGCATTCGTACTACGTAATGTCCTATTGGCTAGAGCTTTGACAAACGCTGGCTTGAGCCCTTGGAATGAAGCGCACACGCTTTTGATCGCAGTACGGATGTATTTAAAGGAGTCTGACCCTCAACAAGGCATTCATCGACCCCCAGCCTTTTTACCTCAGCACCCCACTCGTTCCAACTACAGCCTCTCGCTACAAAAATGAAGACTTCCGCAGTCCTTACCACTGTCTTTTTCGCCATTGCCTCCTTGGCAGCTCCTGCTCCCATGCCGGAGAACATCAACCCTAACGCGTGCATCGATGTGCAGCCCGGCTACCCTGCCGGCGTCTGCCCTTCTCCTTATACGTTTTCGTACCTCAAGTACTGTTCCACCGGCGACCGTGGTGTCGAAAACTGCCCCACTATCTCCGCAGAGCCCAAGTGCTGCATTGTTTAGGCGCAGGTAGGTTAAACTGTCACGACGTGTTTTGGCTACTTAACTGACGTGACACCGCGATAGGATTCATGGAATGGACTGAGGAGAATTGCCGTAACCTCTAGTGGGATGCACTTTCAAGGTATGTTGCTAAGGCTGTGTAAAATGCAGCATTTAAATCATTAACTAAATCTAGATAGACTCGATTTACCGGTTCTGATGTTTAAATTTATGGATTGTGCCTCGAGGGGACAGCTGAGAGAGATGCTATTCACACTGTACCATACACGCGCTATGTTCTATCTATACATTATTTCACTTTAGTCTATTTAAGGAATGCTTTTGAATGAGACAATATAAGCCTAATGATTAGCTGGCCTATGCCTGATTTGCCCGAAATTGTTCAAACTTCCTTTTATTCTCGATATTGAGTTACGCAGATGCATGGCCAGCATCACTTACTACTCGGGAAAGAGAATGAACGGGAATCTGTAAGCAATTTCGTGATAAAATCGGTAAGGTAGCATTCATGCATTCAGTGTGGAGTGAACCGCTAAATCATCAAAGATTAAACATGATAGACGGTGTGCAATAAACTGATGCCGTGAAGTGGCTTTTTGCGGTGATTTCGCAGCCATATTTGAAGAGGTAGTAGTAGAAGTGGCATGGTCTTACGCATATGTTTTGCCAACTCTCTTTATTCACTATGTTGTTCGTAACTACCATAAACTAAACTCGTCTCTTCATATCCAGCTCAACATCATACAACGCCAGCCAGTTACTCTTGTCTCTGTTGAACTGCTCGTCGTTCTTCTGCTTCATATTCGGCCTCACTGAGACTTCGTATTGGCTGAACAGCTGGTACACTAGTGCATGCACCATCTTATCACCGACATTGTAGCCTAGACACTTCCGCGACCCGTACCCAAACGTGGTCAAATTATACCTCAGCTACCGCAAACCTTAGTGTTAGCAAACTAGATCGAACCCTACACGACAAAAAACCAAAGAGACATACCTGCTGCGGTGGAATCTTCGCGAAGCGGCTCGGGCGGTACACGCGGCTGTCGGGGCCCCAGAAGGGATTGCGGATATTGATGGCGTACGAGTCAATCAGGATAGTGGTCTGGCACAGGGCATTTCGTCAGCTGAGCTTGTTCTGCTCCTATCTTCATCTGGACGACTTGACTGACATCTTTCGGAATGCGGTAGCCAGCAACGATGCGCTCGCGCGGCGGCTTGTCAGGCAGGGTGAAGGCCGGGACGGGCTGCAGGCGCAGCGACTCGAGCAGGCAGTAGTGCAGCAGAGTGTCGCGCTTGCCGAGGTAGCCGTTGACGTCGTAGGCGTGGGCGGCGAACTCGGCGCGGAGGTCTGCTTGGACATTGGCGTTGTCGGCGAGCTGGGAGCATGTAAGTTTCGTTATTCTCTTGGGCTGTTGGGGGTACTTACCAAGATGACACAGGACGAAATGACGTGCGTCGTCACGTCCAGATTCGCAAACAGCGACTCGGCCAGCGTATGCAGCACCTCCTGCTTATCAATCTCGCCCGCCTCGGCGCTCTGCCACAGCGACACCAGCGGGTCCTGAATCCCAGCCTCGACGCGGCGCTGGACGGCCTCGCGCGTAAAGGCCTCCCACTGCTCGATGTAGTCCCTTGCGCGCTGCCACGACGGCAGGTTCAGCCACTTGGCGAGGGGCGAGCGGTTGATGCCGCCGTCGATGGCGCCGGCGAAGACGGCGGTGAAGAGCTGGCCGAGGTCCCACAGGCGGTCGACCTCGTGCTGGTTGAGGTCGGTGAAGAAGAGCTTGGCGACCTCGTAGTAGGGGAAGCGCATCAGCGCGTGCGAGGCGTTGACGGTGAAGTGCTGTTTGTCGCTGCTGCTGCGATCGACGGCGTACTGGTCCAGGTTCTTGCAGTAGGTGGTGGCGGAGTCGTTGAAGGAGTCGAGGTATTGCAGGGATTGCTTGTGCGAGAACATGGGGTCCAGGGTTTTGCGGAGCTTGGTCCAGCGGTTGCCGTTGATGAGGCCGATGGCTTCGCCGAGGAGCTGGCTGAAGAGCCAGCCGATGTTTGCGGTCTTGTCTTTGGTGTGGTTGGAGGCATGGCTGTATAGAGCCTGCACGTCTTTGGGGTCGGTGAGCACCCTGTTTTGGGTTAGTAGTTGAGAAGAGCAATTGTAGGAGCTGGACTTACACTTCTGGGGTTGATCCGGCCCAGATTCGGTAGATGCTGCCGTACTTTTCGTTCCACGCATACGAATTCTCCCTTCCACGAAGAAACTTGTCCTTCGTGTTGCCATTTGGGAATTTGTAGGCAGGGCCCCTGATGTTCTTTCCATCCTCAATGCTAGGGATGAAGTGGAGTCTTGACACTATCGCCTGTGGATTTGTGAGTAAGCATTGTGCTGCTTGTCGTTTCATACACTTACGTTTAGTAAGACATCCAGAATTCTGCGAGCGGCAGGTGATTTCACGATCAGGACCACGGCAGCTGCCAGAGCCGCAACGATGGCACCGATGTGCATGCTACCTGCAATTACTGTAGCCATCCCGAGAATGCGCCGAGCTTCTAACCACTCACTGGGGAACGGGATGGAGAAGGCCACGAGGGATTACCCATCCTACCGGGTTCCCACGCGGTAGTTAATGCAAGGTAAACGGTGACTTGCCGACAACACCCTTGAGATGCCGATCAAAAATTGGTAGGGTGAGTCTCATATCATCTGGTTGGCTGCCAAGCACAGGCATCCGTGGATATTCGCCGTGAATATCTTCCGCGTGGAGACTTGTGGAGAACCCACGCGGCAGGCGGGGAACTTCGAGATTCGAGACATCCAGGTGTCTGGAATTCTGCGCGACCGATCATTAACGGGGCGGATTTTTCCGTAAGGCCAAGCGAGACGATCGGTCTTTGTACGCCCGATGGGGAAGTGGAGCGGTGGTTGTTCGGCAGCCGGAGAATATGGCGCCGGACCTCAGTTCTCGAGCACCGACATTCTCTTGGCCTCGAAGATGCAGTGATGATAAGGTGATGATCAGGTCCAAAGGATGTGGGTGAGAATCTCGCATCTCCGGTTTCACACCACCCGCTTTCTGGGCCCACCTTCCAATTACCTGCAGCCATTCAACATTCGTCACAATGAAGTGCCTCATTCAACTCTTCCGCGAGCAGGTCGCGGCACACCCTTCATCGATTGCTGTTGAGGACGGCAACGTAAGTGGTGTTTCCAAGCAAGTGACTTACCAAGAGCTAGACGAACTCTCGGACAACTTCAGCCTCCAACTACGGCAACATGGCGTTCGGCCAGGGGACATTGTTCCCGTTCTCTCAACACGCTGCATTGGCGCCATTGTTTCGATTCTGGCCATCCACAAGCTGCGGGCTTGTTACGTCCCAATCGACCTGGATACCTGGGGCAACGACCGGATTGAGAACACACTGAGCCGGGTCGAGGCGAAGCTTGTCGTCACGACCAACCAAACCGCATTCACCGGCTCCAAAAAGAAACAGGTCATCTACATTCCACACGATGGCAGTGTGGCAAGCAACCCAGCAACACCACCCGACTCCCCACACGACGAGGATCCAGCCGGACAGGTTCCTGACGACTGGGCGTACCTGATCTTCACCAGCGGGTCGACAGGAAAGCCAAAGGGCGTCATCGTCAACCAACGATCAATATCCGCCCTCGTAACCGAGCAGAATGAGCTCCCCTTCAATCTGCACGCCAGCGTAGACAGCAGAGTCCTACTCATCTTCTCCTTCGCCTTCGACGGTGCGCCACCCCCTTCCCCCTTCCCCCCCCTTCCCCCCTCTCCCCAACCCCCCCCTACTAACCACCCACCCACAGCCTGCACCTACGTCATCAGCAGCACCCTCTGCAACGGCGCGACCCTCGTCCTCGCCAGCCCATCCACCCTCGAATCCGTCGCGTCCACCTGCCACATCTGGATCGTAACCCCCAGCATCCTCTCCGCCATGGACCCGTCCTCGCACGACTACTCGCGCGCCACGCTCATCATGATGGGCGGCGAGAACCCGCCACCTTTCATCGTCCCCACCTGGACTGCGCCCAGGCGCCGCCTGATCAACATCTACGGCCCCACCGAGGCGACGTGCACGGTGCTCATGTCCGAGATGGCGCCCGGCAAGCCCGTCGTCATGGGCGCGCCCATCTCGTTCTGCAGCGTGCTGCTGGTCGACGACGCGGGCAACGAAGTCGTCGGCGACGAGGCCGAGGGAGAGATGCTGCTCGGCGGGACGGGCGTGGCGGTCGGGTATTATGGGGATGAGGAGCTGACGCGGGCGGTGTTCGTCGAGAGGGACGGCCAGCGGTTCTACCGGACCAAGGACTACGCGCGGCGTACGCAGCACGGCTTCGCGTTCTGCGGGCGCAAGGACGCGGTGGTCAAGAACCGCGGCTTCCTGGTGAACCTGGAGAGCGAGGTCGAGCCGGCCATGCTTGCTGCCTCCACCTCTTCCCCGTCCTCCTCGCCCGCGCTCGCCGCCGCCGCCATCTCCCACCACGGCACGCTGATCGGCTTCGTCACCCCCGCCTCCGCCGCCCAGGGCCTCCGCGAGCTCATGCTGTCCAACCACACCACCTCCGCCTTCCTCGTCCCGGACCACATCCACGGGCTGGACGCCTTCCCCTCGACCGGCAACGGCAAGGTCGACCGCAAGGCGCTGGCGGCGCTGCACGAGGCGACGGTTTTGCCGGCGTTCATCACGCCCGAAGTATTTCTGCAGGGCGTGCGGGACGCGGGCAAAGAACTGACGGCGCTCGAGGCGGTCAGGCATGCGGTCTGCATGGTGCTAAGGGTCGTGCAGGCGAGGGTGGATGATGGTGCGAGTTTTCGTGCGTTGGGGGGCCACTCGCTGGCGGCTGTGATGCTGGTTTCGACGCTTAGGAGGTTGGGGTTTGTGATTGATGTTGTGGGGGTGTTTGTGCATGACACAGTGAGGGGGATTGCGGGGGCGGTGAAGAGGGTGGGGGTGGAGGGGGGTGGTGGTGGTGGTAAGGAGGAGGAGGCGAGGGGAGGTGATGAGGAAGAGAGAAGGAGGTGGGCGGAGGTGGTGGGTGAGGAAAGCGCGGCGCCGGCGACGGATATGCAGGTCCGGATGGTGCGGGGGACGGTCGACGATCCGTCGCTGAACTTCATCAAGATTGGGGTGTCGTTCGATCATGGGGCGGACGAGACTTTCTTGGGCGCGCTACGGTCGGCGTGGAAGCAGCTTTCCCGGAGACATTCGATACTGCAGTCATCTTTCAAGCTGGATGCAGCTGAGCCGCTTCAGTTGCTGCAGAAGGACGTTGACATCCCCTGGCAGGAAGACGTCGTCTCGTCGGAAGATGAGTGGAAAAGGGAGTATGATGTCTCAGGGGCCATTGATCCGGAAGACTTCACTTCGTTCGAAGAGCAGGACCTCAAGGCTCTTTCGAGCGTACGGGTGATAGTCTTGCCTGGTGTCCGATGCCGTCTCATCTGGACAGTCCATCACTCACTCATAGATGGCTGGTCGGCAAGTGTCATCCTCAACGACCTTTGGGAGCTTCTACACGGCAGAGAGCTTCCTCCCACTCCCCAGTTTTCCGACGCTGCTTGGTGCATGCGCCGCCTGCTCCAGCGCGAATCCTCAGCGGCCAAGGACTTCTGGAAAGCACAGCTTGGAGACGTTCAAGACATCCCGCGCCTCCGTGTTCCTCCGCCGGAAGACGCAACCTCCAAGTTCTTGTCAGAGAGACGCCGCAAGCTTTCGAAAGTCAAGATCTCGGATCTTGAAGTGGCTGCGAATGAGTACGGCGTCACGACGGCTGCTCTCGTGTACGCTGCATGGGCTGTGGTTCTCTCTCGGTACTGCGACTCGCAGAAGGTGGTTTTGGGAACGGTGCTCTCGGGCAGAAGTCTGCCGCTGGAAGGCGTGGAGAAGATCGTCGGCCCGCTGATTAACTCGCTCCCGATGCCTGTTGCGCTTCAGGAGGACGCAACTGTTTCGGAGTTCGTCAGGCAGGTCTTCAGGTCCATGTGTCAGCTCCTCGACTACCAGTGGACTCCGAACTCCCTTGTGCAAGAGGCGACGGGGAGGAAGGGCACTGACTACTTCGACACCATACTGGCCATCCAGTACGACTTCCCAGGACACCAATGGCCGAACGCGCGGTTTGCAACACCATACGATATCTCAATTGCCGAAACTACCGAGACGCCGCTCACTATCATGGTAGATGCTATTGAGGGTTGCCTGGATGCGAGGTTCTTGTTCCGTCCCTCGAACTTCGGCGCACCCATGATCGAGCGTATGATCAACCACTTTGAGAACGTCCTCGCGTTACTCGGTGATAGGTCTGGCGCGGCTGGTCCTGTTGGCGAAGTGGCCAAGAACATGCTCAGCAAGGAAGAACAGCATGCCAGTCTCAACTGCTCCGACTACATCGACGAGCCATACGTGGGGCCCGAGACTCTTGCCGAGGCGTTCGAGCTCTCGCTGTCTCAGTACCCAGACCAGCTTGCAGTCGAAGGCTTGGATCGGAGTCTTACGTACAGCGAACTGGACACGGAGACGCGGCGGGTTGCAAAGGTCCTCGTTCAGCACGGCGTCAAGGCTGGGGATATTGTCTGCATCATTGCCGATGGTTCAATCAACTGGCTCTTGGCGATTATGTCAGTGGTACGGACGGGAGCTGCGTATTGCCCTGTGGACAACAAGTTCCCTGCCGAGAGACAAAGCTACATGTTGTCTCTCTGCCACCCTCCGGTCGTTCTGTACCCGAGCGCTTCCATCAGACAGAACCACTCTGGCCATGCAGGCGCCGTGCAGCTGGACGTAGAGACGATTCTGGCCTCGGAGTCAGATTCGACCTTCGTCCCCAAGAGCCAAGCGGCACCGCACGACCTCGCCGTGATCCTCTTCACCAGCGGCACCACGGGCTTCCCCAAGGCAGTCCAACTCGAACACAAGCCCATCCTCTCGGTCCTCTCCTTTGCGCCCACCCGCCTCCGCTCCAAGCCAGGCCAACGCAACGCGCAGCTGCTCTCACTCGGCTTCGACTGCTGCGTCACCGAAGTCTTCTCCAGCCTCCTCTACGGCGCAACGCTGGTCCTCAAGGACCCGGGCGACCCGCTCGCGCACCTCACCAAGGTCGACGCCATCGTCGCCACGCCCTCGCTCGTCACCAACCTCGACCCGGCCGACTACCCCAACCTCAAAGTCGTCACCTTGATGGGCGAGCCGCTCCCCGTCGCCCTCGCGCGGCGCTGGCTGCCGGGCCGCATCCTGCAAAACAGCTACGGCCCGGCCGAAACGACGCTCATGACCAACGCGCACCAGCTGCGCGCCGACGGCCCGATTTCCGTCGGCAAGCCAATCCCGCGCGTGGCGTTCTACATCCTCGACGCCATGGGGCGCCCCGTGCCGACGGGCGTCGCGGGCGAGATCTTCGTCGCGTCTGGCTTGCAGGTCTCGCGCGGGTACCGCAACAACCCCGAGGAAACCACGTACCGCTTCCTGCAGGACCCGTTCCGGCCCGGGTGGAAGATGTTCAGGTCGGGCGACATGGGCCGCTGGAACGAGGACGGCGACACCGAGATCATCGGCCGCACCGACAGCCAGGTCAAGCTGCGCGGCTTCCGCATCGACCTCGGCGACATCGAGGCGACGGTGGCGAGGCTGGGTGCACCCGGACTGGGCGTCGATAACGTCGCTGTCGTCGTCACGGGCGGCGCGCTGCGGGCGTTCGTCACGCCTGCGTCGGTCGATACGCGCGCGCTGATGCAGACGCTGCGGGATCACTTGCCCGAGTACAGCACGCCCAGCAACGTCACGGCGCTGGACGCCCTGCCGCTGTCGCCGAACGGCAAGGTCAACCGCAAGGAGCTGGCCGCCATGCACATGCAGCGCGACGACGCGCTGGAGCCGCTGAAGACGGATACCGAGCGCGCTGTGGCGGATGCCTGGGCGGAGCTGCTGGGCCGCGACCAGAACCAGTCGCCCATCGGCGCGCTCGACCGCTTCTTCGACCTCGGCGGCCACTCGCTGCTGCAGATCCGCCTGGCGCAGAAGCTGTCGAAGCTGTGGGGCGCGAGCGTGCCGCTGCGGACCATCATCCGGCACCAGGTGCTGCGGGACCTCGCCGCGGCGCTGGACGAGCATCTGGCGCAAAAGCCTGCCGTCGAGGCACGCAAGCCGTTCGCTGAGACGGCGAAGGTGCCGAGGGGGGAGGAGAAGACGCCGGCGTCGTATCTGGAGCAGGAGATGGTGCTGAACCAGATGCTGGCAGACGGCTCGCCCGTGTGGAACATCGTCTACGCCTGCAAGGCCTACGGCGCCGTCGACCTGGACGCGCTCGACCGCGCGTTCCGGGAGACGGTGGCTACGCACGAGGTCCTGCGCTCGCGCTACCATCTCGACGACGGCGTCATCATGCGCTCTCTATCCGAGCCGTCCTCGTTCGCCGCCAGCCATGCTACATGCAGCGAAGACGCCGTCGCCGACTTCCTCGCCCAGAAGATCCAGCGGCCGCTCGACCCCTTCGCCGACGCCCTGATCCAGCTGCACACCGCGGCCGTGACGCCCTGGAAGACGGTCCTCGTCTTCGTCATGTCGCACATCGTCGGCGACGGGCCGACGCTGTACAGAGTCCTGCAGGAGACGTCTGCTGCCTACGCCCGCATCACCTCTTCCTCCTCCTCTTCTCCCTCCCCCTCTTCCTCCTCCCCCTCCCCGTCCTCCAACCTCTCCTACCTCGACTGGTCCCACTGGGCCCACCCCGACTCCTCCCCCACCACCACCATCGACAACGAAACCTCCACCTTCTGGCACACCGCCCTCTCCGCCCGTCGCCCCGCCCTACCCCGGCACAACCACCACCCCTTCGCTAAGCCCGCTCCGGCCGCTACTTTCCGCGGCGGCCTGACAACCTGGACGCTGCGCCCCTCGCTGCGCCACCGCCTCGCCCGCCGCGCCATGGAGCACGGCTTGTCCATGCACCAGCTAGCCCTCGCCGCGACGTTCCTGGCACTACGATCACTTCACCCAGCTGATGGTGGTAGTGGGAACGGAGTAATGGCGCTCGGCGCGCCGATGACGCTGCGGACGGAGGCGGGGACGGAGCGCATGGCGGGCTTGTTTTTGGATCGGCTGGTCGTGCCGCTGCCGTGGGATGGCGTCGATGACGAGAGCGTCACTGGCGGCGCAGAGGGAGAGGGATCAGGACAAGATGGTGATGATGATCTGGCGTCCTTCCTCGCCACCGTCCGCGCCCGCAGCAGTGCCGCCCTTGCGCGCTTCGTGCCGCATCGCGTGCTGAGGCGGGTGCTTAACCAAGCTGGCGCCGACGCTTCTGCCTCCGCTTTCCGCCAGGTTGACGAAGCAGACAGCGACGCGTGCAGCAATGCGGGAGGCGAGCTCCCCGCACCCCCCAGCCTCGCCAACCCCATCGTCGACGTCGTCGTCGCCTTCCACACGGCGACCGAGTCGGCCGAGCGGCGGAAGGGCTTGTCCCTCTCATCAACCAACGCGGCAGAAGTCGTCGAGATCCCCGTCGAGCAAGGCGGTGGCCGGCCGCGCGGCGTGGCGAAGTTCCCCGTCATGGTCGAGTTCACCGACGACGGCGAAGACGCTGGATTGCACGTCGAGCTGGAGTGGGACACCGGCGTCGTCGAGCCGAATGTCGCGGAGAGGCTGGAGGAGGCGCTTGCGGGGGCGTTGGAGATTTTGGGCTCGTGTTCATCTCAGGGTGGTGGAGTGAGGGCGATGACGGAGGCGTTGAGGCGGAGCCACGCTGGTGGCCGCCGCGAAGGGGATGTGGAGAGTGATGATGGGGGGTTGCCGACGCCGGGGGAGGAGGAGGAGATTGCGGTGCGGTTGCAGCTTGGAACGGGGGAGGATAGCGAGAGGGCGGAGAGGGTGGTGAGGATCAGGGAGGCGATGGCGGAGTGTTTGGGGTTGGAGAGGAAGGATGTGGGCTGCATGCGGTCGTTTTGGGAGTTGGGGGCGGAGAGTATGGATGCGGTTAGGTTGATGGATAAGTGTGAGAAGAAGGGTTTGCGGTTGGGGTTGAGAGATATTTTTGATTCGCCGACGGCGGATGCGTTGGCGGGGTTGTGTTAAGTTGGGGTTTAGTCGGCGTCTGTAGTATATGTTTTGTTTGTTTAGTTTGTATAGTAGGGAATAATTGAGAATTTGTACGCGATAATAACCTTTTAGGTCCCCCGTTCCAATTTCCGCTAGCTCTTAGTCAGTCAGGATGCGACTGTGACGTACTGCACCTTCGATCTGGGGAAGCTCCAGCAGGCCCACGATAAGAAGAGAGTTATTCTGCTACAGAAATAGCAGACTTGGAAAGAACATCCGGCTCTGGAGTGTCAGCTTGAATCGGGAAAGGTAATTTTCCAATCAAGCCCCTCTCAACCGGAGTAGCGCGATATTTAGATGATGCTGTCCTTTCTTTTAAACTCTGTGCTCATGTATGTCAGATTCAGATTCGTATCCTACGTCTTTCTTTAGTCGAAGGCTACAAATTGAGTAGTAGTTTCTAAAGCCATTATTCCGGCTGAAACGCGCGATCGCTTGTAAACTACGTCTCGGGGATATGCTTATTGGCCGACCATTATCTACTCAACTGCGTGATAATGCGCATTGTAGGTCTGACTATATAGCACCTGCAGACATAGTCTCAATGCTAGACTCTCTAGCCATGAGCGCGAGTAGTATGGTGCAGCTTATACGCTTGTAATTGGTTCCTTCCAATCCAGAATATGATTTTGCTACCAACTTTAAGAATCTAGTCGACCAACAGTCTAATATGGCCAAATCCCAGCAATGATAGCTGAGATTCGACGTACTTGATCGTTTGCCGAAATGAAATAAGTCCTCCACGACACGCCCCGGCCTCCAAGTGCTGCGCAAGGCCGCTCAGCGTAGAAAACGACTTGATCCTGACGGGCTTTTTGTCGGAAGCCAGCTCTTGAGCGAGCAGTAACGGGCAATGGAAGAGATGCGGGGCATGTGCGGCCGAGTTAACATGCGCCTGGAATGCAGCCGCGCTGCGGAAGGCAGGGCGATGGGGGCAGAGCGGGCACGCACGAGGGCGGTATTCGACCTTGTTGCTTTCGCGGTTGCTGTTGTTGCCTCCGTTGCTGCTGTTGATGATGCTTGAGATATCCTGAGTAGATCTCACTACCCGTGTCTCCGGAACGCGGTCCATGTGAGCTTGCATCCAGTCGTCAGAGGCCTCGCTTACTGAAGGGGTGAGCATGGCAGGGCGATCAAATGAATCTTCGCTTTCGCATGATTCAAGTCTTGTCTCTGCTAGCTGTTCTGGGCCTGCGATTGCTGCCCGATCCGGGCTGTCAAGGTCAGCGATGAAAGCTTGAGAGGAGCTCAAGGACTTACCTCATTGAGTCTATGTTTTCAATCGCAGTATGGTCAACGATCTGTCCCTGATGATCATGTGCAATGACCATCCCGTTCAACCTCGCACGTGTCATCCCAGAAGGGCACCGCCCACTTTCGAGGTGGTTGAGTAGAGCGGATGGCGTCGGGAACTTCTTGCTGCACAATGCCCCTGTCGGGCACGGAATGATCCTAGGAGCCTTGTGTGTACGTTTGTGCATTTTCAAAGCCTTTTTGGTCGCAAACCTGTCATTACATTTCCCGCACTTATGCTGGAGGCTAGCCTGTGGTTCGACTCGAGTGGCGTGCAGTCGTGGTCTGTGTGAGGGGCACGATCTGAAGTGCCGTTTGAGCCGTTCGGTAGATCCATACACCGTGTCACACTTACAGCAGTGCTTGTTGAGATAGCCCGCGGTCGGGTAGTCGTGTCCACAGTCACAGCAGGAGTACTGGGCGCCATGTTTGGCGGTGCGGGCATGGAGGTTGTGCTCCTTGGGGTTAGAAAAGAAGATGTTGCACTCTAGACAGAAGCAATGGACTGCTTCAGTCTGGTGGCGTCGTAATCCTTCTTGTCTCTCAAAGCGTTCATGACACAGCGTGCATTTTGGGTGGAATAATTTCCTGTGAGCCGCGCGCCTTTTCTTGCCAAGCGTAGATCCGCACAAATCACACATCCATTCGGCTGAGCCCGGCATTTTTGGGTGTTCAGATGAAAAAAGAGATCTTTTGTGGATTTATCGAAGAGAAGAGACAAATAACAGCCCTTCGTGACCTTATAATGGCTGTGAGTGGTTGAGGCTTGAATTTGCGTTGCCATGGAGCAGAGAAACCTAACAGTTGGGCTAGGAGTAGAGTATTTGACCCGGTATGTGCAAGGGACCAAGTCTCAGTAAGCTCCTCGCATGGCTTGCCACCCGATGCATGCCTCGAGGGCGAATGTAGTGTAGATCTTCAGCATAGCAAAGGCTCATTGGTTCAAGCTAGATGGATGGAACGGTTGATATCCGCTCCGCTTGGCTGATTCGAGGTTGTGGTGGATGCATCGAATGAGGTGTAGCATCCTCACCAACCTAATCATAGGGTTACACGGTGCGACTAGTGTACATGCATTCCAGGATTAGGTATCTGGAGGTAGTAATGCAAAGTTTGGCAGAAGAGGGCATTTCAGCAAGGGGCATACGCAGGAAGCTCCCATTCCAGAAGACAAGGTCGGTGCTTCATCCTGCTAGAGAGGAACCACTGTTTCGGAAAGAGACATTTTTCCAACCACCACCTTGCAAGTAACCAGTACGGCATATAGCCGGACTACCTCTGCCCCATGACTGAGAACTCGAACGTAACTGCGGTCTGTATAAGAGTGGATTAGATGGGGATTAATCTACTTAGGTTTTGATATCTTTCGTGAAGACGTATAAGCCCTTCGTACATTAATGTGTCTTTTACCCGATACTGGCATAACTCACTTTTCAGCCTAATTACGCTCAATGATTACGCGGCGGTTGTGTCGCCCCACCGGTTCTAGCGTGGCCACATCAATCATTGCTTAAACCATACGTGGCTATGTAGAGCACGAAAACCTTGCCGGTGCGTGTCACGTAAGCAAGGTAGCCCCCCGTACATCATGGAAATGACTCAAATTAAAAACGATGACGGCGGCAACTGGGTTTTGCGCGTGGGGAATGAACGGACCGGACGTGCTCGTGGATGGTGCTAGTCTCAAGGGCACTTTGCGCATCCCTAGCAGCCGCATTAAGACTAGCAGATTTCTAGAGTAGCGGCGCGCGGCATCACCACTCGATAGGTTCTATGGCTAATTGGCTGCTCACGGATCGACGATGTCACTTTAGACTATGTTAGAATACTAGATGAAAGACTTAAAAGACCCTCGCTCCCTCAGTGAAACCTTCGACCTTTGATTCGACGCATCAGTACTTCGCTACAGAAATCGACATAATTTTCGAGCTGAGCTACTATGGAAATCGGAGACACCGTGAGTTCATTCAATGAACGAACAGAACATTAATTACACGATCTAACTTGCCCTGCAAACCAAGACGCGAATACTACGAAGCAGCAGTGTCTGCGGAGTTCTCATATTCCAAAGCGTCGCAAGCGCGGGTCCATGTGCGTACGGCATCTGTCAAGCTGGATGTTCGGCCATTGTAATGGCCTGCTACGCAGCGGCAGGGTTCACGTGGGGGAGCGACGTCAGGGGCGACAGCACCAGCTTCGATAATCGCGTGTAACACAGCGTTCGGGACGTGTCAAGCGGCCTGTGCAGCGGTTCTGCTTGCACAAACTTTATGATATTTTGAGGGACTTTTCGAGATGTACTATGAGAACACTTATTTCACCATCTTCCCGCAACCATGGTGAAATGCAGACTACTCATACCAACATCAACCATGACTCGTGCGGAGCGAAGCCGAGCCTCCAATTGCTATGCGAATCAAAGCACGTGGCGCTAGGGAAAGTAGTAGCGGTGCGCCAAGGGCGACAGTAGAGTGAATATATCTTAAGAAGCAGAAGCATTCTCGCTGTCGGCACAGTCACCGAGTCTGTTGGGCTCAGCCTGGGGCGATACCGCAGCACTGCGCAACAAAACAGATTCCAGAGTCTATCAAAGGGGAAATCCACACCGCCCACGTTGCGAACCCTTAGTGGGTAGGCACCTAGAGAACTCTATGCTTCGTTGTGAGAAGCATACGTTTTGGAGGAGTTTGAGGCGCTGGCCGAAGCCAGGGAGCTGCTGCTCGATGCGGTGCTGCCAGGCCGTGTTGCGGAGGCGGAGCTGGCTTTTCTAAGCACTTGCTATTCGCGGTTGTGACTAGTTGAAAACGAGAAAAGTAAGTCCCCCAGATGCCATACTCAGCGCCATAAAGTCCCTCCCGCCCAGGCTTCTTAGATTGTTGAAATCCCGAGCAATCTTGGCTCCGCACACTCGCAACGACAGAAGCTCATACAAGGTGCACGAATCATGGCCTGCTAACGAACTTTAGCCGCACGTCGAGATGTGGTGATCCGGGAACGACGGCCGCTTCCGGCCTCCACAGGTGCAGGATGTGACCGGCCTGCTCCCTTTCCCCTGGCCACATGCACGAACGACGGTGAAACGCCCAACGGCGACCTATCCCGGAAAGCAACGGGCCCCTACAGACAACCTCAGTGCACGATGCACGTGCCGGAGTACTGGTGGGGAGGTGGGCAGGCGAACAGCTGGAGAGCGCGCACTATATGGGTGATGAAGGCACAGGGGTGGTGACGGCGCGGCGGCTGTCACCTGTGCGGGTAATTCCTTCGATCGCCATTCTGACGCCACTGCCGTGCTACCTCACCTCGCCCACCGTCTCGTCCGCTGTACTGATGACCCATGCCGCACAAAACTTACCCCACAACGCACGAGCACTATCCCAGCTTCTCCATGTCAGCGCGAAGACGGTTACCGCTAACTCGCGACCGCCTACAACACCGTCCCTTATCACATCACGGTGTGTTCGGTTAACTTGCCGCAATCTTCTAATGTGTTGGCAGATAGCGACATCCATTATTAATCTAGAGTTCTAGACACGTCACGCTCGGCTAACGGTACGATCGCACTCGCGCCCTATGAAAATAAGAGTTAAGGCTGCTTACAAGCTCGATCGAGTAAACAGAATAGATAGCGGCTCGCGGGACTTGTGACAATGGCACCTTGGACCCCCGGAACTCGGTGCTTTCGCCAATCGGCGAACTCGAAAGGACAGATGCGGATTTGATTTTAATGTTTCTGTCAGCCAACAGCGTCTTGTTCACTGAGCAGTCTAATGACCCATGGTATTCTGCGCACTTCCCTTGCTGCTGTCTTAACAAATTTCACCTCGAGGAAGACAACAACGTACTTATGTATTACGACGACGAAACCTCCTCTCCATTATCAACTTGGTTCACGAATGTCCGGGCTTGTTGGTTGCGGCGCTTGGTGTGTTCCGCGTCGCTGATCCCAGGTGCGGGCCAGTGTCTCGGTCGGCATGGTGGCTGGCGATAGTTAGAGATGGAAAATCGATGGTCAGCTTCTCAGCTACGGGTTGATGGGCGATTGGAGAAACAAGTCACTGGTATCAAGTCTGGATTATTTCCGAGCTTCTAGGTAACACGTGCCTCCCAGAAATTTGCGTTCCTTAGTCAATGCAATGATCTCAGCCATGGCTCCATGTCGTCACCGATCCGTACAGCAGCACGAGCCTACTTCTGCCTGACCCCGTAGGACAACCGGGACGAACGAAAGAAAAAGGAAACTTCAAGGGTCATAGACTCTGTATGCTCAGTCTTCTCTGACTTTTTTGTGGACTCAACCCATTCAGTTCTAGCGCATCAATAGTAGTATGATAAACCATCCATGCATGAGACCTGGCTGTTGTAGCAACTGATGAAAATATGCAAACTCTATCTGCACCGAACTGCTCGTAACCCGCATGGTCCACGGACCCAGCCTACTACCGCACTTCCATCCATGCAGCAAGACCTCAAAGCCGACCATCGCTTGAGAAGAACCGCCTTCAGAAAACCCATGTCTGTATCAGTCATGCCGAAGAGCAAAAGGAAAAAAAAAAGGGGGGAAAGCATCACCCACGCCCGCATCCCCTCACCACCAATCGTGCGGCAACTCCTGCTTGGAGTACTGCTTCGTCGGGCCAGTGAGCAAGTCCGCATCAGCAGCACTTCCTCCACCAGCACCACGGTCACCATTCTCAGCCTCAACCATCCCACCATTCTGCTGCCGCTTACCCTGCAGCGCCGAACGAGCCGCCGGATCTGTGATCCTCACCGCCGCACCGTTTCCCGTCCTGGGAACCGGCGTACCACTCCTGCTCGACCTCTGGCTCCTTGGACCACCGCCATTAGTGTTGCTCCCGCCACTCCTCCCACCCTTCTTCTCCCTCGGCGGCGCCATATCCACGCGGATCGGACGACTCCAGAACTCCGCGCCCTTACTCTTCTCAAACGCGTTCTTCGCCTCGACCGGAGAGCCGAAGCTGACGTAGGCGACGCCCTTGGTGTGGCCGGTGGCGTGGTTGATGGGAAGATGTACGTCCGTGATGGTGCCGTACTTGGCGAAGAAGGCCACGACGTCCTCGGGCGTAGCGCGGTAAGGCAGGTTGCCGACGAAGATGCAGTCGCTCTCGGCGGGGTTATCGAGGCCGGGGGGCGGGACGTACGGAACACCGCCACCGCCACCGCTGCCATTGATGTTGTGGTTCTCTGCGGTGGTGGTGCCATTGACGGGTTTGGGATTCCCGCCGTCGTCGCCCTCGCCGGCGCTGCTCCAACCGTCGGCGTCGTCGGTGATGCGCGTGACGGCGTCGGCGATGGCGTCGGCCATGCGCTTCTGCTGGTCTTGCTTGCGCTGCTCCTCGACCTCCTTGGTGCCGCGGACGGTGGATTCGCGGACGGCGAGCGCGAGGAGTGCTTGCAGCGTGTAGACGGCGTCGTTGCCGCCGTTGTGCAGCTTCCAGCCGACGATGTCGAGGTCCGCCAGGATCTTGCCGAGGGATGTGCCCTGCGGGTCGCGCTTCCAGTGCTGGTGGAGGAGCTTGGTGTCGATGATTTCGAGCAGGTTGGACAGGTTGAGCGGGTTGTAGCCTAGCTTCTGCAGGAACTTAACGTCCTGGTTGGGATCGTGGCCGACGAAGATGAGATTGCGCTTGCCGTCGGCGTTGACGACGGAGGGGTCGTCATGCTGGGCAGCGGAGGAGCTTTCGTCGCCGTTGGCGGACCAGAGGCGCTGGGATTCGGCGGGGGTCAGCTCGGCGGAGAAGGGCGGCCGGAAGCACGAGGCGACGATGGACGGGGCTTCGGCGAGACGCACGAATTCGCTCGTGCCGAACTCGAAGCTGCCAGCGCAGCCGGCGACGTGGCGGTAGTTCTCCAGGTGAGCGTGTTCGTGGATACGGAAGTGGCGGGCCCGTATCTTGTCGAACCAGTTTTTGGCGTCCTTGCCGGGAGGTACGTCGATGATGTCCAGCACATCAAGGGTAGCAACTCCGACCTCGGTGATCTTGCTGGTATCCAGCTCGAAGGCCTCAATGTCAACGCTGATGAAGATTACATTCTTGTCGAAGAGGAAGGGAGCCGGCTTCTCAGCGTCGACGGGAGGTAGCTTGCGGGCGGCCTGGGCAGCTTGGAGGTCGGCCCAGTTGAGAGTGGCGTCCTCCAGCGGGTCTGGTTGTACAAAAGTCAGCAATTCGTATCTGGCTGAGACATGATCGAGACTTACTATAGCCGTCGCCCTTGTCAGGGCGGAGGCCCAGGTAGCGTTGGGTCCTCTTGAGCAGGCGACCCCAATTCTGCTGATGAGTGATGCGCTGTTCCTTGCGCTTCGCCTTGGCAGCTTTGCTTTTCGCCTTGTTGAGCTGAAGGGTCTCTTCGATCATAGCCTTGTAGGCCTCGATGGTGGGCTTGTCGGCAGAAGGGAGGGCAGGCTCACCAGGAGCCTTGTAGCTCGGCGGAGGCACCCTGTGCTGCTCCATGTCGTTGTACTCGTCACGCGATGAAGAGAAGCCGAGATAGCGTGGAGTAAAGGCACGATGGGGAATATCGAGAATTAGGCCGCAGTCACGGTGGTGGTCGGTCAGCTGGAAGTCGATGTGGCGCTTGTATTGGTTGATTTCATGAACGAGGAGCTGGAACTGCGTGAGGGTTATGAGGACGAGTGGCTTGCTTGCGAGGTCGGCAGGAGGCCAGACGTAGTACCTGTCAGCAGGTTTGGGTCAGCAATGCACGTGTCCGATGTTTTGTTTCTGGAACGGTCGAGTTGTCAGAAGGTCGGGGAGTCGAGACACATGCGGCAGGAACACGCGTGTGGTCAAAGCTTCAACACCACAATTGACGAACGAAGTGACTTACAGGTCCCAGTCTCTGCTCCAAAACTGATTGCGGTCAAAGAACTTCTTGGCAACTTGGTCGGAGTAGGCACGATTCAAGAACTTGTAGGGAAATTGGCTGGCGGCCTTGATGGAGACGTAGGCTTCGCCCCAGGGAGCAAGATCACCACGGCACAAATCGACAGCCGGCGAGTCCTCGTGAGGGTCGGGTTCGTGGGAGCTTTCGGAGCGGTCGGGCTCGTGAGAGACTGTGGAGCCGTCGGGCGAGGGCGAGCGGTCTCGGAGAGAAAGGGCTTCTGCAAGAGCTTCGATTTTCTGTTCCGCGACGGAAACGGGGGCCTTGTCGTTGGAGTTGGGCTCTGGTGAGCCTTCGCACTCGCTGGGCGTCAGTTCTTTTTGGCCGTTATGGTGAGGTTCAGGATCGACGCGAGGCGAGGAAGCTATGGGCAAGGCGAGAATATCATCGTTGAGCAGGTCCAACAGCCTCTCTGCGCGTGACGAATGCATTGCGAACGGACGTTGACGATGCACGGACCGAGCGGGAGGACGTGACGTTGAGCGATGAGGTTGTGTCGGGGCTCACCGCACGAAGAAGGCATTTGATGCTGCGGTGCCGAACGAGGAAGCAGCAAAGCTGGGGCAGATGGGGAAGGCGGACGCAACTCACAGTAGGCGGTGGAAACATTTGGTAACCAATCAATTCAAGGTCTACAAGGGCAGCTGCAGCGTCAACCTGAATGTAAGAATCACGATCAGCCAGAGAATGGCAGAAGAACCGCTCCTCCCACAGCGCGGCAAGACTAAGCGAGTGCAAACGGATCTGGGGAATCACCAGAGGATGGCCCGTAGATTGATTTTTGCAGCCAGATCAAGTAAAGAGAAAACGGAAAGATACAGATGGCGTTCAAGCCATGGTGGTACCAAAACGATAGGCAGCCCCGATGCACACAACCACCTCTAGATCATGGCGGTGAGAAAGCGAGAGGACAGCAGGCCAAACACCAAGTAGCCGAAAATGACCGGATGCGGGGAGACGCGGTTGAGTGAAAATCAGCGGGCGACGCGTGGGCACGTGTCTCGGGCGCTGATTTTCCGCCCCGCGATACCCGGCGCGGCGGCGCACGGGCCACCAACGTATCGGGAAGGACGTTCCTCGCCCTGGAGCTTCGCCAACAACACCTCACCTCCCCAAACGCCCTGCACCCGCCTCTGCGCCCCTCCTCACCCCCTTCATTGCGCTCCGCTCACCTCCGCGATCTGCTGCGCACGCTCTTCACCCGCCGATCCGCGCCCCGTGGCATGTGACGCGTCTGCCATGGACGACGCGCCGCCCGACATGCCCTCCACCCAGGCGCACGCCCATCCCGACGCCCAGGCCACCGTCACCGACTTCCTCGACTACACCGAGTTCTACCCATCCGACCTGGCTCGCTCCCTGACCTTGATCGCGAAGCTCGACAAGCTGTATGCCGAGGCAGCCGACCGCGTCCACAAGCTCACCCTCCTCTACGGCCATCTCCCCAAGCTTCCCCAGGCCGAACGACCCGATCCCCAGCAGCTGCGCAAGGACATCTCCAAAGCCCTCATCGACGCTGAGCGCTTTCGCGAGTCCGCCTATGCCGAAGCTGCCCGCCTGCACGAGAACACCGAACGCCATGCCACCCGTCTGGTCACAATCAAGAAGAAGCTACAGGCTTTGCCCGAGCCGCCTTCGCGCGACCCCACACCCGCCCCCGCTCCATCGCCACAGCAAACCCGCAGCCGCAAGGTCGACCTGGACAGGACACCGCGCATAACATTGCATTTCGGCGAGACCACTCCACGTCCCCGGCCTACATCGACCGCCCGCGTGCAGAAGCACCGCGAACGGAAGCGCAAGCGCGCACAGGAAGCTGCTCGCGGCATTGCGCCTGGCCAAGGCCTTGATCGGAACCCTGACTCTCCCCAACCAAGTTCTGAGTGGGATGATGGTGCTTCTGATATTGATGGCGATATTGACATCGACACAGTGTCGGGCGTCAAGATACCAAAGCTCAAGGGCTCCAAGCAAAAGACGCCCAAGTCAGGACGTGCCCCGCGCCAACCTGGCATGGGCACAAATGTCCACAGCTCTGTTGCTGGCATCTCCACCAGCAACGCCCTGGCTCAATTGACGCCGCCGCCTCCCGACGCTCAACCCGGCAGCAAGTACGCCCCGTGGCACAAGCTCACCGAGTACGAGATGGCTGTGCTCCGCAAGACGATGAAGAAGAATGCCATCTGGCAGCCCAGCGACACTATGATCCGACGCGAATTGTCCAGCAAGGGACGGGGTTGGGAGAACTACAAGAAGGCCCGCGAGCGGGCCGAGGAGACAGGCGAAGCGTTTCTTGACGAGTCGCCCATGGACCCAAACAAGGAGGTCCTCGACCCGGGTGAGACGAGTTTCAAACCCCTCGGCAAGGAAGACAACAATCTGATCAACCGGGGCATGAAGCTCAATGAGATGAAAAAGCTCAAGAGGGAGGCCACGGCACGTGAGCAAGCAGCCCGCGACGCCCAGGAAATCGAAGACGCCAGCCGCCGAATGGCCGAGGCAAGTGCCGTCATCAAAAACGTCTTTGATGGGCCTGTTCCGACCCCCATTCCCGTCGTCAAGGACAACAAGTCCAAGTCCGCCAAGAAGCGGAAGCGCGACTCGACTCCCGACGCCTCCAAGACCGAGCAGCAATCGGGCTCTTCTCAGCCCCCAGACACGGCAACTCGTCGTCCCTCTGGCCCGAAGAAGCTGAAGTTGGGCCCTCCGGCACCGCCCAAGACTGAGAGTGCCGAACCGCCCTCTCCGACAGCTGCGAAGCCTCAGCCCTCTCCACCCGCTCAGATCTCGACCACTCAAGTTCCTCTTGCACCCGAAGGGCCGAGCTCTCCTCACGCTCCAAGCCGGCCCTCAACTCGACATCAGACTCCGGCTCTTGCGTCTCCGACTGAGGCCCCCAACCCTCCTGCTCCCTCCACTGCCGCTGGAACCCGCTCCCGTCGCACTTCTGTGGTACCTAAAGCTTCGACGCCTCTCGAAGCCGGCAATGCTGTCGACGATCATGCTCGTCCACGATCGCGTGCCGGTTCATCAACGAAGGCCGCTTCTGCTGAACCGCCCATCAAGCGCGAGCCTCGCGAATTGCGTGAACTGCGCCGTGGAAGCAACGTCAGCATTCTCCCCGCTGCAGACCAGCCAAGCTCTGGCAATGCGTCTGCGGGAACACCCGGATCGGGAATGCGTCTCCCATCTCGGCGCAGCAAGCGACCGGCGCCTGGGGCCATGACCGAGGACAAAAAAGTCGTCATCGGCAGACGGTCGACTGCACCCAAGAAGAAGAGCAGGAAGATGGAGGACAAGGCAGATGTGATGCAGTATGAGGCGATTGAAGACATTGACCCAAACGAGCCGAGATACTGCCTCTGTGGGGATGTCAGCTACGGGCCCATGATTGCCTGTGATTATGAGAATGTAAGTCCTCTACAATGATAGTTTGTCTTTGGGCCTAGATGGCTGACTTTGTGCAAAGTGTGAGAAAGAATGGTTCCACCTCGGCTGCGTTGGTTTGACAGAGCGCGAGCAACCGCGACGCCGCGACGCGTGGTACTGTCCTCAGTGTAGGAATGTCCTTCATGTCGACGTAAGCGGCAATCCAGTGGATAATGGTAAACGTCGTTAGGGCGTGTCTCAAGGCATGTAGCATTTCCGTAAGGTACTCTTCGGGTTGTATTCCGCAACTTTTCTCAGTGCGGGAAGCTCAGATTGCTAAGCGTATTTACGGGGCATCAGTTTGTTTGGCTACGAATTGCTTTTGGAGTTTAAGCGGCACATTTTGGTTCTTTTACCGGGAGGCATTGGAATACCCAGGGCGCGATTTTCCAGACGGAGTTCTGCTGTAATATTTGCTAAGCCTTCGCCACGCAAGCCACGAGTTGCAGGTTCAATCAACAGTTTGCTTTTTGACTTTCTCTACAGACGGCTCACAGATGATTTGCGGTTCGCTGACGCAGGTGTTCCCTCGATCCGGGATCGACAACGTCGGGTCGCTACGCGATACTTGATCGGAAGGCCCGACAGCAGACGGTCAATCCGAAGATTTGAAGCTCCGTTGGTATTGGACGATTAATCTACCAGGGTGGCCGGCGACGCCTCCAGGCACACCACCTGACCGGTCGGATGACGGAGATAGGCTTGCATGTTCGCCTCAACCTTCGACGTGGACGGCAGAACATTGGCAAACGCGGAGAATTGCATCATCATCCCGAGGATGAGCCAGAGATAAGCCGACCGGTCACGTCGATTGGGTGGGAGATGGGCTATCTTGCGTGCTTGTTGCAACCCCACCAACCAAACAGGCATTGCATCGTGTCGCTCTAATGCACAACCTGCCGCCCCCAGCTCGACAGAAACTCATGTGCTCCACTTGAGTAATTTCTTTATATTTCTGACTTTCGCAATGGCTGATGCTAAATTCCTCATCTCCTTCTCTTCACTTTCCACCCTCCAGTTCCTCATAACCGCTGGCCGGAGTACCCCACTTCCTGATACACGACCATGTCTTCGACGACTACGCAGACCACGACGGTCGACAATGAGGCCAAAATTCTGAGGTCCGTATCCCGCCGCCCCCACAATCCCCTCTCCCCAACACTAACCACCTGCATCTCCCACCAGACCCGTCACAGCCACCTACAACGACTGGCGCGACGACCTCCTCCGCGACGGCTACGCCGTCATCAAGGCCGCCATCCCGTCCTCCCGCGCCGACGCCTACCGCGCCCGCGCCCACGCCTGGCTGACTTCCTTCGGCACGCCGCTCGACCTCGCCGACCCCTCCACCTGGACCGCGGCCAACCTGCCCGTGCAGTCCAAGATCAACACCTTCAACGCGTACGGCGTCCCGCACGAGGCCTTCATGTGGGACGTGCGGCTCGAGCCGGGCGTCGTCGGCGCGTTCGAGAAGCTGTGGGGCACGGATGAATTGCTCGTCAGCTTCGACGCGCTCAACGTCACGCTGCCGCCGCACCTGCGCCGCGACGAGAAGCCGGCCAAGGGCGCGTGGCCGCACGTCGATCAGAGCCCGTTCAGGCGCGGACTGTGCTGCGTGCAGGGGGTCGTGAATTTGAGTCCGTCGGGCCCGGATGATGGCGGGTTGGTTGTTTTCCCCGGGAGTCATGCGCTTATGGAGGAGTTTTTCGATACGCAGACGGAGAGGGGGAGGTGGGAGAAGAGGGATATTTTTATGTTTGAGGAGAGCCAGCTCGAGTGGTTTAAGGCGAGGGGCATTGAGCCGAAGAAGGTGGAGGCGGAACCGGGCGATTTGTTGGTTTGGGATAGCCGGACGGTGCATTGGGGTGCGGAGCCGAATGAGAGGAGTGAGAGGATTAGGACGGTTGTTTATGCGAGTTACGCCCCCGCGGCGTGGGCGACCGAGCAGCAGTTGGCGGAGAAGGCGAAGATTTTCGGGAAGTGGGCGGGCACGACGCATTGGCCGCATGATAATATCGTGTTTAGGGAGGGGATCGCAAGGTTGGAGGATGGGAGTGAGGATCCGAGGAACAGGAGCGAGCCGAGGGAGAAGCCGGTGTTGAGTGATCGGTTGTTGAAGTTGGCGGGGGCGAGGAGGTATGATGGGAGTGAGGTTGTGCCGGCGGTTTGAGAGGTTAGGTTGGGATGAGACCCGGTCTGGGGGAGGCTGCTCTTGACAAGAAGACATTTAGCCATTCTTCAACATGCTACATAATTCATAAGTGCTTTTTAAGAGATGTGAATTCGCGGGTCCTTGCGTCTCCACTAATTTATGCCGGATAGAAGCAAGAGCCGTCCTGGTAAATCCAGCATCTCATGTTCGGGTTCCACCTGCGGTTCATGTTCATTCTCTCGTCCCTCTCCCACTTGAACACCTGTTTGGCGTTCTGAATCTGCATTGTCTTGTTAACAGGCCAGTCATTGTGAAGATTCTAAAGAATATTTGCTTACCGGTTGGTTGGGAGGGTTTACTTCAACCCTGACCAGACCATTTGTGCGGGGATCAAAGTGAAAGTTGAATGTGGAGTTCTGCGGGATTGCGGCGCCAAGCTGCGTCAGCACAGTAAGCGCCGTTGGCCCCTTTGGTGCCGTCGCAACACCACGTTGCTTCTGAAGAGCGCCTGGGGGGAATGCTTGGCCGTGTTTCTTCTGTAGAGTGGTAGGGGCGTATGCCTGGCCTTGTGGTTTCGGAGGAGCGCCCGGGGTGTACGCTTGGCCATGTGCTTTCGGGGGCGCCGCTGGAGCGTATGCATGACCGTGTGGCTTCTGAAGAGGGACTGGAGGATATGCCTGCCCATGTAGCTTCTGGGGAGCCCCATGAGGGTACACCTGGCCGGGTGGCTTCTGAGGAACGCCTTGAGCGTACGCTTGGCCGTGTTGCTTCTGGAAGGCGTTTGGTGGGTATGCTTGTGCGTGTTTCTGTGGTGGCCAAGGTGGCGGCCCCACTCCGTTCTGCTGTTGGAAAGCCATGGCGGATGTGGTGTAGAAATATTGTTTAGGGAAGCGTGCCTTTATCAGAAACATGGTAAGGCGGGCTGACGCGAGGCAGCAGTCACGTTTCGACACATCAGCCCAAGGCTCCCGTCTAGACTGAGGCGATGCGAAGGTAAGCGCTACCAACCACACATGTGCTCCCTCGGCATTCGGGCTAATCATGCAGATGCTACGTCATTCAGCGTGATAGTACACAGAAACCATGCAAACGTATCGATGGCTCTCCGTGCCGCAAAAGCTGATGACCGAAAACTGAAAGGTGATGGCATGATATGTGCAATGGCAAAGCTTATTACTGGTTCTGGGGGCGCTGGGGGCTGTGCGCCCGAGGCAGAGTTCGGTCAGACTAGGTTCGCTTGCTGCGCCCCCATGCAGACCTTTGTAACATAAATGTTCATTTGCTGAGCCTTCAAGGCAGCCACCTCTGCAGGCGGGGAAGTGAGAGGCTAGACACATCTTGCCCAACTCCGATCACCCATGGCCGCTTGATATTCTTCCGTCTGTACAGTCCTCTCTCGCAGCCGTGGCTAGCGTGGATTTTTTATTTTTATTTTTGCTCATGTCATGGGTAGCTGAAGCTATCGTCCGGACGTATATGTATAATTATCAATTCGACATTTACGTGCGGACTATAGCTTCAGCTACCCGTATATGTTACTTAGGCAGATCTGGGCTGCAGCACCTCTCTGTACAGGGCGGTATTGCAGCCGACAGCTAGCGTGAATTTAGTTATCGCTCATACCATGCATGCATGGGTAGTTGAAGCTATCGTCCGGACGTGAATATAATTATTAATTCCGCATTTATATCCGGATAATAGCTTCAAGTACCCATATATGCTCTTTTTATGTTTTTTTTACAGGGATTCTCTTCAAGCCACCGCTCCCTTTCGGCACCTACGCATCTGTCAAAACCGCCTTCTCCCTCCAGCTCAAGTGGGTGATGCCATTGAGCTGTTAGCTAGTCCAAGAAATTTCCCTGTTTGCAGGCCAGTGCTGTTTGTCCATAGTCACAAGATCAAGAGCGGCGTCGTCGGCGATGACGTAGCAAGAGGAATTAATCGCTCAGAAGCGTTGCCGTTATGAGAAGGCAGTGGCGTTTCCAGAAATTTTAGAGGCTCAGACTACATGCAGAACATGTGCGCTACTAGGTCTACTTAGATAGAGCTCATCCAAACTACTTAATTGTAGTGTTCGTATTGGGCTGCTGGTTGGAATTAGAATCGTGTTTAGTTGATTCCGCGGATGGTCCAGGAGGAAGCGGGATACCCGGGAAAGCTAGGCTTGCGATTTAGTATTGACTGTCTATTGGACGAGTAATGCCGTTCCGGTCCGGGACACTCGGGCCGAGTAGAGGAAGAAATACGATGCCTACGAGTCAACTGAACTGAGTCAACACCGTACGCCTAACGGCCATGCCGTTTCCGAGACAAGCTTGGTCATTCATGACGAAAGAGCCGGTTAGCAAGCGAGTGAAAAGGGGCACATCAAAGGCATCCAAAATGATTCGGAGGTTTTGCTACGATGATCACCCGAGGCCCGGGGCAATTGCGGCGCGTTGTCGCTCCCGCCCGCCCATCTTCCAACAGAGGTTTGAGACTTGGATCCATGAACTCTAAATTTTATAAGGCTGATAACCGTCTATGAAAGTAATACCCGCAGCTTCCCTACTAGCATCTGCCCTTATACTGAAGGGACCAATCAGCTGGCAAAACTTGCGTTTTGAGGCTGACGCCACACGTGTCTGAGGCGTCAACGAAGTAGTTTGCCTTCCTCTGTTCAACCCAGATGGCAGCCTGTCCACCCTCAGGGATGCATCCATTTCCGACGGAGACCTGGTTGAAGTTGATGATGTCGATGGAGCAGCCGGCGCTGACGAGGGGCGTCAGGGACGCAACCGCTGCAAGGAAGACGGTGACAAAGCGGGCCATGACTACACTTAAGGTTATGCAAAGCTTAATATTGACTTTCAGCTCCGATAGACGAACTGTTGGTATTTGTCTTGACTTTCGAGATCGATGGATTGGATTGGGGTTGAGTATTATGAATCGGCGACTGCGGTCTTCACCATTTGAACCCGCAGCTCTCTCTTTTATATAAACGGACTGCGTAGATAAGGAGGCACAGGCTGAGGTGCGCGGTGACATGCGATCAAAGCATTTTAGAACGCTATACCACTCTGGTTAGTCTTGTTTGATCCAACGTCGTATTCCGTTAATAATCGACCTAAAGCCCCACCTCCGCTGAATCGCTAGATCGTAAAACTTCGCCGCACCGGCATCAGCCGAAGCGGCTTCCTATCGTAGTTCAGAACTACTATATAAGTAAAGTCTGTTCGACTAGGTAAAAGGCATGACTTTTTTCGCTCTGAGTTCGACCCCCGCCATGTATCCTGTACACTTGCAACTGCATAAAGACGACGATTCTGTGAGGTGAGGTCTATAAGCGTTCACGGCTCGGAAAGTATGTAGGATCATGCTACAATTTTTAAACAAATGAATATATATTCCGATCCCTTTAGACATCGTATCTACAATCTCTATGACCTAGATAGAATCTCCTAGGCTATGTTTTATATATATGTATACAATAAACCTCGTTTATTCAATACTTATTATAAGAGAAGTTGTCTTTTAAAAGGTAAAAAAAAACACCACTATAACATAATGAAGGGTGAAGAAAAAAAAGTTCCAGTTGAGCGAGAAACAATACGTAAACTTGCGATACTACTATAGTCGGGAAAGTAAGAAATGTCCTATAAATAGGTCGGTAAGCTTCGCAAAATATTCGAACGATTCGCAGAGACAGAGACTTGACACTAAAATTTTTGTTTCTAACAGATGTTGATATTTACAATTTCCAGACATTATTGCGTCTAAGAATCTTATGTACAGCTAAATCCAGCGTACATCGGCGTTGTCAACTAAGCGCCAGTCGGGTTCTCCGGCTAGAGAGTATAATCAACCCAAACATACTCCGACAAAAAATGTACAAGTTTCATCTGGCCACGCCTAGTAGCCATTCCAATCATGTCGTCGAGAAAAGCCTGGTAGTATGCACCTTCAGCCATAACCAGAACCTCGGCAATTTCCTTTTCCGTTGGGTACTCAGGAGGTAGTGTGAGGACCTCGCCATAGTGGACTTTTGCAATCAATCGAATCAAATCCGTGACCTCGCTGGTGTCCCCGTGCAGAGAAGATTCTTTAAGTGCACCCCGAAGGTTTTCGTATATCCCATTTGGTGATGCATGGTTTGCCGTCAGAAGCTCTATGAGGATCGGGTTTAGTGTATTCGCTGTACAATCCGATAGAAAACCTTGCTTTGGATCCAGGGAGGCCTTTCGAGATAGTAGAAGTCCAAAAATCCGGTAGTAGTGCCTTTCGAGAGCGTAGTAGAGAAGAGCCCCGGACAACAACTCTCCCGTCGTCTGATTTGTCCATCGATAGAATTGCGATACGATTGTTGGCACAGTAAGTGGTAACAGGGAAGCGAGACCTGGAGTAGTTGGAATGAAATCTTCCTCGTCTATGGAGTCAATTTCGACTCCATGTCGTAAGAGAAACTCAACAATACATACATTCCCCAACTCCACAGCAAACACTAGATGTTTCCGGAGCTCTCGAGCTTGCAGGCTACCGAATTTAGCGCCCCATCTTAAGAGCAGGTTAGCTAAATATGGTTTCCCCGACTCTATAGCAACCGTCAGTGTGCTTCGCAATGTTTCTGGCTTGTCCAATCGCACAGCAACTTGTGCTATGTAATCCCACTTTCCTGGTTCCGAACTGCTACCCATACCATAGTGGGGTAGAAGAAAACTGGTCACGGACGCGTCCTCCATCATCGCAACAACAAGGAGAGCTCCATATAGATATTTTGGTTCTCGATTGGCTGTGATGGCTCTGTGGTTTAGAAGCAAGTCTACCATGGAGAGTTTGCCCGACCTAACCGCGGCTTCGAGCGTATCATATACTTCTACATCCGACCTGTCCATCTCGGTTGTGTGGTATAGGATTTCTTTAGCCATAGTCTCGTTACCTGATACTACTGCATTCATTAAGGCAGCGTGTATCGTTGGTTCCGGACTGCCCATCTTGGCTTTGTGGACGAGGAAAGGTTCAACCATAAGCAGGTGTCCGCTATTCGCGACACGTTTGAAGGCGCGACGAACTTCTTCCTCCGGTATGTGTAGACTACATCTAAAGAGCATATAGACTGTAGCCACATTGTTCTCATCGAGGGCACGCTTGAAAACACCACAGATCTTTTCTGGGGTATGTGACCTAAACTCCAAGAGAAATTCAACCGCAGGTAGGTTGGAGCAGTCCACAGCCATGTCGAAGGCATCACGCTCTTGTTCCTCCGAAAATGATCCATGAACCAAGAGAACCTCGACCATAGGCAAGTTGTGCCCCGCCACGGCGCGCAGGAGCGCATTGCGCATGTCTTCCGGTGGGTTTGACCCATGAGTCAGCAGAAGCTGCAGGATGGACAAGTTCTCCATGTCTACAGCTATCTGTAATGCTGACCCAGAAGAAATCTCCACGGGGCCCTCATCGTCGTCGTGGTAAAATTCCTCAGTGGCATAGTAAACCAGATCGGGGGTTGACTGAGTACTTGCTCCGGCAGCGAGCATAATTCGAATAACCTCCTCCAAGTTTTCATCACTCCCGTGAGCCATCCGCATCACAGCGTAGCATACAGCACCATCCAGTTTGGCTCCATTTTTGATGAGTTCGATGAGTAAAGCTTTGTTGTTCGTCTGGATACTATAAAGAAGTGGCGAGAAGGCTGGTTCGAAGCTTTCGAGAGAGGCGCCGGCTTCAATCAATGTGAATATAACTTCTGGTCTCTCGCTGGACACTGCCACTGTCATTGGCGTTTCGAAATGCTCGTTCTCTGCATTGACATCCACGAAATAGATTTTGGCGGAGGTTGGCAAAGAGTTAACATCGGATTTACCGAATGCTCTGGTTTTCT